TGTCCTCCTGGTGGACTGAGTGTGATGTATTCGTTGCTCGCACAAGTAATATCGACGTTTGCCAGGCCTGTCGATAGGATTGCCGAGATGAAATAGTTCAGTGGCGACACTCGGTACAGGAACACCCAGAAGCCGGGCATCTGGTCCTTTGTGGCCAAGACGCCACAGAAGAAGAAGATCAAGACGAATAGGAAGTTCGCATTGTTACCTCCTTCGTCTGCCGTCTCCGCGAACGTGATGCACATGTTGGCAAAGGTGCTGACAAAGATCATAAACACCCAGAACAAAAGCCACATCAACGCTGCTCGTTCCGTGCCCTGATCTGCGGCGTTGGCGTTCTTGTAGAAGCCGACAGGATAGTACACAAATGCCCACATGAAGACCGAAGCCAGAGTATTCCAGGGCATCTCGGCAACGATCTGGCTAAGCATAAAGACTTTCCAAGAGTACGTCTTTGCCGGGCGCTCGCGGACTTCGTAGAGGGAGCGTTGTGTGACAAAATGTGGCAGCTGTTGGTCCACGAGCTGGCCGAAAATTGAAGTCAACTCGAAAATGGCAAACATTTGGTTCTGAAGACCCTGGATGGAGAGAGGACTGTTGATGAAAACGAGGCCGATGAAGAGACTGGCCGAGATACATAGACTGAGTTTGGAGTAGATGTACGTGGGCGTTCGCCAGTACTGTTGGAAGACACGCTGTGTGACAATGATGAATTGTTGCCAAAATGGTGCTGCAAACTCTCGATAAGCGGCATGATCCCTTTCCTCGTCAAGAGAAGGCCTCTCGACTTTCTTCTGGTCACGAAGACGTGCCAGCTCATTTTGGACTTTCTGGTACTCTGGGCTTAAACGCCACGTTCGATGCCAGTCAACATCTGAACTGCATCCTGGTGCTGCTCCGATGGTTTCAAGCATCCATTCTGCTGGGTTGGCCCCTGGTGGACATGGTAATGTGCCATTTCTTTCGAAATATCCTGTCAATATTTCCGAGTTCTTCCCAATGTCGCCTGGAATAATAATGATTAGAGAAAAAATTGATAGTCGCTTCTGTACTTACCGAAGTAAACAGTCTGACCTCCCTCCTGAAGTAGCAAAAGACGGTCAAACCGTTGGAACAACATTGCTGAAGGCTGATGAATGGTGCATAGAATTGACTGTCCAGCTTTAGACAGCTTTTCCAAGAGGTCCAGGATAGCCCAACTGGTTTGAGAATCGAGACCTGAAGTTGGCTCATCAACGAAAAGCAACAATGGTGGTTTGGCAGCCAGTTCAACACCGATTGTCAAGCGTTTGCGTTGCTCCACGTTCAGACCCTCGCCTAGAACACCAACGACGGCATCGGCATATTCATGCATGTCCAGGAGTTGAATGACTTCCTCGACATAAGCCAGTTTCTCCTCCTTCGAGGTGCTTGCTGGTTGCCTAAGTAATGCTGAAAACTTCAGGGCCTGACCGGTGAGGTCAGTATTTTCCCGTGCTGGTGGTTGTTTTTTCAATATCAATAAGCTGGCTAACTTACCTCACGAACAGTGCTGGTATCCAAATGTAGATCAAGTTGTTGAGCGTAGCCCGTTTTACGCTGAAAGCTTTCATCACGGATCTTTCCATCTACCAACATCTCGCCGGTGAGAACACCCACACCCGTACGCCTATCAGCTAGACAATCGAGCAATGTCGTCTTGCCAGCGCCAGACACACCCATCAATGCTGTGAGCGTACCAGGTCTGACCCATCCATCCACTTGATCCAGTAGCCGGCGAGTCTTCTTCTTGATCTTGATATCATAGCATACGTTATTCCAGTGGAACACACTTGTAGAGCCCTGGAAAGTCATCCCCTTTTCGAAACTGGCAATGTGTTCACGGGAGCTCATCACAGTTGACACTGGACCAGTGACAGACATTTCCATGTCATTTCCACCTTTCCGTGCGGACGATGGGATGAAACCTCTGCGAAAGACGAGAACCTCGCCTTTGGACTTTTTGGCGGAGATTAATTCGCTACTGATGAAGTAGACTAGGTGGTTGAAGACCGCCATAGCAATGATGATACCGACATTTCGCCATTTATGGCTGTGTTCGTAGCTGTAGGCTGAGCTGATATAGTGACTTCCGTTCACATATGACTGCCCGGGAACAGCACCGATTGCATTGCAAGCAATATGGCTCGCAGAGACATTGGTGTAATCGGGAATATAGGCAGAGCAAGCAAAGCTGCGACCATAGAACTCATTGACCATGAGCGCTTCATATGCGAACGCCACAGGGTCAAGATAGTTGATCCATCTACACCAGCTAGGCATGTAATCGACTGGGACAACAAAGCCAGTGAAAATGAGCAGGGCGAGTAGGACAAGTGCCGCAGGGACCATTGCCTGCTGCTCGGTACGGGACAGCGAGGCTCTTTGAAAATATTAGCACCATGGTTGCGTACTTTGAAAGCACCAGTACCTACATGGATCTGAAGACTCCAGACATGGCCAAGACAGTCAAGAATGATACGAGCAGGTAATAAAAGAATGGTCCTGGTGCTCTGTTGAGATTGGTCATGAAGTAGAACACGATGTTGAAGGAGATACAGTTGACTATTTTGGCGGGCAGATCGACCAATACTGATGCATATGATTCGGCAGAAGGATGATAGAAGGCATAACGAGACTGCTTTTCCACGATCGGTCGTTGAGCGTAAAGCGTGAGGATCTCGAGCATAGATGCAAAGGCGTTGAACAAAATGGCAATGAAGAGAACGACAGCCCGGCCGTAGAAGGAATCTGTGTCCATCCTCATGTTGTAATATAGAGAAGAGATAATGAAGGCCATCTGTGGAATGTCAGCATGTGTTTCCTGGTCTTTGGATCTCTGGGAAAGGACTCTTTCTACTCACAACTATGTTCCCGATTCCCATCGTAAGTGTTAGTGACGGATCTGCTCTGAGCCTCTGAAAACCGCGGACGATGCAGAGCTGAACCTGTTCGGCATAAGTCAGCGTATAAGGTGATCTGACTCGCTGTCCAATGGCCTGATGTTGTCTCTTGAGGTGCCGAAAAGCCTCTGCGTCGGGACCACCGATAGGATGTTGTTTTTTGTATTCGCTAATTTCCGCTTGTAGAGAATCGTAGTCAGGACTTTTCTTCCATGCCGCCACGAACTCTTCAACTGTTCGCGGTGGATTGTAACCAGGTCTGACGTTGCGTTCAGCTGAAAAGGTCATGGAAGTCAAGAAGTCAGGGGTTGTCCGCCGGGCAGGGCAATCGAAACCCAGGTTTTCAAAGTATTCTTTGGCCTTTGATGCTGGTCCAAAGTAGATTTGGCGACCTTCGAATAAGACTGTTACCTTATCAAACTGATCATATGCGGTCTGTGGAGCTTGGTACATTGATACAGCGCATGTTTGGCCGAACAACTCCGACTGCAGCCTCAATGTCTTACAGAACTCGATGGCGTTGGCTGAGTCCAGACCGCGCGTCGAACTTCAGCTGATGATTAGTGAGTTTCTGGTCAAGAGGCTCTGCCAGACTTACTTGTCCCAACACTGGAATGGTGCATTTGCAAGGGTTGCTTCTGCGATGGTTACCCGCTTCCGTTCACCCCCAGACACCCCCCGGACATATTGGTCTCCGACTTTCGTATGGAGTGTATGGGTTATCCCATACATTGCCATAACAACATCGCGCAGATGGTCACAGTATCTATGAACCAGGCTTAGTGATAGATGGAGCCACGCAGGAGAACTTACTGGTTTCGTTGGGTGCCAGGCGGCAAGTTTCTCCCGCAGCGTGCTCGGGCAGCGAAGGACAATGTCTCGCCGACTGTCAACTGAGGAAAATGAACGTCCATTTCTGCAGTGTAAATGGCATCGCCCCGATGCTGATAACGCATCTCATCGGCTGACAGTCCATGATAGTTGAAATATGAACCTTTACCAACATAGACGCCATTCGTTTCTCCTGATAGAGATTTGAGGAAAGTTGAGCAACCGGATCCGGGCGGCCCCAAAACAGCACACATCTCGCCAGGATTAATGAGGCCATCAAAGTCTCGTAGGATGTCTATCCGAGTCTGGCCACCCTGCTTTGAAAAGATACGGCGTGCCATCTCAGGTAGAGCTAACCAAACATTTCCAACATCTTTCTGAAAGTCGGTTGGCGTACCGTAGCCAAAGACATTGACGTTTTCAAAGCACAATCCGACCTGACGAAACTGTCGACCATGCTTATTGGCAATCCTGACAATGTTGGTAGCCCATACACGCGCATTGAATTTGTCGCTTCGAGGGTTCAAGGGAGAATCGTCGGTTTTCAAGATGGTAGTTGTTTCTGAAACCCCTGGGCCATCATGCGTGTACTCTCGTGCCAATTCCTTCACGATAGATTGACGTGCCTCCATGGATTCTGCCTCTTCCGGCCCCATCTCGGATCGCTATATCTCAATCTGGGGCAGTCTTGTTCGGCAATATAGATGCTCAAGTTGCTGCCGGTAAGTGCGCTAAGAGAAGAACAAAACACGTCGAGAGGAGATAGAAGGGATGTTCGAGGCTGCGGCATTATGACAGAGTCCCTACCATTAAGTATTATATGCCCGGATTCATCCAGGTCGTTCATCGCCAATACGGATATGAGACAAGGGGGAAAAAGTCCGTCTACGTCCGCAATCCCTGCATCCTTTGGAACCAGTTCATGACTGAAGTAAGTGGTAGTGCCATCAAACAGAAATATTCAGAGGTCAATGAGGTCGATGCGGGTAGCGGATTGTTGGTGAGTCCGTTTCCCGCTTTCGGCCGACGGATATAATGATTGACCGTGATTGGACAATATAACAATAACTCCGTCTATATGCGCTCTCGTCCGTGTAACCTCATCTCAACTTCCATCTTCCGTCTTCCTCGCGAGAAAAATCTTCTATAGCAACCTGCTGTTACAGGCCACGGCGATTTCTACAAAAGTCCGGATCACACCTGAAAATTATCTCATCACCGGGCCGAAACACTCCAACTCACTGTTCAATGGACCGAAAACAGCGTCGACGCCGAAGGCCAGCATTGTCCTGCCTCGAATGCAGGCGCCGAAAGATCAAGTGCGATCGGAATGAGCCTTGCACTCATTGTGTCTCAGCCAAATTACAATGCACGTACAAATTTTACGCCGATCCAGTCATCGATGTACAGCAGCAGAGTCTTGGAGGGAGTAGTACACTGAGCTCTTCGGTCGTAAGTCCGTCTAGGTCGGCCCCGGTGTCAACTACTCTTCGCAGTCGACATGCATCGTCGGATATGCAACAGACCAACAATGATCGTCACCATGACCAGTGCCCTCCTCACTATGGGCCAGAAACACCACTACCAGAGAATCTTGTTCATCCATGGGGCCCTCGAGCCACAGCAGCAGCACGACACAAAGACCAGTCAAACACACCAGTAGTACCACAACTTCAGTTCAATGACTCTGCCACCAATACCCCCAACCACAACAGCCGTCAACCCCACAGTGGGATTGAGGCAACTCTCGGTAGTCGTTATCATCAAGCACAGAATGAGGACGATGGCCATCAAGCGGGTCTTCAAAGCCTTTTGCAGCGCATCCGGAAGCTCGAACAAGCTTCCACAATCGGCTCTGCACATGCTTTATCCGAAACCGCTCAGGATATTATTGCTAGTCGGTCTGGTCTAAGTGAGTCCCAGACCATTCTTGACAAGTCAAGGATGCTCAGGTGGAGTCATTGGCTGGGAACTGCTCCAGAGGTCAGTATGCCTTTTTGTGATCGATTCACCAACAATGGTGATACGTCGTCCTGACTTCTCTGAGATCTCCAGTTCCATCTAATTGGCGACTGTTATATCGAAGTCCTGGGTCACTCAAAGAATTTCTCTAAAGGTGATGCCGAGATACAAGCACTACTAGTCCGAATAGGCAACGGCCTTCAGAAATGCAAGAGCATAGCGAGACGAATCAAGCTCGGCAAACCTACAAGATGCTTATCATGGCGTGAGTTTGCATTATCTACGCCATCTCGGGCCGTTGCAGATACGATGGTCAATCTATATGTGAGTACAGTACTAACTAGCCGGTATAAACACCAACTCATACGACCCTGCCCTCTCATGTATGGTAATTCCCGCAATTTTAACAGATAAATAGTTCCAATCATTCGAATCAACACATCGAATCCTCCATATACCCACGTTTTGGTCTGAGTATCGAAGATACTGGGATGACCCAGAGCGAACAACACCCGATTTGCGCCTCAAGATTCTTCTGGTCATCGCGATAGGTTCAAGCCTATCGGAATATAGCGACACGGACACTAATTTCCACAACATGGTCCATCAGTGGGTGTACACGGCCCAAGCATGGCTTTCCGGGCCCCTGGAAAAGGATCGTTTGAACATCAACGGCCTACAGATCCACTGCCTCACTATTCTGGCTCGTCAAACGTTTGCTATTGGCGGCGACCTTGTATGGATGTCCATGGGCTCCCTCATCCACCGGGCAATGCAGATGGGTTTGCACCGAGACCCCACACACCTACAGACCATGTCGATACTTCAATCCGAGATGCGGCGACGTCTGTGGGCGACCATCATCGAAATGGTCCTCCAGGCATCACTGGACTCTGCCATGCCTCCAAGAATCTCATTCGATGACTTTGATACCTTGGCACCGTCCAACGTCAACGACGACGAAATATCCGAAGACACATCAACACCAAGCGGCAATTCACTCGTCCCCCATGCCAGAAACATATACACCTCGACATCCATCCAACTTTTCCTTCTCGATTCTTTGCCGACTCGACTACGCATCCTTCACCTCCTCAACGGTCTACACACGGGACTGTCCTACACGGAAGTTCTGGCATTGACAACCCACCTCAACGACACGTGTCGAGAATACAGCACTTTTATGAAGGAGAACCGCGCCATCACAGCCTTCCATCGAAATTTACTGGATTACCTCGTGCGTCGGTTCGTGATCGTTCTCCACTGTCCCTTCATGAGTAAAGCCCGCACGAACCCACTCTTTTATTACTCGGTCAAGGCGAGCCTGGACGCAGCCATGTCTGTCATTTCTCCTGAACCCGACAAAGGGTTCTCCCACCTCATGACCATCGGAGGTGGTCTGTTCAGGGAAGGGCTGTGGCACGCGCAGACGGTCATCTGTCTGGAACTCTTGGGCGAGGTCGACGCTCAAGCCTCCGACGGGACATTGCACCGCAAATCCGCCTATCGCGACCTCCTGAAGCAGGCTGTGCGAGACATGATGGTCTTGGTCACGGAACGTATTCGACACCGTGAAACGAATATCAAATCTCACATGTTTTTGAGTATGATACTCGCCCAGGCCGAAGCCACGGCCGAAACGACGACGCTGGACGCGCCGTCGCCGTCGCCCCGTCTGCGTATCGCGCAGACTGCAGTCGAGAGTTTGGAGGTTTGTATTGGATTACTTCAGGACCGAGTAGACACGAGCACCACGACGACGTTTCCCAGTCCAATGGACGTGGGTCTGGGGGTGTCGAATCCACCTAACGGCACAGGCTTACAAGGTGGAGGAGAATATGGTAGTCAGGGGTTCTACGGGACCGGTGTTGGTGGTATCGGAGGAGGTTTTGATCTTGCCGATTTGGACTTGGAATTTTTTCTGCCTGATGCAGGATTCAATTATCAATAGATGTGATTTATTGATCGGTGATTGTGATGCAAGGTTTTACTTGACGGATGAATCTATCTAGACACCCATGACCCATGTACAAGGTGTATACGCATGAATCGAGTCAGTCGTATATGATTGCCTGTATACTGTTTGGTGGTATCCTACTGTGCAGTCTGTGTAGAAGCAGCCATTGTCCTAATCGAAGCTGCTAGTGCCGCCTTTTGTAAACTATTCCACGGCTCTCCTTGGTCATCATCCAATTGAGCATCCACGTAACCATGTTCTGCGACCGATCGAGGAAGAATTGCGAATGAGTGGCCTGCCACAGAAATTTTAGTATTTGTTTTTTGCACCCTGCTAGTATACAGGTAGGCTTCCTGAATGACCATCCATGGGCAAGGTCAAGGAGTAGTGAAGTGAGCCTGCCAAAGAGAAGGGAAAAAACATACCATTGATACTCTTATCACAAGCGATCCTCAATACCGCAGTTGTACAGTCGGCCGTCTCGGAGAACTCGATCCCTTTTGAAGCCAATATTTCAATGACTTGAGGTTTTAGGATCGTCGTTTTGGTGTACCTAAAATCAATGTCGACACGCGAAGCAGGGGTTAGCCTCCTCATCACGAATATGTTTTTGGTCGATGACGGGACTGTCATTGACCAAAAAACGAAGCGTCACGGCTGGACAATCAAACTGGACAGAAAAGGTCGGACGTACCAAGGAGCAATATAATTCACCCTTATACCTTCCTGCCACGAAGTCCACCTGGCACTCCTCATCAACCCTCTCAACCCGAATTTCGATGCCGAATATTGAAAGGATCCAGGTTGGTCGAGCAATCCCGCCACGCTACCCTTGAAGATGAAACATCGATCCCGGCCGTCCTCCGACTCGGGTCGTGCACGTAGATAATGTTGACCCAATTTGAAAGTGTACATTGCCCCGACTAGGTTGAGGTTGAGGATTCGTAATTCTGGTTTTGTAGGTTCGGTGGATGGATCTATTTTGACGACCCAGTCTTTTTAGCTCTCTCTCTCTCTCTCTCTCTCTCTCTGTTTCGGTCTTTGTACATGTCATGTATTTGTATAGACGTACCTTCTAGAGTAAAAATCTCATCTGGTCCAGTAATACCAGCATTGGCAACCACCACATCACAACTTTTAGAAGGTGATACTATGACTGCCAATTTGAACAAGACAACTTGATCATCCCATGATGTTGCGTCACACTTGATGAATTGGACATTTCTATACCAAACAAGTAGAGTCAGAGATTATCCTGCTGACAACAAAGAATTTGTAGGAAAGGGGAAGATGAATCATACGATCCAAGTTCATCAACAAGTTTTTTTCCTTTGGTTTCATCAATATCACCAAAGGTCACAAAGGCCCTATTCGATCATCACCGGTTCTCTTGTCAGTCAAACATACACATACACATATACAGACTCATAAATAAGCCCAGAAGAACTGGAGTGAACCATTGCCGAAGGTCTATCTAGATGAACACGTAACATACCCTGCTTTGGCAAATGCCCGAACATGACTTTCTCCGAAACCGTTCGCACCTGTTGTGATATAGTTACACGATACATGTCAGAATAGATCAAATTGTCAACGTCGAAAGGCATAGAGTGGTTGAACAAATGAACAGTTGAACGTTCGAACATTGGGCAAAGCCACTGTCGAGTCAAAGGTTGTCTAACTCACCACCAGTAACGACGACACTTTTCCCCTTCAACACCGTCGTGTCAGGTTTGACCGAACAATCGACGGGGCCGGTGTTTGAGTACGGTGGCAACGGCATTGCGGATTTCTGTTTGTTGCGGCAGCTTCAGGACCCTTTCAGAAAAAGGAGGGAGATTGTTTCCGTTCCGAAGATAAAACGTGGGATGTGGAATGTGGAAGTGGAAACCTCAATTACGGGGCTCGACTTCTAATAGATATATACCCTTTTATAGTCCCAACACCTGCTTTGTCCACGAGGAAACGGTTGAATGAGCCTCTGATGCTGTCAGGTTTGCGGGGAATCATTGAACGAAAACAACCGAGTCTTACCGAATCATGAGCTTCAATACGAGGATTGCGATTTCCATGGCGTAAAACATGCCGCGGCAAATGTCCGATTGTATACAAGTTCAAGTTTACCAAGAAAACAGACCAAGTGGTACTTTTCACCGATCGACGTGAGGTCAGGAGGTGTCCAATATATATGACTACCTACCTGAATGTAATACCGGTCTCTGACGTCCATGGTTATAGACCTGTCGCCTGGTGGATCTGGCCACCCGTTTCTCCATTCCTATTTTACCAGGTAACCACTTGGATTGATTGATCACTGTAGATACTCACATCATCTCATTTTCTATTCAGTATCATCGTCATCCTCCTCCAAGTGAAATCCATCCATACTCTGGAGCTTTGGTGTCATTCACCAATAAACTCTGAACGACCTCCAACACACTCAACGACTGTCCTACACCGATCGACCCATCCCATTTTCCCATGTACCAATGAGCACCACACTTGAACCTGGCATCACCTGCGTCGACATTCGTGCAAGCCTTCACGGCTACCTTGGCACTACTCTTCAGCAAGCCCCCAACCCTACCTTTCAGGTGCGGTACCAGCACCGTCGTATCAGCCATCCACCTTGCCAGATATGCCTTGAAACTGAATTGATCGACGTCACAACTCCAATCCAATTCACAAGCCTGTTCCACCATGACACCACTGGCATTCTTCAACCCATCACTACCCCCATCGTCAGCCCCGAAAAACATGCGTTCTGCCACTCCAAGTAACCCTTCCGTGCGATTCGTCCACACCCCTCTTCGTTGCCTCACCCCGGTCCCCGCGGGTACAGTGATGTTGTGCATGACGGCGGCTCCATAAAGGTAAACTGCGATGTTATAACTCCACTGAGTATGGTCGAGTTTTGTACAATTCAACCCACTGTCAATCCCTGCTCCGTCATAAACATTGAGGTCTGTTGCTTCGACAAGACCAATTCGTTCCGACCAATCCCACACCTTTTCCGCCCAGGTCAGGTAAGTCCCGTTTCCAGTGTACCTCGCCAGTCTTGCCGCAAGTTGAAAGAATCCCCCATTGCTGATGGAATTCTTGTAATCCCACCCGGCGGAAGAAGAAAAGACTTGCCACCTCAACCCGCCGCCACAGGTGTCACTCGACTTTTCCCACCTCGTGACGAAATCATCAAAAACATTCTCACAGATTCGAAGCCAAGAAGGGTACCGAGGTGAAGGGGGGTCGGGGAAAGAATGTTCCGCGGCGAACATGGCCGCAAAGGCCCAGAATGCGATATCATCGTTACCCTGTCATATCACAACAACAGAGGAGGATGTGTTAGCATGTTGAAACCCTATCATCTCGAAGGGGACTGGGACATTGAGTGTTCTACTATTGTAGATACAAGTCCCGTGTCATGCATGACACGAAACGTCCCAGGTAAGTAAGAAGTCGAAATACACACCTCATCAAACATTTCTGCAACGGGTAAATAATTGTTCGTTGGTGAAATCTGGCTGACCAGAGCCATCCAGGTGATGTTGTTGTAACTCTCGTCGCCCGTGAACAACCAGTAATGCAACATCCCGTCCCAAGCCGCGCCACTGAGCCACCAGTAATACGGCGGATAAGGGAACTTGCCCAGCGTCCCGCCGGTACGGTTGCCGTTGTAGAATGACTGTAGGCTGTAGGCGGCCACGGAGGCGGCGTGGCGTATGGATGCGTCGTCGCTGACGTTCAAGGGGATACCGCCGTCACGTTGCTGCTGTTGTTGCGTCGCCGCAGCAGCAGCGGCCACATTCGATGACGAGGTGCCCGGGTCGGTGGTGGTGATGACCATGGACGGTGATGCGTCAACTTGGCAACGAGAGAATTTTTGCGACAACGTAGCCATCATCATCATCACAACCAGTAGCAGTGACACAAGTGTCGTCCTACTACTGTGACCGCCGTAGACCGTCATCTTCTTTGGTCTTCTCTACCCAACCCCTCTCCTACTGCTGCGGTGGTTTCGTTTTTGGAGACTGACAGCGACGACAACGATGCCTTCGATGAACAACGAAGACCTTGAACTGTTTCAAGAAACATTGCTAAAGTCAACCAAAGTTGTGTTATTTGTTGACCGGCATCTGTAAGCTTCAAGAAGTGTTGGCGGAATTGGGGTGCCCGGCGATCTGTGAATGCGAAGGCTTCGTGGCTAGTCAATATGCAAAGTGGCACTGTGCATATTTGTAATCTTGCTGTCGATATCGCCGCATCACATGTGGCAAGGGAGTAATAACACGAACACGAAGGATGGGTTATCAAAAAGCATTCGAGGTTGACAGAAATCAAGACCAAGATCAAGATCAGGGTCAAGATGACGTTGGTTTCCTCGATCTACAGGAAGGATGATGGAGATACAAACAATCCGATTGATCCGTACGTCGATCATCAGCCACCCCAGATCTAGATCACCAAGTCAACATCTGGATGGACATGACTAGACTCAGATTTGTTGCTTTGATGTTCGCGTACTCGTAGCAAGCTATGATAGGGTTGTAGGTTGGTTGTATTCCTACATCTCACAGCCAAATCTTGTCCTTCATGGCTACGATCGACATGCGCAAGTCTTAAGTTACTACACAAACAGCTTCAACTTGTGGACAAGCCTCTTGATCATTGTCGTGGAAACATGCCATAAAACATCATTCATCACCTTCACGCATCTCCAGAAAACACCTCTTCTTTGAACCCAAAAATTCACCGTTTACCCTTCTTCTTCGTGGCAACGACCTTGAACGCGGCGTTATTTTCCTCCTTGGGGGCAGTGGCTGGTCCTTTTTTGGCAACTTCACTCCACCCACCAGCGCTCTTACTGTCGGCACCACCTGCTAGAGATCCGTTCGTGGCTGGCTCGACAATACCCTTGTCAGCTAGTTTGCGTCGGCGAACGAATTCCTCTGCAAAGCGACGACCATCCAGGGTTTGAGAACTCGCATAAACAGAATCGGAGATGATCTCGATCTCGGGTGGGAGCTGCAATAAATCTTGCACGAAACTATCGACTGGAGAGGAGTTAGCTTGAATCAAGAATATAGATAAAACAGACTCACCGTTGATGTTACTGTTCAGCCCCTTACCCAGAGAACCCTTGACCCACTTGGTGAATTCCTCATTGGCCTTGCTCTGGTTGGAGAGTGTTGTGCTTCGCTGAGGTTGCATGCTAGGTCGCGCCTTGGGGACACTAGGTACCGAACTGCTGACGGAACGTGTGGCTGGTTGAGGCGTTGCCACTACAGCCGCTGGAGTTTTGGCCTTGCCACTGGAACCCACCGTGGTCCATGCACCACCGGCTGCGGAGGGAGGGCTTGGTGCGACTTTGCTCGCTAGTTCTGCATATCGCTTGCCAACAGATGCTGATGCTGGGCTTGTTGAAGCTTGAATGCTTCCGGTAACCGCGGCCGACGCTGCTGCTGTAGCTCTTTGCTTGCGCGCTTCTTCCTCCTTCTGAATTTGAGCGAGCGTCTTCTTCGCGGCAGAAGAACCAGAACCAGCTTTAGCAGTGACGGGTTTGGCCCACACACTGGCACTGTGAGAGCCGGGAGTGACTGGCGAAGCGGTATTGCCCCAAGTTGATGTTGATGGGAGCCCGGGTGCAGGAATCGGTGCTTGGACCTGTTGGACCCGTTCTTGTTCAGCTTGTGCTCGGCGTGCGGCAGCCGCGAGTTCTTCTTGCTCAGCAGCCCGTTTGGCTTCCGCCTCCTGAATCTCCTTCAAAGAAGGGCCTTTGGGATGCTCAGTCGTCCGTTCGGCCCATGGCGCCACAGAAACCGACGGGGTTTCGATAGGAGTTTGACTTGCCGAACGCGATTCTGCTGCTAGTGCATCCGCAACATGCTGGCGGTTGCGTTGGGCTGCAGGAGCTGGCAGAGGCGAGATGGAAACCGGTGGAGGTTCGACCGGAGCATCTCTCTTCGCCCGAGCACTCTCCTCTGCTGCAGCCAATTGACTAGCCGCTGCAATCTGAACTTGCTGAGCCAAAGAGAGGGGTTCATGATCAGACTTGGCCGGAGGCGCTGGATGAGCGATAGGCCCAGGAGCTTTGTGTTGCATCTGGTCCTCCATCTGGCGTTGTGCACCGATAGGTTGAGGTCGTGCTTCCTCAGGGCCGAGACGGCCGGCCGGGATTTCCGCCTGCCCACGCAGTTCGCGAAACTCCTCCAGTCGGTCGTTGCGGCCCTGGGGTCCTAAAAAAGCATCCTGATGTGTTCGCATATCGGATCCTTGTTGTTGCTGCTGCTGTTGTAGTCGAGCCCTATCTTGAAGCATTGAGTTGACTTGCTGAGGAGAAGGACCCTCGGCAGGGGCGCCCAGAGGGGCACCGGTGAAGGGTTGGCCAGCTCGTGAACTGAAATTCATACGATCCATCATGTTATTGAGATCTTCATCACGGCCAACGCCTGGGCCGGCACTGCTAGGTGGCCCTTGCTGTCCGAAAGATATTCCACCCATTTGAGGGGGTTGAATGGGTTGTTGGAAGCCTGATGGAGAAGTCATACTTCCAAAGCTAGGCTGACTCTGTAGGGAGTGAGCACTGGAATGGTGGTGCAAAGGTTGCATCCCATTTTGAATCTGAATGTGTTTCATCGCCATCTGCTGCTGAGCGAGGTGTTCTTTCTGTCTTGCCATGAGGTATTGTTCTTCTTGCTTGCGTCTTTCCAGCGCGTTCTGCTGTTCAGCCGTTAATGTCGTCCCGAAGCTTGGGAAGCTGCTCGCAAACGGCGGCTGAACAGAGCCACCAGGACCGCCTATCGAGGGATTGGCCCAGTGATTACCTTGGCCTGCTGAAGGGGGACCGTGGGGTACACCGATTTGGGGGACAAGGAATGGTTCCCGAGAGTTGCCAATACGTCGGACGAGCTGGGCGAGAGGCTCATACTCGGTGTCTTCCAGTTTCTTGACTTGCAACTCCGCGGTGAAGAATCCTGCTTTGAACCAATCGTGCATCTCAAGACCAGAGAAAGGCCCCTGGGTATTACCCTGGGGGTCACGATAGATCCAGCGCATACGATCTGGCATCACCATCTGTCGTTGTTGAGCAGCCGGTAATTGATTGGAGGAATTGCTGCCGCTGGATTGACTGAGCCCGTGGCCAGACTGATAATCACCACTTGCTCTCTGCCCGGCCGCCTGAGGAGTGGCTAGCGAGGTCATTGGTGCACCCGAGGTACCAGGAGGAAAGATCCCAGCCGGGAGACCAGCTTCCTCAACACTTCTCAAGGATGGAGATTCATCGAAGAGGCTGGATCCGCGGCCGAACCCGTCGGAGCGCCGACCGGTATTGTCAAAAGCGTCGCGCATAGACTGCTGTTGTGCGCTGTCGGGACGCGACTCGAACGCACCAGGCTGCATCTCATTTCGACTATCACCTCGCATCTGTTCCTGCATGGCTGGGGGAAACATGGCTCCCAGGCGACTTGCACGGCCAGCACTGCCGAAGCCACCAGATCCAAAAAAGCCGCCCCCTAGTCCAGCGCCCGGGGATTGGAGGTCGCCCAGAGGACTGAAAATAGGATCGCCAAAGGCAGAGCTCATGCCTCGATCCATAGCAGGTTTGCCGGCTCCGAGACCTGCTGACGACCAGGATGGACCGCCTGGGAGACCTCCAAAGCCGGATAGACCCCCAAAGCCACTTGCACTGCGCATGTTGGCACCCGGAAGTCCCCTCTCATCAGCAGAGGGCAGTATGTTTCGTCGGTTTGCGCCGAACGGAGGTAGTCCTGAAGTCGAATCGATGGTGTCATGTTCATCGTCCTCAAGGCGACCTTGAGGACTCTGATATGGATTTGTGTTCGTTGGGCTCATGGGCTCGTGAAGGTTGAATTTGCCGTGCGGCGTTTGTTGATAGGATTCGTCGTGCCCGAAATCGCGTGCTCCGACATTTGTTGGCGGACCAAAGGCTGACATTCCCATTTGTTCAATAACTGAACCTTGGGGAATGTTATCTTGAGAGCCGCCCAAAGCCGCACTGCCAGTCCGGACAGGCCCGTCATCGTACGGGTTGGTCTCACTACGACCAGGGCGCGTCTTCAGCTCATCCCGCAACCTGGCATGCGCAGCATCGGCATCCTCTTCAGGCAATTTCTCCAGCGCACCGAAAGAGGTTTTGTCTCTGGCGCTTTGAGATATATCCTCCGAGCTTGTTTTGGACAATAAATCCTTGAATCGACTGCCACCCCGAACACTACCAAAGCCAGGTCTCTTTTCGCTAGATTCGGCCGGTGCTGCGCCAGAACCGACGGCAAAACTACCAAAGTTGCCCATGGACCCAAAGGCAGATCCTTGAGCTCCGGCAGACCAGGGTGACGCAGAAGGAGGATTAAGACCAGCACTAAGAGGACCAGTCGCGGCTCGTCGTAGGCCTGAGAATGGAGCCTGCGCATCGCCGGGATTCTCGTCTGCCTGAAGCTCTTCTCTTGCAGGTCCACTATCTTCCTCCTTGTAGTCTGTCCGTCGGCGCAGTAGGGCGGGTGGAGGAGTTGCGGTATTCGATTCGCCTCGTTGGAAAGATTTATTTTCAGCTGGAGACATTGGACCATTGCCCATAAACGAGTCACTTGTGTCCCGACGACGCGTTCCCGGTCTGGAGCTACCAGGGGTGTTGGAGTAGCTTGACAATGAGGCCTTCCGGCCTATAACGCCAGGTCCCGAACCTTCTTTCGTGCTGTTCTGTTGCAACTTGATAGGCGAGTTGACTGAGGTTGTAAAGAGCTACCACCACATATCAGCCACGTCACTTAATTGCCTTGGATACTTGTCCAGCTCACCTGCTTCTCCTCTTCAGTCATTTCCATCAAGCCGAGGGGTTCTGAGCGCGAATTATAATTCCAACAAACTTCCGGTCCTACAACTTGGTCCTTCCCACCTTGAGAAACCATCGGTCCGTTCTTGTTCTCCAAGGGATCCCATCCTCCCAGAAATATTTGATCCAGGTTTCGGTCAATTGCTGAGGACTCTCTCAAGGCCTGGTAGATCTCCAGCATTTGATCTTTCCCGTAGCGAGTGTCATTCGAGGGGGGATGCCGCGACGTGTTGTTCACATTGAGATGTGGAGGGATATACACGCCATCATGATTCGCGCTTTCGCGTTGCTGCATGTGTGACTGGGAAGGTGTTGTGGCTAGCGAGGGTCTGCGGAAGGTTTGCGTGGCACCATTGACGCGGTTTCTCGACCTGTGAGAGAGGTTGTTAGTCAACGCCATCACTTTTCACCTAAGGTCTGGAGGGAGCAGAAGGAGACAGGTAGTTGGTAGTGGGGTGTATCGATGCACTCGGTCCACCGATCCAGAAGTACAATGTGCGCGCGTAGGGTAATGCAAATTTCAGAGGCCGCACCATTCGTTTGTGGCATTTTCCCTCCTGTTGCCCATACTATCTCCATTTGTGCTTGCAGCAGCAGAGGCAAAGGTCGAAGAGAATGGAGAAGGCATCATGAGACTTTCCGAGGTCGTCTGAATACGGTTGTGGACAAGGTGAACGAAAAATGGGATTTGAGCGCGTGAGAGTGTGTGGGATGACGGTATTTGCCTCAAAGGCGAGATCAGTCAAGCGTTGGCGATACGAAATAGATATTTGGGTCGTGTTACAGGGTCAAGATGCGACAAAAGGACTGCTTTGGTGGAAAGCAATAAAATAAATAGGTACTTCGGACGTGGGTAAGAAGAGAGAGGCCAAAAACGATGCAAGAATGTCCAAAGCCCAGAGGCACAAAGCAGCCATTCAGGGACTGCAGGGAACAGCGAGGCCCGCATCTGCAGGTGCCCAGTTTTCTGGGGGGAGTGTAGGGACCCTGAAGCGCAGATTTAATTAGGTACGAGTACGAGTACGAGTACCAGACAATTACCACCTGCATGCATGACCTATTACTCGGTACAGATACGATTTACATTAGTCCCGGATCAATAACACTGCTCAGGTACCTACGATCATTAGGTACTCTTTAGGCATCCTTCTACGAGTTATAATAATACTTGGGCAAGGTCAGGCATCTTACCAGAGGCACACCGCTGGCAGCTAATGCACTCCCCTGATCACCACATCCACCTTTGGCACTGTCGCCCCTGCTCCCCTTTCTCTTTCTGCACTCCTGAATGTCCTTTTCTTCTTCTTCACTAAATTGTGTCGGTGCCACTCTTCTCCTGATTCGAAGTAATCTCTATGCAATACAACTGGGCGTATTGGTTCGTTGTCATACATTCCAAGTTAGATGTCCGTGCGGCTCCGCCAACGCATGTGTCTCACTATCAATATTTGGCTACAGCCAAAATGCAAAGTCTGCTTGTCAAGTATTTAAGGTAGGGAGGCATACTTTTCATTGCTTACGAGGTACCTATGGAGTGGTAAATTAGGCGGGAGTACATGAGAGCTGCCGCCAAGTCAGTAGACTATTCAAGTATGGTCGTACATTCATCAGTCTCCATGGGTAGTGTGACAATCAGTCAAGAGAACCATCTTTTAGGGCATTGGTGAATTGTCAAGTCCTCGATTTCTGAACCTGTCGTACAGTCTTACAGTAATGGCGCTCTCCAGCCACCAGCTGCAAGTCTCAGCAGGTCAATGTTTAGGATCGGATGTGGTTAGGTCTTGGAATGACAATGTCGTGTCCTTTATATCATTCAACTTGACGCACCCTCCGGTCGGGAGCTCTGCGAGTGTGATGGGTGATGAATAGAGCGATTCGAATTTCAGTCGTCGCCGTTCTGGATTTGCTCCTAGGCGTTGATTCAGTGAGTCATAGAAGAGCCTCCGGCTCTTGCTACTCACTACTCATCTTGTCTCTTTTTGCCGTCTGCTACTACTGTAGCATGTGCGACGTGTGAGTCTCGAATGTATGAATGGCGATGTTAGGTCGCCGTAGATATATGGAGCCTCCGTATGTGGTGCACTTTGGCGATCTTCACAAGAGACGATGAGGGAGAGAGAGTCTCTCAAGCAATGCTTCTCTTCGCCAGCGATAGGAAATCGGTGCATATTTCACCGGAGGAAGTGGATGACCAACCAGCAGAACAGGAAGAACACAATCACTCCTCCCCAGAAAATCCACTTGTCCTGCATTGCTCTCCTCTCAACCATGCGTATCGTGTCTCCGCTGACTCCCAGAGTGTTGGCCACGCTGTAGAGTCTCTTCTGTGTGCCTTTCAAGATTTCTCGCTGTTGTCCCAAATCCCCTAGAACTGCTCGTCCACGATCCAAGAATTCGTCAATCTGGGCATTGGCTGTGTCGAAGAAACTCTGTTCACGGAGAGCGTGATCCTCGCGGGAGTAATTGCTGGGGCCGGCGCCAAATGACAAGCCGTCCTGTGTATTTCGATGCGCCGGTGCAAACGCGCTCTGGCTCGACGCGTGTGCGTATGGATTTTCAGGAGTTGCGGCATGATGAGGGCGTCTTCCCAATAACTCGTTCCGGTTGTTCGCTGCCACCGCACCTTCACGTTCTTTCTTAAGCTGGTCGAATTGTGCGCGATAGGAGGATAGCTCTGTTCTGAAATTCTTTAATCTCTCGGCTGCCTTCTCTTTCTTCTCTTCGTTGAGCTCGTTTCGCGAGAGGTTCTGGTAATCATCTAGCGTTCTTGCCAGACTCGTCAGTGTAGTGGAAATCTGGCCCTGCAGAGCAGGAGAGGCAGTGGCTGGCGCCTGGGCAAAAGTCTCGAGATCTCGTCGTACGGCAGTGGACTGCTTCAGTGCCTGGTTGAATTGCACGTTCTGGGTAGGTATCAGAATGAAAGCATGTGAAAGGACCGCGACGTAAACTTGCCATTGTATTGCGCTGACCATAGAACAGGCTGTAAGAAGGATAGAATGGCGACCTTCTGAAAGACGGAAAGCCCTAGAACTCTAGTCGAGAGGAAATGATCACGTATTATAGCACAGGAGTTGCCTGGTGTTTACTGAAAGTACAGATTGTCCTTGTCCAACTCCTGCACAAAATAAAAGCGGCGGAACAGCGTACGTAGCGTGTCGAATGGATTGATTCCATCTACATGCCCTCACTTCTTTTGGTAATCTCATTGATCTCGAAATTACCATTTTGTGATGAGCCTGTCACGTAAATGAATGTGTTATGGAGAGGCATGTTAGAATCCAGTCCTTGTGTCACCTTTGTGCGCGATTGTACACCGAGGACGGGAAGCTCAACTCGAGTTACGCGGTCCTACAAGGGATTCGCAGAGATGACACCCCCAGCGTGAATAGACAAGGCAATGTCAGAGTCACAAGTGAGATGTATCTAGGTAATTCACCTGCAAAAAGCAGAATCCAAAGGTTTGCATCTGGCATTTTTGAAGACAAACGTCCAACAGGCATTGTGTAGGAGGCAGGTACTGTCTCTCCGACTGCCTCTTTCTCACCCAGCGTTTATCCTTGCGTTCGCGACCCTGCAACAATTACTACGACATGCCACAATATGTACTATCCTCTGAACACACAGACGGTCAAGGACACATCCTGACCGTTTTCCCTTCATAACTACACATTAGACGAGGTCATAGTGCCGAATCTTTCTTCACCATCATTACCTCCAGCCATTCCATCCGAACAACAAGCATCGATATCAACACCGGCCCTATCAGTCCTCCAGTCCATACTATCGTCTAGTGACAACCACCCAACCCAGATCTGTCCACAAACATCGATCGTTTAAACATGGTCATCATGTCTACCGCCTTACAAAGAAACTGGCAAATGATGAAGCAGGACTGGCCCTTGGTGTCGACCGCAGTGCTCTGCAATCCCGTCTTGGTTCTTCATGCTATGAACGGCCTACTCAGCTATCTCGACCCGGCTGGCATGAGTAACCCTCTCTTCAACACGCGGGTCAATCCTCATCTCGATGTTCATGCCGACGAAAACTTTACAAGAGTCTTTACTGCCGTCATAGTAATGGCGCAATTGGCAGCATATCGCTCGTTTCGAAACGATAACCGGAGTCATAAGAGTGGAAACGTTCCTCAACTACTTGACATGAATTGAGAGTATCAGGTATTGTGGCGAGGAGTCAACAAGGACACCCGAGGGCGGCGTTTCAATGTGGAGGCATGGACAGAGACCATGGGTGTTGAAATATCATTGTACTTAGAGAGAAGTCAAGGGGATATCATATTGTGAGCAAAAACATGTTATCGAACCCGAGTGCTCGCGCCTTAGCCGCCCTGTCAACCGAGTAGAGAGTTCAAGGAAAATGTTACACCATGAAATACCCCAACCACCGTACGAGATTGATTGTTCTGCGCTTCGTCCACCGTCTATTTGGGAGGATACTTGTTCTCAAACAGCCATCTGATATGTTGGTTAGCTTGCAAAATCAAGATAGAAACGAGAATGTGTAAACTCACTTGCTGCCAAAATAATCGGCCACAGCAAAGGCACCAACGCACCCGGCGACCGTTCCGGCGAGTTGCCAGTCCAATTTGCCTTCAGAGTGCTTCTTGTAGGCGCCATAGCCAAGAGTAGCTGCAGTGATGCCCCAGATCAATGCATTGCCGACAACCACAGGGTTGTCTCTGTTGTCGCTCAATTTCTTGCCATCCTTCTTCAATGCGTCCTTGACGGACTTGCCCTTGGTGGCAGCCTTTCTCTTGGCGATCTCAGCCTTCTCGGCTGCGATACGGGCCTTGTCCTCTGCTTCATGCTCGAGTCTTTCTGCCTGAGTCTCTGTCTTCACGGCTTGCTCTTGGAAATCGGACTTCACTGAGCTGACATGAGGGGAGTCGACGTCGATCAAGTTGGCGGATTCAGACTCAGAGGGAGCGAGCGAAGGAACTGGATGAGCGCGACTACATCGATAGGTTAGCGAAGTTCATAGCGACCCACTGCGGTGGGAAAAGAACATACGCCTGTGACCAAATTAGTATTGAGGTATTTTCACCACAGTAGGAACAGGCGTCTACCAACCTCTTCTGGAGACTGCTTAGGGCCTTTGGAAGCAATATCGGCGTAACTCATGGTGGGCGAAGGGATGCGAAAAGGAGGAATTCTTAGTCCGGAATGGGTTGATGGTTTGACAGGACGGCAGATGAGTTGATGCGAGGTAAAGGAAGTGTGGAAGAAGAACAAGAGCAACAAGCAAAAGCCTGTAGCTGGATGGTGTCGAAATCATGGCTTATGACGCAGGAGGCATCCTGGCATGTGAACTGGCCATCGACCCCCGAATTGGTTAGAATGGTACTATTAGAATATCTTGATTGGCCAAGTGTTTCTCCGACGAGCTTGGAGGCTTCGCCATTGGACGACCAGGTCGACCCATCAACCCGAGACGCAACACGTGACATTGGTGTTAGAGAAGGATGACTAAGTCGACTTGACCTGCTGTACTACTTCTGTGGATACTACGTCGTGCCGGTGGTGGAACGGCTACTGCAAGTCGATCATGGGCTCCTGTGGCTATGCTATGCAGACCACCAAGTCGTTCACCATCTCAATCTAACCTAGGTACACCAATTCCCATCTCCAACGAGAACAGCCTGATATCGGATACTAGGTCAGTCCCAACGTTAGCCACCTTCCTCTTTCGGTGCCGATACTGCGATAATCATGACAATTGAGTTGGTTGATATGATTCGACTTCTTGGGTCGCATCCCTTCGAACTTTGAAATCATGACGCTCGGCCTTCTCTCGTTGCTGCTGCCGCTCGCTTTCGACAGACAAATACCAATTATCTGGACCCTTGAGCGTTGCTGGCCTTCATGATGACGGACTCTGAGAAGTATCGTTACACCGGCCCTGGGGATGATGAATTTGAGCCCGAGGGCCTTTCCGCAACTCGTAGCGGACGATATTCAAATGGCGCTCCTGCTGGCTATCACGGTGCGTATCAGCTTTCAAGACGTCGTCGACGGAACAATATGACTGACATGCCCACAGCTCACGACGTTTTTGGCAATGAGGAGAATGCTGCCATCAAATACAAGACTCTCTCCTGGCCACTGGTTGCAGTGCTCATGATTGCCGAGATCGTTAGCAACGGCATGCTCTCGCTCCCTGCTGCGACGGCTGTTGTTGGCATCGTCCCTGGGGTCGTCTTGATCGCTTTCCTAGGTCAGTCTGAACCCCTCACGATACTAAACCACCGATGCTGAGACCAATGGCCGTCGCTCCAGGCATATTCGCATTGTATACGTCTCTTATCCTGATCGACTTCAAGCTCAATCACCCGGAAGTCCACAACATGGGCGATGCCGGTATGATAATGGGCGGTCCAATTCTACGTGAAATCCTCTCTGCAGGAACTGTGATATTCGCCGTCTTCGCAACTGGCTCGCAGCTACTCGCTGGCCAGATCACGTTGGGAGTCTTATCCGAGAACAAGCTATGTCTGATGCTATACACAGGTGAATCCACTCTTCGTATCTCAGCACTAGGCTTATTCTTGTCCAAGGGATCTTTGCCATCCCGACTCTCGTCCTATCTTTCCCAAGGACGCTGGACTCCCTCTCATGGCTCTGCATTCCATCATGTATCTGCATCCTCGTGGCGGGGATCGTAGGTATGGGAGCAGCAGGCGGCCACCCAGCACCCGATCGCCATGTTGACATCGCTCGATCTGCAAGCTTTTACGACGCCTTTGTCTCAATAACAAATCCAGTCTTTGCATATGCGGGGCACTTTATGTTCTTCATTCTCATCTCTGAGATGCGGAGGCCTCAAGATGCTAAAAAGGCCGCTTGGGTCTTGCAGGTTTTCGCCACTACGTATGCATGCCTGATGCATCTTGTTGATTCTCCACGTAGCTAATTGTACTATTTGACAGGTTTTATATTGTCTTCACGGTCGTTATGTACGTCTATCTGGGGCCATCCGTACAGTCTCCCGCATTCTCATCCTTGCCTACAAAATGGGCCAAAGCTACGGTTCGTTTTGCCCGCTGACTTCTCTAACCGCAACCGTCACGCTAATTCGCCGTCTCGGGAATGAATAGTACGGCATCGCCCTTCCGAACTTCCTCATCGCAGGTTCCTTATACTCGCACACGGCCGCGAAATTGTTCTTCATCCGCTTATTTCGCCGCACCCGCCATCTGCACGAGCATACCGTCCTGGGCTGGACGACATGGACCATTCTAATTATCCTCGCGAACGGAGCCGCGTTCGTTCTCGCGGTCGGTGTGCCCATCTTTGCATATCTCGTGTCCATTGCCGCGAGTTTGTTTGCTAGCTGGTACACGTATGGCATTGCAGGAGCGTTCTGGCTGTATGATTCATGGCATGGTCTGGACAAAGGCCGCTTAAGGGGCGTATATGGCATCACAGCTTGGAAGGGGAGTCCATTCAAGACGGTCCTGAACAGTCTGACGTTCTTGGCTGGGGCATTTATTTGTATTGCTGGTGAGTTCCCTTTATGCCCGAAACCTTGCTTGCATCTTGTCAGAAATGACTTTCACGAATCCTCCGAGGCTAATAGTTGTTTCGTAGGAACCTATGTCTCCATCAAACTCATCATTGATGCGTATAGTAGCGGGAGTGTTGGCGCGCCATTTGCATGTTGACGTCCATATCGACGAGCAGAGTTGGAAATATCGTGATGTAGTGCAGTCTACAGCTATGCCACCGGTTACTACTACGAGGAGAGAGGAGTCCATCATTATCGCCATATCAACACCACGTGCCTACATATATGCTCGCCTCTTTGACCTTTTCCATTTCTATGCTGTTTCTTTCATGATTGAACCTGGAATCTAGGTGTAAACTTTCTACTTGACCATAACTCTGGCATTGGCACTTTCCACGCTCATGATTAGGAATGGATTAACCATCGGCCGATCCAGGCCCCTTGTTGTCGTTCCATACATTTATGTTTCCCAGGATTTTACACTGTCATCATGCGAACAAAAGTGTCGAGTATGAAAGCGGAAGAAAGTCAAATGTTGCTTGGACAGACAATGTCTTGGCATACGTAAGTCATAGTCACGACTTCGTCACCAACATCAATATCGTTACATGCTTCATCAATTTTTCCTCGGATGCGTGCACTTGAGGAATGATACATATCTGAGAGTCGGTGTTCGAGTACTGTGCTATTGCCAACTCTAGCCAACTCAACACGATGATGCTGTCACTCCTTACCCCATGCACTCTTAACTAGTCACGCTGTCTCGATGCATGTCAAAGGCGGAACGATACTTTCTTCCAGCATTTTCATGGCGCTTTCATTTTTGGGTGCCCTTCTTGGGTACTGGGTAATTCTGAAACATACATCTCTTGTCGTAGGGGTATTCGCATCTTCCTTCTCAAACGCCCAAGCGCCTTTGGTCAGCACACCTCATGCGCTTGACCCCAATCTTACAAACACCATCGCTTCCGAGTTGATCACGCTTTTCTATAACGGCTCAGGATCAGTACCTGAATACGATAGGAAGTCGCCTATTCCAGATCCAATAACTCCGCTTCCGTCAGAAGCGATCGAGGATTCACTGTTGTCACAATTGGTGTCCATTGCCGATACTTCTTTTTATCCGGACAATTGCACCAAATGCCTGGCAGCGACCCAGTTGCTCCACGCGACAGCCATTACCCAGCCAGTGTCGGTGTTTACCAACATTTTAATCAAGACATGTAATACTTTGCCGTTTGTTAAAGGCAGTATTCGAGCCAAGTCATGCGAAGCTGAGTTCGGAGGAGTGGCTTCTTTTGGCCCATACCTTGCCCAGTTATTTTCGAAAATGAGCTTTGCTACAGGAGATATGCATTACCTGTGCTCTAATCTCCAGCCTCTCTGCGAGCCGTTACCCCCAGTCCTGATTGATGAGGACCTTTACTTCGACCCAAAGCCAGAATCTTCAGAGATTGCACCAGAACCATCAGGAAAAACCTTTGACGTTCTTCATCTCTCGGATTGGCACCTTGATCCTCGTTTCGATATCGGATCCGAGGCTAATTGCACTGGTTACCTTTGCTGTCGCCCTTATTCAGAGAATCGTGATCTTTCAACCACCCGCCGGAACGCGTCTTTACCTGCCTCGAGATTTGGTTCTTTTTTCTGTGATTCTCCCGCTGACCTCGCACTTTCGGCTTTTGACGATATGGACAAACTGATCAACATGGACGAACTTGCCTTTAGTATTTTTACTGGTGACATCGTGTCTCACGATCCGGAAGACACCCTATCACAGGATTATGTTACTTACGAGGAGGAAATCACCTACTTGGTCTTCAAGAAAATGTTAGGGAGTACACCAGTGTATGCAGCGCTGGGAAATCATGATACTCTTCCTGTGAGCTTCAACACACAGCACAACATGAACTCTGACCCAAAAAATTCCAGCAGCAACGTATATCAGTGGAACTACGATCTCGTTTCATCGCTGTGGATGGAACATTCCTGGCTTAATGACTCAGAAGCATCTTTCGCGAGGACGCACTACGGGGCTTATGCCACGACTACGGCCCAAGGCTTACGAATCATATCTCTCAATTCAGATTTCTGGTACAAGGCAAACATATTCAACTATTGGAATGTGACGAATCCCGATCAAAGTGGTATTTTGAAGTGGCTCGCTGATGAGCTATCGGCATGCGAGAAGCGCGGACAACGAGCTTGGATCATCGCCCATGTACTGACCGGCTTTGATGGTACTGCGCCTTTGCCGAATCCAACTGCACTCTTCTATTCAATCGTACGCCGTTTCTCTCCAGCGACGATCGCCGCCGTCTTTTTTGGGTATGCTATTCTCCACAAATGTCGGACAAGTTTGAACTAATTCCACGCAGGCATACGCACCAAGATCAATTCCAAATATTCTACGACTACCTGCCCTCCTCATTACAGTCAACTGAAGATGCAAGCAGACCTGCAGCATTGCGAGATACTACACAAGTCGACTTTAGTAAGCCTTTGCAGGTTTCATATATTGGCCCCAGCATTACACCATTGACCGGGCTGAACGCTGGCTATCGAGTTTACCAGATTGACTCAGAGACGTTTTCCGTCATTAATTCTCAGACTTTCATTGCCAACATGTCAAACAGTCTGTCGTGGAAGAAGCCTATTTGGGAGTTCGAGTACGATACACGCCAGGCGTATTCTGAGGCGGCTGTGGATGACAGCCAGACGCAGGACCCTGAGAGCCTACAGTGGCCCGCCACGTCACCATTAAACGCTACATTTTGGCACCTTGTGACCGAACGTATGCGGAAGAGTCCGGAAAGTCCTAGTTCCTCTTCTCCCTCATTACTGGACCTGTACAACATGTACGAGTCAAAGTCCAGTTCAGCAACGACACGACGTGGGAATGATAACACCAGCCCGGAGCAGAAGGTCTGCTTTTTGCGCGCTGGCAGCGGCTGGCTAGGACATCAGTGTAAGGAGCACTTTGGGACCGATGCCAGAGGCGAGAGAGAAAAGGCGTTCGGACTGGTGTAGGCCAAGCCAGAAACGCAACTTTAACCACCGTCAAGACGATGTGACCGTCATTTTGAAGTTCATGCAAACACCCTTAACCATTAGCGCCACTCTGGACGAAGCTGCCTCCTATAGCCATGGGGCATTTCGACTTCATCTTTTTCCTGACCAAGTGGACCTACAGGAACGGCTGTACATTGAACAGTCCCTATACATTTGCATCATACCTTTATGTCTATTCACTGTACCTTAAAATACAGACTTCGACATCTACAACTTGTGAAATAACTGAAAATTGCCCACCGCAACTGTACAAAGCCGAAGTGGAGAGCTTCATTACAAAAAAACGGACGCAATTTTGCTACAGCAGTCTATGCCAAAGTCACACCCTACCTCTGAGTCCTTTTGCAGTTGCAGCCTTACTGGCAAATGCAATACAACCACCCACCAGACACATGGTCCCACTGAAGACTGATACCTCCCAATATCCTCCGTAGTGCTGGACAAGGGCACCATTGACTGGAGGACCGATCAAAGATGCAAGTGATCCTATGGCCAGACCCTGACCCATGAATGTGCCTGCCTCCTGAGGATTGGTGGTGCAAAGAGTGAAAGCTGCCGTGGCCCCCGAAATGATAGTTCCCGAGGCAAAGCCAAAGAAAATCGCATATACCACCAACCCCGCGGTGCTATCGGCCTTTGTTAGGCAGAAGATCAAGATACCTGTCGAGAGGCCACCTGCTGCAAATATGTTCAACCTTCCGAATTTGTCTGCGAGTATGCCGGGAACAATTCGACCAAATGTTGAAGCTCCATTAAGGATTGCGAGGAGATACGAAGCCAGAGTGGGGTCCATGCCTCTAGAGACTGCATATGATGGGAGGTAGAAGAGTGGCGTCCACATCCCGATGAACATGAAGAAGAGGGCTCCAATCAGCAGCACAAAATTCGCTTGAGTAAAAGCTCTCCAGATGAAGAAGGTCGTAGCCCGAGGCGGCAGGCGGGGTTTGACAATTATGCAAGCAAATGCCATCAACGGCAGCAGCACGAATCCCATGATGCGCACCGACCACCCGAATCCCAGAGAGGAATCGTTTAGCATCTTGGACAGGGCGATCGGAAAGACAATCCCTCCAATAGACGACCCTGATATTGCCAGGCCGAATGCAGCGCCTCGCTTTTTGTCGAAGTACTGAGAGAGCGCTCCCAATGGTGGGAAAGTCAACAGCCCCAAGGCCAGCCCCAGTAGGACGCCTTGAGCCAGCATGAATTGCCAGTACTCCTTACAGATGCTGACCATCATCAAGGCAAACACAAACGTCAGTATGGCTGGGCGGAGGATCTGCATGCGCGTTAGCACGCCCATTTGATGCCGAAGAAGCAAAACCCGACACGTACCCAGATGCCGTACCGATCAAAGATTGGCCCAGCAACCGCACCCACGGCGAACTGGAGGAAGGCTGCTATTGATCCGATCCAGGCTATGTCGTCCGGTGACTTGTCTGTCAATTGATGTGATAGATAATATTCTTCGAAAACGCCGAAGGCGTTGACGAAACCTAAGGCCGAGAATGTAATGCAAGCTGCGCCGACTGTCACAAGCCAGGCCTGGAGGCCGCCGTCAGGGGGAGGGTCGAATTCAGGTTTCGTCAGGTCGCCACTTTGGGACTTTTCTTCTTGCCCAAGTTCGGGATCGTTGGAGGGTGCTTTTCCTTCGACGCTCGGCGGCGTCGGGGTTGTTTCTCGTTGAGACCCCATGGTAGGAGGTTGAGGTATATCGAGCGACGTTTTCTTCGTGGCCTCGGTCTTTTGGGCTTGTACAATGGTGGTAGGGTCCAGGGTTTTTTTTAGACAAAGGCAAATCGATTGTGGTACGGAGCACTATTGAAGTTTTTTGGGAGACGGGAGATTTAGTTATATACGGTGCTGCTGTCTTGTAACTTCCGGTGCCTTGACTTCGGACTCGGCCTGACTGCTGGAAGTGTACCTAACGGTATAGGTTATCTCCGAAGAGACATATAGTCGTACCCTCCGCGGTATGGAATGAAGCTGATCATTGGTGGTATTGGGGTGTCGGCGATATGTATCTCGGATTACGTCAAAGTACAAGTTCCGGTACCGCTATTCTAGTTACCAGTTGGCTGTCAGGAAGTCCCGGCATATTGTCAACCATAAGTATCAAAACGCAGAATTACGTCCGGGCCGACTCGGATAATCCGACATTAAGACGACTGTTTATCACCTCTTCCTGCATCGCTCATATCAGACTATGCGACAAATAAGTCCCTCGCCGATGAATAATTTCTGTCTAGTAACCTCACCATGATCCTGAGCACGCCTTCAGGTCAGCAACAGATGTCCGAGTCCGAATGTCGCCGACAACAAAGGAGAAGAAGAAGACCAGCAGTTACATGCACCGTTTGCAGGAAACGCAAAATCCGATGCAACCGCGAGTACCCTTGTAACAACTGCACTCGTTCGAGGGATGCGGTCTGCGTCTATGAAGAGTACCCTCCTCTCAAACAGCGATCACTCAACACAGGAAGAGAGCCGACTGTCAACGTTGTTAGTGGCCAGACATCTCCTGGGTCGACGGGGAACCCCCCTAGCATAACAACAAGCAGCACCTCGACGGCTCCCTATCACCCTGGTACTCCATTGTCGACAACGACGGCGACGGCGACGAACCTCCCCATCGATACTTTGATGATAGAAAGTCCCACCAGGACACTGGACCAGAGTAGTCGAGACATTGCACCGGCACCTTTGACTCGGGAAATACCTGACCCTGCACAATGTAGACAGGACTTTTTCGGCGAACCTCGAATACTTGGACGGACGGTGTTTCACAAATCCCGCCAGTTCGGTCAGAGTCACTGGATGAATGGTGTTGCCATGGTACGTACGTGCGTGCGTTGTGTGTCTGTCTTTTTTGACCTAGACTCATTACCGTTTCTTTCATATTCTGTCGTACTCTTCATGCCTCCCTCTAACTTTCCACAATGTGACATGACCAGTTCGGAGACTTATTACGTCTCGTCGAGTCTTATATGCGCAAAGAACCCACGGTAATTCCAGCCGGGTTGCGACGGTGCAAGGCGTTGGCAAAAGTCATCAAATCATCTCGCTTACCAGCATGGCCGACACCGCTCGGTGATGATCTACCGCCGCGAGAGGTCGTGGAACATCTCATCGACAATTATCTCGGCACGATCGAATCTGTGTATAGAATCATACACATCCCCACGTTCAAAAAGCAAGTTGCAGCACTCTGGACTTCTTCTTCTTCTTCTGCTGCTGCTGCTGCCGACGGTTCAACTTCAACTTCAACTTCTTCTCGTCGCGACACCGCTTTCATGGTTCAACTAAAGTTGATCCTTGCCATCGGCGCCACGTACGACCAGAACTTTGGCATGCGCACGTCCGCTATGCGATGGGTCTACGAGGCTCAGACCTGGCTGAATACACCAAACTCCAAGATCCGGTTGAACGTGCAATCCTTGCAGATCCACATCCTACTGATCGTGGCACGAGAGCTCGTGGACGTCTGCGGAGACTTGACGTGGATCTCGGCTGGCGAATTATACAGACGAGCGATCTACATGGGTCTGAACCATGACCGCCCCAATCCTACCGGGTCGACGGTATTTGCCACGGAAATGCGCCGACGGCTGTGGAACACGATCCTCGAAATATCTCTGCAGTCGAGCATGTACTCCGGTGGCCCTGTGCTTGTGTCCCCGGACGACTTTGACACGGAACCCCCCACCAACCTCGACGATGTCCAATTGGAGGAAAAGTCTCCCACTGTCTGGGCCGAGGAGGTACATACTCAAGTGTCGACGTCGATCGCTCTGCGGAAATCTTTTTCGGTACGTCTGGCCGTCGTCAAGTTCTTGAACGATCTCAGAGTCAACGGCCGATATGAGCCGATGCTACAACTGGACGGGGAGATGAGAGTGGCATACAAGACTCTCACTCGAACATTGCAGGGCATGCTGTCACCGTCGTGGAACCGATCTGTACCCAACAACTTTGAACTTTTGACCACAGACCTCATGATGAATCGGTACCTGATGAGTTTGCACGTCCCGTTCTTTGAACAATCAATGCATGAAGCCGCGTACGCGTATTCGAGAAAAGTGGTACTCGAAGCTTCCTTGAAGATATGGTACATGGCCTACGGGTCATCCTCTCAGCAAGTGGGCGGACGTGGTATTGTCGGTACACCACAATCCACTCAAAGTCAGAGTCAAAGCACGTCATCAAATTCTTCACCAGGTCTCGCCGCCACATCCGTATCCGGATACGGCTTCCACCCAGTTTACCGGAGTGGTGTCTTCCAAGCGTCGTGTCTGGTGGCCGCCGAACTTCGTGCCCAGCTGGAAGAGCGTGACGAGGCCGGCATGGGCTTCTTCACGCCCTTACGGCCCGACTTGTTGCCCGTCGTGCAGGAAGCCAAGGCCTGGTGTCTCCGCGGAGTGCGCATCGGCGAGACGAACGTCAAGGGGTACTTGTTTTCTTGCCTGATCGCCTCACACATTGACGCCCTGCTGCGCGGTATGGACAAGACCGAAATCCCGGGGTTCTTGTTGCAGGGTGCAGAAGAGGCCATGAGGGAGAGCATTGCGATATTGGAGGATCATGCTGGTGTGAGTCACACTCAGAACGATGATCGTCGTGATGATGAGAATGGTAATGGTAATGAAAATCGAGTTGGAAAAGAAAAACCAAGTCGTCAGAGTTCGGTTTTGGCACCGTCGACGCTGTTGCCGTTTGATGAAACTCTTTTACAGGACGACAATGCATTCATGGTGGGTTTTCTTTTTCTCGTTTCTTTCGCCCCATCGATCCTACTGTGATACACTTACACTACACTTCCGCTTTTTCTCCCCGCCCCCCCCCCTCCCCCCCTTTACCTTTCCTCCTGACTTCTAGTTTTCCCCATCACCCGTTCAAGCATGGAACGTTGCAATTCAAGAAGAAAAAAGACCAACAAATAATGATTTGTCATGGCTAGACTCCAGATGGAATGTTCGATTTCGGTGACATGGGTCTTACGGAATGGGGATTCGATGACGACAACAACAATAATGTTGATGATGAGTATCTTGCTGATGTTTCCTTTTGGTGATTGATGGCTTTTGAGACCATACGAGCTTGTTACTCGTCAGTGTGGTGTAGAGAAATAGACATTATACGGGCTACTCGAGTCAAAAAAAAGGGATGTGGTGATTGAACATGAAAGGTTGTACTTAATATGGACAGTACACTTTCTGTAACGAGACCACGGAATGATCACCTCGTGAGTACCACGGGACGCATGATGACTGTGTATATGGTAGTAATAATAATAATAATAATATCATGTTCTTTGGCTGATTACTGCCTTTCCCTCCTGCCCTCGTATATCGAGTCATGTGAAAGCAGAGAGCAATGCTGTAACATTCACAGGTGTGTGTATCAACCAGTTTGGTTCTCACGACCGGTTTTGGGTAAGATGGATATACTAGACGAGACAAGCACACTTCTTTTTTCACAACTCATCCCTTTTCCGGCTCGACCCTTTGGTTTGATCCCACTCCGTCAACCAACCCTGGACCCGTTTGATCTCCCACTCGTGGGCCGCCCTTATGAAGTCCGGTTCACCACTGATGTTCAGGATGCCCGAAGAATCCCAGTGGTGACCGGCACCCGTGATGAGCATTTGGTTCTCTCCGTACCGACGGCTGGCGTTGTGTCCGTGGTAGCAAACGTCCCTCCAGACGTCACTGCCACCGTCGATCAGGGCGAGTCGAGGAGCCGAAATGTCGAAATCTCCGTACATGTGATACCAAGTCAGGTTGGGCCCGTTCGGAGGAGGTACGGCTTGAGGAGACAGAGGTCCCTCGGGGAAGGCCCAAGTGCACCACTGTTGGGTGTAATTGAGGTCGATGGCCCGTGACAACAACGAAGGGGTCCCGTGAGGTTGCGGCATCTGGTAGGCCCCCAATTCGCTACACGTCGAGTACAAGTACGACCGGGAGGCCGAGTTGGTGGGGTCTGCGTAGAATGTTTCTGCAAACGAGAACCAAATAGTCAGTGACCAACGACCAGAAAAAAAAAATTGGCTGTTTGAGTATTTGCAAAAGTTCAGAGGCATGTGTCCCCAAACTTACCGTTTTGTGTAGAAAAACATCCTGGTGTGGTGGTGTCGATCAGATCAGGACTTGGACATGCGGGTAGGATCACGGTCTTGACGTAATTCGCGTAAGCTCCTAGTCCTGTCCATGCCGAACCGTTGGTGTAATTCGACAATTGTGTGTCGACGGCAGTGATACTCGCCGGAGCGTTCATGTCGGTGATGTTGTTGCAAAAATTGAAAAAGTCGGGGGAGTCGTAAGCCGGCCACCAATTCAGTTCTTGCCATGTGTTTGTCGGGTAGTTCATTGGACCACCTATTGGGAATGCGATCTGGAACAGCAGATCTTGTCAGCTTGATATAAAACGCATGAAGACATCTTTTTCTCTCTCTCTCTGGTCCTCAACTTTGATGGGAAACTCCACACTCGACCAGATCAGATGGCAGGCAGGAAACAAAAAACCCCCTTACAGTCATTGCAAAGTCTCCCAAACTACTCAGAGACCCCAATCCAAAGATTTCTTTCACCTGTTGAACGGCTTTTGTGTTTTTGGTTTGAATCAAATGGTCAATCTTGTCGATGATTTTGTTGATCCTGGTGATGCAATCCTGAGGGCCGTTTTCCTGGATGGGGTTGTACCATTCCGGGTACCCGTGTACGGCGTGGACTACACCAGAGGCCGCGATGCCACCCCACAGGACATGGCCGTACTGGACGACGGAAAATGCGGTCTCGGCCCCTGCGAGACTCCCACCGTACAGGATCCACGGGGTGCCGGGGGCGGTGAGGTTGCCTCCTCCCGGGACGTTCGGGAACGTGGCGCGTTGAGCAAAATACGCATTGTCGGCGATGGTCTGTTCGTTGGTCAAGAACCTCAGGTTGTCGGTGCTCGAGTTCTCAAAGGGATAACTCTCGCCGTAGTACCTGTTCTCCAAAATCACCCCCAGACCGCCGGTGGCGTTCATGAGGATCTGTACGATACCGGTCTGGAGGTTGCTGAACCTCGACTCTCCGTTGACCTCGCCTCCGATGTACAGAAACACCGGACCCCCCGGCTTGTAGTACGTCGGGTCGAACCAGTACCTTTGGGTGAAGGTCGCGTTGGTGTTGGGTTTGTAGCGGGCCGAGTGTGGGAAGTGGTCGATCAATTGGGTGAAATTGTACGCCGTGTAGTTTGTCGGTCGACCATCTTCACCCAAAGGTCCGATCTGAGCTGCGGTGAAGCCAGCAAAGGCTGTCGCCGTGACCGTGGCGAAGATGCTGGACAGACGCATGATTGTTTTTGGACGGTCCGACAAGATCAATCAGTCTTTCTTCAGAGAAGGTTGAAAACTGATTCGAGCAAGTTCAACAATAAAGAAGTAACATTTCGATTCTGTCTGGTTTTATACGGGGAAAGTCAAAAGAGGTGACATTTTCGGTTTCTGCCTGTCTTTTAACTGGCTTCCCTCGCTACAGTCCATACCACCACGGATCGTCGTGATACGAGTACGTCCGGCCGTTGTACCACACGACACAATCCCCGAGCATCACCATGCGTGAATGTAGCGCCGCCAGGTACGTCATGTGGAGATGCAAGGGGATGAGAGAAACATTGCTCGTATGCAAAAGCTAAGAGAAAGCTTGCTGATGCTTGCCCGGACGTTGGGACCTTGTTGCGATAGCTATCAGTGCCACCCGGAGCTTTGTCATTGGTTGTGATCCCAACGTTACCTTTTGCCCTTGTGACGAAGATCTTGACCAGGCCTGGGATGGAAGAAGTGCGGGAACGGCGAACATGATATCCAGGGTTGCATTCTGGGAGGCCTTGGGGCTCATTGACTCATTCTTCGGCAGAGCTAGGAACACACTAAGTAATCGTCACATACCGTACTCAACTCACCTGGGGATCTAGGGAACGCCGCAAGGATCAAGGCTCTTCATCATCGCGTGATACCCTGGGAGGATCAAAGGATCGCGGATTTTACCGTTCGGACGCTCTACCAAGGTAGATACCATTATCAGACGGTGTGACCTTCGATAAGATATGATTCGATGGTCTAGACAGAGCGATGAATTGTGGTGATAATCAGAAGAAGCTCTTGGTCGGTTGGAGTGATGAGGATGGCGAAACAGGTTCTATTCATGTACAAAACGGCAACGCGCCATGTCTATGACAGTTTTGATCGTTGACAGGTCTAGAAATTCTACTAGTAAACTTCAAGAACGTATCTTCCGTCGTCCTTCAACTTCATAATCTCTCTGGCTGAATCAACCTTCTTAGCACCGGCAGCCTTTGCATCCTTGGTGATGGCCTCCTCCAAGACATTCGTCACATCGGGAACAGGCCAGGTTGGACCACAAAGGTAGAACGCACCCTCTTCCTTGATGTAAGCTTGAGTGATATCATCCAGAGTCTCCCTCATCCTATCCTGGATATAGATCTTTTGAGGTTGATCACGAGAGAACGCTCGTCCTAGCAGGGTAATCACACCAGCAGCCTGGTATGCCTCCCACTCTTCACCATAGCAGTACTCCTCACGTTGGTGTCGCGATCCCATGTACAGCAAGACAGACCCGATTTCTTTGCCCTGGGCCTTCTCCATGGCGCGGTGCTGCACGAAAGCTCTGAAAGGAGCAAGACCTGTACCCAGACCAGCCATGATGATAGGTTGCGTCGACTTTGGAGGTAGTTTCATGACGGATGGCTTGACGCTGACAGTCACAGGAGCACCGACCTTGAGGTTGCTCAAGTACTTGGTGGCCTGGCCGAAACGGTCACGGCCCTTGGGATCGACCCAGTTGACCACAACGACCATGAGTGCGACCGACGTGGGTGTGACAGCCTGGCACGATGCGATCGAGTATTCACGACGCTTCATCGGCTGGACGATGCGCACAATGTCATGGAACGATGGGTGTGCTGATGGAAACTCAAGGAGTACATCGGCAAATGTCACAGTATCGACTTCAGCGCGGCGTTGGAACTCCTTGAATCCCTCTGGTCCGGCAAGAGTGAGCAGGTTCTTCTTCTCATTCTCATCGTCCGCAAATTCAGCAAGCGCTTCATAAAATTTCTTGGGTGGACGGCCGAAGATGTCAACGTTCTGCATCAGAGCTTGGTAGATGGTCCTGTTCTCAAAGATCGATGGGTCGTCTCGGGATGCAACTTCGACGACATCTTCAGCATTGAGGTCATACCACTTGATAAAGTTCATGACCTGATCATGATCATTTTCGGCGTGGACACCGAGCGCTTCACCAATGTCGTATTTGAGACCTGAAGTACCGAGGTCGAATTCAATGTGGAAAATGTTTCGCTCGTACGTGATGGGCGTGAGACGGCGATTCTCCTTGACGCGCACGGTAAATGTCTTCGTTGGCAGCTCTGGGCGCAAGGTGTTTGCGGTTTGGTACGCCTCCTTGAACAAAAGGCCCTTGGCTGCTTTTTGCCAGCTGCGAAGGACAGAAGGAGGTTCTTCTTCAGTCTTGTCGAATGGTGCGAAACTGTTTGATAGAATGTCGGTTGCGAGGCTTTCCCTGATCTCAGCCTCAAGCTCGGTCCATTCCTTAGGCACCTCGATCTTGCGAAGAGTATGTTCTAGATCAGCGGCAACTTGCTCGAGAGTCTTCACATCGCTGTTGATGGTGGCGAGCTTCTGGAGACCAATCTCTTCTGACTTGCCAAGTGCCACGCGGAGGAAAGCAGTTTGAACTGTGAGAGTCTCAAGTTCGGCGTCTTCGGTGTTGAGGCCAGTGTTCGCCGAATTGATGAGGTATAAGTTGAGGGCATTCCCGGCGACGGATTTCTTGAAAGAGGTCGGAAGTTTCTTCTCAACATCTTCGTCCTTGATGCCTGGAAGCAGCAGGATGACATTGCCACCGCTCTGAACGGAGTTCAGAACATCAACCTTCTCCAGGAGCTTGACGTCGGAAACCACAATAGTGTTCGCTGCAGTGACAGGGTACGCGGCGTCAACGGTCATCGAACCTTTGCGGATGTCAATCCTGTGCGCGCCACCCTGCAAGAGATTGTCATGGGTAGTGTTGACAGTGACATTTTGAGCCGAATCCTTAGCGAGAGCTTGAGCAAGGAAAGATGCCGCGGCCGCGGACGGCGCATCATCGACATTCCAGAAAGTGTATTGCTGCACCGAATCGTCGAGAGACGAGGCGAGGCCTTGATCATCAGGAGTTTTGCCAAGCAGTCTCTGGAATGTAGCCGAGATAGAGGAAGGTGTCCAGCGCTCAGCACGAGCATACTTCACCTCGCGGACCTCGGGTACATCATGAAAGGAACTTCCGTAGGAGACGGACGCCAGGACATCTTCGAAAAGCTGTGAATGTGAGCCAGCTTCTTGAACAGCCTGGGCATCAGCAACCTGTCCGAGGACGCCCACGACTCTGACACTGCTAGGCAAAAGCTTCAAGAACTTGTCCTCAGCGAAAGGTCGATAAAGTCTGACATTGATGGCGCCAACCCTGCTACCGGATCGAGCCAAAGAAGCGGCGGCCTGAGATGCCAAAGACGACTCGACTGAGCCAAAGGTGACGAGAACCACTTCTGGTTGTTCGTGACCAGAGTACTCAAAGGGCTTGTAATCCGTCCCGAGCTCTTCATTCAATGCCTTCAACGTCTTGAGGGCTCGACCTTCGGAGGTCATGTGCTTTCGGTCCTCTGCGGGAACAGCATTGAGAACCGCACGGTATGCAGCTGCGAGACCAGACTTATCGAGGATATCGATGACTCTAGTGGTCTCCCGGCCGACCCTCTGACCGTCATACACGTGAAGCGTGGGAAGGTCTTGCGCCAAGAGGGTCGCAAGGAGCGACATATGTTGCGCCTCATGAGCAGATTGTGAGGCCACCAATCCCAATCCCAAATCTTCCGCTGTGGACAGGGCTGTAGCATAGTCGGAGACCAGTCCACCGTCTTGTTCGCCCTCATAGTCCAAGGCTGCAATGTGAGCGACAAATGGGTTGCTCACAGAGTAGAGGAGAGAGAGCTGGTCGAGTACAGGTCTCAGAAAGGTCAAGGCTGACGACGGGGCAATCAAGCCCTGCGGGATATGTCTCTTCTTCAGGTCGAAGTCTTTGGAGAACATGTAGCCGAGAGCAATCGACCCTGCTCCGTTGCGTATCTGCATGGACTGGACAGCAGTCCGGTAGCCGTTCGCGTTCGTCTCTTGCGCCTCGGCCCACGCGCGTGCTGCAACATCGAGGTCGAAGGTCTCCGGGGAGTAGGAAAAGATCTTGTCCGAGAGAGTATAGGCGACTTGCTGGACAAGAGTCTGAGCAGTCAGGTAGGTAGGTCCTGCAACCGAAGCCAGGGGCGGCGACTGGCCGAAAGACTGTCTGTTTGAGGAGGCCATTTCAACTTCAGATCTCGATATCTCCTCTACAAGGCCACTGTTCAAAGCAAGGGCCTAACTGTGACTTCCTGGAGGATGGGAAAGACGGAGGAGTGAGGAGGAGGTATTCGTTCTCCTCCGTAAGAAATAATTTCAAATCCACGGCGCCCGTCCGGGCGACATCGCCCGCTAGCCACAACATTTTCCTGCGCTCTGGACCGGCAGTAGATGAGGTGATGCTGCCAACTGAGAAAAAAAGTGGAAAGCGTCGATTGCGTGCTCGAGCACGTGATCAACGCTTGACAAGGCTGAGGCTAGAGTCAAGAAGATCGCCACAAGGCTGAACTAGGCCATAATGAGCCTAGATTCAAGGACGCTTTCGATGTACGCTCTTCATTCGGTTCAAGGCTATTTTTGCAAGTGGTTGTCTGCCTCGAGCTCAACATAAAATCCGTCGACTCGACATGACAAGGTGAGAAAGAGGTCGAAAACCACTGCTGGTTTTGGCAGTGTAGCTGACCTCAATGTCGATCAATCTTAAGGAAAGTTGGACGCCTTACTCGCCTGTAAGGCCAAGGCCAGTTTGTGCCACGTTGAAGCCGATGTTGCTCGGGGTTTGTGGAACGTGACACTGTTATAACTATCTCAGCATGTTGTCGCTCTAGAAACATTCTTTAATCTCACCTGTTGAATAAAGTGTTATCCTCGCCTCATTGAGCCATGGCGACCATGACTGATCAAGTTTGTCGATTCATCTACCCTGTAAAGACGCCCAACAGGCCACCACGTCCTGCAAATTATCCGATGCAAGTCCTGGCTCTCGGTCTTCCACGTTCTGGCACCGACTCTCTGAAACTCGGTTTGGAAAAGCTCGGATACCACGACATCTGGCACGGCTTCAACCTGCCCTCTTCGCGTGCCAATGATTGTCCCCTGTGGCTCCAGCTGCTTCAAGCCAAAGAGCGCGGCGACCAGCGCTTGGCGGAAAGTTTCGACTGGGATAGGCTGCTCGCCGAGTGTGACGGTATCATGGACATGCCTCCGCTGCTGTTCGCCGAGGAGTTACTGGACTTTTACCCTCACGCCGCGGTCATATTGAACAGGCGAAGAGACATGAACGCATGGCACCGTAGCCTGAACGAAGCAGTCGGGATGACCATTGGGAGTTGGATCTTTTGGGTTTTGAGCCGTTGGGATGCCAGGATGTATTGGTGGTATCGGACAGTGGTGCTTAGCATCTCAATGATGGGCAAAGGACCAGGAGGATTCCAGCAAAACGGCAAACAGTGGGCAGAGGATTACTATCAAAATTTGGAGTCCAAATTGAACAATGAAGGGAGAAAGTATCTAAAGTGGGAAGTACAGCAAGGCTGGGAACCGCTATGCAAGTTTCTGGACAAGCCAGTGCCAGACGAGGAGTTTCCGTGGGAGAATAAGGCCGGAGCGGAATTCCAGAAGAAGGTCGAGGCAGCCGGAATCCGTATGGCCATCAGAGCCTTTCGGAACATGGTGATAGCAGGGGTGATCGTTGGTGGTAGTCTAGCCTGGTGGTGGGAGTCGGCATGATCATCTTGGACGGTCTTGACTGGAGAGCAGTGACCAGCAGGATGTATTGGACAACGACGTCAGTTTACATTCAGACGAGGCAATCGAGTCGGAGATTCGTGCGTCGAACAGAATTTCCAACCTGTTTCGCCGATCGACATTGTGTGGTCATCCAGTAGCATGCTGTGTCAGCAAGCCCTTTATTTCGCTCGATTGACGTTTAGCTCGCGTTGCACCCGTTGAAAAGACGAGTACGGGTCGAAGCGAAGCGATGATAGAGGTTCAACTATACCGTGCTCGTAGTCCCATACGAGATTAATCATGTCTTTTTGATGAGCGCATTTTGTAAAGAGTTAATTACCGTGGAATATTCTTGATGCCGAGGTTTCAGCGTAAGTGCGTAGCAAATGCCTGAAAACAAGAGCGGTAGAACTTTGTCCGCGTTCATCCGGGGGCTTTGACGTTATCATTTCACAACCAAGATCCGGAAGTAGGCAGACAGCAACAGCACGCAAAGATAGGTATATAAAGACCCGGCCTTCTGCATCTCCTGAAACTTGACAAGAGACAAGCTTCATACTACGAACATACATCACCTACTCCGTTCCCACCACGCATACGGAGTACCGTCTACAGAATACGCTCACAAGAACACAATGGCTACCGCCCTCGTTGTTGGCTGCACCGGCCTCATTGTGAGTCTCTCCCCAAAACTTGCTCTTTTCCATTGCGAGGCGCATGTGAGAGAGCGTGGGCGGGATTTCCTAACGTGTGTCTTTCTGTCATTTAGGGATCCCATATCCTCTCGATTCTTCGCGCCGGCGGCAGTCCATCGCAATACACCAGCCTCGACACCATCGCCCGCCGCTCACTCCCAGCCCCGGCCGAGTCTGGTGTCGTCCCCGTGAACGAGGTGCTTGAAAAAGACACCACCAAATGGGGCGAGCACATTTCCGCACTCTCTCCTCCCCCAGCGGCCGTCTTTTACGCACTGGGCACGACTCGAGCGGCAGTGGGCGGCTTCGAGAACCAAAACAAGATCGAACACGAGATGAACCTCCAGGTCGCAAAGGCTGCCAAAGAAGCGGGGACAAAGACGTACGTGCTCATCAGTAGCACGGGGGCCAGCGCAGGCTCCATGTTCGGATACCCCAAGATGAAGGGCGAGATCGAAGACATCGTCAAGGCTCTCGAGTTCGAACACACAATCATCGTCCGCCCGGGTCTCATCGTCGGCGAACGTGAACAGAGCAGAGGTGTCTTCGAGGCCGGCCTGAGATCTTTCGCGAATGGACTGGGACATCTACACAGCTCCTTCAAGGATTCCTGGGCTCAAGACGCAGAGACGATTGCAAGAGCCGCCGTCGCCGCTGCAGCCGAGGTCGAGAAAGGTGAGGTCAAGGAAAAAGTTTGGATCCTCGCACAAAAAGACGTGGTCCGTCTGGGAAAGACGGACTGGAAGGCATGAAAATCTTGTGTGAGTACGACTAGTATTGGTTTCACGAAGGGGAGTTTGTTTTTGGGACTTTTTTTCCGCGGCCTGTGATACCCCAGTTTTTGAATATCTCATGTAACCTACAACTAATGTCCTGATACATAACTGTCGACTTGGTTTTTTTTTCCGCCAACGAGAATGATATTGGAAAACATATGTACAAGGACCCCCCCCCCAAAGTTTTAGCCCGTGCAGCAAACAATCACACACTCTGTTCTCCTTTACCGGCCTCACCACCCCCGGCTCGTCCACCTCCTCCCTCGGACATCTTCTTCTTGGACCCACCCTGCTCTTCCGCCGTCGGCTGGCTGAGGTCCGGGTTGGCGGGGCTAGAGTCCAAAGGGTTGACCTGGTTCCCTTCTCCGGCCTTCTTTCGAGCCTCTTCCGGGTCGGTGATGTTGGGATCGAAAGCCGCCTCTTCGTTCGCCGCCGTGGTGTCGTCGGTGCTCGACTTGGCGTACTCGTTCGCCTCTGGGTTCATCTTTTCCCGGTCCAACTGTGCATCTCGCTGAGGGTGTGGATGACGATCAGGATCTTGACCTGACGCGAATCCATATGGGGCGGTTGTGGATAGCGGTCGAGCGTTTGCTCTGCTTCTTATCGTTTGAGAGGAAGGAAGGGATAATCTCGAGGACCTGAAGCCCCTTGAATATCGGAGGAGTGATGAGAAGGGTGTCATCGTACTCGTGGTAGACTGTGAGTTCTGTGTGATTCCGGTAGGTAAGGAGGTAAAGATATACGGAGTAGTGCTCGATAGGAGCACCTGTGGACGACGAGAACGACTTGTCAGGTATTTAGTTGCTTCCTTATCTCTTTCAGGCTCTTACAACCTTCAATCACAGCATTAAATTTGTGAGAAGAGAATGAAAGGGTGCAAAACATGTTCAACTGGTGTCATTGATTGTCTTTTTGCACCACCTACAGCGTATAAACGCAAGTGACGTCAAGTGACATGGAGACGGATGTTTTCTCCAGCTACAAAGGAACGAGTTGTCTTAAGATTCCCCCACAATCTTCTCCTCGTACGGATAGCCATCAACATTCCACTCCCATAACAAACAATTTGGCCAGGCGCGTATTTCATGGCTAGTTTCGTGCCTCCAACGGCAAAACATGTGGCGTGGGACCTTCGGGCACGACACCGGCCGGGTTCAAAATGGTCAAACTCACGAAATAATGGTTCTTGATATGCTCAAAACTGGTGGTGTCCTTGAAAGCCGGCACGGTCCAATACAAGTTCCTCAACCATTTGTGGATGTTAGGGTATTGATACCGAATCATGCCCTTGTTCGTCTTGAAAAGAGACACGTAGACCGGGTCGAATCGGATCATGGTGACATACAACCGAATATCTGCCTCTGTGATCTCGGCACCGAAATAGTAAGGTCCAGGACTGCTACGTGAAGCAAGATGAGATTCGACCTTGTCCAAATGATTGAACAAATTGCTGACGGCTTCGTGATACACTTCTTGTGTTTTGGCCAAACCACATTTGCTGTGGGTGAATCAACAACCCCGGTGGTCAGCACCTCAGTTGTCTGGGTAAGGAGTATGTAGGAGGTCAAGAGATGGGAGGTAGTAGGGAAGTCAACAAGTACTCACTAAACTCCATTATTGATATTCTCATATGTCCAACCATTGGCTTCGTCGATCTTCTCCCTCAATTCCACAGGATACAAATCCACGGCTCGCTTGTCTTCCGGCAAAAGGTCGTCAAACTCGGTGTAAAGCATACGGATGATTTCGCTACTCTCGTTGCTCACGATGGTCTCGAGTGTCTTGTCCCACAACACGGGAACGGAAAATCGTCCCTGGTAATCCGGGTTGGCTCTCAGGTACAACTCCTTGGGTCTTTTGACGTCCGAGTGCAAAGGGTCAGGAGTACAGTCGTCCATTGGAAGTTTCTCGTCGGGTGTGACGAACCGCCAACTGTCCGTCAGTGACATGTGCCAGTGCACCGACGTGACCGATATCAAAGACTCGAGACCTTTGAGTTTCCGGACGATCAACGTTCGGTGAGCTTTCGATACTGGTCAGTCCGTCTGATGTCCACTTTGGGACTTGTTGTATGTCATGCATGTGTGTCATGTTTGTACTCACCCCATGGACAGGCATAAGACACGTATAGATGGTATCTATATCGACGCCAGAGAATCAGCCTGGGCCCTTTCTGTCTCTTTTTTTTTTGGTTACCAACGAACCTGTTCGCTTCTGGAGGGAACCTTGCCCCGGGATCTCGAGAGATGAAATTTCGAAATTGAGCCGGTGGTCGAACGAGTTCGCCCTTCTTGCCCCATAAACTTGCTGGGAGGGAATTCGTAGTCGTATTCGAGTTCGAGTTCGAGTTCGAGTTCGAATCCATCTTGAATTGTTCCTAATTAACCAAACTATGACTAACCAATCCCGACTTCATTGTTTGCTTGTACTGATATTGTAAAGTGATTAGGCCGAGTCGAGGGTCAGCGGTGCCCTTTTTATTGTTAGAAGATCATCCGTACTCGATGGTCCTGCTTACCACCTTCTTACGAACCATCAACCCCCCCAAAGTACGGGAGCACGAGTGTACGGAATACTCCAAAAAGAACCCACTTCCATAGAAAGGTGCGATTGTAATTGGTCATATTGGTTTCGTAAACACTTGACCTTCTCTCGACCGAGACATCACGTGAACGATACACGCTGTACCAGTAGGTGTTGTTAATACCTCGATATTGTAAATAAAGAAGGGAAAGAGGGAACAGTTTCAGGAAAGGTTACCACTTGCTTTGTCATATCCGGGTACATTTCTATCCTTACAATGTCCAACAACTGACTATAATCCAACATACTTGGTGAGAGGTATTGTACATCCGTATCCCACACAAGAACAAAAACAGCACCCACTTCGTCGTAATCAATACTTGAGACGAATGCCATTTCTCTTTTCCTCTTCCCGATGTTCAAACATGACTTGAACACCGACGAAGAGCGCTCCGCAAGCACCAAGCATGAACATCGCACCCTGCCAACTCCCAATGATGCCGTGGACGAGACCCATCAGCCCATCCAACCCGACGGCAAACCCTACGAGATTCGCCGCCATCATGAGGAGGATATTGGCGACGGCGCCTATTCCGCAAATGATCCGGTAGGCGGTCGGCCTGTTCTTCCACTTGGATTTGGGAAACGCCATGCTCCCCAGAACTTCTGGCAGGACGAACAACGTGACGAGCCATCCCCACATCAGCAGCCGTAGATTGATATCGTGCCATAGCGCCACGAACGTAAAGACGGCGAGCATATTGAGCAAGCCTCGGACCACTCCAGACCCTCCACCAGGACCACCGCCGAGTGGGATGTAGACGTAGCGGACCGTCCATCTGTTGAAACTTCGGTGCCACGATCGCCAGAACCCAAAGGCAGAGTAGTTGTCGCTCATGCACCGGACCATGTTCTCCGGCGGGTCTATGCCGTCAATCAATGCCCAGAGTCTGAAAAAGCGCCATGGGATCATCAGCTTCAACCAGATGATGTGCAGGTTGAAATACGCTAGCATGGCAAGCTGGAATGGCGTGTACGTAGACCAGTCAGGTTTGACTTGAGAGATTGCCACCACATACGCCGTGTGCAGGAGAAACTCCATGCAGAACAGGGTGAGCAGGAAGCGTATGCCGTAGAGTGTTGTGCGCCTGGTCGTGATCGACGGTGCTTGGTACGAGGATTGGGAGATATAGTCGTTGAAAGTCAGAATAGGTCCAGCGAGGTATAGTGGTGGATATAGGATGTAAGCGATGTAGATGCGGAATGACGCGAATGTCCACGCCGGAGCGGGCATGGCGACACGGTCTCGCTCAGACAACGCTGCGGGGTCAAGTTGTTTCTTCTTGACATTGTCAGTGCTCAGGATCTCCTCGGTGTGTTGTTGACGGAGCACGGGAGAGATATGGCTTACCTCGATGGGACTCCCAGCCCGAGACCTGTCCAAGGACCAGTAATAGTCAAAGTTGAACGAGATCATTCTCAGGATCGTGATTTTGAAAAGAACCTCCCATCGCGGGTTGAGTCCACCATATGAGTCGAGTGTCTTTCCCCATTCGACGGCAGAAGGGACAAAATGGGCTAGAGCATTGCCTACGCTAGTGTAACGATAGCCTTGCGTGAGCTCGTTTGCGAAGAGGATCGTAATGTTGAACACCCAAGTCGTTACTGGAACAGCGTTCCGAGGAAGAGCCGTTGCGATTTTGTAGTTGACGAGGAGGATCAGGAGGATCTTGAGCATAGACGTCCCGTTGAGAGCAGATATATAGATCAAGGCCGCCCAGAAATCGAACGAAGTGCGTCGTCGGAGCCGCTGTTCAGCAATGTGAGTGCTAGTGATTTGCTTTGCGTCGTTACTGCCGGTCAGGGTCGACGGAGTTGAAATCCACTCATATATCCGCCGTAGCATCGGATGGACAACAACAAGAACGGCAAGGTATGGTATGTTGTCCCGGAAGCTGGCATATTGGCCATCTGAATTGTCCTATATTCTACATAAGCCTTGCTGGAATGGATTGAGATGGTTGAAAGCATCTACGTACCACTTTCCTACCAAACAGCCAACCCTGTGAGAGCAAATGTTCGTATTTTGAGTAGTTGGGGGACTCAGCTATACCACCGCCGTCAGATTCTCCTTCGAGATGTGTGCCGACATGAAGCCTGTGGATTGTGTCTTACGCTGGGAAACCTCCACTACAGCCCAGTACATCTGCGGCACGCAGAACAGAAACACCAGGGCATAAAAGTAGAACTCTGGTGTCCGCCATTTTGAGGGAGAGATGTCTGTAGGTGTGCTGGGTTTTCCATCTTTTTCAACTGTCGCCTTGTTCGAGGCATTCCCGTTCACATGTTTCAAGGAGGTCGAGGAGGAAGTGGTGAAGCGGGTGTCAAGTATGTCGAGAGAGTAAAGCTCCTTGAAAAATGAGGCGATGGTCATTTTGTGCAAGACATCCTACCACCATACAATCTACGGTAGTAGCTCGAACGCAGTTGGAACAGATTATGTGTAATGTCTAGAAATGTTCTTTGGGCTTCGCGCAGTCGCGTGTTTGAGATGCTAAAGCAGCAACCTCGGTAAGTAGCCCTGCTGCTTTTAATAGAATCTATCGAACTATTCTGCACAACTCCTGTTCTTGTCAGTGTCCGTTGGCAACTAGAGCATGGACACTTAGAAAACGAGCATTGTACCGAAGAACTTGACTTACGGGCGCCGTCGTTCGGGTGTGTGGTAAGGTGCAATGGGTCAGAAGGAGACTCGAGAAGAGACAGTTCGACTTTGTCGGTTTCGTGGGATACACCTAGACTCGGGGGTTCCTCTTGAAAGCTAGCGTGGATGATGAAGGCGACGAATTTCATGATGAGGTTCGTTTTGATAACGAAATGGACATCGGGGTAAGAATTCATCAGCCGGAGAAGTCCCCGTGTGTTCTCATTGATCGTCCAACAAGCCCGCACGAGCAGCATACGTCTGCTTTTCCCGTCGAAGAGTTGCAAAATAGTACTTTCAACCAATCGCCAGTGGGAAGATCAAGTGACGTTCGTGATTCGAGTCGTATAAAAGTATTACTCTGGGCCTTGTGTAGACCAACGAGGCAGTGCTCGCTCGTCAATTGTGCCAACATGCAAAACAACAAAACAAGAGACTTTTTTCATTTCTTTCATTAGAGGTACTGTCATAAGGAATTGCGGTGTCCTAGACGACGTACCTGCAGGTTCTGTACTGGAGAAATCACTTGCCCGCCCCTTTCCACTTGTGCACACCTCGTACATATTGTATGGCTGGGCGATTCTCGTGGAATGATATAGCCTGCTAGCGACCACCTCCGGTCTGAGCACCTGATAGCTCGGCTGGTGATCATGATCTTTCGTCTCTACCTTTTTAGATCTCAAAGCGCTCGCACGACCTGTGCACCTGGATTTGGGTTTTCATCCTGACAACGCCGAGGTCGGGGCCTGTGACAATCCAAAAGAAAACCTGCCTGCCGCATGGATGCAATTTCTTGACACCGCCAATGACCCTTGACTAGTATAGACACAACAACGGCTGCCTGCGTGCCATCTTGCCCATATGAGCCATGAATCGCGTGCCTCGTTACAAACGTTCTTCAAACCATCATGTCCACCTGTTGAGCCTAGAAACCCCTTCCTCGTCCTCGTCCGCGGCCCCCGCCACGGCCTCTTCCTCTCGGGCCGCCTCTGCCACCTCTGCCGCCGCGGCTTTCTCCTTCTTTTCTCGCTTTATTCTTGGGCTTGGGTTGGTCGTCAATCAGGAGCGTGTCGAGTGGTAACGAGTCTGGGAGGATGAAGTATCGAATTGTCGAGCCACGGATGTTGATCGTGTCCAAGGAAATGGTCTCACCGGGTACTGAAGCGTTGGCGCGGTTTCTGGGAGTCATCTTGACAGCGCGAAGAGCGGTGTTCATTTGTGGAGAGACGGAGGTGATGGTGCCGTGGACGATTGTCCCATTCTTCAGTTCAATCGTCACCGTCTCGTTGGCGCATTTCATAAGAAATCTACCAGCGCAAGGTTAGCATGCCTAATCCCTGTGTTCGGTGCCAGAAAATGCAGACAACGTGTCTTGCGGAAATAGAAAGGCCATACCTGACGAGCTTCATGTTGATGTGGGTTGGCGGTCCAAACGCGCCAGGAATTGCTAATTGTCGTAAGGAGTCTGGCGCAAGGGAGTTGGTGCCACCGACGACTGTTTTGTCTACCTAGATAGGTATCTTGCAATCTTGGGGTCGTTGTTGTTAGTGGTTTTATTGTCTGTGCCGCTCCGACAGGTCTTGCACAGCCTTGACAGTCAAACTTTCAGCGCCAAGGCTCATACCTATTCTGGCAGAAAATGATGCCGCTCTAGACTCAAGGACCGCAAGGCTGTCAGCGAACTTTATAAGCTGTAGTCAGACCCGGACTTGACACTTTTGAACATAGATCGTCTATTGAAACCGCATTGATATAGATATTCCGGAGTTCTCCAGAGTTCCAATGCTCGTCCTTTCCTCTATTTAAGACCATGTTGCCCATCGAAAATCCCAAAATAGTCCCGCTCTTTTATATCCGTCCATATGCTTCGCTAAAACTCAAAGAAAACAGCGACCAACTTTCAGCTCCGAAACATCTTCAGAACATGGAACTTAAGCCAGCCGTAACAAATGCAACGAGCATTAGCACACTCAACCCACCTCCGGGGTTACCTCTGAAGCTGAAAGCCCCATCTTCATCTCCTCCGCTACCACTTCCACTTCCACTTCCACTTCCAGAGCTGTTGCTCGAATTTACCAGGACAACACTCTCGTTGTGGCCATCAAGAGCCAAGTCGAGTCTTTCGTCCGTATAGCCCAGTACAGTAGCCACTACCCATTTCGACGCGACGTGGGCGTATTCGTCATAGTAGCTCCAATGGGCGGTAATGTTGACAGGCTCACTGCCAACTGCACAGACGGGGTCGCCATGATTGCACCAATTGGCCATGATGTCGTCGAATTTGTTGAGATCGTCTAGTTGTTGGCCCTTGCGTCCTAACTCGCCCGTGTAATTCGAGCCACGGCCAATATTATACGGCTGATTTGCGGTGTTACGAGGATTGCCCATGGTCACCACGGCGGCAACTGTGGAAATGTTAGTCATGGCTTTGTTGAGAGTTGGATGACATGTTCAGGAGACTAACCATTTGAGCCGGGTTTGGTGTCCCTAGGCAGCGGCGGATTATCGGGCTGCTGGCACCCAAACAGCGTGCCACCGCCACCCCCCAAGATATCACTAGCGACATTTGCACCCTGGGAATAGCCCATCAAAACCAAGCGCGAATCTGGACACTTTTGCACATATCCGGTCATCTGATCTACAGCGGCAATAGTGCCGACGTGTGCCGACGAACAGTAATAGCCAGAGTATGAGATGTTGGCCGGGTAAGCGACATCTTCGTAGTCGCAAGACAAGCCTGTCGGTTCAAAGTACGAACACATGATGCCCAACATGGCTCCTCCACGCCCGGGGTAAGGCTCATTCGAACCCCGGAAACTGAATATTCGGATGTCGCTGCAGTCGTCTGGAATATGTGGAATCAGATTGTACCCATCATCCTCTGCATCTGCGATTTCATACTCGCTTCCTTCTTCTGGCACTGGTTCGCCACCGGTATACTCGGGGTTCGGGTCTGTGCCTTGCACGAGAGCAGCATTAGGGTTGCCGTCGGAACCTGAACTTGAGTCTGAACCTGGATCAGGTTGAGCGCCCGGGTCAAGTTCAGAGCCCGGGTCGACCTGGATGCCCGGGGCCACATCAGTGCCTGGATTAACATCTGGGTTGGAGGTATCATCCTGTGAAAGGACCAAGTTCGCCCTGAGGATGAGGGTGGTACCGAGGACGGCGAGCCATGACAACTTCATGCTGTAGCGAGCAAAACTCTATTCGTCTTCTTGTCCTATTTCCACTTGCTTCCCCATTCGCAACTGCTTTCCACGTGTACAGGCACGACACTGGACTGAACAAACGATCTGGAGCACTGTCTCCGGCTATCGTCGTTACAACTCGTAAAGGTTCTGACCGAGTCCCTGATGAAGGTCTATAATTTCGTGCTCGGACCTTGTAGGTATGTTGTCGACACAATTCGAGGTGATATTAACAGAGTCAAGTCGAAGAATCCCCGACTACTTCCTATACATTGACCACAGACGACCGACTTAGAAATATAAGATCAAACGTGCTGATTAAAATTCCTTGATGGAGAAAAAGAGGGACAGAAACGATGAAAGATGAACAAGAAATCCACGGCCGGTCTAACAAGAAAATAACACAATGGGTGAAAATGGTCAGTGTCGAACGAATGTGAAGGGAGAGTAAGATGATGGATTTATCTTTTTGGTGGTATTGTTGTTATCCAAGTCCCCTCTCTCGCATATTTGAGACCATGAGCGGCTTCCATCAAGGCCATCACAATCTAGGCCACGCGTCTGGCGGATGATGATAGCGTCATTGGGCTTGGGCTTGGGAGATCTCAACGCCCCGACACACACTAGGGAGAATGCCTGGGCGTGGAAAATGACAAGGCCATGCATTTACTACTCCGGAGATAGAGAAACAATGTGACAGTTGTATGGCAATTAGGCACGCGCCGGATGCTTGAGACCAGGATGAATTAACTAGTTGCATGGAAAATGGCTAATGGTGATGAACTCTTCTGGTATAGTACAAATACTCGTACTCGTTACAGTACATTGCTGCCAAGGTGCCAAGGTGCCAAGCGACGAAGGCGTTCTTGGCTGGCTCCATATTCCACCCACCGTTCCATTCAAAGGACGATGAGATTTTGTGATACTCCGTATTTTTGCTAGGATTAAATGAACCAAGAAGCAGCCGTGCCGCCTCTAAGGCAGATATTGTACTACGAAGTGCGAGCTACCATTAAGGCTACTCCGTCGGATATTTGTACCTGCATTATTGCAAGTAACAAAGCCTTCGCAACCCCCCTGGACGATCGATCAAGGGGGTGCGAGACAATAATCATCTCAAAAGTCCCTGAACTTGCGGCTCTTTCTTTTAGCCTTGTGCGTCTGGAGATCGGCCTTTTGGTGCCCCGACTACAAAGTTGCTTCGGCTTGTCGGCTAAGGTAAATTGGCAAGACAAAGTACAGGGTAAGGTACTTCGTATTAATCTACGGTACTACTCGTACTTGTGAAGAAAAGGAAGGTAAGCTGGGACATTTATCCAGGTCCCGTCTCGATCTGACAAGTTAGTCGGCTCGAACTACAATACCTCGTGCTGGTACGGATGGGATACCCGTCAACGAAAATCCACCATCCCAGGATGCACGGCTTTCTACCCCGTAGAAGTACTCCGTACAGTACAGTACAGGATAATACCGACTGGCACACACATTTGTGACATTTTGCCTAGATCCATCTCAGCCTCACCACTTACTGGTCTGAGCACCCTCGAAAATGATTCGACGTCGCTTCCAAGTTAGATTGGACGAATCTACTCGTTCGTCCACCCGTACTTTTGAGACAAAAAAAGAGAGAGAGAGAGAGAGAGGGACACACTAATCACATCACCCAAAGTCACATTCTACATTATTGTCTCGAGTGCATAGGTACACAGTACGGCACACTCGCATGCGTATGCATGCGAGAAGAAACAAAAAAAAATCAAGTCCTACCCGTACTCGACACCATGCCCCCATCCACCACCAACTTCTGGCCCGTCACGTACCTGGCGGCGACGCTGCTCGCCAAAAACACCACGGCGTTCGCGACGTCGGCGCTCGTCCCCATCTTCCCCGTGGGCACCTGGGCGTGCCTCGTGGCCACGAACCCGTCGTAGTCGCCCCCGGCGTACTTTTTGGCGATGGTGTGGACGAGCGGCGTGAACATCAACCCGGGGCAGACGGCGTTCAGCCTCACGCCCTTGTCCGCGTACACCACGGCCGTGTGCTTGGTGAACTGGGTCACCGCGGCCTTGGTGCTCGAGTAGGCCACCTGAGGCTTCCCGATGTACCTCATGCCCGCGATGCTGCTGATGTTGACCACGGACCCCGACCTCTGGGCCTCCATGACCGGCAGCACGGCGTGGCAGGTCAGGTACACGCTCTTCAGGTTGACCGCGACCTGGCTGTCCCACGTCTCTTCCGACATGTCGGCCGGCCCCCCCTTTTCGCTGCGTCCGACGTTGTTGACCAAGATGTCGATGCGGCCGTCGTGCCTGCGCAGGCACTCCCGAACCAGCTCGTCGACCGCCGAGGACGACGTCACGTCCGTGGGCACCACGTCCACCACGGCGCCCGGGACTTCGGCCTCGATCCGGCTCTTTGTGCGTCGACCTGCCTCCAGGTTGACGTCGCACCCGAAGATCTTCACCCCGTTCCTGGCCAGCGCGAGTGCAATCGCCGCCCCGTTGCCCCAGTTGTCCGTCAAGTCTGCCGGTCCGTCCTGACCTACGCCCGTGACCAGTGCTACTTTGCCGCGCAGGTCTGGGTAATTTGGAAGGTCTTGGGTTGACATGACTTGTGACAAAAACCGCAAAGTAACAATGTCTGGGCACTTAAAGGAACAGCGGAAAAGAATGGTATTAATTCATGTGTATCTCTTGCACCCACGTACGATGGCCATCTAAAAAAGAGCAATCTACCCCAAGGCAAGTGAATCATCCTAATCTAACTGCAAGCTCTGTAATAGACCTAAGCCACCGCAAAAGACCCTTTGCTCGTACAAGTTCGTCTACAGTATCTCCATGATCAGACCGAGTACTGAGGCTCTTTGTGGAGAAGAAGCTGGAGACATGGACCATCGCCTCGGTAAAATACACCATGTGTGGAGATGAAAAGGGCCTTGACACCCCCTTTCTCCAACTCTTCGTTCTGACTCTGGCTAGCCTGACCATACATCCAACTGTTGTTTGTTCAAAGGACAAATACCTCTTATTCCCAGCTTTGTAAGAGAAGCTATGCCATGACTCGCTCCAGTTTGTGGTCTTGTCCCATTGAGGCCATACGTGCGCAAAGACGTCCTGCATCACTGGTGTCAAGCCAGGTAGTACCGCGCCGATCGTAGGTACATTGTTGAATCGCCCGTCTCAACAAACAGGTCATCTCGCTCGTCGTCACGAATACCTCTCCGAACGTGACATTGTTCGCTGATAACTTCGTTCACCAAACTTAGCTCTCGCTCCAAGGAGCTCCGTCCGTCCAAGCTCATGCTTGTCGGCATTATGGTTAGATCTTCGAGTGGGTAAGAACGAGGTCCTTTGCTGGAGAAGATGCATCGGAATATGCTCCGTGCGATAGCTTCGTCGACGGCGTCATTGATCAGTGCTTGCTTCAGATGCCCCTTCTGCAATCGATCACCAGGCAAAGGTCTTTCCGACTCCCATCCGCCAGCTGGAAAATCGTCGGGCAACGTCGACCTCCGACTGAGGAGGTTCTTCCTGAATATCCACATAAATGAGGGTTTACTTCAGGAGCGCATATCTAGGTGCACCCCACGTCGAACGAGCTCTCGAGAGTCTTGTGCTGAAAGCTGCCAGGATTTGAGTATTAAGAAGTCGATCTCTGTATTCACGAAAGTCAATGGGGATCTGAAGCGTGTCGTAATCTCCTTCAGGTTGCCAATATCTTTTGGAGTGAAACCGAGACGGGCATATGCTTGTGAAGTCAAGTCTGTCAGGGCAAGGGAATGGACTTTCGTGTGCTTTTCAAATTTTGCCCAATTCATTTCAGGTGTCGTTGAGATGCGTCGAATGTCAGGATTTCCACGAGCCAAAGACACGATTACTTCACCTGGTAGCGTGTTGCCCCGTCTATACATCGTGCAGTCCATTTCGAGCGACATAGGGCTTGGAGATGCTAAGAGCTCGTCGACATATCAAAACACTTCTTCGGGAGCGTTGCCAAACAGATGAAAGTCGGTGAGGCATATCTCGCATCGCGGAAAGCTCTGTTTCATGACTGAAAAGATCGATTTCGAGATTTGAGGGTAACAATTCCACGTGAGATGTTTCAGGGCAGGAAACAGGCATAGGAAGTTGGCAAGGGCCACCCAGGGATCGGGATCGCTCTCCGTGTCAGTTCCATCAAGTTCCAAGAAACCCTCGATAGTGATCGAACGAATTGCATTGCGTTCATGCTCGCTCAATTCCGATAGACAGGTGATGTCCTCCTGTAGACTTTCTGGGTCAGAAACCTCAATGGTAAGTTGATGTGAGGCCAACTCGTCGAGATTGCGGCAGTACTTGCTTGCGTGGGCAAATGCAGCCTGGTCATCTCGTTCGAGGTACTCTATGATTTGATTCAGCGCGAAATTCGGCAACGTGAATAGACCGACGCTTGGATGAGTCATTATAGAAGATATGCTCAGTGTATTGAGACATCTAGTCACAATAAGGAAAGGAAGATATAGTGATCATTTACTAAGGCCCGTTGTTAGTCATGACAGATCAGCAGCTGTTGAATTGGACATATTAGTAGTACAAATTCAAAGGAGGCAAGGAGGTAGAACTGCGAATGCGAATGCGAATAGATCATTCCAACGCTGATTGATACATTGCACATGGCTCCTAAATTCGTACTCTTGATAAAGGCTTCGGAATATTGTTTTTCCATTCATCGGTTCACGTGACATGAAATGGAGAAGGCTGACCTAAATGTACTTATAACCTCGGGTCAAGGCTGATCGTTATCCGGAGAACAAGGTAATCATTTTGGTGAATCACCCAATTTATCACAAGTAACTCCGGGGATATGTTCCCTTGGCCTCGTCTATCCCTTTTCACTAAAATGCAATAGTTCCATCACCGACTTGGCCGTTGCGTCTAGCTCTTTCCAGAGTGCCAATAAAAATCAAATTCAACTCCTGACCGACCTTTCCAGGATCCGTTTCCACAATGCTGGGTACATATGCCCGAGGATCAGTGCCCTCGTCTCCTCAAATGGTCTATCTCAATCAGGCTGACGACTGCGACGATCTTTCAGTCGTTCCCCGCACTTATCAGGCGCGTTACCCCCTGAAGCTGTTTGGGTTCCCCATGGAGAGTGGCCGGCGTATGATCTAGCCATGTCCTTGCTGTCTTCCTCGTACGAGGTACGTGCAAAGGCTCCTCAAGATAGGACACGGCGTCGGCAAATGGGCTGTCGTCGGAACCGAGAAAGTGGTTCACCCAGGCAGACAGAGACGAGGCTCGCACTGAACAAAGATCGACCGTTCTCGCTTCCCAATCGCTTCCGTTTCAGGGATGTGATGCCGCTATCAATTCCATAACCTCGGGTTTCGAAATTGGAGATGTCATCATATCATTCTGGTGCTGTAGGTCAACTTCAATGATATAATAACAAAGGGGGAAAGTCTGCAAAGTGACTTTTGTCTTCCTCCTCTCATCTAGCATTCTGCTTGTATCTCTCTCTCTCTGCCCTCTGCTCAGCCATCTCGGTTGGCGATCCCCCCAGTCTCCCCTTCAAGATGTTAAATAAGATCATTGTCAATCAATACAACCTGTGGCTTGTCATCTTCGTTGCCCTGGGCACGATCTCGACAGCCTACGGTCTGGCCGTTATCGGCTCGACTGTCGGTCAACCCAACTTCTACACCTACTTTAATTTGGCCACGGCTGGCGAACCTGGATATGACCACACGACCAACATCATCGGCGCCCTGAACGGCGTCAACTCGGCTGGTGCCATCGCGGGTTGCATCTTCCAAGCATGGGCCGCCGATTACTATGGTCGAAAACGCACCTTGCAGATAGGTTGTGTCATCTTGATCGTCGGTGGCGCTCTTTGCGCAGGTGCCTACGACATGGCCATGTTCCTCGTCGGTAGATTCGTTGCCGGTGTTGGGGCTGGTATCCTCGCCTGTATTGTGCCCATCTACCAGGCCGAGGTTTCAACACCTGAAACCCGTGGCGCCATGGTCGTAAGTTACTCTACTCCTCGAGGCAGTGGTGCTACTGAAGTGCCTGCTCTCGTTGTGTACGCACGAAACTTGCTAACGACAAACACAGTGTGTTACAGGAATTGTACGTCTTCGCGCCTTCCAGATCATACCGTGCGCCCCTTGAGCACAATGCTTTCCGTCCCTCCGTTCTGCCACGATAGACTAACGTCCCACAGATGTACGCTCTGGGCTACAGTCTTGCCGGCTGGCTCGGATACGCATGCTACTTCATGAAAGCCGACGATTCGGCTGCTCAATTCTCGTGGCGGTTCCCTCTGGCCTTCCAGATCTTCTTCCCCATCGTCGTGCTCGCCGGCAGCAGGTTGATCCCATACAGTCCACGATGGCTTCTCTCAAAGGGTCGACGACAGGAAGCTCTCGACATCGTCAAGCGTCTGCACAGAACCCCCTCGGACCCCGAAGACACCCATGCGCGTCAAGAATTCTGGCTCATGGAGAAACAATATGAAATGGACGCCTCCATGTCCTTTGGTACATTTGAACTCTTCAAGACGCCAGCCAACAGGAAGCGAGCACTCATGGCCTTCATTCTCATGTGGGGAGATCAATTTTTGGGTAAGAAATCATTACACACCCCCTTCCAAAGGCGAATGACAATTGATCACATCACTGACCCTTCCTTTGCGCCGGCGTACGACAGGTATCTTCGTTATGACCAACTAGTAAGTTTTGCCCCAGTAAACCACCTTTCTAAACTTGGCGACCGACCTTGGAAACTAACCGGCGCTTTCTTTCCTCGACAGTGGTGTCCTGATCTACGCCAGCTTGGGACTCAGCGGCTCGATCCCTCTCCTGCTCAATGCATGCTGGACCACGCTCACCATCATCGGCAACACCTGGACTGCCCTCTATATTGACCGCTTCGGCCGACGCCTCTTCATGCTCATCGGGTCGGCGGGTTGCATCGCCGCCCTGATCTTCCTGTGTTCCCTGACGGCGTCGTTCCTCAACACCACCAACAAGGCCGGGCTCAACGCGGCCGTCTTCTTCATCTGGTTCTACATCTTCTGGTGGTGCTTCTTCATCGACGCCACCCAGTACGTCTACGTGGCCGAGATCTTCCCCAACCACCTCCGCCCCTACGGCGTCGCCCTGGGCCTGTCGGCCTTCTACCTGGCCAGCGAGGTCACCCTGGTCGGCGCCCCCGTGGCCCTCAACAAGATCGGCTGGAAGTTCTACCTCGTCCTCATCATCCCCAGCGCCGTCTACTGGGTCATCATCTACTTCTTCTTCCCCGAGACCAAAGGCCGCACCCTCGAGGAGATCGGCGACGTCTTCGGCGACGACCTCCACGTCGCCAGCCACTGGTACAACGCCTCGCCCGAGGAGAAGGCCCGCATGGCCGAGCAGGCCCTGCGCGAGACCGAGGGAGGCATCGTGCGCGAAAAGGGCTACCGCGGAGCCGACTCCGACCAGACTCCTCCCGCCGAGAAGGTCGTCCAGGAGGATGACGGCAAGACCGAGGCCGTCGAGACCGAGGACACCGGCGGGGCCGCCAAGTAAATCACGGAGTTGATCGGTTCTCCCCAGACGACTCGAAGCCTTACCTATTACCATCTATACCCATAACCCACCAAACCCCCCCATTGAACCAATGTCGCAATGGGCGTACACCGTTGCTGAAAGTGCAAAAGACTAGTCTTGTCTGCGGTGTGGAGATCCCAAAGACAAAAGAGACAAGGACAAGGACACCATTCCTCTAATCCCCTTGGAGGACGTGTCTTTTATTAGTCATTTAGAGCCAGATCATACATAAGATCTCTTATATGTAGTAATCAAATCTGTTAATGGAACGAGCCGAGTTTCATCTGCTGTTGATTAGGTATGCGTTTCTGAACTATCCCGAGCTTACCTTCTCCCTACCTAGGTAGGTCTAGGGAAGACTCGCCCCTGGTCGGACTGTCTTCACAGACGCCAAACCTAGTTGATTGATCACTAGAGCATCATGAATCCTGAGTGTGTCCGGACAAACTTCTCCTCGAAACTTGGAATATGACCTGCAAACGAAGATCGAAATATGGAAAGCCTTGAGTTACAGATAAATTCTCAACAGTGGCATGTTGGTTAATCCATATTGTGCAAGCCTGATACATGTACCTATCCTTCGATGCTCGAGGAGAGCAGACACATCGCTCTGTACGAGGCTATGTCAACGCGTAAACTGCTAGGAGTAATCTAAGATATCAGTGGTAGTCGAACACTGGACTTCGTGGGAGAGACTGGATCCCTCTTCCTGTCTGCAGATAGTTCCACAGAGTAATTAATCCATCTCAAGTGCAGCGACATTCCCTCCCCTGCAGGAGCTCCGCACTGCTCGGAATTGCCACACCAGACAAATACTGATACTCATGTCCAGCAGTGTGGTATCTCAATCTTGCTGCATTTGATTTTCTGGTTGCAGACCCATCGGCTTTCGTCCGTAAACAAAATGGAACCTCATGTACAATTGCAAGGCGTCATCGGACAGCTCCTTATTCACATAGGCCATGAAAACATGGATGCTTTCGATATTGTACTTGAGAATCCTGCTATAATGCGCCAGCGTCTGTAGAAAAATGTCAGAAACTTTTGAAGAAGTCCGTAAGATACTCTAGATTTGTGTAGCTAGCTTCACATACAAAGGATGTTGTGGCCAATTTCATTTGCGATCTCAGGAGCTGTCCGATCTCGTGGAGATCCGAATTTTCGGTCCATTCCCCGATAGGTACCTTTCGTGTGTTAGAATCACTTTAATGGGCAAGAATAAGAGCACACATTTCGAATGGTCTCTGTAACATCTTCGAACCCAGCATCGATCATCCATTTTCTGTGCTTGTGTGCGATGTTCAATGTTTTCCCATGTTCTGTACTTGCCGATTCAAGCTCCTGCATCCATTTTGCACAATTGGGGGCCATACCCATGTTGTTGGAATTGCTGTAGATCTGGCATGCATAGTCTTGCGTCTCCATATAACCTCCAGGCTGGAGATTTTTGTATGCCTGCGCATAGAACTTTGGCCAATTTGCGAAAACTCCACACAACGCGCGGCAATGGATGAGGTCGAATTTCGTTTTGTAAGACCAATGATCACCCTCGGCATCCTCAACGTAAAAAATGACATTGGGAGGAACGCTAGTTGGTTGTATGGGCGATAGGTCGATACCTTGTACATTGGCAGAAGCGAATTGATCACCGAAATCTATGGCCCAGGCCCCTGTGCCAGTCCCGACGTCAAGAACTTGGTGCAAATCGTGAGATATGGGTGCAAGGTATAATTTGCCCTCGAGCAGCTTAGTGAAGAGTTGGTGCAGGATCTCTAATCGGTCTTGTTCTGCCCAGTCATTTGGAAGAAGGTACGCGCCATCCTTGACTCCGTGATATGTCCGTCCGTTCTCTTCACGAAACTCGAACACTGAGGAGCGAGCTGACTCCTCAAAGCCAGATTCATCGCCGCTGCTGAGTTCCACGCCTGAACCTCTCCCTCCATCTCCCTGTGATTGGCTCAGAAACTATTCTGAATCGTAGAATGAGGCCACATACAAAGGGTTGGTCAGCCATCATGAAATCGGCATCATCACCAGCAGGTTGGTGTCCGTTCTCTTGATAAGTTTCTGCCGTGCTTCAAGCAGTCACTGTGCCAGGTTGACTGAAGCAAAGCGAGAGTAAAATCCGTCAAGAAAGGGAATGGTTGCTGGGCTGCTGTGATTTTCTTTTTTGCAAACTTGAAGAAGGGGTAACGGGCGGATGGCGTAGAAGAAGTAGACAATACAAATGAAAGACATCTCGGGAAGCGCAGTCTCATGACGTGCACCAAGTGGCGCCTTCTCATGTCTGAGCTATTGTTAGGACTTCAAGAGCAAGAGCGAGTCCTCGTCATGATCGCAGTGCTACATTCAATAACACGGTAAGGCTTTCCTAATATACCACATTAGTTAGGGGACTGCAAGAGTTGTGCTTGGTCAACGGCAACTCGAGTAAAACACAACAACAGAAATGAACTCGGTGGAAGATTGATGATTCTCATTTGACAATGCTGCCATCATTAACAGCCACTACGTCGAGAGAGATCGATGGGTATATACACACTGCAGACACAAACCAAGTATGTAGATCAACGCGTACAGTTGGCACGTCCTAGGGTCTTAAGGAAGTTGCAGCTTTGTGAGCGGTTTCAGGTTTCTAGAAGAGAGTGTAAGTCATTATTGTCAGGTTTGAATCTCGGTGATCAGCACATGAATTCAGACCCCGAAGACAGCACATGTATCAATCACAAAGTCGACGGCTGTACGGAAGGACGGATGGTTGATACAGTACGGAATGAAGACGGAGTAAGTGATTGTCACCAAGCTCCAAGTCACGGGAACAAGCGGAAGTTGGAGAAATCGTTTATCCGGTCTCCGTCTGCGCCTCTCCGGATGAACTGATGTGCGCAGTTTGTCCGGTCAATGGGAAAGCTTTCGCTTGATCTTTTGTGAAGCTGTTTCTTCTGTTTCGTATCCCAGAAATCCATAACATTGCTCCCTTTTCCCTGCTCCAGGTTCTCTTCTGCACTCAGTTCGCTCCTCTTCTCTACTCAGGTCAATTCTCGTCACAATGTCTTTCTTCACACGACAGATGTTTGGCCAGGTCCAGCGCCGGGCTTTCTCTGCTTCCAGCAGACAGGTACAGTTCATCTGCATCAAACCATCAAGTGACATCTAGCTGATTATCGAGTACTACAGGCCTCCAAGGTTGCTGTTCTCGGTGCTGCTGGTGGTATCGGTCAACCCCTGTCGCTGTTGATGAAGCTGAACCCCCGTGTCACTGAACTCGCTCTCTACGATATTAAGCTCGGTCCTGGTCGGTAAACGCCTCGACACATTTGAGGGGATGGAAAGGTTAACAAAGACGGTTTAGGTGTCGCCGCTGACATCAGCCATATCAACACCAAGAGCACGGTCAAGGGCTACGACCCAACACCGTCAGGTCTCCGAGAATGCTTGCAAGGCTCCGAGGTCATCCTGATTCCCGCTGGTGTTCCCAGAAAACCCGGCATGACTCGTGACGGTGAGCAACATCGAACTTGTGTGGTGTGGAACCATGCTGATGCTTTCTAGATCTCTTCAACACCAATGCGTCGATTGTCAGAGACCTTGCAAAGGCCGCTGCTGATGCCGCACCCAATGCCAACCTCCTGATCATCTCGAACCCTGTAAGACATCCTGCGTGGGCAAAAGAAGGCATTATTCTGATAACAAGAAATTAGGTCAACTCTACCGTTCCCATCTGTGCCGAAGTCTACAAGAGCAAAGGCGTCTACAACCCCAAGCGTCTGTTCGGTGTGACCACTCTTGACATCGTTCGTGCCTCCCGATTCGTCTCTGAGATCAAGGGAACCGACCCTGCCAACGAGAACATCCCTGTTATCGGCGGTCACTCTGGTGTCACCATTGTGCCCCTGCTCTCCCAATCTGGTGCCTCAGACATCACTGGCGCAAAGCTCGACGCATTGATCCAGCGCATCCAGTTTGGCGGTGACGAAGTTGTCAAGGCCAAGGATGGTGCCGGTTCCGCAACTCTTTCCATGGCCATGGCTGGTGCCCGATTCGCCGAGAGTGTCCTGAAGGCTGCTCAAGGTGAGAAGGGCGTCGTCGAGTGCACTTTCGTCGACAGCCCCTTGTACAAGGACCAGGGTATCGACTTCTTCTCCTCCAAGGTTGAGCTTGGCCCAGATGGTGTTCAGAAGATCCACCCCGTCGGTGCGATCAGCAAGGAAGAGGAGAAGTTGCTCGAGGCCTGCCTCACTGGTAAGATCTGCTTGAAATTCAACTTTGTGGAAATTGTGACTAACATGATTTACAGACCTCAAGAAGAACATCGACAAGGGCGTCGAGTTCGTCAAGGCCAACCCATAAATGACTTGAGTTCTGGAGCGAAGACGCAAGTCGTGTGTACCAAAAATCAAGATCTCACACCAGCAGACGAGGAAGAATCTTGCCTCAAACTGGTATTCTTGGTCGATAGAATATTGACCCTGACAATCGAAGCTTCTTCCTCGGTTTAATTTACTTGTGTGTGATGCCATCGTATACATTTCCTGCCTGGCTTTTTTCCTTCGTTGTGATGTGCTCGGGACCAGGAACAGGCACACGACCATCCATTTAGTTGGGACTATGTTTTGCCTGACGAGGTAGGCCAAGGTAAGTAATGCCATCGGAGTAGGAACCTTTCCTGCCAGGCATCAATCAGATCTGCACCCAACAAGGCTGCCGCGCCGCCCACCTGGACAACCGAACATCCATTTTTCTGGATCTGCTTGGATCAAACACCAACCCAAAAGTCCTTTTGTTTTTGTTTTTCTTTGCACAACAGAGAAGCCCGCTATCTGAACGACATGCATGCCCTTTATAGGAATTCCCAGCACGACAAAGGAATTGACTTGTGTGACCGAAGCAATCAATACCGGCCAGCAGTTACCAATAAGCAGCGGCTCGTCATGATTTCTATTTAACTACAAACCAGCCCACGTTCTTGCTTTCTTGACCTTCTCCAGACTTGTTCAAAGTTTTCGGATCATCTATGTTCTGAAAATAGCAGCCTCGTTCTCTCTTGGGCAGCGGTGTTGTGCTGGGTCACAATATCGGTATATCACTTCTTCAGTGCTCCATGACACGTCGCCGTCATGCAGTGAAACTTTTTTTCCACATGCCCATGACACGCAAATCCCCTCCGAAATAAACACTTCTAACTGCGACTGTGTGAGGTTGCGGCAGACATATTTTCCCAACCAAGCGACAATTTTCCTTTCAAGATGTCTCAAAACTCCTTTACTCCCCCTGTGGACAGCGACGGTGACATCGTCATGACGGATGACAACGATAACGACCACCACCACCACCATCCACCAGCTCTCAGACGTCCTCATTCTCCTCTTCCAGCACCTTCTCGCGATTCCGCTGCACAGGCCGCGATTCCTGCCAACCGGAACAACAACCCACTGCTTCGTCTCTGGAGAATCACGGGCTATGGTGCCAACCCCGTCCCCAGCACACAGGGCCCACCACTGACGATCGATGGCGTGGACGTTGCACCTCCGACTCACCAGGGAATACCGACGGATGCGATACTGCGTTTCTACACTCAGTCTCGCACTCCCGAGCCCGTCACCCGCCGCGTCGAGTCTCCACTTGTTGAGACCGAGCCCGGACCCCGAACGGCGCGCACCACCGGCACTGGGAGGTTTTGCGTCGCGTGCATGGACGAGTTGTCAAGCGACGAGTTCAGGGTGGAATGCGGGTGCCTGTACTGCGTGGGATGCCTCAACGCGGTCTTCCGGGCCGGGTGCGAGAGTAGGGCCTCGTTCCCACCGCGGTGTTGCGGGGTGGCGCTTCGCATCTCGGCGTGGGGATCGGTCCTCGAGGACGACGTGGTCCGGCGGTACAAGATGGTGGAGGCCGAGTTCGCTTGCACTCGACCCCTGTACTGTGCGGCGGCCAGGTGTTCTGCGTTCGTGCCCGAGACCGGGTACGAGGGTCGAGCGGCCAGGTGTCCTGCGTGCGAGAGGGAGACGTGCAGAGAGTGTCGGAGGCTCATGGATGAGCACGACGTCGAATTCCACCGAAACGACCCGCCGGGCCACCCTGGCCACCCCCTCTGCCCGAAGGCGACCAAGGGCGAAAAGGCGCTGTTGAGATTGGGCAAGGAGAAAAAGTGGCCAAGGTGCCCCTCTTGTCAGACCATGATCGAACGCAACGAAGGTTGTGATCACATGGAGTGCGTCTGTGGCGTCGAGTTTTGTTACCGATGTGGCGAACTGTTCGACGAGGATGACTGGTGCGGGTGTGAGTTGAGGGGCCAGGCGGACAGCGAAGAGAACAGTGAAGATGAAGACGAGGAGGACGAGGACGAAGAAGACTCCGAGACAAGTGAAGATGGGGATGATGAGGAGGAGGAGGAGGAGGAGAATGAGGACGAAGATGACTCCGAGACAAACGAAGACGAGGATGATGATGATGATGATGATGATGATCAGGACGAAGAAGACGTCGATACAGATGAAGACGATGATCAAGATGAGGACGAAGAAGATGTCATTGAGGAAGAGGACGACGAGTGGCCGGATCACCGCCTCGCCATGGACATCCGTCGTGGTGGTAGTGGTGGTGGTGGTGGATGTCTACACGACGAGGTGATGGACGGAACAGACGAGACTGGCATTTGTCATGGGTGTCTTGGGGACAAGGTTCTCTACACCTGTGCTTGGTGTAGGATTGAGTTGTGCGACGAGTGTCTCGATCGAGTGGCACGCAATGTCTAAGAACGGCCGAACCGATTTTGAAGAGAGACGGATACCAAAGATTGAGACTCGAAACCGAGACCCATACTGGGACCTTGTACACTGAGAATCAACCTAAACGATACTTTTTGAGAATATCTGAGGTTCTATGAACATTGTGGATTCAGAATTTGTTTTTATCGTATTTCCTGGTCATGCCCGGTCCTTCTTTCTACCTACCTACCTACCTACTACCACTACTACTGCTTACTCATCGGCAATCTTCAAAATACTCTTCCCCAAGTTCTTACCTTCCAACATGCCCAAGAACCCATCAATGGCATTGTCCATGCCGGTGACGATGTGGTCGACGGACTTGAAGCTTCCGTCGGCGATCCATTTGGAAATGTTCTCGTCACGTTCCTGCCGCCAACGGGCGACGTTCTCGTCGAAAACGATGAACCCTTGATACCGGAGTCGCTTGCGGACGACCGAGCTGTAGTTCTTGAGGCCGTAGGGGGTGCTGGTGCTGCCGTTGTTGTAGGTCGAGATGGTCCCGCATGCTACGATGCGGCCAAAGTCTTTCATCTGCAAGGATCCGCCATCACCACGTCAAATCAGGTTAGGAGCTGTGTAAGATTTATCCAAGGAGAGACTGGTTCTGTCTGTGGAAAAGCTCACTCACATTCGCCAGAGCAATGTCGAGAAGTTCACCGCCCACGTTGTCGTAGCTGAGTTTGAGAGAGTTGAAACGTCAGCGAGGGCACTGAGGCCTCGGGGTGGACTGAGCTGTGGGGGACATGGACCACTTACTAAATATCCAACCCATCCGGAGCAAGCCTCTTGACGGCATCGGCCATATTTTCTTTCTTGTAATTGAATCCGGAGGTGAATCCGAGCTGGTTGATGATAAAGTCGAGTTTCTTATCGTCTCCGACGGAGCCAATGACCTGGTTCGGGAGGAGTCAGTGTCGTTCTGATGATCATGACATGCGAAGAACAAGAAGAATGGACATGGATGTTGTTCATACATGGAGACCCAGCCGTACGGCAATCTGGCCTACGACTTGGCCAACGGCACCGGCAGCCGCAGACACGAGAATCACATCTCCTTTCTTGGGTTGTCCGATTTCCAACAGAGAGCCGTAGGCCGTCATACCCGTCATGCCCAGCGGGCCCAAATGTGCCGTCAAGGGGACACCAGGTCTCGGAGTGATGACATCGGCCCTCTTAGCCTCGGCCTCATCCACGAAAGAGTACGACTCGGTGGAATGACCCCAGAGGAGGGCCAAGCTGCCTTGGGGGAATTTTGGGTTGTCGCTTTTCAAGACTTTACCGATGACCTGGACGGCGACGACGGGTTCACCTGGTGTCATGGCGGGACTGTAGGATTTTATGCTGAGGTCTCGCATGCGGCCTCGTTGGCTGGGATCGTACGTGGCATACAGGTTTTTGGTGGTGAAGCCCCCTTTGGGAGCGGGTGCGGACTCGTCAAAGGTGATGTCCTCGATGGTCAGATCTTTGCCTGCAACTGGCCAGCCATCGGGCACGGACTTGTACATGAATGCTTTGTTGGCGACCATTTTTGGGGGGATTTCGTGCTTGTGAGTTGTTTTTTGGTTGGTATGAATAGATATTACCGTCAGAAGTACCGTGTTTTGGATATGAGGTTCGGTGGAGGGACTGTCCAGGTAGTTATACAGGAAAGGGAATTGTATAATAATGGAAATGGTGTGAATACTGATCTAGCTACGGTAGTAGATGTTGGCGAGTAGGAGTATCTGATGTCTATGTTCCTTGATGTCTAAACGTGTTTGTAAGCAAAAAGGATACAGTGCCTTAGTATTGGATCATTGAGCCTCGGTATACACGGTATTCACTCTGTACCGGACTCCCTCCCAGTCGTGGGTGAACGCACCATGCACCGCCTGATACGGAGCACCTGGAGATTACCGAGAATTCCCGTTAGATACTCGTACGTGCGTAGCAGCCAATGTCTGTTAGTATGGATTATATCTTTGATAAAGAGGAGAAGATACCAATTTGTATCTGGCCAATTTCTGACATTTGACGGGTCTTTATTGGAGTCTGTAGCACCTAGAAAAGAAGGAGAAGAGAAGAAGAAGACATTCTGCAATAGATAATACTTTTTGCTCTGGACTAATAAATGGTCTAATAAATGGTCTAATATCGTCTCATCTCGTCTCATTTCATTTCCCTTTATTCTCCCTATCGATAACGGAGTCTCAGAGTCTCGCCTGCCCCTGTTGTCGGCCTTGCCTTAATAAAAACCAGCCCCCAATTCACCGCCAAATTAATCGCGCTTCCCAAAATCCCCTTCGCATTTATTAAACAACACTGTACAACGACAATCTGTATCTTTTCCAAAATCCATGCTTCAAAGCTTCAACGACACGCGACGCGCTGATCTTGTCATATTCACAGCGCACATTTCGGCCACGGTAGGGGATATGGTCGTTGTCGTTCTCGATTCTTAGTTGTCAGTATCATTACATTTTGTTGTTTAAATCCTCTTTTGTGCCTGACGAATTCTGCTGGGCCGGTAATTGGCCTGTTTACTGCCTGCTCTTCACTGTTTGGCGCCTCGCCTTCACTCTCAAACACCTGTTCGTTCTTTGATTTGCCTTGGTATTCGCTGTCATCAGTCTTTGCACTCCTTCTTGTTTGCCATCCAAATATCCCATGATTGTCGCGTCACAAGTCATGGCCGCCCTCCCGACGCACCGCGATTTACAGCAACGCCTCGAAGATTATCGTGCTTTCGATGAATCTAGACAGAACGAAGTCACTCACTTGATTCAAGCATGCCTACGTCTCAATTCCGAAGCCCTCGTTCTGCAGAGCGATCTCGATGATGAGAGAATCACTCGTCGTAACTGGAAGAGACGAGCCGAAGAGGCCGAAGCTGCCATTCAACGCAAGTTTGTCGTCGTTCTCGTCGACGGCGATGGATATCAGTTTCGAAGGTCCTTTTACGATGCTCTTTCGGCATCGGGTGGCTCCAAGGCTGCCAACGAATTATGGATGCGAGTCGTGGATAATCTCAAAGCTGCCGACACCTCATCAGCTATAGCGTCTGATTGTGATGTCCTCGTCAATATCTATGCCAACAAGATCGGCCTCGCCAAAACCCTAGTAGCCTGTGGATACATCAATCACCTCTCTCAGATTGATCTATTTTTTTCGTCCTTCACTCAGAGTCGCAGTCTTTTCCAGTTCATTGACTGTGGCCCCGGCAAGGAGAGGGTCGATAGCAAACTTCGAGGTAAACTTTCCCCGAGAGGACTGTCGGTGATCGAACAAGATGGACTGACAACAAACACAGATACGTTCAGATTCTACGCCAATAACGCCCAATGTCAACGTATATACGTGGCATGTTCCCACGATAATGGTTACATCGCTGAACTCGACAAGTATCGTCACGATATGGTGGTGATGCCGAAAGTCATGTTGGTGCACGCCGCTCAAACACCTTCAGCCGTCAAGGCATATAGCAGCCTTCCGTTCAAACACACCAGATTTGATAGCGTCTTTGAAGATGCAGCCCTAGAGCCTCCGGCAAAAGTAGATGTACCCTATTTCACGCCCCCGCCCGACCCACCCTCCTACGACCCTCGGCCATCTGAACAGGACGTTCTTAACCTGACGCCCACCGCGAGCCGTTCAAGTCACTCCTCAAATGCGGCCGGTCCACCAGGATTGACACCTCTGGCAACTCTGCCCACGAACTCGAAGACTGCGTCTCAAGTGGGCTCGCCACCACCATCGGTGTCAGAAGTGACAAAAAATAAAACAAATGAGCTTGTCACTCATGGGAACGGGGCCGGAGACGGCAAGAATGGAATTCCGATCAATCGATTTGGCCAGAGAATTGATCTGAAAATCCGCATCCCGAGCACTGCCGACATGGATAAATTTGAGAATCGCATCAGTCAACGCAAGTTATGTAACGAGCACCATCTTCGGGACAATTGCGAATCGTACAGCTGCAGATACAATCACGACCCGATCGACGCCACCATGAGGAACACGCTTCGGTATAAAGCCAGGAGCATTCCATGCACCAATGGATCGAAGTGCCGTCGAATGAATTGTTTTTATGGTCATCAATGTCCGTGGGGGAACAATAACTGTGGCAACCCAAAATGTGCCTTTATCAAAGCCGGTTTACATGACATTAAGGACTTGGAAATCGCAAAGGTTGTGCCGGCACAGCCACTCGGATGAACCACACGCCTAAAGAAGCAGAGGTAATAATACTCGTACTGGCTCGAGCACTCCGTTACAAAGTCAAATCATGGATGACGGGATCATCGACCGCAAGGTTTGAAGTAGGTGAGGTCGTTCCGACCAGGAATCATTGGCGCACAAGTAAATTTGTTTGTTTCATATGGAAGTGTCAGCGTTAGATCGGTGTTGAGGGCAAGCAAGGATTAACTGGAATGAAAATCAGCTGGCATCACGAGGGATTAATTCGTTTATTTGACATTTCTTAGGCTTCTGTACAAAATGAGAGCGGCTTCAATGATGCACATAGATCCGACCCAGGTGTAAGTACTCTTGGTATGTCCTATAATCCTCAAGATGTGTATGTGTGTATGCGCGTGGGTGGTTCGTCGAGGTCAAGGTAGATACTTTTTTTCCAACTCCCTCAACTCATCGTCCCCCTGTAACTGAAAAATGTCCTCGACGGAAGCGATTTCGTCCTGGACCCCGGCGATCCCTCGGTCGTCGGCTATCCGTCGAAAGGCGCTACGCATACCGGCCACGGCGGCCCTGACGGCGTGGTTCCCACAAATGACCAACCCTACCTTGTTGTCCGTGAGCCTGGAGACGTCCTCGAAAGACCACCGTGGGTAAGAGGTGGGGACGATCACCAAGGGGACGTTGCCGGTGTAGGCGCTACAGAAGGAGATGATTTCTTTGGGCGTGGAAGATTTACTGTGGACCAAGACGGCGTCCGCACCGGCTTCTTCGTAGGCCAAGGCTCGGGCCAATGCTTCTGATTGACCTCGATTTTGATTTTGATTTGGGTTGGTGGTGGTGGTGTCGACCGCAGTAGCAGCAGCGATCAATGCTTCGGTACGTGCAATCACAATCATACTCGAAAGCTCCTTGGCGGCTCGGATCTTTGCTTGGAATTCAGGGATCGGCACCAAATGTTGACGACCACCGGGTCTCAAACTACTGTCTTTGGGAAAAGTCTTGTCTTCAATCACCACCGCCGACGTCCCGGCGGCTTCGTACCGAGGCAAGGCGTAGGCCAGGTTGACGGCGTTGCCGAACCCCGTGTCCAAGTCGGCGATCAAGGGGAGTGGTTGAGAGTGGAAAATGTCGCGCGTGGTGGAGAGGTGTGTCGACGGTGAAATGATGCTGGCGTCGGGGACGGCGTGGAGGGCGGAAAGTTCGAATCCCGAAACCCAGATGGCGTCAAAGGCAGGGACGGCTGCCGTGGGAGGAGTCGACCCAGTGGTCGAGGAGGATGAGACAGAAGTGGTGGTGACTTGGGAGGCTATCTTGGCCGAAAGGGCAGAGTGGGCGGACATGGCGATCAGTGGTTTGAGAGGAGTGGTGGTGGTGGTGGTGGTGGACGATGTCGTCGAGTTTGATGATGAACAATGGTAGGCGGACAGTTTGGCGCGGAGGGTGGCGGTACGTGAAGAGGCGGATGGAAGTGCCATTGTTGATTGATTGATAGATAGATTGATTGATTGACTCGTGTAATCCAGGGTCGTTGGAATTTGTAGACGAGTCTCGACGTGTGCGAGGATTGTAGGTGTGGGTGGAGTGTAAGTTGCTCTCGACGGCGTCAATATACAAAAAAGCCTTCAAAGGTGTGGATTTGATGTGTAGATCTCAAGGAAACAGGTGTCGGCAACAGTGTAAAGGCCAGACCAAGAGGGGTCAATGGCTGGGATAGATTGAGAATATGTTGTGGTTAGATGGTTTATGGAGTGATGATAGGTTGAGCTTCGAAGGTGAGATTGAAACAGAGAGCAAATTTAGAGTAGTTTTGACATGTTCACCATATAGTAGTACATCTAATTGTAAGCTGTATGATGTGGTGGTGGTGTCGTTGTCGTTGTCGTTGTTGTTGTTGTCGTCGTTGTCGCAAGAAGGTCCGATATAATTGTCGGGCTTCATGCCGAGTCTCCAAGGATCCGAGATTTGTTCAGTAATTAATAGGTACCTTTATATAACTAGTCAACCAGTATTCTGGTAGGTTATAACGCATAGTTTCACCCTTTGTTGTTCTATTCAACTTGTAACTTGATAGACAGTAGTTATTTTTATATCATCGTGCTTTCTCTAAGCTCATCTCCCCCGTCACTCTACCAATTATTGGTGGTAGGAATTTTGACCTTGAAGACCAGAACCTGGTTATCAAGATTATAACCGCTCTTGTCTGCGTAAGGGAGCTTCCCACCATCCATGAACCCGTTCTGAGTGATGAAATCATTGTCGCTGAGACTGAAGATGAAATATTCCCCGTCCGCCTTCCCGTGGCCCTTGCCACCCTTGCAGTCTGGTCCGGAAGGGTTCACGGGGACCATGGCGATACTTTCCCACTTCTCGTTCAAAAGGCTAGCGTCCTGTTCGCCCCCGTTGTGCAGTCCGAACCGATTCAGCTGCGAGTTGACGTTAAAGTCCAGCCAAGAGCAATATGTCGCCGGGACGATGGCGGAGTCGAGAACACCGGACGAGTTGGATGCGATGGCGCAACTCGTGCAGTCATAGGTCGGTCCGGCGACGTTGGTGGCGTTGGAGATGTCAAAGACGTCAATGTGTCGGTATACCGAGGTTGAGGATTTTTGGCCATGTCCTGCATTTGAGTCGCGGGCGAGAACGAGAAACTGGGTAGAACTGATGAAATGGACCTCCGACTGTGCCGCCACTTTCGTGTCGTTGGAGTACTGTGGCAATTGGACCACATACTCGGCCTTGAGAACGGGCGTGGAGGGATCGGAAATGTCGTACTGTAGAAATCGGGTGTTGCGACGATTCTTTTTCTTGAGGCCGCCATCTTGGTCCAGCGCGGATTGCATAAGAGCGTACAGTGTCTTGCCGTCAGGAGAGGCAGTGAGACCCTCAAAGCCTTGGTTGTTCTGGCGGCCGGTCGGGTTCTCTTTTGGGATGGTTAGGATGTCTGGTTCATAGCTAGGGGGACTGTCGGCGGAGAAAGAGTCGGAGCCGTTGCGCTGTGGAACCAATGCCGGTGGTGGGCGGATGGCGGAAATCATTTGGCCCTCAGGGGTGAAGTGGTAGATGTACGGACCGTACTCATCGGAGACCCAGAACGAGCCGTCGGCGGCGAGGACGAGGCCCTCTGAGTCCATCGAAACGCGGTGCCCGCCTGTGCCGCTGAGGCCAAAACCGTCGCCTGTGTACGTGGCTGACGGGAGGTCGGGAGTGCCAGGGAAGGTTAAGTACGGGCCATGAACATCAGCGTCAAGTCCTGTTGAAGGTTGACCAGATGGGTCGGTAAAGCGAATGGTGTCGAGGTATTCCAAGTGCAAGTTGGGAGGACTGGGGTTCTGCACGCTGGCCGTGTTGTTGGGATGAAACGTGATCTGGAACTTGTGCACTCTTGCTTGGAAGTTCAAAGTGCCTTGAGTGTTCCAGCCGCGATCGGGAAGAGCCCAAAGAATGCCCGAGTAGGCACCATCCTTATTCACGGTCCAGGAGTCCGGATCGATGACGGCACTGCTTCCAAAACCTCCAGCTGTGTCACCGAATTTGTCGCGAGCATCGGATGGGACGAATCCGTACCCAGCAAACTGCTGATAGACATAAGTTTGACCGTTGCACGTTGTCGTGTTCACAGCGTTGTTGAAGCCAGGGGTCGGCGATGCAAAGGCAAGGCCAGCGGCAAGGGTGGAGAGAAGGAGAGTTTTGACTGTCATGATGATTGGTTGTGACAGTTATACAAGTCCTGGGAAGTCCGATTACTGTTATTGGAGGCCTTGTTGACAAGGGATCAGCCGTTCCTCGTATATTCTTGCCCTGTGCAGAGGGGAAAGGAAGAAGCGATTGGACGTCGGGATCGTGGCATATGCCATATCTTATATCTGCCGCACACGGTACATATACACGTACGTTTTAAATGGCCTTGTAGTGGAGTTGCTGGCTGAAATGAAATGTTCATTTTAGCTGCCAACACGTGTCCGGCCGATTGTATTTGATTCGCGGTCCGTATAGTCGCTTTGCCATAGCGACCCGCTGTGGTGTCTCCGACCTAGCGTTGTCAAGAACCTAGGAAGGAAACCGAGGAAGAAGAGTAATGTATGCCAACACGGAAGAACAGAAGAGAAGGCAAATTAGAAAAAAATCTGGCAAAGAATATATGAGTATTAATGGAAGAGATAGAAGAGGTGAGTCCACTGCTGACTCATCAAAGACAAGGCTGAATCAACTCCCTTCCGATTGGTGCCCTCACCACCGGATGAGGCTGACCTTCGTCTCACTTGTTCATGAACTCAACAAGATATGGTGTTCAAGATGCTTCAACGCTTCTCTACAACATTAGCACTATGAGAGGACCATGTCTGGCTCTTCGTTAAAGCGAGATTATCCTGCTGATTTGACCTCAGCTCGGCCAAGGAAAAGAGCCAAGGAAGGCGGAGCCAACAGAAGAGCCCCCTACGCACTCGCCGCCTGTGACTTTTGTCATGGACGTAAGCTGAAGTGTTCAGGTGAACGGCCTTGTGCCCGATGTCAAAAGCAGGGTCTTTCATGCAGTTATCCAGCATCGCCATCGTCGCAAGATCAGATGCTCATCAATGAGAAACAGAACACGCGTCAATCTACGGGCATGTGAGCTGTCTCCTACCAACACTGCTCAATTTAAGCTTACACAACACAGTGACGCGAACGCAATTCTGAGTTCTGTCGAAGATCTTGAGTGGCGCCTGAATGAATTCAAAGCCAAGCTCAATGACTTCAATTCCTCGCAACCTCTGGCTGCAACCGGTGTGAAAGCAACAACCCCAGCTTTGCAAGCTTCAGACGTAGTCACCAAGAAACCAGATCTCAGATCTCCAACTTCGTTGCCACAGAAGGACTCGTCCGAGGCATATGCTGATGCAAGGAATTTCAAATATAGTCTGGACGCCCTGGACTCACGCCTCTCTACTATCTCTGGCCCAGACTCGAGCTCACAATCTCGAGAGATCGGCGGTTGGGATGCCGAGGAAAGACCTGATCAACCGATGACTCCGCCATGCTCATTCCCAACATCAATACTTGACGCCAAAGCCAAATCGGATCTCGAATCTTTTACGGTGGATGATGTCTTGCAATACTTGGACACGTTCCATTCGGTCTTTGGTGTGCTCCATCCTCTACCGCACCTCGAAAGTCTGAGGTTGCATGTGTCGACACTACTACGAGCCATGAAACGGTCATTGTGGACTCGACCGACCACACCTGGAGATTGTGGCCTACTAGAGATTCTGAAGATAATCCTAGCGATGACCATCATCCTTCAACACGGTGTCCAGACCGAGTTAACGAGGCAACTGTACCAGAGCGTTGAAAACGTCATCTGTTCAGCAACGCTTTGCAGCAGAGTCAGCCACGACTTCCGTGTTCTGTTGTTCTTGGTGGTTTGTTTATTTCCATCAAGAGATTCCTGCCGCACTTACTTATTCATGACATAGACCTTGTATCATCTCACGAACGGCGATCTCAAATTGGGCTCGCGAGCAATCATGTTTGCTCTTCGAACAGCATCGGAGGAAGGCCTGTTCCAGAAAGATGCTTTGGTGACAAAGTACTCAGATCATAAGACCAGAGCGACGATAATTCACCATCTCTGGGGACTATACTTCATGGATCGTCAGTTGAACTTCGCCGCTGGCCTGCCGAAGCACGTTAGTGATGAAGATGTCGATCTTCCTCCTCCCGTAAGCGCTACACTCTCCTTTCGGATACTCATTTGACAGAACGTGCAACCAGGAACAAGCCCCTTACCTCAGCGCCATGTGCAGTTACGGTGTATTTGGTGCTCACGCCTGGAGCAAGATTGTCAATCGAGATGCATTGGCCGCTGGAGAAGGTCCGTCCGAGGAGTTGGTCGAAGCTCTTCGTTGTCGACTTGAGCAGTGGCATCTCGAGTTAGAACTAGATGTCCGCTTTGACACATCAACTATCGAGTCAGACGAGACCTTCTTCACCACGCCCGATGATGACGACATAGGTGTATACCTCAAGACACTTATGTATTTGAGATCCAACCAGATTCGGATACTGGTACTCCGTCCAATCCTAATGTACCGCGACGCCGCTCAGAATTCTTTGTCTCTGGTCAGTGAATCTGTTACTGTGGCCACGAAATCTATCAATGTTATATACTGCATGTCTCAAAATCCCGCGTTGTACAGGAAGCGGCAAGTAATATTACATCATTTCTTGTCATCTGCCCTAGCAGTTCTCTTTCTCGCGGCTGCCTTCGATGCTGAGAATCGCAAGAGCATGATTGGTATTCCAGCACTACTCACCGATTCAACCGAGTTGCGCAAGGGAATGGATCTCATCGACAACTACTGCGGGACTTCCGAGTCTGCCCGAAGGCTGTGGACAACATTTTCTCGTCCTAGGCGACGGCTAGTTCAGCTGGGGTTCCTCGAGGCGCAAACTCAGCAACGGAAGGAGATGCCGTCTCTGTCAATCGGTAGCGTCGGGCCGGATGACAATGACAGCGCCCTATATGGGATGGTTGATTTCGACCCACAGTTTGAACTTGATCAGTTCAACATGGACCCTGCTAGCAACTTGCAATGGACCAACTGGTTTGACGGATCAGTTGTGGACTCTTCATCGCACTTTGGATTGCCATCCTGGATGTGAGACCTGAGAAGATCTGCAATCCGTGGAGACGCAAGCGATATATCCAACCAAGTCCGTTCATGCTGCAAGGTACACTTTGCAGATGGCAAAAAAAAGGTTTCTTAAGATACGGCTCTAGTGGGACGCACCATCGCCAGAGTTTCACACTGCAGGCCAGTCTTTTCCCTTCGATAAGGTCTGGGGCAACAGTCGCAGCCCCGATGAGTTTTAGGGTGATCCTCTTCCTCCATCCCGCTGTCAAGGTTCCATCTCGATACTGGCTCACATGTGAACTATCGTTTGGTACGTTTGCATGCGTCGATGGAGAGAGGTCGCCCCAGATTTGTGGCGTCAACTCTGACTTTCCAGCCGGTGCTTGTTTGAAGATCCTCCTGGGTCTCTGAAGCCTCCTCAACAGCCACCTCTAATCTTCAGAGATTCCTGGTTTGTTGGGGCGGAAAAAATCGTAAGGTCGAGCTCATTCAGGCAGCACTTGAGTTGTATCTCATTGAGAAACATTCTCCACGATTCAATCGACACAGCAAGGTATTGCGGACAAGGCTTCGGGGAACCGTTGATTTTTCCATCTCGTATGCCTTCTCAAGCCTCGCAGCTTAGAGTTCAGCCTTTCCAAGCTGCAAAGTCGGTTCCATTCAAAAATCTCCACCGTCAACACAATGACAGCTTGGTACATGTTGTGATACCTTTGACGAGGCCGGGTCGAACGAGGCTGCACTCAATAATGCAGATCGATCTCCGCTATTGGTTTCCACTCGCATATCGCATGTTACTCCATCAGAGCACATGAACCTTTTTTATCGTTCATCACAGCGTGGGCTGGGTGGAGTCAAAGTTGTTTTGTTCAGCCTATGGTCGAGACTTCTTTTTGGACGTCCCTGACCCGATATCATCAGGCATGAATCGAAAAACCCCAGCAAACTGAAAGATGGAAAGAAAAAAAATCAAAATCATAACCATGATCTGTTGAGGGAAATTAGAAATACTACATAAGTATCGTCTGTGGTCACGCAGCTGATTTCCATCTCGAGAGTTATCTACTTGTTTGCCGTGTAGTTTTTCTCACCGTTTCCTCTGAGATATTCAAGGTATCTTCAAGCGCATTTACATCCTCGACAGGCTTTTGTTGTGTTCCCTCGAGATCACTTCTCTCTCATCAACCTGCACAGCCTATCTGTGAACATCTCCCTCTCTCAGTGTTCAAGATGGCCAAGATTCTCCTTCCGAGATGTCTTGTCATCATGGCTGCCCTCGCCAAGTTTATTCCACCGTGTCTAGGTATGACCCCTTTTCGTTCACTCACTTCTACTCTCTCCTTTCCTTCTTGGATTTTGTTTTTTTGGTTTTACCAGTACTTCTTTCAAGTACAAATCGAGTCATTACTGACTGTGTTTCCTTTTTTAACCCTGTATACAGCTGCCCCTGTCGAGAAAACTCTGGCGATTGATACGTCCTCCGGTTGTCTCCCTGAAATCACCTATGTCTGGACCACGGCGACCGTCACCATCCCTCATCCTCCTTACGACTCGACCTCGACGGTCATTTTTCTTTACCCTGCACCTACAGATGGGACCACTTCTTCTTCTTCGCGTTATGACACGGAGCCCCCTTTTGGTTCATTTCCTGGCCACCGTGGCACCGAGACCGTCACTGTCACCAAGTCTTCTTCTTCTGAGTCATCATCTTCTGGCGACAGTCGCATCAAGACCGTCAAGGTCACCAAGACGATCACACCTTCACCTTCTGGTACCTCGGGCGAAGAAACCACCATGGCTGTGTCATCAGTGCCAGTTACTACTGGTTTTGAGCCTGTGGCCGTATCATCCTCGGCCACTCCCGCCCTCGCGCGTCGTTCTTCTTCACCCGACGACACGATGTTGACGACTTTGATGGTGGCTGAGCCTTCGCATTTGCCCGACAAGATCATAACAGTGACGACGACGGTGACCGGGCTCCACCCTCCACCTCCACCCACATCTAAAACGCTCGTGATGGTGATTGTCACTGTCGTCGAGCCTCCTATAGGCCCGAAGCCGACAGGTTCGAAGACGATAGTGCCGATGGTGGCAAAGAGGACTTGGGATGATCACCCTCGTGGCCCTCCTCGTGATCATCCTTTTCATCATGGTGAATATACTTGGAGCCCCGCGGCTGCTGCTGCTACTTCGTCTTTGTCGGACATCAGTCGTCCTTCCAGTAAATCATTTGACACCTCATATGGCCCGAAACCAACATCGGTTCCGAACGACGAGGGCAACGACAACAACAACAAGAACACTCATGACAACGGCAATGACGCGGCACAAGGGACGGCCTACGTCATCAACAAGTGCCCCTTTGGCGTCATGAGCAACATTGTCCACGGTACGAGCGGCGTGGACTCTGATGGAGTTCCTCCAGAAGAGATAACGTCGTCGATCGCGCCCGGTCAGACGGTCTCTCACCCCTTTTCCCACGATCCCAACACCGGTGTCAGTTGGAAGATCTGGAGGACCGACGTGTCCAACCAGGCTCCCGTCCAGTTCGAGTACGCCTGGATCCCCGAAGCCAAACGCACCTGGTGGGATTTGAGCATGATTGACGCCGGCAAGGTCGGTTGGCTCGACGAGGAGGCCGGGAACGCGGCCGGCGAGGACATCGTCGGCGACAGGGACGGCTACGGGGCTTACGTGGGCCGGGTGGGGGTCAAGCACGCCTTCGTCGACGAAGGAATGTCACTGGTGCCCAGCGTCCAGGACGGCATCTGTCAGGCCGTGGTCTGTCGGCCCGGGGAACAATTTTGCAAGACGGCGTACAACGTCTGGAACGACTGGGGTCAACAGAGGGATTGTGCGGAAACCGTGGATTTGACATTGACACTTTGTGGTTGAAGGATTTTCAGAAAGTTCACCGGTCAGTTGTCGGTCAAATCACCGGGAGAGAAGGTTTTCTACGCTCTTGAAACCTCAGAGTGAGGTCTGAGGAGGTGGTGTTGGTAGGTGATGTACGTGCGGGTGTGATCTGGGAAGGTGGAATGTGACGGGTTAGTATCATGGCCAGGGTGTTGATGGGCGTTTCCACGGTGCACGGCTCATGGTGTATGAAGCTCTTAGGAGCTTCTCACACTCACGATTCACGATGTTTTGTGTTTTGGTTTGTTGTCATATTTCTGCGTACTCGGGCATCGAGTAAGTTGGATGCCTTTGGGGAAAAAGTTCTCATTTTCATAGAAAGCGAGTATAAGCGTGTCTAGATAGATTCCCGAGATGGCAGTAGTAGTAGAAGTGGAAGTAATTCCTTGTTCCGTTCCTTTTTCGACAGGTTTAGATTGTCATTAACCAGAATAATCAAAAGCGTTCTTTTCTAAATAATTTAACAATAAAATGATTATGCTGATGATGATGATGATGATGATGATGCCAAGGGGCCAACACTGTCAAAATAGTCAGACACAGCTTGATACCGATACGCACTCACGCCATCAGGATTTAGAACATCGTGTATTCCAAACAAGTCCATTTACTCTTCTATATCACCCCCTTTTAGGCAGTGCTATGCTCAACCACAGATATGACCGCTCTCCAAAATGAAACTTTAGCTATTCATGCCAATGAATCAACACCCAAGGTCTGTGCAACAATTTGTGTTCTTGGAACAATGCCCGCTGGCGCCCATGGCGCGAAAGAATCCCATTTCAAAAAGGAGTTTCCCCCTAGATCTATCGTCGCAAAAACTCTTCAACCTCAAATCCGACTCTACGCTTCGCTTTTTCCCAATTCTCCAGCTCCTTGGCCTGATGTGCCGCGCTGGCTGGACCCGACATCGAACCCGACGTGTGATTCTCTCCTTGAGTCACCACTGATCCACCGGCGGCACCATTCTCCTCTCCCACAGTAGCCAAAGATGCGCTCCTTGTTCTAGTCGACATGCCAATGATGGCGGTCTTGACGATAACGGCACGACAGTCGTTCAATCTGATCTCCACGCCAGAGTGTCCTGCCGCCGAGCTTGACGAATTTCTCTCGCGCGCGGCCATGGGAGTATTGGCGACACCGCCACCAACAGATGTCCTGCTTGTTGGTTCAACCGCATCGATTTCATCGTCGACACCCTTGACCACAACCGTGATGTCTGGGCCGATACTTCCGCGCCAGAGAGTGGCAAACCACTGCCAGTGCCCCGGTGGTGAGAAGCCATCGCTGATGGGCATGGTGATCGACGAGGCATCAACGGTGGTCAGTTGGAAGTGTGGCACGAGGGCGATGGGGATTGCGTTGCTGCTGCCGCCGCCGAGACGTGGGAATGGTACTCGGTCTGGGTCAGACACGACAGACGTTGGTTGGTGAGTCCGTGATGGTGGCGGTGGTGGGATTCTGGAGGATGGCTTCGTAGTAGGTGGCGGGGTTGCAGGAGCTGGAGGAATACGGGTTGAGATTGGTGGTCGTGGAAATTTGATTGGCGATGGTCCAATACTGGACCCGCCTGTGCCCGGTATGCTTTGGCTGCGACCTTTGCATGAGGGAGATCGTATCGAAAGGTCAGCTGCTTTGTCCATGGTCTTGGGGCTGAAGACGACCGAGTTGGGAGCGGTGTTGGCCTTGCCATCCAGGCTATGAACGCCATTTTCCGGTGTCTCATGTTCCTCTCTCTTCTCCATAAGATGACGAGGGTTCGTTTGCGAGGTGTCATGAGACGAGAAAGACAAACTGGGTCTAGGATGACGACCTAGTTCAATCTCTCCTGGTCTTGTACTGATATACTCAACCATTTCCTTGCTGATTTGGTGCCACTCGCTGAGCATGCTCAAGTACATTTCAGTGGTCATTGTTCGGGTTGGCGCATCGGACGCGTCTCGCTCGGTGCGGAATGGTGCTGGTACTGGTCCCCCAAATATTCTGACGGCAAATTTCCCTTCTTTTTCAAGTTGTTCCGCTAGCGAATTCATCATGCTATTGACAGTCGCGGGATCCATGCCTTCAATCGCTATGATGGCACCACGGACTTCGGGCTTCGGAGAGAGTGGACCCGGAGGAGGCAAAGGAGCAGATATCTGAGAAAGAACCTTGATTTTGTTGAGGACTGGAATGGACATGATCATTGCTTCAACTCCGGAACCTTGAGAGTGGACGGATGGTGATTTTATCGGCGTCTGAGATACCATCGTTTCAATTGGTGGCAAAGCAATACTCGATCTTGTTCGTTGATGTGGATGAGGCGGTCGAACAGGCTGAAGCTGCGGAGGGCGAGGATATACTGCTCGTGGAGGAGAGACGATGGTAGGTTTCGCTACTTGTTGGACATGCTGAAGAGGTACCTGTGATGGGTGCACCTGCACAACCTCAGGACGGCTGTATGCGCTGTGGTGGACCGGTGATTGAGCATAACCATACTGTGCTTCGTGATATGATTCTCGAGCGGGAATATAAACACCATTGCTGTTGAAGCGCCTTCTCTTTGCATCCTGTGTGTCTGAAGATGGGGGAGTTGGGAGTGGCTGAGCCGTTGGCACCGCATAGACCAATCGAGGGTCGACTCGCTGGTAGGGATAGGCTTCGACAAATGCTTTCTGTTGGCCGATATGCTGAGGGGATGCTGGTGGCATTCGTTGAGGAGGTGGGTTGCTAACGACGTAGCTGCGCTTCGCCGGAACCTGTATCGCCATGGCTTGCTGCTCGGTAGAAGTTGGTGGAGTATATAAAGGACTCAAATTGTTGTAGTAACTCATTGGTTTACCACCGCACTTGCTGCAAGGATCTTGTGGCTCAGCGGCAGAAGGACCAGATATCGAGGGTTGATTGCTGACTTTGCCGTTCCGACGAGGTTGATAACGATAGCCGGGATACTGTTGCTGATGACGGGCTTTCTCTTCCTAAAGAGAAGCAAGTTAGTGACAAAAGGCTTTGTTCGAGTACATAGTTCTCTTTAACCCACTTCCGCAAGCATATTCCATTCCTCTTTAGCCTCCGACGACAGACCTCTCCATTGTTCACCAATAATCTTTGACACGTCCGGAATAGGCAGTCCTGGATTTTGTGCCATAATGCTGGACTGTCGATGCTGGCGGAACAACATGAACGCTATCACATCTCAGATCAGCCACTGAATCAACACTGAATACGACCGATGCAGATGGGGATGGGAGCATGCTCACAGTTCCGTGGTCTTGGGATCTTTGGCTCCGATGGACACAAGCATAAATGTTCTCTGGTATTAGGTCCGTTGGCTGTTGCCTCGGATTGAGGTTTGTCATCTGCCATATCCAAAGAGCCAGCACGTTTGGAGGGCGAAGCAGATCTAGAACTGGCATTTGATTTGGGTCTGCGATCTACCACATCGGTTCCATCTATGGGAGGAAGTCTCTCTGCAACTGATGATGGAGTCCTTCGAGAACAATCTTCTCCTGCATCATAATTAGCAGGCCGATCGCGAAAGATATGGTGTTGCGATAGCAACGAGGCGCGGTGCAATGAAGGGTTATGCTCATTCGGCGGCTTCGGTAGACGGCGATACCACGCTGGGGCAGGAGGAGGTCCGGTGGTAATGGAAGTCATAGCACAGTGAAAGGAATTCTTTGATCATGGCCATCCAGATTCCTGGATTGTTCAGGCCAACGAATAAACGAGAGCAGGATCACTGGCCTTTGTAGAGGGAACTTATAACTCACCATCCTCGGTCCACCTCCCATGGAGGTGCTTTCTCTCCCTGGTCTGACTTCCTTGTTGCAGATTGAGCCATGACGAACATTCAGATGCGAGGCTGGAGCAGGTCCAGTTGAGTTCCTTTGTTCTTTGCTGGGCCTGACGCGGGAAAATGCGGTCTTAATCACCGTGCACCCGAAACAATATCAGCAGGAATGCAGAGTGGACAAAGAGCGAGCCTCCTTCAAGTATGACGAGGTGGAGCGAGTTCATGAAACTGCGAACGACTGGGTCTTGAATGTGCCATCGTCGAACCATAAGGCCTCAGAATGATTGCTTCAAGGTTGGTCGGGTTTGGAATTGGTTGAGATGGCAGCGAGTTGAAATGCCCCCCATTACAGACGGGACTGGCAAACACACAAAGAATCCGATCTCCAAGTGGCAGAAATGATCAAGTTGCTTGGATTTCTGACAGTACGCTGGCGATTCCATGGATTTTGTTGCTAGGAGACACGGTTGAGAGAATGTGTTGATACAGTTGTTGGAGAGCTTCGAAGTGCTGCCACTACAGACACTTTCACACACATATTGCTTTCCACCCCTCGTAGACGTCAGAAGATCAGTGAGTATTGACAGGTATTGTTGTCGCGTTCTTGACCAGCGGATCTGTTGAATTATGGTCGTGCCGACGGGAAGAGTTGTTTGGCTGAACCACATCGAGGCCTTAGAATTGCGAGTGCGACCTGTTTCAACCAGCATCGTTGGCCTGCCATTTTACGAACCGCGGACCTTAAGCCGAAGGACAATTTCCTGAGAAAAATAAAATAGAAAGTAAACGCACGCAGAGCCAGACCATGGTGAAACCAGGTGAAAATTGGACGAGAATTCCCCAAACCTTTCGAGGTTGAAATCGTAGTCGAGCCTGAGCAAGAATATTGCTCAATAGGACGGTCCTGGATTCATAGAATCATAATTCATACTCATACACTCGTGCATGTCTATCTCTTCTGTTCCGCGGTGATCCAACAGTCCGAGCATGGTACATGGTCGAGGAGATCGACTCTCCTTACGTGACACTGTTCTAACCAGCAAAGACGCGAACATTCAAGTCTACGCTGGCAGTTGCAATAACACACCGAATCTTCCCTCCCCCGACACCGTCCTCCTTCTTTGTGGTCGTCGACACTCCATTGCTGTCTCCATTCGTCATTGGCTGTCCTGGAACATCGGGCGCCCATCTGATGCTGCTGATGAAGTGTTGGTGTGACTCGTCCACCACTTTGACGCATTTACACTCCTGTGAGAGATCCCAGCAACGGATGGTCTTGTCATCCGAGATTGAGAGGAGATACCGTCCACCAGGATGAAAGACAAGACCTCGGACCCAGTTGTCATGGCCTACCAAAGTCTTGTGACATGTGCCCCTGTTGTCCCAGATTTTGATGATTTTGTCTCGGCCTCCAGTTGCCAGGAATTCTCCACTGCTGCCCACAGGAGGAGGCTTTTTATAGCCAGCAATACCACTCAAGTGTACATACGAGGTACTTGGAGCAAATGCCACGCACTCTACTACGTGCTCATGTCCAAGGAATGTAATCTTCACCTCGCCCGAGTTCGCATCCCAGAGCCTTGGGATTTGGTCGTTGCCCGCACTCAGTAAAAACCTGCCATCAATCGAGGGTGTCACTGCCCTGACCCAATCCGTGTGGCCCTTTAATGTCTTCAGGCAATAACCTGTCGTTACATCCCATATTCGGAGTGTCTTATCTCTTGACGCAGAGACCAATGTATTTCCCGAAAGAGGTGCGCCGGCCGCGCCCGAAGGTATGAAGCGGATGCAGGAAATCGAATGATCATGTCCAGGTAACGTCCGAATGTTCTTGTACTCATCACTAGGATCCCACAATCTGATTGTCAGGTCGCTGCTACAGCTTGCAAGCAGTGTTCCCCCTCTCGGACCGCCAAAGTCTACGTCCAAGACTGCTTTAGTATGGCCTTTGAGCGTCCGCTCCAGCTCTCCTAATTCCCAGTCCCATATTTTGATCGTCGAGTCTTCGGAGGCAGAGGCGAGGGAGGAGAAAATAGGGTGGAAGGCCACAGATGTGACTGGTAATCGATGTCCTTGTAGAGTGTGTCTCGCAGGACTCCGAGGCAACCAGGTCACTGGGTCGATCTTGCGGTTAGATGAGAGGGGCGTCGCGGTATCAATCTCGTGTTGGAGAGCCGTATTCTTTGCCTCGAGGTCCATGATCTTTTTCTGAAGTCGCACAACCGAAGTCCATTTCTTCTCGAGGAGAGTCTCGTATTTTTTTGCAGTGGCATCGTCAAATGAGTCTGGCAGGTTGGATTCTCGTCTTAGGGCCACAGCGCTGTCGTTCATGCCCACAGAAATAAGATAAGCGACCATAGATTTGTGCCTGCAATTGTCAATGATTATTTCGAAGCCTGTTGTTCTCGTCACTAACAGTTCTTCCGCCTGCCGAGCGGTGAGGAGTTGGCTCATCCTCAATGAATTGGGCTGCTCGCCCTCAGACCAAGGCTCGAACACTCATGCAATGGTAGGCTGACGTCGCCCAAGCGATTATTACGACGTAGCAAGTGTATGTGGCTGCGAAACAGGGGTGTTTATTCTCTGAGGGTTCGAGGCACTGGATGAGGTTGAAGTTGCGAGAAAATGTGCCACAAATGCAGAAGCCTGATCTGTTCTCTGTAGAGCTTCAGCAGAGCAGGTGTCGATGCTATGTTGAAGTCCTGATTGTCGTGCTGAAAACAAGGAGGAGTTGTGGTTGTTGTTTGGTGGTCTTTGGTGGTGCTGGGTGCGCCCCCCATAGTGTTGTCATGCAAAAAAGGCCAATGTTTATCTTCCCGAACACTGACACCAACAACCACCACCAACTCCTGCTCCACCATCCACTTCCTTGCATGTGAACCACCAACAATTTGTTCCCAACTCGTGTTCGCGACATTGGAAGGTTGTTGTTATACGCAGAGCTTACCTTGTCCAATTTCAACCGCACCCTGAGAGAATAAAGGTCTGTGGTGACTGCGTTGTTCCGTCTCTCTTGCGCGGCGACGGCGCCTACCTCAAATGAACACACAATAACAGCAAGTGAGTTAATCACAAAAGGCCAGTTAAATCACTGGTATCTGACATTCCTGTCCTGCCTATTGCCACGCTGTTAAATGATGCCTGCTGCCTACTGCCTTACGTGAATGCGCTCACCTTGCTAATGTATTCCGACAGCCCTCTTAAACGTCCGACTAGAAAGAAACCTTCCTCTGCAAGGTTCCTCTCGATCCGACGAATCTTCTCACCTGGCACCATGGCCGACCAAGAGCAAGACTATTCTCAGCTCCCGCTGCCTGAGCGGTTCGCACACAAGATATGGAAAGTGCGGAAGGAAGGGTACGAAGCCGCTGCAAAACAATTCGAACTCACTGGCGATGAGTCGGACCCCGCGTTCAGACCCTTCTTACAAGACCCGGCACTGTGGAAATCCGCTGCAGGAGACTCGAATGTTGCTGCTCAACAGGAAGGTCTTGGGGCACTGTGTGCTTTCTTGAAGTACGGAGGCCAACAAGCGGCGGTCAAGTCTCGCAATTACACTCTACAGCCCATTTATGAGAAAGGCTTATTATCAACACGACCGCAAGCGAAAGCGAGTGCCCTCGAAGCACTGCTCCTGTACATCGAACTTGACAAGTCGGACCCAGTCATCGAGGAACTCCTGCCTGCCCTCTCTCACAAACAACCGAAAGTCATTGCCGCAACCCTCAACGCCATTACCGCTATTTTCCACAACTATGGTGTCAAAATTGTCGAGCCTAAGCCTGTGTTAAAAGCATTGCCGAAAGTGTTTGGGCATGCCGATAAGAATGTTCGAGCAGAGGCTCAGAATCTTACCGTTGAACTGTATCGGTGGCTGAAGGAGGCCATGAAGGCCATATTTTGGGGGGAATTGAAACCAGTGCAACAGCAAGACCTCGAAAAACTGTTTGAAAAAGTCAAAGAAGAGCCAGCACCCAAACAAGAACGTCTGACGAGAGCGCAACAAGCCGCCCAAGCTTCCGCACCGGCAGCATCTGGTGGTGACTTTGATGAAGATGAGGGTGGAGCTGAAGAAGAAGAGGTCGAAGTCGATGCTTTTGATCTTGCAGAGCCCGTCGACGTCCACTCGAAGATACCGGGTAATTTCTATGAGATGATTGCTTCGACCAAGTGGAAAGAACGCAAAGAAGTTCTCGATACACTATTCGACAGTCTGAATACTCCGAGGATCAAAGAAGCACCCTTTGACGAGCTAATACGGGCTCTCGCGAAATGCATGAAAGACGCCAACATTGCTGTCGTCACGGTTGCAGCCAATTGCGTGGAGAAATTAGCGCTGGGTCTGAAGAGAGGATTTGCGAGATACCGCTCGTCTATCATGTCTCCGATGATGGACAGATTAAAGGAAAAGAAACAGTCAGTATCAGATGCTCTCGGTGCCGCTCTAGATGCAGTCTTCGCTTCGACTTCTTTATCAGATTGTCTTGAAGAGACCTTGGGCTTTCTCCCGAACAAGAACCCCAATGTCAAGGCCGAGACCATCAAATTCCTCTCTAGATGTCTACGGACTACCCGCGACGTACCTTCAAAAGCCGAGCAGAAACTTATTGCAGATGCGGCGACCAAATTACTAACGGAGTCGAATGAGGCGATCCGGTCTGGAGGTGCAGAGATCCTGGGCATTCTGATGAAGATCATCGGAGAGCGCGGGATGAACCCATACCTCGATGGGCTAGATGATATACGCAAAGCCAAGATCAAGGAATTCTTCGACACCGCCGAAGTCAAGGCCAAGGAGAAGCCGAAGCCTGCGCCTGCGCCTGCGCCTGCAAAGTCAGCCCCTGGTGCTGGAAAGAAACCAACTGTTGGTGCAAAGAAGCCAGTGACCAAGAAGCCCTCTCCGACTGCTGCTCCAACGGTAGAAGACTCGGCGCCTCTTCAACCAAAGCCTACAGCTAAAGCGCTGCCCAAGCCTGGCGGTCTGGCACGCCCTGGTCTAGCACAGCCGTCAACTCTGAAACTTGGAGGTCTCAAAAAGCCTGGAGCTGGTCCCATGCCGAGTGGCGTGGCAAGTCCTAGTCGACGCGTTATGTCTCCACCTATGAGCACAGATGATGAAGATGTTGCTGCCCCTTCCCCCTCCAAGTTTGGCATGGGTCGTGGCGGGCTTGCAGGACGGCCGCTGTCAAGACCTGCTGTGGCCCCTCTGTCACCTCCATCGGCACCACCTCCGCTGACTGGTCTCTCGGCTATCGAACGTGCCGAGCTAGAAGAGTTACGAGCAGAAAAAGAACGTCTAACTGCACTTAGCGACAGTCTCCGAAGCAGCAATGCCAAGCTGACCGCCGAGATCTCAGAACTGCAGAACCAAAACGCACAGTTAATAGAAGACCATACAAGAGATGTGCTGCAGATCAAAGCAAAGGAGACTCAGCTCGTACGAGCACGAGGTGAGGTCGATGTACTAAAGGCTGAGGTTGAAAGCGTGCGGAAAGAAAGTGAACGATACAAGCGTGAAGTGTCCAGGTTGGGTCGGGAAAGCATTGGTCGAGAGCGAGAAGACTTGACGCGCGGACGAGTGGATGATGGTCCAAACTATGGCGTCGAAAGCGGCGGCATCTATGAAGACTCGACGATTCATCGCTACCCAGCCAATGGAAATGTTTCAAGACCTACGAGCAGCACTCTACAGAGAACAGGAAGCGCGGCAAGCTCGCAGGGTAGTCGAGCGCCCGGTACCAAACCTCGACCCCAGAGTGGCTATACTCTCAGTCCCAGCGAGGAGAAAGAGAATGGTGGTCTTGATCCGATGGCTGCTAGGAGGAAGATGAGTCCGCCTGTTAACAATATGGCGAATGGAAGTGGTCGAAGTAGTCCTCAACGACCTACCTTGGCAAGTAGGGAGGCCAGTGATGCTGGAAGTGTTGGCTCTAGGGAACCTCGTGCAGAAGAGAACTGGAAGCGAGCAGCCGAGGTTACGAGCCAACTCAAGGCTAGAATCGAGGCTATGAAGGTGAGTGTTGTGTTGATGGTTTCTCGGCGGATTCTAACGTGTGACTGTAGGCACGACAAGGTTTGGCTCGACCTTAGTTTCTGTTCGGAAGGCCAGATGGGTGTCCCTCTGTCTTGGGGTGCACTTATCGCGCTGGGATATTGAGGTGCTTTGTCTTTTTGGATTGCAAGGCGTATGTCGAGACCAAAGCAGCTTCATGACGCTTGGTATCGGCCCACGAAACCCTCACATTGTTCGGGAGTTTTCAACGCAGGTGCTTGCAGCTTTGAATCTTGTATGAAGTTTTTCCCTTCGAGATACCACTTTTTGCTCTCTGCACTGTTTGGCTGCCTTGTGGGTTCTGGAGGTTTGCGTTTGCGATCAACGATGGCGAGATCGGGAGCGAGAAAGTCGCAGACACAGACGTACGAAAAGACTGGGCAGGCAAGGAAGGTCTGTTTGGTCAGGCAGGGGTTTCTCTTGAGTGCACTGACTCCGTAATGTATATGGTACCTTTGGAAATGATGATGGTGATGAAACAGAGCTCTTCCCCATTTCTCCTTCTCTTACCTAACAAGGTAGTCACTTGTCTTGTTTAGGATTGTTTCCTTTGTTTTCGTCGCTCAACATTGAGGCGTTGAGGACCTTTCGTCGAGGGACATGGTCGAGGGCCTAATCGAGCACAGGATACCTGTTGCGCCTTGCTCGTACCCATACCAGACTTGTCTCGTTCATTATCAGGGAATTACCCTGGGACGCTGCGGAGTATAGAGAGAGTTAACTTGCAGGCAAGCAGTAGCAACTGAAACAGTAGAAGTAGAAGGGAGAAAAGTTGGGAAAGTGGAAAGTTGACTAGAGAAAACTTTGGTATCATTCATTTCATTTTTGACTTGATAGTGTGGCTAACGAAATCTTTTATCCCAAGTCACCCGAGAGTATGAACCTCGGGAAAAGAACGCCCAGACCACTCAACCGTCCAGGGATTTTGTTTGTGTGTCGAGAGTCGTAACATGTAGCGGACCACCCTCCCAGGAAGGCATCTGCCGGCATGTCCTCACGCCTTTTGTTTTGCCCCATCTTCGATCTGGTGAACGGGGCAAATGATGATGACCCTGAAAACATCATAAAATAACCGAACCTTGCTTGTTGGAGACCACTTCTCACTCAACATGCGTGCCCTATTGGTATTGTATCGCTCCGTCCACCCACCAAGCACAGCAGGCAGAGCCTCTGCATCATTCCCGGGAAGTTGTGTATGGAGGGACACAGGCACCATCTCTGCTAAAGATCACAAAACACACGCTCTTTTTCCCCACACTGCCATCGGGGTATGCCATTTTTTCTCTCAGTCAAAATTGATCAAACTTAGATCTTGATGGCACTCTCGATGGCCTTTCTCTTCTTCTCCTGCTTGGCCACGGCCTTGGCACCCATGATACCGCCGCCCCAGTGTCGTCGGTGCTCCTCGTACTTCTTGGCGTACCCTTCGTTGACGGCGCCGACGAGCTTGCTCAGCTCGGCCTTGTCGTCACCCTTGACCTCGGTCAGAGCCAGGACGGCGGCGGTCTTCTTGTGGACGACCGTGCCGAGGCGGGCCTTGCCCTTGACGATGGCGTAGGGGACACCCATCTTGCGGCACAGGGCGGGCAGGAAGACGACGAGTTCGATGGGGTCGACGTCGTGGGCGATCAGGACGAGAGAGGCCTTCTTGGACTCGATCAGGCCGACGACGTGGTTGAGACCGAACTTGACGGCATATGGTTTCTGTTGTGACACACCCACACGTCAGCTGTCTTGTGACCTCCCTTCCACGAACCCACAGGGCCCGCAGGCTGTATAATGGTGACAAAAAACCAAAAAGACATACCTTGGAAACATCCTCCTTCTTCTTGCCCTCTTGGACGGCGGTGGCTTCCTGGTGAAGACGCTCCTTCTTTTGAGCCTTGCTCTCAGGTCGGTACTTGTTCAAGAGCTTGAACGTCTGGGCGGCCGTGTTTCGGTCGAGGGTGTTTGAGAACTGGGAGATGGCAGGGGGGACCTTGAGACGCATGTTGAGGATCTTCTTTTGGCGTTGAAGACGGACATATTCTGGCCACCTACAGAAGACCGTCAGTATGAAAGATCCCATTTTGTTCCTTCTCCAGGTGAATAACTCACTTCACCATGCGCGACAGGTTGCGCTTGGGCTGGATGTCCTGGCCAATGCCGAAGTTTCGTGGTCGCTTCTCGAGGAGAGGGTTCTTGACCCGAAAGTTAGCAAAGCGTGACAAAAAAACCCCTTCTGGGAGACGGTTGAGAACTCACCTTGGCAGCCTTCTTCGTGGAACCGGCCTTCCCTTGAGGGAAGGGCGCGGGCGCGGGCTTCTTTCCTTTGGGTGGCTATCATTGAGAAAAAAAGAGAGATCATCAGCACAAATTGTTCATGTTGTTTTCTTTCTACTAATGATCCAAATCTTTTTTTGACTCTAAGGAGGACCTGGCGAAGAGAGAGGCGACAAAATGTGTTGCTACACACACAAAGTTGATTGCCATCTCAGTTCGCCAGAATCTCCAGCCAGTTGTCTTCACCAAAACAATGGTTGTCGTGTGTGTGCGCCGGCATCGCTGAGGTCTCAATCAAGAGTTCAAAAGAATGCGCGCGTACACACACACATACATCCATGGTCGGCGGCATTCTTCGAACGCAACGTTCCAGAGTGACTTGCTACAGCAACTCGGTGTGTGCATCGATAGAGAGACAGAGAGAGAGAGAGAGGGCGTGGTCTGAATCGTTTCTAGCTTACCATTTTGTGTGAAAGGGAGTTTCGTGGACGGTGTGGGCAAGGAGAGAGGCCTTTGAGAATGATGCGAACAATTCAATTCCGCAAATTCAAAGATCGCAAAATGTCTTGAGTGTGGAAGAAGGCCGTAGTCCTGAATTGGACTGGTGGGGCTTGGCGCGAAAAACATCGTTCACGTGACCCTTTGCCGATATTTCTTATTCCGGCCCTGACCCCCTTAGATAAGGTAGTTAGTTACAGTTAGTACGAAGGAAGACGAGGCAGAGTGTCAGGTTTGCTGCTACATACTAGACTACAGATGTATAGAAACGATCTTGGAGTTTTCATAGTTTATTGAGAGGCTCTTCTATTGATATGGGCGATTCAAGAAATGGGGAAAGCAATGAGAAACGAGATCTGCACATCTCGTTCCTACAAGTCTCCTTTGTATTCATGCTGCTACTCGTAGACCATGCCAGTGGTCTTAAATAACCATCCTCGCACTTTTCAAACACCCGCTTGTGCCTTTCTAACCAGTGCAAATATTGTTGCCACCTCTCTGGTGGACTTTCCGAACGAACGCCCTGACCACACATCGACACCGATAAAAATGCTATTTAAGTGTCACAACAACCCCCTTTCATCACTCTAAAATTGCACTCATGCAAAGCCGAAGTAATCCGCACCAAGGTTGATGGCTGTCATCAAGCTACTCTTGAGCGTGTCGTAATCATCGTAAGCCGGTAGATCAAGCTGATTGAAACAAGTATGGCTGGTAGGAAGGCGGTTCTGACTGGGGTCCCTAGGAAAGTAGTTAGCACCTGCGAGGAAGTATACGACAGTGGATGACTTACTTGTGAATGCTGAACAAGGTGTTTCCTTGCATTCCTTCCAGGTCTTTGAAGCCATTGAGAGGGACCTTGCTCGTGCCAGTTACGAATTGAAGCAATTTCGCTCGCTCTTCATTGCTCATCCCACGAACAATTCGCCAAAACCAAGTGATTTGTGCACTATTCGCTGTGTAGTTATGATACTCGGTGTGAGCGCGCCAATCATCCACATCGACTTCAGGTAAACCAGAAATCAATAGTTCTAGTTCTTGCTCATCAAAGATTGCAACCAGTTCAGCGGGAATGATATCATGGAAACCTCGAACGAAGTTTTCGAGCTGCTCTGAGACCGAAGTTGTGAGACGATAGCGGACTTGAGCATTGACATATTCTCGCTTGTTCTCGTCGGTGACGGGGATGTTTCTTCCGTTTGGGATCAAATCAACCACTTTCTCCTCACCAAACTGTTCTTCAATAACGGAGAAATCCTCGGTGATGACATCAGTGATGTCGTTTTCGAGGATCCAGACAAGACTCTTGTAGTAGTCGAGGTCCATTGACTCGAGATCCTTGAGGTTGGGTTCTTTTCCAAGAAGTCGTTTGTAGACTGCTCTGCTAAAGTGAGCATCAAGTACACGACCTTCGTGAAGTGCTTTGCCGATGATACGACCAATAAACTTGAAGTACAGAAGATGTTCACCATTGATCCAGCTGAGAGGATTGGGATGGAATGTAGTACGATCTGAGGCGACTGGTTGCCACAGAGCCCAGTCAGGGTTGAACATGCCACGAGCGAGCACTTGAAACCATTCTCGGGAAACACCTCCTGCGTCCACACCTTCTTCACCATTGAATCGAATGTTCAATTTGCCATATTTCATCTCATCGGCAGTCTTGTAATACAAGGCTTTGTAAGAGTCCTGGAAAACCTGGTCACGACGAACATTGAGTTGTAACGGTGGCTGAATGTGGCGCTGTTGATGGAGGCGAGAATGGATCTGTTTAGTGAAATAGGTGCGTTTGTTGTCAAAGTCCAGTACCTTTGAGTTCTTTACTAACAAGCTGAAACTGCCATTGCCCTGCATCAGTCTCGGTGACTGGCGGATGATGTCATTTAGGATTTTGCGATGCTCTGTGGTGAAATTGAAGAACAGCTCTTGAACTTCGTCCATGGTTTCGGGCGCTGGACTTCCAGGGAGTTGCTCGCGTACTTGTCGAGCCAACGCCGAATCCTTAAGAGAGGTATTTTTGCAAACAACCATGAGTGACTCGATAAGAGGTAGAAGCATTGTTGCAAAGCCGGTAATGTTGTCCTTGTCTTGAATTGTGGTAAGACACTCGCTCAGTTTGTTCCACAATGGTCGCAGGGAAAGAGTGTCGTAAGAAGTTGTAAGAATGCTCTTGGAAACACTCTTGTCGTCCGTCCCCTCCGCGTCTGTCTTTGCCGCAGAGAGATAATCCAATGCTTGAAGAACTCGTAAGAGTTTAACTTGATCAGATCCTCCGTGGGAAAACTTGATTGAAGACACTGCCTGAAGATCTGTAATTGACTGAGCATCCTTCAATTGAGGCAGGAGCTCCTCGAGATCTGTCCAGATTGACTGCGACAGATGTTTGACATGGCTGATCAATTCTTTGCTAAAGACGACTGCCGTGTTGGGAATGCACGAAAGGCTCCAGAGTGTCTCCAGCGTTGAGTGGAAAGTGTCGCTATTGCACTCTGGCGCCACGAAAATTCTCACAATGAGCTGGAGATTGTGCTCTGAAATGGCTGGTGGCTCGAATGGTTTTTTCGACTTTGCTTCCTCACTGTTCAGATCATCATTGAGGTCTGGTGTTTGAGTTTGCGGGATTGCGGCACTTCCAGTTGTGGGCTCGTTGTTTGCTGGAGTCATAGCTGGAGCATCCCTGATTTCGACATCTCGAACTTCACCGCTTTGTGGATCGTGAGCCTGTTCCACAGACGCGGGGGGTTCATTGGTTTGATCCTTCTGAGCAGGCTCTCCATCTTCCGACGTTTTCTCCTCCTTATCTTTGCGTAGCAGTACTGCCAATGGTTTGGTGACAGAAGAGAGAAGTTCCGCCAAAAACTGTAGGCAGCTGGAACTCTCTACGATCAACTTGCGGTCCAGGAGACCTATCAAGTCATTCAGAGGATATTTGACTGTCTTCGTTGACTTGGCTTTCTCCTTGCCCTTCTTTGAGGATTGGCTGACATCAATCTCACGGAGGAAGATGGTTCGAGTGTGTACGCTGTTCTGACAGAGTTGTTGCAACGCTGACAAGCATTGCTGCACAACGACAAGAGGAGTCACATTCTCTGCAAGACCACCACCAGGCTGCACCGACAAAGTTCGCTTCAGTGGTTGTGGGGTCTTCTGTCCCTGAGGGGCTTTGGCACGCAGGGAGAGATTTGCCAGACTCCGTTCCACAGCACCCACATCCGTCGAACCTTCCTTGAGAACCACCAGCAAAAGGTTGATAACCTCGAAGCGAGTCTGACGATTACCACAAATGTTTCGGAGGATGTGCCAAAGATTGGTACGCAATGATCCTTGCTGTGGAATGAACATTAGGCGTAGAAGAGTTGCCACGCCGGATTTGTCAACCATTTGCACAATAAATCGCTTGTTGTCACGCTGAGCTCCATCCCCAGGTCCTCTGCCGTCGCGTCCTTCGCGATCACCGACGTTAGGATAGTGGAAAAGGCGCCTGGCATGAGCGCGACCCTCGGCTGCATGTCTGGGGTCAAGCTGGCGCAAGATCTCAGGTGGTTGTTCAGCAAGGATGACCCGTCGAAAAGCCGGATCCAAAGTCGCAAGAAACGTGTCATTGTCCATTTCTTCTACCTGTGGCATGGCTCCAGCGCCGCCAGCAGCTTGTCGTCGAGCTGCTTCCCTCTCGCGTCGGCGCTGAGCATGGGCTTCTTGTTGTCGCAGTTCTTCTCGAATCTCCTCAGGAAGAGCATTCAGGAAGTCTGGGTCGATGACTGTGGACTCATCACCTTGCTCGCGTGCCTGGTCGCGTCGTAAGGCGTACTGTTGCATGACAACCTCTTCTCGCAATTCTTCGGGCAAAGCCTCAAGATAGTCGGTGTCAATGTCGAGGCCGGTAATGTCGAGTTCGCGACCTCGAATGTTGAAGTAGACGCGAGGTTGTGACTGAGAACGTTCGCCCTCGGCAGGTTGTTCTGGAAGCCTCGTTTCGGTGCCCTGAACATCTTCCATTGGCTCAGTGTCGCCATCATCATGGTCTGAGATGCTTTCGTCCTGTCCTCGTGCGGCAGTAATGGCTTCTTCAGCTCGCAAGCGTTCTTCTTCAGCTTTCGCTGCAGCCTCACGCTCTTCTTCCTCCTTCTGACGTCGCTCTTCTTCGAGACGCCGTCGTTCCATCTCTTCACGTTCTGCTTTCTGTTCTTCTTCACGCTTGCGTCGGCGTTCTTTCTCCTCTTCTTGAGCAAGAGGGACCAAAAGAGACGTGATGAGTACTTGAACACGTTGGACTTTATCAACATAGGTGTTGCCAAAAAGAAGACGAGCTTCTTCTTGCCATCTCGTCATGGTGAGGGCTGGGACAAAATTATGGAGACGAATCGAATTTTCTCGACCGTGATGGCGAGGTGCCATACCTGACGTGGCTGGTCGCAAGACATTTTGAATATCTGGAAGTGGTCCGGTCAACTGAAATTGAATCCGACCCTCTGCGTCACGATTATCACGATGCAATCCGACGCGCATAAGAAGGTCTTCGATCATTCCCCCATGGGATCCCGTTTCGATCGTGTCTCCTTGACGAATGATGGCCTGCAAAGGAGTGGCGCCGAAAAGGGGAAACCCTGGCATGCCAGAAACGGTATCCATTCCAGGGGCTACGAGGAAGTTGGGTCCAAGTAGGTCAATACGTCGCGAATGAGAATGATCCTGTTGAGGTCGTCTCAAGAGAGGGTTCGTGCCGTCATCCATCCCAGGTCGACCATGTTGTGATAAACGACCAGGGCGGCCCATAGCCATTAGGTCTTCCCGACCTCCGATTCGACGGCCCATGAAGCTGGACAAATGGGTGGAATTACGAAAATGTCGCGAGCGTGGACGTGCATGCGGAAAGTGCGCTTCCCAGATGACGCGCTCGCCGTCAGCTCCTGCGTCGGCCAAGAAATTGTCGAAATCGCCGTAGTCCATGTCGTCGTTCTCGTCCATTTCGTCAGCATCTTCGACGTCTTCATCGTCTTCGTCCTCGTCGTCAGGATCCCCATTGTCGGCAGCTGGGACTATAAGATCGGCCGGGATATGGTGGGTGTGACCGGATGGCTCTTCCATGTCGTGGTGTTCAAGGACGCGAAGGAGGTCACTGATGACTCCTTGATCAGAGGGGTCACCGTGTCCTTCGAGCGGCATCTCGTCGGCATCGAAACGGATCTCTTGTTCTTCAACTTCACTATCTCCATCTTCGTCGTCTTCCTCATCCTCCCACTCGCCTTCGTCGCCATGTATGTCATTGAGGCTATCGTTTTCATCGTCACCAGTGATCTCGCCCCCATGTACGTCGTCATCTTCTTCGACCATGATCTCTTCGTCATCATCATCGTCCTCTTCGTCGTCTGTATCCTCGTCGTCTTCTCCGTCTTCGTTCTCGTCATCTGTATCTATATCCATGTGAGGATTGTTGACGACAAATTCAATGTCCATAGGAACATCGCCAGGGAGACCCTCGATTTCACCCTCAGGGGGCATGTCGTTGTCAAGTTCTTCATCACTGACTGCCTCATCGTCGTTGGGTCCGCCAACGCCGTCGTCATATTCCATCTCGTCATCGTATTCCTCTTCGTACATCTCTTCATCGTCCTCTTCCTCTTCGTCTTCGGAATCCGAGTCCGACTCATGATCTCCATCTAACATACCCAAGGCGGAATTACTGAAGAGATCCGGAGTGTCCTCACGATACTCTTCGACGTCAGACACAGACGATGCTGAAGATATAAGATCTTCTTCAGTGCTTGAGCTTACGGAGTTGACGAAGTCAGGTTCGGTGAGACTGAGAGTTGTGGCAAGTGCGGTTAGTTCCTGCAGAGGTCGGAGTATGAATTTGACGACTCTTTTGGACCCGGGGAATGACAAGTCTATCTCCGCAAGTGAGCTCGTCAAGACCGCTGTGAGGTTCTTTTCGAACATCATTCGTGCAAGAGCCTTGTAGGATGGGTTTTGAGACCCGGCAGACCCATCAGGTACGGCTGGTTTCGTCAGAAGTCGGTTGAACATGTCTGCGAGACATAGTAGTTTGCTATACTTAGCCTGCCGAGAGTCACTAGATGAGATAGCGTCCTTGTATGATTTCATGGCATGCTCCAGAGCAAAACGCCTCACATATTGAAGTTCTGGTTCGTCGTTTGCATCATCAACTTGCGGGGGTGCTGAATAACGCGGCGACGGGGCTATCGCGCCAAATTCTCCGGTTTTGGAGCACAATGCTACTATCACTTTGATTGCCCACTCGCTGGTCAACGACTTTTTCTTGAACACGAGCGAGTCTTCCTTGTCAACATAACCGGAAGGGATCAGACTATCCAGAAAATAGTTGAGAACGTTGGCCCGAGGTTTCGAAGGCGTCGCCGCCTTCGGGTCCGCTTTTTGATTGAAAGTGATGAATTCAACCTTGGTACGATTGTAACAATGTAACAGCTCGGATAAGCTGTACATCAAGAAGCACCGGTAGGAGAAGATGGGGTGTTCTACGAGTTTGAACTTCGGCTTTTCGGCTTTTGACGGTGCTTGAGGCAAGGGCGTAGAGACTTCGGGCGTCTCTTGTGGAGATGATTCATCAGGGCTTTGCTCCGGCTTTGTGGCCGATTCCGCAGGTGGTTCCTTGTCTTCAACATTCCTGTATGTCAACATCTCCGAAAGAATGAAGTGAATAACTCCATCAGGATTCTCAATTATCGGAGGTCTCGCCTCCGAGATCTTGGTCTTGTTGCGGGGTTCCAAAGAATCATCGATGACCTCTGCGGTCGCTGCAGGTCGCATTGAAACATCCTCATTTTCTTTAGTCGGCTGAGGTTGTCCATCCTTGTTCTGCTCCTTTGACTTGGAAGCTTCGCTCTCTCTGAGAACAAGATTAATGGCTCCAGACCCATGAGGTGTCCATGAAGCGAGTTTGACCATTTCATTGGTGACTTCGACAAATAGTTCTGGAGAACGCAGAACCAGATAGTAAAGCTCCCGAGTATAGGCCGCTGTATCGAGCTGATTTCTGGGGCTTCGAGAATTGAACAGCGCTTTGATCTCACTTCGCATGATCTGCTTCACAGTGTCATCGTCTTCCACTATGTGTCGTAAGATAGTCATAAAGGAGCTCTGGAGTCGATGATTAACGCCGTTGACGAGCTGCTTGACCATCAGGAAGAGTCTTTGCAGATTGCGTTTCTCAGCAAGGCGGGTTGCGATGTCACGAGACCGAGTCAAAATGACGAGTACTCTTGTGACAGCCAGGGCCATATTTTGGTCCTTTCCAACGCGTGGAAGCATATTGACAAGTATGTCGAATAATTCTTGCTTCACCTCGTAATCAAGGACATTACCAGGGACTAGCTCTGCCCTGCTGCTAGTCTCAAGGTCATTGGGGGTATTCCATTTGACCTGGGCAGGCTCACTGTCCCTTGATAGCATCTTCTCGACAATCAACAGCACCGGAGCTATCCATGGGAAGGACTCATCTGTTGTCCGCCCATCCGACGCTGGTAAGCGAAGGAATGACAGGAGTCCGTCGAACGACTCTTGAAACACATTAAGAGTTGAATCGAGAACTTCACCACCTTGGATAAGTAGAGCGATGAGGTGGGCACTGGCGGAAACCTTCTTTCCCGTTGCTTCATTGCCACCTTCCTTTGAGTCTTTGTCGAATTGATTTGACAGAAGCCCTCCCAAGAGCACCTCAATTACTGCCGTCCAAAACTGTTCGTGACCTTCCTTCGAGGCCTTGGATGCACTGAAGATCAGGTCGGACAGTTCAAAGGTCAGATTGGGGTGGTTGTGCAGAATGTTGATGCAGCGCTCGGGAAGATCGTCTCTGAGTTCATGCCTCAGGCGAGTGAGCTCTTCAACAGTATAGGGCGCGGAAAGGGGTACATCGGGGGACGGTGGAGACAAGTGTTTTGACTGACGCTCTTGAGCAGCACCATCATCGTTTAAGATGTTGCTGAGGTCCATAGCAGATGACGTCGCCGGGCCGGAGTTGCCAATTGATGCGGACCCGGACGATGCTTGAGGTTCGGATGGCAGAACATCCTCCATCTCATATGAAGCAGAGGCGTTGTTGGCGACTTCAGCGAGTGCAGCTTCGATAGCCCCAGTGGCAGGTGAGCCCATCAATGCAGCTGCCAAAGGATTGGAAATGGGGCTCGAGATACTTGGAGTATCATTTGTAGTTGCCGGAAGATTGCCTTCCTGGGTTGGGATTGGGAGTCTTCTGCGCCACGGATTCGACTTGAAAGCTTTGCAGTATTCTTCTGCAGGGGTGTTACTACTGTTTAGCGTAGGATTAACACGGTACAGAGCCTCTCGGGCAAGACTCTCATCATAGCCCTTGTCCTTGAGATAGTTGATTCTTTGAAGGTCAATGCTCAACTTTCTTGGAGAGAATGACTCTAGCTTAGGTATGCTTTTCCGGTCTCGGATGGCTTCAGTCTCGTGGTCGGCAGTTTGAATATGATTCAGAATGGAGATCAACTTTTGTACAACATCATTTGAGGCCTGATCAGCATATTCACTCTCCCAGATCAACTTTGTCAGGGGAATTGCTTCCGTGCGTAGGTTCACAAGGACTTGTCCAGGCACGAACCAGACCTGTTTGCTCGGGTCGGTCATCTTCATGGTGTTTGATTGAGCAGAGTCCATGATGTTTTTGGAGTTGGTGAATTCATCTAAGATATCGAGGCAAATCTTGAGGCCAGTGTTGGCAGAGAACATGAACTCTTCCACCTTGCAAGACTTCAGCTTATCAAAAAATTCTGTTCCAATAGATGTCAAGCTCTTGACACCGCCAGCATCGCGGAAGGCCTCAATGACGAAGCTTTGTCTAGCGGGCAGTGATATCGGGCCGGACGTAGGATGGCTGTCGTCGAAAAAGCTGCGGCGGATATTGTCCAATGCAATCACCAAATATGTAAACCGAGAGGTGACGTGTTCTTCAGTGGCCACGGGATTAAGAAAGTAGGGGTGAAGTTCGGTAAGATAGGCTGTCGCTAAAGCCCTCGCGGCCATGGCATTCTTCTGGCGTGCGAAAGTGTCGGGACGCCGTCGCCCTGTGATCCCACGTCCTAGGCGGCAAAGGAACTCGGTAATGGCTGCAGGGGTCTCAACAAGGAGATAGCGCAGAGTTTGAAGATTTTTGAACGCTGCAGTTTGCTTGTCTTTTGCTAATTGAGCGTTGTTGACAGCGGTGGTAGTATCATTCTCTGGTGAGTTCGAAGCTTGGTCATTATGAATCTGTATGCCGTTCCCACGAACACTCAAAATCTTGTCCACTTCATCATCACCCGTTGAGAAGTTTTCGGGGCGCGTTTCCAGAGCCCAGCCAGCAGGGATATCAAGCTGGATGGCAATATCTTCTCGGTAACAGGCGGCCGAGATTCCACCCATTGCCTTCACGATCTCAGCCAAGATATCTGCAAGATTGACCTGAGAGAACAGCAAATTTTGAGTTGATCTCGTGTTGTACATGGGAGCATTGAATACTTCAGCCAAGACTTGAGCGATGCTGAAAACAGTCATCAAGGCCCTAACCACTTGGGTTCCCGTAGTCTCGACGCCTTGACTCGGAGATGGAATTTCGGAAGACGCGGGGTTCGGGTTGACCAACTTCCCAAAGTAGCTTGACCAATCTTTGGGTTGACACTGAGCAAAATGTCTCAGCTCACTGCACGCGAAACGTGCGCGGTCCAACAGGGTAGGTAGGACGATGTGAGGTTTGCACTCTGCCATCATGTGTACGGCAGTGGCCACTTCCTGAAACATCCCAGTAATCCTGTCGAAGGGTTCATTTGAGACTGGTAAGCTTGGAAGAGTCACAAGATCCAGAACCAGATCGCAGGCTCCGTGTTCCAAGAAGATGTTGCACAGACTCTGGTTTTCGAAGAAAGTGGCCAAGAATCCAACGGCAGGTCTAACATAGTCGTTTGCTTTGAGACCATTATTGTCTTGATCCCTCGGGGCCTCGGATACGATACTTGGCGGCAATATCGAGTCTTCGACAGTCAATTTGTTGTCATTAGGCAATTCGAGGACACGAGGTGGAGGAGTGATCCCATCTTCTGATACTGGAGGGGGGGCGATTTCAAGAGAAAGAGCCTCCCGACCCCCACAAGGTGCCAGCGGCTCTTGAGAAGGGAGCCAGAGTTTGGGGCCAGCACCAAAATCGACAGACAGAGCTCTGCTGATATGTCTCACGCGCGACATCATAACAATGACGGCGCTCATGACTGCATTTCGCATGTTAGGATGGTGGCGAATGAGCTCATCAAATGTTGATCCAAGAAGCGCGAAAACATTGGCATCAGTCAACACTTTGACATGTGCTGGCGATTCGAAAATCTCGAAGAACTTTTCCAACACCCCAGAGGCCTTGAAATGATCAAATCCAGCATTTGTCAGACATATAGCACCGAACGCCTGAGACACATTCACTATTGCATCTTGCACCGGTGGTATGCCTTGTGGACGATTCTCAGGCCGGGACGACACGGACCTCGGATTTCGACCATCCTCAGGTTTCTGGCCCACGGTAACGGTCTCCAGGAGACTCTGTATGATGCCTGCTTCCGAGATGACAGTGTAGCTAGTCGGCTCATTATGGAGGAACCCACATATCGCTTTGACAACTTCGCTCCAGGTGTGTGCACCGAAGGCGGTCAAATGATCAGTGACGAGACGGAAGGCTCGGAGGAGTGCTTGGGAGTCGACCAGGCTTCTCAAGACACGATCTGCCTGAGCACCTTGGTGAGTACTGATGTCATTGATCATATCAATGATGGAGCGAATGATCTGCTGGTGCATATATGGAATTTCATAGTCTGTAACGCGAGTCTTGTACTGGACCGGAATGCCCTCGCCGTCCTGCAGCATGGACCAAGCATTATGCACCAATTTGCTCAAGAGGTTGCTAATATGTTCGTATGCATTATTTGCCAGCAGGGTCGTGAGGCCATCCTTGAAATGGTGGAAGAACATTTTGATAAAATCAAGCATCTGCAAATGGACACGCAGAGCTTTTCCACTTGTGATATCGAAGCCAGACAAATATGTGGTGATGAAGGTAGTAGCGATGACAGCCTCACTCGACCGGCCGTGATGACCAGCTACTTCGATCAGGGTCCGAGGCATAGAGAAAATTGCTTCGCGCCATTCATCCCCAACTGGAGTATCGGTGCTGTCGTGGTCCTTAGCAATGTCGTGCAAGCCTTTGAGGATTAATTGAGAAAGAAGGCCTTGGGAAGAGCCAGCCCCTAAAGCGGTATTAATCTCAGAGCCGAACGACTTGAAATGAGCCAGATAGGTCATGGTCTCCATTGCGAGGGTTTGGAGGTACAAAGACACAGAGGATTGTCCTTTTTTCGCGTCATGAGCTAGACTCACAAGCTGCTGGATCAACTCATGAGGCTTGTGCATTCCTTGTTCGCTCGGGAAAACCTTCTGAGAAAAGTCAACCTCATCATTGAAAACATTGGCGAGACTCATGATGGCGAGTAATCGAATAGCGAGCAGCTCCTTCCGAGTCTTTGCCGAAGTCACCAAGCCGTACGCGACACGAAGCTGGTGCAGCAGCTCGTATCGTGAATTGGCCGGCATTTCTTCAGGCTGATCCCGCAGGATGGATTCGATCGAAGTGCTCGCCAGTTCTGTGTAGGTGAACTCGACACAATGCAAATCACCTTCTGCTTTCTGCCGTCCACCCACCTTTTCAGGAGAGTGTGCATTTGGTGGACTATTCGTATCTAATCTGCTGAGCCCAGATGATCGTCTAGCAGGGGTAGGCGTCGATGGAGCGTCTGGTAGATCGGAAGAATCCTCGGTTGCAATACTGTACTTTTCGGAGCTCTGCGATGACCACGTAACCTTGACATACGCCCACGTCTGCCATTCTCGGTCAGGCACGAACGCAGTCTTCCCGCCATCTTTGTGATTCGATGCATCCTTACACAAGGAGCGGAAGTCACTGGGGCTGACGGTGGCAGAGCTTCGCCTAGCTTTGGTAACATGGCTTCCTTTCTCTTTAGACTTTGTTGTCTTCACCGGAGATAGAGTGCCGCGCTTGCTTGATGGCAGTAGCTGTCCTAAGGGCGCCGCCAACTTTTGCAGACGTTCGTGATCAAAGTCGTAGAACTTGCCCGCCGACGGCCGCGATCCAAGAGATCTATCGGCGAACCGCTGTGCTAAATAGAAAGTGATGCGTAGAGTGGTATGAAGAAGGGACAAAGACGTGGTGTTGAGCAGATCGTTTAAGCGATCTGTGCTGTTGTAGACTGTACGATTCGCGCACTTTTCAACCAGCAGCTTCGAGAAGACCAGGATCGCTTCCACCAGTTCTCTGTCACCTTCCGGTCCAAACCCTAGCTCTTTCAATCTCTTCTCGTCGGTTCCGGGACTTTGTTCGAGAAGTAATGAGATACCAAATGAGGTGGTCTGTGGACCTTTATCCAAGCCATATTTCGCATTGAAAGATTGGAGGATGCTGTCGAATCGATCAAGAGGTTCGATCCAGTTGTTCAAATCGCCACGAGGGTATGGCCATCTTTGTGACCAGCCGCTGAAGAGGGCGGGTAGATCTGCGAGAGGGACGGTGGAAACTTTCTGGACGAGATCTGACACCGCAGGCGACTATCGCAGCAGAATTAGTATGGACGCCATACTTTGGCCTGAGAGTTGGACTCACCAAAGATACCTTGTGCTTCTCCTGTGGCTTCCTCGTAACCTTCCCCATCTTCACTGAACGCCGCTGTGTTGCAGCATAGGCTGCATCGAAGAAAGTGCAATTTCGTTCAGCCTGAGAAGTTCACCAGAGTGCGACGACGGCTCGGAAATTTAGGGAGATTAAATCTGTAGGATCTCGATTCAAACTCCTGGTCTACTCTGACGATTTGGACCGGTGGCCACAGATGGGAGGTAGATGTGATAATGCAAGGTCCGGGGCAAGAAAGTCTCACTGTAATTAGAGAAGTGCGGCAGGAAAGGTGTACTGACCTCGAACTCCTTGCTTTCGGAACGGTACTGATATTAATACTGCAGATGAAGTTGTGTACAGTAGCAGTGAGAAGGAGAAAAGGACGAAAAGGACGAAATGTGTGTTGTGTGCAGTGAGAGCGATTGATCGATCGGATGGTTTGCTAAGTGAAGGTGCTGGAAATAAGGAAGCGCATGCAATAATGCGGGTTCGCGGGCGTCAGGGCTAAATTTTGAAAATGACGTCTAACCCCAATAGCCACAAAACGCCTGGGTAAGCCTCGTAAAATAATGCAGGTGGCCTCGTGAATTTTCCCGGATGTATCAAGCCTTGCCCCGTTTCCTTGGTAAGCCTCCCTCTCCTCCCTCTTAGTTTCACTGCTTCAAGTAGGTTCCTTAGGTAAACTGACACATATTGACCGACCTGGCGCACGAGGCTTGGTGAATTTGGTCCAGTATTATTTAACAGCATTATCTACTTTACCTGAGGTGCCTTAGCATATAAGGCATCATTCTGAGGGTGCCTTTTACGGAGTGCTGCTGCCTGTTATTCTCATACCAAGTGACCTTCAATAGAAGGCTGCCTTCCCCTCTCACATCACTCTTTTGGCATGCCACTACCATCGGCCCAAGAACCCAAGGGCACCAAGTCTTTCATTGTCTCGCACATCTAGGCTAGCGAACGTCGACGATCAAAACCCTGCAAGTCTTAGACATCATCGCAGCCTCCGAGTACCCATGATAGATTTAATATTGGATTGACCTAGACGCGATTTTCTGGCATCATATGTTTCTGCCAGTCGATCTTCATCGACAAAGGATGTGGGAAGCTCATACTCTCCTCCTTGTTGAGATACGTGATCAAGTCGTTCCTCCGTAGGGTTCGGAGCTCTCCAACCAGGCCATCTGCTCGTCTCAATCCCTGTAGCTGAGTCATGACTTCGAGAGCGGCAGAAAACGCCGAATCACCCAGTAGTTGACATAGGCCTGCTTCCCCTCCTAACTCAGCTGGTGAAATGTCCTCGTGCTCCTGTGAGAGTTAGCAGTTGATGAAGATACGTGATAGAGTGGAACTTACTACGACGCAGATGACATGTTGTCTCGGAGAAATCTCAACTTGGTGGCCTCCGTCCTCCAGGGAGAATGAAGTCAACGCTTCCCTGACGAATGTCGTAGGGGAGAGCTTGTTCATCGCCTCTTTGACAGATTCACGAATCTTGTCTTGTGGAATCTCGGAGAATTTCTCCTGGTCTTGTCCAAGAAGATAGTTCAAAGCTTCAGCGAAGTGCCGTGAAAGATTCACATAGAGGGCGGCAGCAGCAGGGATGACTTCGTCCCATACGATTTGTTCAAATGGCATCCCCATATGGATACACGCTCGAATTGCTGTGGTCATGTAGTTTTCAAGGTCACTAGCGGAATGTGAATGTAATCCAGCATTGCTGGTCCTGACAGTCTCAACGCGACATTGCAGAGACTCAGCAAGGTGGCGAAGGGTCTTCTGCAGCTTCGCACATGTGGCAAACTGGTAAGCAGAATCTTGTGTTGTGCTGAAACAGGTGTATACAGAGGAAAGCAAGAGATCTAGGTCGTTAGAGGGCATGTGAAATATGTCCGAAATAAATCGTAAATGTGCTTTATTGAAGACATCACGTACAATGTCAACTTGTTGTCGTCCCGCAAGCTCGTAAGCCTCGTCCCTGATAAGTCGAACAATGACATTTGAATAGAACTTCTTGGTGACTTCCGCAAGGCCATCAGATTCCAGAAGGGTATTTGCCAAAATGGGCGATTGCTTGGAGATCCACCCAATACGACGGCCGACCATGAAAGTTTCAGGGTGCCATGTAGACCGGAAGACATCCACGTCGCTCATCATCAGCTTATAAGCGCCAAAACTTGTCAATCTGGTGGGCGTATTCACATGGACTGGCTTGTCGAAATTGTACAGATGTGCCTTTTTCAAACTGGTAAGGATAGCCTTGTTCTCTTCAGGAACCACCAAGGGGTAGTGTGCATATATAGAATCTCTTCGATAGCTACTCGGCAAAGCATTCAGAACGAGCTTGTACATGACGCAGCCATAATCTATGGAAGGATCTGAATCGGCTCGGGTGAATCCATAATTTGTGAGATTTGCAGGAGTATAGTCGACCGTGTAAAATCTGTCACCTCTCACTAGTGCCACAGCGTCAGAGAGTATGGCCCTTGAGGTCGTAAAATTGGCACAAAGCCCGCTGCCAGGTTGCTTGGCTTCTTTGGCGGCTTCCACTACCACCCCAGGATAAATCTCGACATTGTCCGGGTGGCCGTACAGACGCTGGAGTTGCTCTGCAATGTAAGGGTCAGGATTGATGTCCTCAAATTTCTCATAAGGCTTGAGTTTAAAGTATTGTCGGAATTCATTGAGACTGGCCAAGTTCCATGACCGACTCTGTATTATCCCTAGAATCTCTACGTTTTTGAGGATCGGAGGTACATGACTTGCACCATACCTCCCAGCCACGTCAGAGACTGCATTGGTCCAGATGGCTGACAAGTCCTCGTCAGAATATGTGCCGTCAGATGAGCGTTTGAGGTCAGCGAATGGTCGTTGAAGAGGGTCTTGACTCAGACTTTGTGTCCATTTGTTGAGCTTGGAAAGGAATTCACCCATATTGGTAGGTTTGGCTTCTCCGAATAGTTTGTGATAAACCTCTTTTGTCCATTCTTCATCTCGTTGCGAAACGCATGAGTGCCAGCGATACACAAGATTAAATTCCGCTGACACTGAGTTTCCAGTAGCTTCAGGAATTTTGTGGCCAAAGATGGCCTTTCCCTCATCCGACCTTGGGTCGAGATTCCAAGCACTGTCGACTCGATTCAAGTTGAGAATGGTTCTCACATAGTCCCTCATAATAATGTTGATGTACAACCCAGTGGTAATCAGTCTGGCAGTCTGAAAAAGGGCCTCATCATAGTCTTTTCTCGGTTCCGAATGGTCCTTGGAATGCCTAGGCGAGTGCAGGATCTTCGAGAAGCGCCCACCTTCATCGATGAGAGCTAGGTCTTCGGCAATGCGATTGTGGAACCGATTGAACATTATGAGAAGGACACCCACTCCTGGCGGAAATCCAAAAACCCTGATGTCTGAGAAGCAATCCGGCTTTAGCTTCCCATTCTCCATTGTCCGGACTGCTTTTTGTTGCTCATCAGAGCTACCATAGAGTGGCGCCAAATCAAGATAAGAGTCCACCTCTGAGATGTTATAATCGTCATGGCTAGTATGAAAAATATCGTGAATGATGATGGTGGCGACGTAGAACAGCACGCTTGAGATTTTATTGGGATGGGGTTCGAATCTCTGGCGAGCTAGAATACTGTCGAAGATGATCCCAGGATCTGGACGAGCCACAGGCTGTAAGAACTGTGGGCGAACTGTACGAGCATAAGGTTGCCCCGCAGCACCGAGGTGAGGCCATAGAATATTGTTCCCCGATCCATCTGCATTGCGAAATATGAACTTGTGGCCTAGATAAGATTGAGGAGGGTGTTGAAGATCAGTCCATAGCACGTTCAGAAAGGCATTGGTTAAAGTTGCGCTTGTTCTGCTGGTCACGGGCAGGTCTGCGGCGAGTTGAACGATGCGTTCCATAAGATAGGTTTTGTCGTCGATTGGCTCGCCCTCGACTCCCACGAGCGCGACATCTTTAACTGTCTTCAAATTGCTGAGGTTGAAGGCTCTGAGAACATTGACAACTCGTTTGGATCTTGTAGTCTCGTCGACTGACCCAGACATGTTGGAGTCGGCGGAGCCTTGTCGACCACGACCGTCTTTCTTGACCAAAGAATCCGATTGAGCGGTTGACCCCAGCGGGAGATCACTTGTTTGAGCTTGCGGATTCTCAGGAATACAGACCATTTGCTTCAATTTTGAGAAGGGAGACGGCATTCTGGCTGACTGAATACTCCTGGAATCGCAACCAATATGAAATGGATTGTCAAAAGAGACGGTTAGCTTGTGAAATACTCTGGAAATCTATGGCATTAAGAATGTCCGCTCCAATTGTCAACTCGAAGGTGATTTGGTTCACTTTGAAGCGTTCAGCAAGGACAACACAGGGAATACCACAACAGCAGAGCAAATGAGGAAGGATCGAATGAGATTTACCCATTGGGATCGGCAGCCAGCCCCTTTACTTGTATCTCGTACGGCTGAGATCTTGGAGATGGCGCCACCAAATAGTCCCAAGCGTTGCTGCAAGCCATTCGACGAGACATCAAGCCACCAGAAGCCATGTCTAATAGAGGCTTGCCGATTCATCCACACAATTTTTCCATAAGGGGGCCGCGCAAAGAAGGGCAGCTTTTTAACGCAGAATTTGAACGTACCTAGCGAACGTGACGCGTAGCCATGTTGTTGTCTATGGGCTCCTCGGGATCTTTGTACTGCGCACGAAGATGATTGCGGGCGACGGCTTATGCCGCGATTGGCAGCTTTGTCACACGCCCACATTATTACAGTAGCTCCTCTGCGCCTCGCGTCAACACTTTTTTCACAGCCTCATACAGAACATCGGGACCTGGCAATTACCTACAACAAGGAGACTCATAATTGAGCCTCAGATCGCCTCCCAGATTCCCAGGTCATATCCACCAGAATGACTTCCAAACCTGTGACACTACAGGTGCGTCCTCGAGGTATGCTTGACGAACAACGGCAACTTCATTCATTGCTAACAACACTGTAGGGAAGCCCATAAAGACACTCCCAGACGCTCTCAGCGTGGACAGCAGTACAACGGCGGCCGAAGTATACTCGGAGCTCGCTAAACACAGCAAATATTCTATTCACCAATTGCGGGTCACCAAAGGCTCGGACGGCAGTGTCATCCCGAATGCAAAAGATACCACAGTGTATGCGACTGGCTTACGGGATCAGAGCACGATATATGTCAAGGATCTGGGAGCGCAAATTGGATGGCAAACCGTTTTCATTATCGAGTATGCTGGACCGATCATAATACATCCTCTGTGGCTCGCCCTTCGCCCCTACATCTACCCTGCAGCCCCTCAGAATGCTTCGCAAGCTCAGACATTGCTCTGCTGGCTCATCTGCCTACACTTCGTCAAGAGAGAGCTGGAGACGGTTTTTGTTCACCGTTTCTCGGCTGCCACCATGCCTTTCCGCAACGTTTTCAAGAACAGCTTTCACTACTGGGCCCTTTCGGGAGCATTGATCGCAGCCTTTATTTATTCACCATCGTCTGCTGCAGCAGCAGGCCCGACATCTGCTCTCATGTATCCGGGCTTAATCCTTTACGTCATTGGCGAGCTCGGGAACCTGCACTCCCATCTGACACTGATGGGCCTCCGGTCGTCCGGGGGCAATGAGCGTGGAATTCCACAAGGACCATTCTTCAGACTTGTTACATGCCCAAACTATCTTTTCGAAACGATCTCATGGCTGGGAGTCTACCTCGTTAGCGGTCTAAGCTGGGGTGTTCTCATCTTCATCTTAGTGAGCGTGCTGCAAATGGCGCAATGGGCGAAAAAGAAGGAGCGGAGATATCGCAAAGAGTTCGGAGACAAGTACAAGAAGAAGCGATTTACCATGCTGCCGGGTATCTGGTGAAGAGAGGGCCACTGCAGGGCATTGGGGAGAGTCGGTGATACATTTTGGAGGAATGAAGTGAAATGCACCCGAGCCCCTATCGCAGCCGCTATCGAAACCTGTGTTTTCGCAAATGCTCGCCATAAATACTCTTACATATACATGAATAGAAGTAGAAAGTGGAAATCACAGGTACAAGGCCACCACAACCAAGTTTTGGTCCAAAAATATCATGCATACGGATATGCCTAGCCGGCTTGTGTCCGGAATCCCTTCTGCAACCTGTACGGAGTATGAGAACGGATGGTCTGTTGATCATTTGGGGTAATTAAACATCCACGACAAAACAAGTCCTTTCTTGAGTCTTAACTGATTGTACTCCGTAGACGTGGAAGGCAATTGGTAAACAATCTCAGCCTTGTTGTATTGAGGAAGAAGTCCGCAGCTACGGAGGCAGACCTGTACGAGCACCAAGGTGACAGATTCACTAGATGTCACCCCTTCATCCCAAGCCGTAGACCTGCCTGCGTATACGAGTTTCCTCCAGACTTCACAGACGCCCAACGCCAACACACCTCCCTCCATACACGCACAGGCACAGGCACAGGCGCGCCATTCCAGTTCCCGACATGCGAGAATGAGAAGTCTTTCACAAAACTAAGACCGTTGCTCCAGACGAGATGCAATTCGCGATACCACCTCGCAAGACGTCGCAGCCTCCCCTCTACGCACGCACCAATGCCAGTGCATCCGCCGCTTATAAACGACGAAGGCAGTTACAGTTGCTAGGTTACATAGTACTTGGCCTCCTCACATTCTACCTGACTCTGAGCTTCTGCTTCTCGGGATGGAGCGAAGACGCTGAAGATGGCTCAGCTGTTATCGAGGGCCACCAGGACGTGGTGCTGGTCACCATCTTCGACAGCAAAACCATGAGTGACGACTATATGAAGATTGTCAAGGTGAATAGAGAAGACTATGCTGCCCGTCATGGTATGAACAATTTGCCGGTCTACCCATGTAGGTTAGTTGAAGCATGCTAAGGTTCCTGCCAGGCTACAAAACCTTCTACACCGACGTCTCGGGCTACAGCAAATTGGTCGACCCAGCACCCTCCTCGTGGACAGTCATACCAGCACTCCGGCATGCGCTAACAGACCATCGGTCGAGCGAATGGTTCTGGCAGCTGTCCGCCGACGCCTTGATCACGAACCCTGCCTTGTCGCTCGAGTCTCACGTCCTGCAACCCCTCGAATCGCTCATGCTGAAAGACATACCTGTCGTACCGCCAGACTCGGTGATACACACATTTTCCCACCTGAGGCCTTCTCGAACGCACCTGATCCTGTCACAGGATATGGACAACCTCGCCCACACCTCTTTCCTCCTCCGCAATACTCCCTTCACGCCCTCGACTCCAGACAATTGGGCACAGTATCTGCTCGACGCCTGGTTTGACCCGTTGTACCGAGCATACTCGTTTCAGAAGGCGGAAAATCATGCCCTCGAACATATTGTCCAGTGGCATCCCACGATCCTAGCCAAGCTCGTCCTGATAGAGCAACGGCGTTTCAACTCGTACAACTACGCAACACCACCGGTGCGTAATGGAGATGGCAACCTTCGAACGCACGATAGTATGTGGCAAGAAGGAGACTTTGTTGTGAACCTGAAAGGTTGCAGAGAAAATGACAAGCGGAACTGTGAAGAAGAAATGAGACACTACTTGGCCATGTGGGAGAAAGAGATTGAGAAACTAGATGGCAAGGCACCAGCACATGTTGGCCCTGCCCAACCAAAACCACAACCTAAAGAGGAGAAATCGCCGGGGAACCCTGCAGCAGCAGCTTAAGCCCTTGAGTGATAGTGATGCTGTTCAGTATCAGGCTTCTATGGGGTCGGGGCGAAGTCGTCCACTTCGGCGGGGCGTGGTGCTTTATTAGGAGCAATAAAGATGTCAACATCATTCCAGGTGCTATACGAAGTGAATACCATAAGACCATCATCGGTGCCTCTTGGTACCAGCAGGAGCTGCGTCCAAGGCTGTTTTTCCAGCATAGCGAACGGCGAAGTCGATTCCAAATGTACTAACAGAAATAGAACAAAATGAGATTACCAAGATTTCTTACAGGCTCTTCAACACGCTCACACGTTGACTCCGTCAAGGGACAGGCGTACAGATCTACTGTATTTTCCTCCTCATCTCAAATCGAGTATCTCGTCCTCGGTCGTTCGTGAATGGGAGATGTAATTGAGCGATGAGAAGCGGAAGACAGACTGTTCAAGCGAAATCGCCTCGTTCGGCCCGCATCTTGTCGTATCTCAGCACTGCCCCGAGCAGGACTTGTGCTCCAATGGCACTACTTACTGTCAGCAAAATTCGCCTGTGGTCATAGTTGTAAATGGCACTCACCAATCTTCTGGACTGCAATATTCTACGGGGTTGTGACTGATGCCGTCCTTGGTGGGAGTGAAGATCATGCTGGTTGGGCATCGGCGGTTTGTATAGCAACTGTCATGTCCTGCGCCGCTGATCATGTATCTCCAAAGCTGGCCATCGTCGGCGGTCATGGGTAGTTCCTGTACCACTTCTTTGGCGCTTGCTTCGACAGCGGCGATGCAGTCGGCATGGAAATTGACCGCAGGGCTGTCGACTAATTCCTTCCATTCGATCTTACATCCCTTCTCGCTCTCTTTCTCCGCAATCCTTGAGAAGGCGGTCCTGCATGATTTTTCGATCTCGGCCAGTTTGTCGTCTTGGGTGTGCCGAATGTCGAGCGTGAAGGTTACCGTATGAGCCATGGTGTTGATCGAACCGGGTTGACCAGTCACTATACCCGTCGTGGACAGGCCTCCATGTTCCTTGGAGATCTTGTTGGACTCGACAATCAACTTTGCGGCACAAAGCATCGAGTCCATTCGAGCATGGTAAGGAGTCGTTCCAGCATGAGAATCACGGCCCTTGACGGTTATTTCAAACCATTTAAAAGCCTGCACTCCTACGGGGCGTCAGCTGAAACTAGCCCACTCGTGCCTGAGTGAACCTACCTTTGACGACCCCTACCCTTCTCTTCTCAATCTCGAGACTTGGCCCCTGTTCAATGTGCACCTCAAAGTGACAAGCCATGGGAAATGCTTTGTAGGATGCTGGCTGTTCACCCAGGTACCCAATTCGCTCGAGCTCCTGCTTCATCGTCCGCTTCTCCCCGTCTTCGCCGGAAGGGGAGACCTCGGCAAGGTTCCACGCTGTCTCTAGAGGCACTGCTTCTGCCCATACACCGGAAGATACGGCCATCATTGGAAACCTGGCGCCTTCCTCGTTGGTCCAGTTCACTACACCGATGCTTCCTTCGGTCTCCATGTTGTTCTCGTGCAAGACTTTGAGAACCTCGAGAGCCGAGTTGACACCCAAGATGCCGTCGTAGCGCCCACCGGTTGGTTGCGTATCCAGATGTGATCCCATCATGATCGGAGGCGCCTCAGAGTTCCTACCAGGCCGTACAGCGAAGAGGTTCCCCATCTGGTCAACGCTGGTTTTGCAGTTCAGCGTCTCGGCTGTCGCGAGAAACCAGTCTCGGATCTGCTTGTCCGCGTCGTTCAAGCTTAATCTGGCCATGCCAGTCTCGGTCGGATGGCTGACATATGCTTTCAGTTCGAGAACATTGGGGTCAAAACGTATTAGGGTGTACGTACTCTCCATATCGATGTGCAGCACCATACTTGCAGCCGGTATGTATTGCGTCCATGAGTCGTGACTCGTTGACTTTCAAAGAAGAAAAGTCATGCTTAGAGTACGTCCCATTGACACCATTCGTTCCGTTGACCCCGTTGGTGGCCATTGTTCTGATATGGGTTGATCTGCCGTTGACGAACGCTCCTAAAGATCTTGATATGACTTTGCCCAAGGCCGTAATTGAGACAGAGGCGGACATGAGACGAAGAAGCAAGTTTTAATAAATATTTAAACACAATAACGAAAACTCGACTCCTCTTCAATTGCCGGCATACGAGCGCCCTCTACGCTGTACGGCAGCCGATAGCTGGTGGACATGTCCGAATCTCCTGGTCTGTCGAGACTTACGGCGAGTGAAGACTGGGTGGACTTGAGCGCTGGGAGGAAGACCGAGTGGACGTTCGGTTTATTAGGCGAAGAACCAGATGAGTCCTCGTATCGTACTCCGTAGAGCCTCGCTAAATGGACACTGAAAATCTAAACCCCGGATTTGCTCTCGTTTACTAAGGATCATGGCTTCAATGGCCACCCAGGGGAGAACAGCTCTTTACCTTGGATAAATGATTGACCATTCGCCGAGGAACGAACACTTGAACGTCTCCTCTCCCGCTTCATCCCTTACATATACTATTTGGCCGGACTTCTCATTCAGCCGTAACAACACGCGCACGTACTCCGTACGCCTGGGGGAATATTTTGCTTACCACATCATGCATGGTCCGTCTGTCTTCAACTCTGGTTTGCACCTAGCCTCGTGATTTGTACCAGGTAAGGTATGCATCTTGAAGGCTGTTCAATACGTCTGGCAAGTAGAATATACTATGCGTCTATTTCCTCGGGTCACACGAATCCGTAAATTCGCACTGACATGTTGTCGCCGGCCAGCGCAGACCTCAAATCAGGCTCAGTTGGAACCCTAGTGAACAAATAAAAACATCCCACAAATATTTGTTCAACCTCAGCCTCATTCTTCCGTTATACCATCACTCGTATTCATCTCATCTTTCAACTCCCTTATTTTGCCCTCTTGCATGTGGCTTATCTTCTTCAGTCCTTCCACTCATTTTCATTCTTTTCTTTTCTTTTGTGGTCGTTCCTCCCCTTCAACAAAAGTTGTTGCTTTGAGATATCCCTAAATTTTGGACAACATTTATATCTACAAACTTGCGCTGATGGTTCCCACCACTTTCCCATACAACTCGGAACTTCAACCATGGAGCCAGACAACACCAAGCTGCAACCAGACGTCGTTGAGACCAGACATGGAAGTTCGACACCACCTTTGCACATGAACAACACTGCCGAACCGGAAGCGGACATCTTCCACGGCCACCGCCGCCTTGTTGACTGGGTTCTTGCCAACAACGGCTATTTCCATCCTCATGCACAAATTGCGTTTAGTAGGCGCAAGGGCTTTCATGCTGTGGTTGCTAACGGAGAACATGTCTCTGCTGGGACACGGGTCGCAAGTTGTCCCATATCGACCACCATATCGGTTCTCAATGCTCTTGAAATTCACCCATTCCAGAGTCACGGTACTCGTTTCCCAGAAGGCTTTCTCCGCAGGCAGCGGAAGAATCCCGAGTCTTTACAGACTTTCTTCTTGATGGAGCAGCTTGTCCTTGGCGAACAGTCGTGGTGGGCGCCCTACATAGCCACCTTGCCCACTGTGCAAGAGGTTATGGATCAGCAGTTCGACGAGGAAAAAGACCTGATCTGGCTGCAAGGCACCAATCTTCCAGGAGGAATATCTGAGAGGATTTCGAAGTGGAAGGAGATGTACCTGTGTGGACTTGATGAACTGAAGGAGTTACAGTGGCAAAATGCCCTCACAGGCGAGTACACGTGGTAAGGCTTACACATTCGTCATATGTGCAACGGCTGATGTCAACTGTAGGCCGAGATTCCTATGGGCAGCAACCATATTCGGTAGCCGTTCTTTCACTTCTCAAGTCCTGGACGACACTGAACCGGCAGAGCAGGCTCGCCACAGCTATCGTGAGAGTGGGACTGAAAGTGACCCCAACGGGCTCGTACACTTGTTCTCTCAGCGATTCGCTGTTCTTCTTCCATTGATGGACTTGTTGAATCACAAACCAGGAGCGCAGGTCGAATGGCAAGCTCGGTTCAACTTCGTCGGTCTTCAACTTTTGGAGAGTTACGAGTCCGAACAAGAGCTCTACAACAACTATGGCCCTCGAGAGAATGAAGGTTTGCTGCTGGCGTACGGCTTCACGGTCCCAGATAATCCGTTTGATCATCTGGTAATCAGCATCAGAACTCCTCCAGGCTCACCACTGGCACTTACGCATACTTGGCAACAAGATCCTAGATCTGATCCAGAGCGGAGATGCTATATTTTTGATTGCCATCATCCTCGATCAACATCTGCGACATTGCTCGAGACATCTTTGTTTTCCTTTGACCTTCTGGACAGCATTTCAGTGCTTTGCGCAAACGAGCGGGAACTTCAGATGATGCTGTACGGGAAGCAGACCCTGATGAGCTATTGTCTCGGCGACAAGCCAAAGTTCGAAGACGGCCGCATAGTCCTGGCGACGATTAGCCAATTACTCATGGACTGCTCTGAGAGGGCATCAAGACTCAGGGCGACTGACCCTTCTCGATTTGAACCTCCTCTGCTACCTGAGAATCTCAAACAGCAGAATGCAAAGACATACCGAGACAGCCAACTGAACATCGTGGAGACGGCAATAGCAATTTGCAAGTTCGTGCTCATATTTGCTACAAACGAAGACTCCAGGGAGATGATCCAGAATAAATTGCAGCGAGAGTTATCAGATCGAGTTTTCACCAATTTGCACCAACTTCTCGAACGTCACCAAAGTCAATTGACTCACTCATTTGAGCTCTTAACGCCGTCTGGCATCCTCGACATGCTTTCGCCCGAGTTGTCGACATCTTTGCAAAATTGTATATCCCGCATCAAAACCAACCATGAGATTGCAGCAGGAGGAGGAGAAATGTCACAAATGAACGTCGACAAGGTTCATCACACAGTGATTCTTGCCGCCCTTTACGAGGAATACTTGCATGGTGTGAAGTTGCCACGCAGAATAACCCAATGGCTGAAACAATTGGCAGAATGGTATCCTCTGGATTCCGAATCGTGGGCATATGTCCCTGGACCGGGACCTTGGGATCCAGGTGAAGAACCCCCTTCCGGGCTCATGGATTTGCTGGCTGCTAGAGCTGCTATGTCGCCTACATTTCCTGCTGAATCCAACGTCAAGAGATGGATGAAGCCGGAGAAACTCTGCTGGGGTTGGAACGTGATCGAGGAACAAAATGTCAGAGTCCCGGCAAGCATCTTGGGACAGGCTGAGACGGAGAATTCTGGCCAGAGCGAGGGGAGGATATTGATCTATTGGCAAAAATACTAGAACCAGATGGAATGATATGAAAAGCGATACTTAGACTTGAAGTATTTCCACGATGCCTTTGTCCCTCCAGCTCATATTCTTGACCTGGGCATGGACAAAAATTTTCTCATATTCTATTTCCTCTTGTTTCCAAGTGTCTATATATATCTCGGCAATCGCTCTCGTCTACGGTGGAGAAAAACCCCTGACCCGTCAAGTTTCGCTACCGATGTTGTACTCCGACGAAGCATTTTGTTTTATACAGTGCACCATACACCGCCTCAGGTGCTGGCTTGAGCTTCCCGCCCAATCAGCAATGCGGCTTTTAGAAGCAAGACGACATTGATGAATTCGGCAGAACATCTCTCTCGGTTACGACTCGCTGTGTGTCGTCCATCCCCCTTCCTCGGTGCTGGCATTTTACCAACGCTTCTGCTGCCTCCCGTTCAGTCCTGCCGTATACCTTTCTTCTGCAGAAGCAGCAGCTGGAGCAGCAGCAACAACCATGATCGTTCGGCCCGCTGCCACGAGAAGCGTGGCAAAGGCCGCCGCAAGAACAGCAGCTTCTTCAGTTTCGAGACCTCTCGCCGCCACCAACAGCAGCAGCTCATCCCTCCGAACCCGCTCCTACGCCACCGTCCAGGAAGGCCAGCCCCAGCAGCGCCGGTATGGCGGCCTCAAAGACCAAGACAGAATATTCACGAACCTCTACGGCCACCATGGCTCCGACCTCAAGTCCGCCATGAAGTACGGAGACTGGTACAAGACGAAGGACATCATACTCAAGGGTCACGACTGGCTGATAAACGAGATCAAGGCATCTGGTCTGAGAGGAAGAGGAGGTGCCGGGTTCCCTTCAGGCTTGAAATTTGTGCGTCCACACTCGTGCTGCTTCTTTGTGTGCGTGTGACTTGTGACAACTAATCTCGCTAACTTTTATTTCTTCAAAAAAAAAACAGTCATTCATGAACTTCAAAGGCTGGGAAGAGGACAAGCGCCCTAGATACCTTGTCGTCAACGCCGACGAGGGCGAACCCGGGACGTGCAAGGACCGAGAAATCATGCGAAAGGACCCCCACAAACTCGTCGAAGGATGCCTGGTGGTCGGTCGCGCGATGAACGCCACGGCCGCGTACATTTACATCCGAGGCGAATTCTACCACGAGGCGACGGTGCTACAACGGGCGATCCAAGAAGCGTACAAGGAAGGTCTGATCGGCAAGAACGCCTGCGGCTCTGGTTACGACTTTGACGTCTACCTCCACCGCGGCATGGGCGCGTACGTGTGCGGCGAGGAGACGTCGCTGATCGAGTCGCTGGAGGGAAAGGCCGGCAAGCCGCGCCTGAAGCCCCCCTTCCCCGCCGCCGTCGGCCTCTTCGGGTGCCCGTCGACCGTGACCAACGTCGAGACGGTGGCCGTGTGCCCGACCATCGCCCGCCGGGGGGCCAAGTGGTTCGCCGGGTTCGGGAGGGAACGAAACCAAGGCACGAAGCTCTTCTGCATCTCGGGACACGTCAACAACCCGTGCACGGTCGAGGAGGAGATGTCGATCCCGCTGCGCGAGCTGATCGAGAAGCACTGCGGAGGCGTGCGCGGCGGCTGGGACAACCTCCAGGCCATCATCCCCGGAGGCTCGTCGACGCCGATCCTGCCGAAACACGTCTGCGACGACCAGCTGATGGACTTTGACGCCCTCAAGGACAGCCAGTCCGGCCTGGGCACGGCCGCGGTCATCGTCATGGACAAGTCGGCCGACGTGGTCAGGATGATCGCCCGGTTGAGCCAGTTTTACAAGCACGAGAGTTGCGGGCAGTGCACGCCGTGTCGAGAAGGCAGTGCCTGGACGGCCAAGATGATGGAGAGGTTCGAAAAGGGTCAAGCAAAGGCTAGAGAGATTGACATGATTCAAGAACTTACGAAGCAGGTCGAAGGTCATAGTATTTGTGGTGAGTTTCCTCTTTCCTTCTTCCTTGTCCCTTTGATCTACGTCGGTCCTCCCAATGCTGTACAGTACACACAAGCTGACCATCATGTTACTGTTTTGTCATACACAGCCCTAGGTGAAGCTTTCGCGTGGCCCATTCAAGGTCTCATCAGACATTTCCGACCGCAGCTCGAGGCCAAGATCAAAGGTTACGCGACCACCAACGGCGCCGAACCTTTGGCCGGCGGATGGGAACCCGATTCCGCAAAGAAGGGGATTTTGGTGTCTCCGGGAATGTAGGAGAATCGGGGGGTTTTTGGGTTGCTGACGTGTTTCTGTTTTCCGACCTAGCCTGGTCTTGTGACTACTACTTGCTCGGTCCGGGTGGTGTTCCGTAACGTAAAACAAAAAAATGAACATGAAACCTGAACTGTGAGAATGATTCTTTTTGTGGTGTGATAAACATTGATGAGATGTGTACGCGTAGGATACAGTAGTACTCCAGGCTAACACTTCCATCTAGAAACTCCGTACCAAATAATAGGAGGGCCATCGTAGACTCATGGATGGTCCTTGGATCCTCGAGCTAGGTAGGCAGGTAGACGGGGAGGCAGGGTGCCCAGAATTCATGAGGTGTGTGTGTTATTTGATTCTGCCTAATAATTCGTGTTCAAGGCCAGCATTATACAATATCGTTGCCATGTTCCAAGACAGATGATTTTCCGTATCTGGCTTGTGCAAATCCTCCCGAAAGAGGCATCGCCAAATCTGATCACTTGCACTCCCTCCCTCCCTCACTCACTCATGCCGCAGCAACGGCAAGTTGTCTGATCCAATCCCCAGGGCTTTGACCCACGTCCAGGTTGGCTGATTTCTCGCCCTTTCCCTTTACTGAATTCTCCGGCTCGACCGCGGCTTTGCCTGTTGCATCCTTGCCTAGACTGCTAGAGCTCCTCTCCATGGCCGTGGCGGTGGCTTTCTTCGTCCGTCTCGCTTCTTCTTTCCTCTCTTTCAGCTTGGCCGCTGCCCTTGCGAGCCTCTCCTTCTCGAGCTGCAGCCCTCGCTGACGCTCAATCAATTCCCGGTGTAACCTCTCTCGCTTCTCTTTGCCGGTCCGTCCGACCCGCTTGACTTCGACACCATCGTTGACAGCTTCACATTTCAGGACCATGAAGCTGACGCCGTCGTGAGGTGCTGTGCTTGACTGAGTGGAAGATGGCGGTGGACTACCTGAACCTTGTTGCTCTTCTGGCCAACTTCGTGACCTAACGCCAAACCGCGCACTTCCCGCATATTTCTCCAGCTGAGGCAAAACCAGAAGTGTGATATGCAAGTCTTTGTTCTCATCCACAGCCTTGGGTTTCTCCGGTGCCGGGCTGCCTTCTATCCTGGGATTCTGTTCTTCTATAACTTTTTCCAGGAGAGCCTCATCGATCCCCGGCGGATGTACTGAGCTAATAAACCCCGAATGTATCGCGGCGGCTACTGGGTCAGAGTCATCCGTATAGATGCCCGAGCCCCACAGATAGCGCTCGGCACAAATCAAGCCTCGTTCGCGCTCTCGTAACCAGACCCGAGGAACCCGAACGGTATATGTGCAGTTTATTTTGTCTGCTTCGTTAAAGACCGGTAGAAGATTGGGTCGTATCGAGACATCAAATTTTGGAGAGCTTGGCTTATCCATGTCGACCGATGTCACGTCGGGATCGTATTTGTAGAAACCAAGATGCCGCCGTTTGTTTCGTTGGGCCATGGCAACCACATTCGAGATCCTGATGGTCCTCTTGGGTCTTGATAGTAAACCATGATCTGTTACTGAAGATTGTCGTTGCAGTGCATTCAACGAGGGATGAGATGTCGGAGTGCCTGTGCGACGGATTGTACCAAGAGCATTCTTTCGTGCAGTCTCCTCGAGATCCAACTTGTACGAGTGTTGATATTTACCCCTCTTGCCTCTGCCGGGTGCTGCTTTTTTTGTTTCGCCTGTGTCGCTCTCGGCCCTAGCATCTTCGTCAAAGGTCTTGCGGCTGCGCTTGCCCATGCCAGACGCGCTCCGAGACATCTTCATCAGGTTCTCTTCACTCAACCGAGCATTGGTCTCGCTTTGTTTGAAAGGACTGGCGGGCAGGGGTTGTGGCGTGGGTGTTGGGTTGGCGGACGTCGTACCGAGGCCGCTGCCAATTCCAGAGAAAACTCGGCCATGCTCGCTCTTGATACCCGCATCCGGCACTGGCGTTTGGGCCTGAGCCCCTTGCACAGCTTGAGGGAGAGGAGAATATCTACCTCGTTTGGACTCGTTGGACAAACCAAGAATCGCTCTATGTTGTGACAGTTCATCACTGCCCTTACGAACCTGGTCATCTAGTGTTCCCTGTTGTGAGGCAACCGATCCAGCGAAGGGCGAATAGGCTCGATTTCTCAGGCGATCTCCCAGCACTGATCGATCACTCTGAGATTGGACCGAATCTTGTCTCGCCATGGCATGAGCACCGTAAGAAGGTTCCGCTGAAGGGCCGAAAGGACTGTGATATGACCGTGGATCATGACCATTTTGCTGCGGCCGTCGTAATTCTGGTGATTGAGATTGCTTGTAAGGTCGCTCAATAGGTCCTGACGTGGGCTGTGAGAGAGGGCCGGTATGGAGATTTCTTGAAAGATTTGTTGGTTGTTGTTGACCATATCCATAAGGCCCACTATAGCCATTGTGACGCGGAGGGTCGATGCCACTCATGGCTGGGTGACTGGATCGGTCCAGGTGTCCTAGGGATGGGGGGATACTCTCAGGGCGGGTTGGAGGTGGAGGGGCGACAGACAAGGAGGTTGCGATACTCGGTTGTGGCTGACTCTCTGGCCTCTGCAAGATGCCGCTGATACTAGTGCGACGATTATGCTCTTCAAACTCATCTTTTGGAGGTATTGAAGCACCAAAAGAGGGCGATGGGTATGCATTTGTAGGTGGTCCACTTCGCGGTTGTGTTTCGTAGAATGGTCCGGGTCCCTGGGTCATGGTTCCTGAACTCGAGCGGTGAGGTCTTGAGCCAGAGGATGGGTTCCCGAACCGGTCTGGAGTTTTCGATCTTGGCTTGTATGTATATTCACCAAGGTTCGGCTTCGAAGAATATTGGGGTGGTGACATGACCGCACCTAATGACATGGACGGACCAGAGCCCGATGGCTGCCGCGAAGGTGTATGGGATGTCTGGCCATGGTGATGATGATACTGGTCATGCGCCGGTTTCTCAGGTTCACCACCTAACATTGACGATATCGACATGCTACTTCCCGGTCTCTTGTGTGGTGGTGGAGGGCCATTGTTCGCGGTTGATCCTGAAGAAGGATATGGGAGAGGAGGTTGAGGAAATCTCGGGGGAGGAAAATGTTGTTGTGGTGATGGCGGAAGCATTGATCGCGACTGCGGCCCGTACATTGAAGACTGATTGTGTGCTTCGGGATAGCCTGGATCAGAGACAAGGTCAGAAAATCGTATGCACTTGTACCCTACTAAAAACAGAGAAGGAGTCGAGAAATAGTTGCGTCGCAGTCATGACTTGGCGCATGCACTTTTGCTCTTCCAGACAATTTTGTTGGCAAGCGTTGCAAGGTAGGAGCACATACCGTTGTATGATCGCGGTGGACTATTGGGGGCGTTGTAGGAGGGAGAATGGCTAGGCATCGCCATCGAGGCAGGTGGTGGGTGTTGTAGGTGCGCAGATTGATGAAAAGAAGGATGGTACTCGTAGGCGTGAGTGTGATCAACGGGGTGATGATGTGGAGGCTGCTGCGGGAAGTATTGAGTGGATCCTGTGGAAGGAAAAATCCGAGGTTAGCTCGTGCTGTTTGTTCAGAAGGCCAGAGGCTCGAAGCAGGCCGAGAGAGCGACACAAGAGGTGGTGCAGGATGCAAACAACATCGAGACAAGATACGAGTACGGGAAGAGGAGCAAAGCAAAGAATGGTGCAGGTAGTAGAGGAGACGAGGATGGAGAAATGCGGACAGTGTGGACAGTGGATTCGAGGCGGATGCAATGTCGATGCTCGTGTAGTCGCAGTGGTGGTTCGCTAGTCGTGGGTGGTGAAGGAGGCGTCTGCACGGAGTATTCGTACCAAGAATCAGGCCAGGGTATCCGTAAGTACAGTAATGGTAATAGGGTAGCGGTGATGATGTTGAGGAAATGGTGGTGGAGAGTGGTGAGTTGTGGTGGTTCGTGTCCTCTCCGTATTGAGTAATACCCTCTTCCTCCTTAGGCGCAGGGTTTGCAGCTTTCCGGGGAGCCAACAAGCAGGAACAAGCAGCAGCATGACATGGCAGACGCTGGTGGGCAAGTCTTTGCTTCGGGTATGAGTACTGTACAGGGGGAGACCCGCTGGGCTCACTAGGCTATCGTAATCCAGCCCGCCCGAGAATCGAGTGGGTTCCAGATGCGCCAGGGTTGCCCATGATTGTTGGCACCAAAAACACCACCCAAGCAGCTTGTGGGATTCTGGGCGTTTTCGGGAACCAGCATCCATTTTTGACCCCATCAGGCACCGAAGCTTGCCATTGCTCGCCCCATATTCTGGTGGCCATGGCTTTTCTGACAGCTGATGAACAAAGAACCACCAATACCCGTGCGAGTACTGTAAATGCTCGTTGCCTCACCGCCCATCTCTTCACTCTTGACTCGAATTGCTGTCGCTGTCAGCAGCTTCTTTGCTGCATTACTCCATATTGGGTGCTGGGTTCGTGTTGCTTGCAGCTGCAGCAAGATACAAGGGTCCGGTTGATGTAAGACGCGCCTAAGAATGACGTCGATATGCCGCATCAACTGCTAATTGGCCCTGATGCCGCCCCTTTCAGGGGGCTACAGGTACAATATTAAGCCCGCCCACCTCTGCAATTCGCACAAGGCTATAGTTATCGCGTATATATCACTGACCTACCTCCAGAACCTGTAGTGTCATCTCTTAAGTGTCAACATAACTTAAGTGGTAATCGACAAGATCCAAGTAAGTCAAGAGACATTCTTAAGAACATTGAGAATGACGAGTCTCCCAGTCGTGTGCGTTTTGCAAAGGGATTGAGGGGTAATCCATTGATAAGTGAAGGTTGCGCAGGTAAAAGAGGGCGAGAATCCATTTCTGGACACACCAAACGTACCATGTTCAAAGTGTCCAGCTTCTCCCCACGAAGAATGGCCTTGTCCATGCCATGTCCCATTTTGTTCATATCCTAGTTGCACTTGGTATGGACCAGTTGTTCCCTCAGCCGGAGTGACTCCAGGCTCTTCTTTTGTAGGATACAATGCTCTCTGGCTGTCTCGTTGTCGGCCTTGTTTGGACTTCATGTTCGCCAAGTCTGAGGGGAGGATGGCGCTCGCTACTTCGTTTCGATACTCGGTGTGACTCTTTGGCTATTTGCAATCAAGACGTTCCTGCCGTGATTGGGGCATTTGAACAGCTCTCGAGTACTGTATATTTCCTTCAGTCTTTCCCAGGTCAGTGACGGTGAACAAGTCACCGTGTGCACGTGCTGCGCTCACAGAAGCCCTAGACTGATCTTCACTCTATCCGAGGGCGCGGGTCAAACATGGTCGCTTGATTCGCCGGTCGCTTAGCGATTGTCGGGTCGGTCCAATCTTGGGGCCAAGGGTCTTAAAATCATAAGCATAAGCAGCTGTTTGTTCGGTAAAGGAGAATGTGAAGAAGTAGCAACCAAGTGACTCGAAAAATCTCGAAAAATCAACATCAAAGGTACGATGGATAGGTGGATGCTTCTCTGCGGCCCCGTCGGAGGCCCTGACTGTCTGCAAATGCTCAATGCTCAACGCGTGTCCGTGCTCCGTACCTGAACTTCGACTGCTGCATGCTGGGCGCTAGACGCCCCCAACCTTGTGTCACCGCCCTTGATTCCACCTGCTGCAAGGGTCTTGGTTGGTGTTTCTAGGGAGTAATGCACAGGATGTAATCCTGGCCACGGCCCAGGGTCTCTGCGAGATGCACATTTGCTGCATTCTGACTGGACCCCAGGGTTATTTGTTTTCAGCCACCGTCCGCCGTGGGCTGCAGCATCGCGTCCTCCATCTCTTCGCCAAAATTGTTCCTGACATTTCTCTACGCCTGAGTGTAGCTCGTACTAGCCTGCGGTCAATCCCGCGGCTGGTCGATTGACACATGTCACCCGTCATAGACTGAGCACGACCTGCATCCACCAATTCCGCTGAAAAAACCTTCAAGCCGCGCTTATTATGCTTTCATGTTTCCGTTCTACGGAGTAGATAACCCCTATCAACGCGACCTATCGCACTCCAAATTCCTACAGTAGAATCATGGCAGAAAGTTCGCCTCCACCTCATGTGCATCGCTGTCATATCTGAATCTGAAATTTCTTGATAAGAATACTCCCTGCCCAATCACAATTTCTTGCAGTAATCCCTCCCATGACGGACTTGCCAGTTACAAAGCCAAACCTCAAACCCCATGCTAATGAAACCAGCGACACAAATGCCCCCAGAATCACTCACCGTCGTTGCCGACAGGGAAAATTCCCGATCCTCTTTCGGAATCTTATCACTGATTTCGCCAAAAGTGTTGACATAGACCAGTCCTCCCAATAACCCTTCCCAAAATATAATGGCAAAAATGAAATAGACGTTTGGGATGAAATTGAAGATTGCGTGTGATGCTAACAGAACCAGGTTGGTAACCTGCAAGAACGAAGGTAGATAAAGGTTGTGGATGCGCAGGAAAGGTGTGGATGATCTGGAGATGAACACCCCGGCTTGATAAATCGCGTTATATGTTGGGTAGAACGCTCGGTAGTGTTTGAAGGGTGATTCTGGGAGCGGAAACAATAAAGTTGGTGCTACACCTTGATTGATGGTGTACTCGGCCACATAGACGAGGAGCAGGGGTAGCATATAAGGGAAGAACAGGGATCTAGCCCTGCTCAAATTTCGTTTGAACATAGTCCAACCTGGCGTGTGTGCATGCTGCGAGAGCACAGCCGGCTTTGAGCCATCTGGGGGTGAAAGTAAGCCTTGTCGTTGTTCTTGTTCAATATCTTCGTTCTGTTCTCCAACAGGCTCATCATCTGGGTGCGTCTTAGCATGTAGCCGGAGAGGTCCAAGAGGAAGTATCAGGAAGAAGCTGATCAACATCACCACTGGTAAGCAAGCAGAGGCCAAAAGAGTTGTCCGGACGCTGAGCCCCCAAGATGTAGTTGCAACCGCATAGAGTCCTGCTCCGATGAGACCGGCACCGCCTGTTCCACTTCCCCAAGCGGCAAGACTGAATGGTCCATAATAATGTACCAGCCCAAGAAAGCTGAGTTCTCCAGCACCGCTACTGAGAGAAGCCAGTATGACCCCGGCCATTTTGGTTGCTATTGTCCCTCCATCAGTGTAGGCTGGGGTGAGGGCGATAAGGAGCATGCCCATTGCCGACAATAGCACGAAGATGATAATTCGAATCGAGTATGGTACCGCTTGGATGAAGTAAGGTGCGCATAGTTTGGTGAAGAAAGAGGGAATGACATCTGCAAGGAGGACAACGCCTTTGGGTACGTCTGGTCCGACCAGATCGAGGGCCGCAGAGAGAATGATCACGTAGAGGACATTGTTGATCAAGCCTGTCCGATCTCTTAGCAACTGTGAGAGGTCCAACAACGTTCATAGAAGACGAAGCGCTACACGTACCGAACAGCCAAAAGGCTACACAAACTCTTGGATCAGCACCAGAAAATGATAGTCTCAATCTTTCACGAAACATGGCCCAAGAAGAGGCAGGAGAACCTGGCAGGGGCAAAGTCATTCTAATAAGGTAGATAACGAGGAATCCTACCTCGTCATGGATGAGAGTGCCACGCAAATCATTGTTGTGATGTGCCAGGTGATCATGGAGGAATGGATGATCTTGTGCGACACGAGACCACCCTAGGTGCGTACGAGTAGAAACTACAGCAAGCGGTGTCTTGGGATGACATCGCCATTTGGGCGCTTTGAGTAGCATACGGTCGCCGCTTTTACAGACAGTTTCCTCACCTAATGAAGCAATCTTCCGTCGCTTTTTAACCAGCAGACATGATGGACGACCAAATATATCAATCTAGGTACGCATCACACACTCCCAGTTCCTTGATCCCGGTCTTTGATCATTTTGGTGCCGTTTCGATCAAGGCAGATCAAGCTGGGGCATCTCACACTCCCGTAGCATTAGGCTGGTTCTAGACCCTCGGTGACCCTAGGCACCACGAGGAAGTGAATTGTGATAACCATACCTACTGACAATGACGGCCCATCTCCAGAATACTGGTACAACTATGCATCGACCCAGACTATTTGCAAGACTGGACCAAAAGATGGATCGTCTTTGTCGCGTCCACCGGCGCATTTTCCAACAAGCATCTGCGCCTGTAATCCTGTGAAGGCGGAACCCGTAAGTTAAGCCTCGAAGTTTTGTATTCCTACATCATATACACGTATTCTTCTTGTCTGCATATGGCCGCTTTGAGTTTTGCATTGCTTCCTCGCCCGACGAGCTTCGCCTTGAGCTTCCCAATCCCAAATCAGGTAGCCATCTATCGTAGTTGGTGAGGCGATGTAGGGACGGGGGCTGAGGCGCCGCTTTCCGAGCGCCCTAATCAAAATAGTCGAGACCTTAAACCGGGCAACGCGCTTCTGTTCCTGATCATCCCTTTGATACAACCTGACCCAATGCAGTTCTGATCCCATTCCACTACTCCCCTCTCCATACGATTTTTATTGCCTCGATCTCCAAAGGCTCAGAATATCCCACAATGTCCACATTCTGGGGATCCGGCGACACCGGACAGCGGCTATTCGACCTCGACAACAGGCTGCTCGAGGTCCTTGATTCACTGAGAGACTACATATCATCTGACGGATCACCCAGGCTACTGACCAGAAACTCGTATTCACGGCCCAGCTTTCTCTGGAACCGAGAAATCATGTACACCTGTACGTAGACATCTCTCCAGTACTTTCCACCAAAGGACCGTCGAAATTTCTTACGCACGTCTAGGTATGGGCACATGTAGCGCCGTCTGGCTTCTCTGGCAATTTGCTCTGAAGACCGGAAGGATACGACTACCTTTGATTCCGGCACGCTACCAGACGATTCGATCAAAAACACGACTTAGAGAATGGCTGGTGACCAACTTCACACTCAAAACCGAAGACGTCTGGCTAGGTCGATTGTGGACCATGATTACATCCAGCTTCAGCCACATCGACCTCCCCCATCTGGCCGCGAACATGTCAACATTCTCGTCATTCTCAAGATATTTGATTTTTATAGGTATCTCGCCTAAGCAGTATGCCACGCTCATCCTTGGTTCTGCGTTGACCGGTAGTTTGGCCGCAACGTTTCACTATGCTTGGATGGAGAAGAGGGACGGCACCCGGCGCTCTGGTCTTGGATTGTCGGCCGTCTGTATGGGATTGATTACAGCTACTGCTGCCGTCTCTCCAAATGGGAAGGTGTCCTTCATGGGCCTTGGGCCTGTTCCGATGTGGATGACTGCACTTGGATACGTGCTTTTCGACACCTATATGATTGACAGTCCAACTTCGAGCATTGGACATGCAGCTCACGTTGGAGGTGCCATCTTTGGAGCGACATATTCATATATGATCCTTCGCGGAAATCTACCCTCGAGGGGAATCTTGTGGATATGAAACAGTCTGCCTTGCAAAGCGAGGAGGAATATTGAACTGTCAAGAAGAGTATCGTTTACGAGGCAAATGATTGACTGTGGTGAATCTCATCGAACTCGGCATCACCTATGACATTTCACTCGAATGACAAAGGAAACACTCGACTCGTCCAGATCTCTAGCCGTTCAAGATTATGCAAGCATCGGCTCGACTACGGATTCGGGCTGGATGATCATGATGAACGCAACCCCACTGAGAGAGCGGGGACATCAAATCGCCAAATGATATCAGGATGAAGCCGCCCATGGATTACATCAATTATTAATAATGAAGCAGGTATAAAACTCCACCATCCTTGAATCTCTGTTGAGTGTCTATGAACAAACAAGTATAAGATTTAGCAGCTGTGTATACCTCAATAATCTATATACACTGTCGTGCCCCCCTTCAACAACACGAAACTCCGCACCAGAACATAAACATTATGACGGCAGGCAAGAATGTTTTCCTCATTGGTCCAGGCTTTGTCAGTATCACTTTACAGGGAGACCACTCGTGTTTCGAGATGCGTGCTATGCTAATGCCGCCAACACAAACAGATAGGTCGAAATGTTGTTGACATACTCCTATCCGAAGGCTACACGGTCACAACTCTAGTTCGACGCAAGTCGTACGGGGCAGAACTTCAAAAGGATGGTGTCAAGACGGTTCTCGGCAGTCTCGACGACGGCGACCTCATCACGACCCAGACCATCGCCAGCGACATTGTCTTCCACACCGCCACGGCCGACCACCTACCGTCCGTCGAGGCCGTCCTCGAGGGAGTCCGGGCGCGGGCCGACCAACGCAAACAGACCATCTTCATCCACACCAGCGGCACCAGCCTGTTGGGTGACGACTCCAAGGGTCAGTACAAAGGCGAGAAGGTGTTTTCGGACGACTCACCCCAAGACATCGACGCTCTCCCGGACACGGCTTCCCACCGTGAAATCGACCTCGCCATCCTCCGGGCGCGCAAGGATCTCGGTGCGAAAGCGAAAATGGTCATCATGATCCCGCCACTCATCTACGGAATCAACGACAAATACAGACGACTCAGCATCCAACTCCCCACGTTGACCCGGTTCGCGTTGAAACACGGCTACGCGGGACAAGTGGGCCAAGGCAAGTCGGTGTGGTCGACGGTACACGTGCTCGACCTCGCCAGGGCCTACATCACCTTGCTCCACTGGTTGGAGAAGACGGATGCCGACCAGATTCTGGACAATCCCTACTTTTTCTGCGAAAACGGTCAAGAGTACCCTTGGGGCGATTTTGTTAGGGCTATCGGGGATTCGTTGCACCAGGCTGGAAGACTAAAAGATCCTAACCCACGCACCATCCCGGAGAGCGATTACGGTGACTTGTTTGGCCCCTTTACCGCCTGGGTGGTCGGGAGCAATTCACGGAGCAGGGCGAAGAGGTTGAGGGGTTTGGGTTGGGAACCTCGCGAGAAGGACGTCTTGACGAGTCTAAAGGACGATGAAATCCCCATCGCGTTGAAGGAGGAGACGGGTCAATTCAGAGGGTACGCCGGTGTCGCGGCGTCTGGGGTTCCTTCGTGAGATGAGGACGACGAGAGAGAGAGAGAGAGAGAGAGTACGGTTCTGTACATACATACCATTCACATACAACACAAAATGAGAGGCGACGACTGATCACGAGCTGTATGGATCAAGTAGTAACATCTCTACAGTGGCGATAGTACCTAGCTAGGTATTCCGTGGAGTGAATGTAGACAAGGTAAATGTTTACCTTGCCGAGACTGAACTCGGGGGAACATGACCACCTGGGTATGGCTTGTCTTGTATCGTCTGTTATCGTCCGTCTCAAAGGGGCGGGGTTGAAGGGATCCCTACCTACCTTGACATACATCATCTTGCATCATCTTGCATCTTGGAGAGGTGGCGTTACAAAACCGCCCACAACCCCGTACTTCACAAAAGGTATTTCTCTTTCCCCAGATTCCACATTTAATATCTGTAAAGTAAAAAAGAGGAAGACAGAAAAATACCCAAGTAGTGCCAAAGATGCGTTGGAAAAAGGACAAAGAATCAAAATCACCAAATCAAATCGATGATCCAGTTTATTCACAAACCATGACGAGGGAACCAAAACCACAGTCACAACAACCACAACCACCACCAGGTCAAAATCAACCACATCGACGGGAAAAAACCAAAGACGAATCCGAAATCGATGAAACAGTCGACCCGATTTATTCACAACCTTTGGCCTCGAGGACCACACAAATCAATGACCCGGTTTACGGACAGCTCAACAGCGCTCAATCCAAGCCAGAAGATGGCGAACAAAAAACTCCCGGTAGAGGCAAGATCAAACCTTCAGACGACCCGGTCTATTCACAATCGAGGAGTACGAATGCTCGTGACAACACCACAAGACAAGAATTCAATGATCCAGTCTACGGGCAACCTCTACCTCCTCCGTCATCATCATCATCGTCGTCGTCGTCGTCGTCTCCTCCTTCTCCACCTCCAGGTAAAAAAGGCACGACGACAATCAACCCCTCGGACGATCCGGTCTACTCACAACCACAATCACGCAACACCCGTAACGCGTCAAATCGTATCGACCAACTTTCGTCTCAAATCTCACCTCCGTCCGCATCTGAGCCGGATGCCTCGGTCGACAACACCAAACACGGCCGCAGCAAATCTTAAAGTCCAAATCTTGTTACTCGACGGGTGCTCTTCTTTGACCAGTCCCTTATAATCTGGCTCACGAACCTGGTGAACACGGCTCAGGTTGATTTGTTTTTCCGAGATGTCGAGGAGGTTGTTGACCTCAAGGACACGAGAAATACTCGTGTGTCGTCGGGTCAAGGAGTACGTATGGTCTCGTCATGCACGAGAGGTGGGGAGGATAGGGTGTCGAGGGAAGATTCGTGCTCCATTCACTCACTCACACACACACACACACACACACACACACACACACACACACTTGAACATCTTGACAGACAACACACCTACCCCAATAGATAGGAAGAAGCTTTTCCTCGGTCCTCGCCAATGCCACTACCTGCTCCTGGTAGCGTTTTCCTCTTGTAGTTCCTCAAATCCATTCTTGCTCTTTTTCACGTCATCCATCTTCCCGATCCCCTGCAACGTCAGGTACACGTCGGTTCCCCAACCGTACATGCTCTGCACGGCGATGCCACCTCCAAAGTATTCGGCGTAAGCTCTTCCCAAGGGCAAACCGTACCCCAACCCAGCGATCGAACTCTGGTTCGTCCCGCTGTTGGATATGGCGTTCAACCCCGCACTCCCCCCCGTCTCGTCGGCCGCCTCTATGGCTTCTTCGTGGTCGAAGGTGGTGAAGCTGTACGACCATATGTTGGGGAGTGCTTCGGGCGGGATCCCGCCGCCCCGGTCTCGGATCCTCAGGGTGATGCAGGGCGCGGCGGCGTTGAGCGGGCCGACGTCGACGTCCGGGGAGGAACAGTACTCGTCCAGCCCCTCCTGGGAAAAGTCGAAGGCGTTCGCCTCGGTCACGGACAGCTTCCTCAGAGAGTCGAGCTTGGTCGTGCTGACGTCGGGCGCCGACGCGATGGTCACCTCGATCGCCTCCCGCTCGTTTCCGGACTCGATGGTCGCGCGCATCGCGTTCTTCAGGAGCTCCGTGATGATGTACTCCAGGTGCATCGGGATGTGGGCGAACTCGGCGTCCACCTCCCCGTCGATCACCAACGAGGGCCTGACGCCGTACTTGAGTTCGCACACCTCCGCCACGAACCCTTCGCACTGCCGGACGACGTCGGCGGGCCGCAAGGCCAGGTCTATCACGCCGACGTGGCTGGGGTCGGGCGGGTGCGTCGCCGCCTCCCCCGTCGACGCCATGTGGAGCGCAAGGTGCTGTTCCGCCACGAGCCTGGTGCCGATTCTGGCCCGGAGATGCTGGTCCAGAAATCTCGTCACCTCGGCCGGCTCGATGTACTTTCGGCACTGGAGAAACCCCTGCGCCAGGGTGGGTATCGTGTTTGAGTGCGTCCGGACGAGGTCCGCCATCGCATCCGTGAACTTGATCTCTTCTTCTATCGTCTCGATGGGCTTCTTGTAGAACGGTTCCAGCGTGGACAGGGAGTGGAGGTAGTTGTTGTAGATCTTGGAGACGTGAGGGTTCGCGACGACGATGAAGGGCAAGTTTCGAAGAGCTTGGATCCGATGGGCCAGTCTGGAAGGCAGTAGAGAGAGTGTGAAGTTTGCAGAGGACAGGAGAGCCGCATCTCGCAATGGAGGCTTGCCATGTCTAGTATTCGCGGTCGGTCGGTCAGTCAATCAGGAATGAGAGTGCTGGCGGCGGCAAGTTTCCGCAAACCTTGGAGAAAGTTGGAACACACATACCTGACCAGATCAGCTAGGGTGAGTGGACGACGTGGTTTTGCCGCAAGTCTGTAAATCTCTTCGTCCGATATGGTCGCATTCGAGGGAGGATGTGACCACTCGTTGATGGCGGGAGGGAACGGTTGCTGAGACGTCTGAGTAGCCCATCGCCGCTGGGAGAGCGGTGAAATATGCTGCCAGCGTGGGACGGCGTGCTTCAGCAGCATCTTATTTGTACAAAGCACACAAAGATAGCATGACCTGCTTCAGCGAGCCAGCCCTACCTCGTGCGATCAGCTCATAAGTCGTGCTATATCTGAAGTTTTTCCCCCAATGACTCAACACGAGGACAGCGGGCATGGTAGCACATGTTTCGCACTGTATGATTCAATCCCAGGAAGGTCTGGCGACTCTTCACCCCGCACAAAACTAGTACGAAGCAGGTCAAGTCATGATTAAGCAAAAGGACGACGCCGAGGTTCAAAAGTCGGGAGATCGATGTAGCGCAACTTGAGGATGGCACTTGGTTGTAAGGGTTCCAGGTGAATCTTACCAGAAAATGGTACCTCTAGACATAACGTCTAGAACAAAAGACCGAAGACCAACAAGTGTTTGCTGAAACCGGAATGTACTCATCCACCCAATTTTTTCGATATATGTAACTATGAGGTGATATGAACTTGTAACAAAACCACCAGACACATCTCAATGGTCTCAGCGTTGATGTGTACGTGTGAGTGTGTGTGCCTGTCCCTTCTGGCCGGCCAAAATTCAGTTGCTGCAACAATCTCAATACAAATGAGAGATCATAATCCTTCCTTTTTTCGCCAATGACTCAAAGCAAGAATGACAGGACCTCCGAACGCCGTCGCTAGGTATAGGAATTCTTTATGGATACAAGCAGTTGATTACGGTTTTGATTGTATGTTGGTCGAGAGATGTGACATCCTATGGCCGGAATGACTGGGTGTGCTCGAGGAGCTAGGTCCTCGGATGTGAATCTTTGCGAAGAGGACAGCCGTCGACTGATATTCATAAGGGGACTTAGTCCACACCGGCGTAGAGATCAACCACAATGTTGATAGCACTATACAGAAGCATCAGCATTTGTGATGAACAACTCATCGAAATGTAACTTACGCCACCAGAATTTCCGCGCCAATTAGCACAATAACTGTCGACCGTTAGTAAACATAAACATCCCATGAGCAGCCCATAGAGGAATCTTACCAATCCATTCTAGCACCTCACCATGTCTTCGACTTCCTTGTTCTCTCAAAACAGCCAACAGATCTAATATGGTCAGCCTTTCTCTAGAGCGGTAAAGACTCCAACGTACCGGCGATAACATCCAATCGCTCAGTCAGTAAAGTCACGCGCTGCTCAATTTCCAAATAACTCCTAACCGCCGCATAAACTGGCTCCAGATGTGGTTCTGCCCACATCAGCTCTGGACTGTCAAGGACACTCCCTTGCAGATGAATGTTGATTCTTAGGATGAATAGTTCTCCAATCTGCATATTCAGTTGTCGTCTTGTCAGATTGACACTACCCGTCTGAGCAATCAGCGCAGGCAGGGGACTCGTCGCGTCAATTGTCTCGCTGACCAAGTCTTCGAACAGGCTCGTTTTGACGCTTTGTGACACAGCATGGCTGATGGCTAACTTGATCATATGGTTGCGAGGCTCTCGAAGACTGATAAAGTCATTGTAGATGCGGGCCTGGTACTCCTTTGTATAGTAGAAATTGAAGTTTTCTGTCTGAACACTTTCGGTCGGCAAAGGGGCGTCGCTGAACTTGGACATGTCGTTGAGGAATCGTTGCTCTTGTTGAACAGTCATCCCCCAAATCACCACAGTACCGTAGTCGAAGATGAAGACCTCGGGGATGTGCACCGTGGTTGAGAACTCGGAATTCGAGCGTTCGTGGGAGAAGTCATGTCCCATCTCTCCGAGATCAGCTGTTGATTGTGATGTATCTATTGCCAGCTCTGAGGACTCAGATATCATGCCTGGATGGCCCATCTCCTCTTGTAGGTCCACGAGCTCTTCTCTTCTCTGCTTCTTGTTGTCTTCCACTTCGACCGCACTGTCAGAGTATCTCCTTTCCGCAGGTGTCAATCTGGGACTGGCGATGGCTCTGGCGAATCTTTCCTGCACAGGACTGCTGCCTCTACTGCTGGGCTTGTTCTTGTCGTTCTTCTTCAGATAATCATAGTCGTAAGGGCTGTAAAGACATTCGTCGAACAGCTTTGGATTTGCTCCCCTTGTCTTGGCTCTGGATTTCATGAACTTCATAATGGCATCAAGCCGGTACCCTTGCGCAACACAGTATGCTGTGACTCTTGGTAGTTTGTCTCTGTCTGCCTTTCCTAGCCTCGCGGCGTCTCTTCTAGCGGTCGGATCTTTGATTCTGGTAAACTGCGAATATACATCTCGTCCACTCTCTTCATCAGGTTCCTCAATATCCGGGTTTGGCAGGATTTTCAGCTTTTCTGTCGTCTTGGTCGTCCTCTGGGCACCAGGCCGAGGAGCTCCAGTAAATGGCTGCGTTGTGGGTAGAGGCGCACCATGGCTATTTCTTCTCCGGAGTTTCGAGTTCAGAGCACTGAGCATGGGCTGTTGTTCTCGCTTTTGTTGAGCCGTGCCGCTCAGAGCCGCTGACGGACTTTGTGAAGGCCTCAAAGAGCCTGAGGACGTGGCTCCCGACTGTGAACTGACGGAAGTCATCGGATTGAAGGTGACCGTTCGAGCAGATCGTGGACCGGGGCGAGGAGGAGAATCAGTTGACGTTCTATGCTGCGGCAGAAGCGGGGAGGACTCGCTGATGGCGGTCGCCATAGCACAGCTTGCACAAGGATGCACAAGGATGCTTGTTGCGCGAGGGAATATGGAGTGGGAGTGGATGACGGTGTAAAAGTATGAGAGGATTCGAGATGGAAGAGATGGGGTGGATGGCTCTGATGTGATTCCAATATTGATGGACCTTGGAATCGTTACCTCATCGCTTCAGGAATTGTTCGAGCGTACGAGTCCTCGTAAGTGGTCGCGGCCGCCGGATCGACTCACTAAAAAGGTCCCAAGTCGCCCAAAATCTCCACTTCCTCCTGCGCCGAAGGTCACTGCCAAATACTGCTAAAGCCCAAGCACGTTTTTCTCTTTGGTACAAGTACGGAGTACCAGGCACATGCTATTACTCCATACCTACCGAAGATACCGCTATTCCCAAGGCGCTGCAGCCTAGGACTGCTCTCATATCAGTATACGTACGAATCCAAGGTAGTTGGACTAGACACTAACAGCACTGTGGCACGGCTAGCTAGCAGACACCTGTCAGTACTGCTCATGTGCTCGATGGACCACTTTTTATCTACCCTTCGAAGAGAATCTTCTTTTAAAATTCCATTCCGTTACTATGCTCCTGCCAAAAACTAGGAAGTGCTAAATATACACAGCTTCGAAACTTGCTTTTACCCGAGTCACTCGCTCAGGCACCCAGAAAGTCGTAATCAGTAGTAATAGGTCTCATCTGGAGTTCGGCCACGAAGGTATTTTGGCTCGCTTCCCCGGACATAAATGTCCTCGAACAGAATCTTTGGCACTGGGTCGGGAATAGGCATCTTCTCGGCCTCAGCAACCTCGCCATCAACGTCCTCTCGCGCCTTCTTGTCGATTTGCTTGAGCTCCTCCTCCGAGCACACACCCCAGTCAAGAATCTTTTGCTTGAGACCTGCGATGGGATCGTTGGTAGATCTCATCCGTTGGATCTCTTCTCGAGTTCTGTATGTGGTACCGGGATCGGACATGGAATGACCACCGTATCTGTAGGTGACGTATTCAAACACCAGAGGTCCCTTGTCTGCGGCAGTGTACTCCTTGCCGTATTTCACGGCAGCCTTCACGGCCAGGACGTCCATGGCGTTGATCTTGAGACCTGGGATGTATTGACCTCGCTTGTAGTATTCCGTAGAGGCAGACGATCGAGCAGCAGAAGTTCCCATACCGTATTTGTTGTTCTCACAGCTGAAGATGATTGGCAAGTTCCATAGCTTGGCCATGTTGAAGGCCTCAAAAACCTGTCCCTGGTTGGAGGCACCATCACCGTACAGGGCGAGGGTTGCGGTCTTGCTGCCAGTGTACTGGTGCGCAAAGGCAATGCCAGCACCGACGGGCACCTGTGCACCGACGATACCGTTACCACCGTAGAAGTTTGGCGCAAACATGTGCATCGATCCACCTTTTCCGTAGGCAATTCCTTCGCGACGGCCAAGCAGTTCACCGATGATGGACTTGACGGTACCACCGCGCATCAAGGCGAAACCGTGGCACCGGTAGGCGGTGATGATGGCATCGTCCTTTGTGATAGCATGCTCAATGCCAACTGCGACGGCTTCTTGACCGGTCGACAAGTGGCAGAAACCTCGAATCTTCTTCTCCTTGTATAGACGATCTGCCGCCATTTCCATACGTCTGCCGATTGGTATTAGAGGAGGATCCATCGATAAGTGTCAACCACTACTTACCGGACCGATACCATATCGTAGTACATCTTCTTTAGTTCCTTCTTTGTGGTGTCGAGGGTGTACGGAGGAGGATCGAGTTCGTAGGTCTCGAAGCTCTCCTCGGAGAGCTTGACTTGGAATGGCTTATCATCTTCCTAATGGCATTCGTCAGTCACACCAGCTTAAGAGCTCATGAGCAATGTTGTACTTACATCCGGCACATCTTCTTTCTCTGCGTGAGAGCTTGCAGCGTCGGTGGTGACGGACCTTCGAGCAAGCTGGTAAGCCTGTCTCTTTGGCAACGACTGGAGGCCGAAGCCTTTCAGGCAGGCTCTCGACAACATTTCCAATGCAGAATGAAGCAAGGAGAGTAGGAAAAAGGAGAGAGGGGATGGACAATGGAAATGCGACCGGACAATAATTGATGAGTGTATTCTATTCTCTAGCTTTTGGCTGTTGGGAAGCCGAAAGGAGCACTAGTTCGTCCCTACGGTCCGCTGAAATTTGTCCAACGAACATTAATATCCCCGACATGCCCGTTGTAGAAATTATCTGGTCTGACCAAAAATAGATTTCTTGGATAAGGTGATCACAACTCCGTACAGGTTGCTGCAATCCTTTTCTAGTAGAATTATCGCGCTGTCAGACGTCTCATTTCATTTCATGATTCCAATACTGCTATCCGGCGTTCAAACCCCTCAAACGACACCGAGAGCCTTCATACCTTCGAAGAAAACACGATATCTTGCATATCGGCCATCCGTTCATCCTGAGTGATCGTTATGGCATACACTCCTGTAGCTCCAAGGGTATCACAATTGATTCACATGCCTGCGCCGCTTTCTGAGGCAACTCCATTCTCTCCAATTTTGCACCTTTCCTTGCTTCCTTGTTCATCTGCCCGGGGGATAATATGACCCTACTAGCCATTTTTGCAGCCTCCAGTCCTAGTAGGGGCCCTGCGCCACCATACCTGGCTGTGTTCCATATCCTCCAATCCCTCCTCCTTGATGAGCTAGCTGTGCTGGCTGACGCATGGTAGCACCAGCATGAGCCCGGCCTTGTCCGGCAAAGTCTGGAAGATCTTGGAACCACGGGTGCCTCAAAGCGTCCTGCGCGCTAATGCGATTCTCCGGGCGTAGTTGTAACAATTTCCCTAGCAGGTCGAGCCCCAGGGGGTCGACTTGGGGCAGCAAGATTCCTAATGATTGGGTGGCAAAGGAAGGAAAGTTGCTCTTGTACTCGGGTAGTTGAGATATTCCAGGCCAAGTCCGTTCAGACGGTGTACCCATCAGTCGGAAAATCTTCTGTAGCTGATCCTCATTGGTGGTTCCGGGGAACAATGGACGGCCTGTGTACATCTCCGCCATGATGCAGCCTGCAGACCAGATGTCGATACTGGTGTTGTATGTTCGTGAGCCCAAGAGGACATCAGGGGCGCGATACCAGAGAGTCACCACCTCATTCGAAAATGTGTTGACGGGAATACCAAATGCTCTTGCCAGACCGAAATCAGCCAGTTTCAGTTGTCCCTTGGTATTGATGAGCAGATTCTGGGGTTTGAGGTCGCGATGAAGCACTCTGTTCTCATGGCAGAACGCGGTCCCTCGTAACAAGTCTCGCATGAAGCCCTTGATGGTTGGCGGATCCAACTGTCCTCGATTCTCTGGACGGGCATCCATGTACTTCTTCAAGTCCTTGTCCATGTACTCAAACACTAACATCAATTTATTCTCGGTGTGAATGACATCGTATAACGTGACAATGTTTTCATGTTTCAACTCTTTCATCAAACTGATTTCTCGGATAGCTGTCGATGGAGTGCCTTCTTCTGAATCGAGGTGGATTTCTTTGAGGGCTACGAGTTCGCCCGTCTGTCGGTTGCGGCCTTTGTAGACTGTGGCATACGTTCCCTCACCCAGCTGGTTGACACATTAGCACGAGAGCTGTTTCTCCCGAGACGAGAAACCCAACGTACCTTCTCAAGCTGCTGGAAGGAACTCGGATGTCTCCGTTCCATATCTGTGTATGATCGTCGGCCTTGCAGCCTTGAGGGCGGGGCGGTGCCTGGAGGGAAGAGGACGGAGGAGGGGGAGATGACACGTTCGGCAAGTTGTTGTGCAGTGAGCGGTGGTTGGACCCGAGGATGCGGATGTGTCTGAGAGGAGCGCTGTGAAGGGTGCTGAGATGGTTGCGAGGGATGTGAAGAAGTCGTCGACGAAACTGAAGTTCTGTGCGGGATGGATGTGGAGCGAGTCGACATGACAAGGAGCGGGCAGAGGCGGTATTGTTCCTTTGCCTTAGCAGTGGACGATCTTTGCCTGGATCATGAGGCGAGGCAAGGTTCCAGCATACAAAACACGCATCATTCGCCACGTAGCGGCTATGTTTGAAGATTCCTGAAATGATTAATTTAGAGGATACGAGTATTTTTAAAAGGGTGTGAGTAACCAATTCTTTCCCTCGTTGCGGGAGATCCGTGTGTGTGTCTAGACTCTCGTCCAAATTATTGGGCGCTGGTCAGGCGCCTGTCAAGCCCTTCGCTTTCTCTGTCCCCATTCCATTCCATTCCCAAGTTGTCAGGAGGCGCTTGCCTGTTATTTGTTACTATTGTACAAGCGCCTCCCTACAAAGGATTATTACTCTTATTTCTCTAATTGGACGGGAGTAGCTGCGAATACTCGGCCCGTACTCCGTATCCGTACCTCATTTCCATGTGTGCTCGCTTCCTTTGCCTGCGAGAAACAATCAGCGCAACAACCGCATCTACTCTGTTCCACCTCACAACACGCGTGAGTACAATTCCATAGGCGGCTATTTCGTTCATACGGTCTATGAATAGTCTTGAAACGAAATACGGCGGACGTCGAAGGCCAGTCCTTCCTAGCCTTTGATCAAGATTGTTTTACATCTACAACTATCAGTGCATCCATCGAGCCAGCTGCCAGCAGCCGCCGTTCCAGAGATACACAACCACATACTTATTGTAAGCTTGCGCTTTCTGAGACTCTTATCTGGGCTGTATCGAGTAAAGGTCTTTAAGCCACCACATATAGTCAAGCTTTTAATCCTGGCAAAATACCAAACGGTCGCTTCATCGTCAAACATGGCATGATTCATGTGAGGGTATCTTTCGAACCAAATTTCAACTCGCTTTTCTTCAAAGGTCATGTTGCGTACCTGTTCGTGCAGGTCGTTTCGTCCGAGGCCTCCGGGGCCTCTCATATTCGTCAGCATCATCATTAGCATCATCATATCGCTGTCACTTGGCTAAGGCCTTGTGGCAGTTTCATCACGCCGTACGCGATCCACTCGCTCCCGCATGGCCCTGCCGATGAGTTCCAGCCGTAGCCATGGTCGAGAGCGCAGATTCGCTCATGGTTCGTCGTCTGCCCTCGAAGACAGGGCGCTGTGCATATGCTATTAACATCTTGAAGCTCGATCCTCGGCCCTTGCATTCGCCCAGCACACTCTTGTCGGCAAAGATGCTTTTCGAAAGGTTGCCGTCAGAGATTACACTGGCTTCAAAACAGTGTTGCCACCACGTTCTAGCAGTCCTAGAAACGATTCTGCCAATCTTAGCATCTGCATGGTCTGAATGGTCAGTGATGAGATCATTCAACGACAAGTTGGTGCCCTTCCTCCCTTTGCCAAAAGCCATGCGAGGGGATGCTGTTGCTTGTCGCATGTCCGGGGATCCATGTCCACCGGATCCTTCTGAACCACCACTGGAGCGCGATGAGGATGGCGAATCGGTTGGTTTGGAGGGATGGCCAGCTACGGGAACTCCCACTACACAACGACTGATGTTTGAGAATCCACGCGCTCCGAGCAGACTCTGAACGTTGTCAATGATTGGTTTCAGGCTGATCTGGTGGTCCGCCGTCGTCATCCTGAATTTCAGTTCGCGCACAGCTCTGCGAGTTTGGACACCCATGTTCACAATGTCGAGGTCGAGGAGCATGAGCTCCATGTAGCCACCCGGAAGTAACACTCGCCTGCACTCAGAAATGATGTTCTTCATTTTAGCCTCTGGCATCGCAGGTGGAAATCGCACCACCACGGCACAGAAATATGCTGAAGGGAAGGGGAATCGGTTGTGGAAGCTGGCAATCTCTACTCGTTGGTGGTTTTCTGGAGCATCTTGTGATGTCCTTCGATCCTTTGCGGCTCTCTTGCTGCCCCTCTCCTTTAAATCGTGTACAAACGCCCGTTGCTCTTCGTAAGTAACCGCACAATAAAATGACCAATCCTCGTTGCCTAGGCCGTCAATGACAAGTATGTGTCGTTCCGGGATAGTATGGATCTCATCATGTGCTGGAGAGAATAGCACTCGGCCAAATGATAGCCACTTTGCAACCATGAGCGAGGCATAGTGAAGTTCTGACTGTCCGACTGGGTCTTTATTCCGTGCAACCACGTCCAGCAAAGCAACATTTTCCTGGTGACTTGGGCCGGTCTCTGTTGCTGCAGTTGCCTTCGTCGCAAGTAATAGCTCTAGTGAATGACTTGTTGCCGGGCGGACAGTTTCATCGGAGAGCCTCGCACTATTTCTCTGGACTTGTTCGTATTCCTTCAGGAACTCGCGGATGGAAAATGGAGATGCCGGATCCATTGACGAATGAAGTGCTGACACAATCCTCGATCTGCGCAGTCTCACATCGTCCCCACGGTCTGGTGGTGACAGTGAGAGAGGCGCTCTCATGGTTGCGGATAAGGACGGCGCTGTAGCAGTTTCCTTGATTTGTGGCCTCTCTGCGAATGGAACCCCAGGATTTGGAATGTTTCCGCCAGATTGCTTGGTTCTCAATTGTCGAGATTGTGTACCAGAAGTTTTTGCCGACGGACTCGCGACATCCTCCGACTTCGTCCTCTTGTCATGAGCAAGCCTCCTCACGTTGCCTCTTTTGCTGGATGGAGACATGACTTGATCTATAAAATCATCATATTCGTTCCAAACTTCGTCGATTGTAGGACTTTGGGGTACAATTTGAGTATGTGGAGGAGCGAAGCCACTCTCAGGCGAGCCGGGAATCAACGGATACCCAGGTATGCTTAAAGCACCTTCAGAACTGCTTGAGGCAGAGTCATTGGACAATTTTCGGGAAGGGAATTGCAGAAATTCTGTTGCTGAGGGGGGATGTGCCGTATATGTTGCGCTCTTCATCGGGTTGAACGTAGTCCTCGGAAGCACGTCCAATCCAAATTGAGAAAACGATCCCTGTGTCTGCTCAGCAACTGGCCCTTGTCCGCCGACAATCTCAGATTCTGATGTTCTTGCGAAGGGCTGAGAAAATGACGATCTGCTAGGTTTGTGCTCTCGCTCGTCCCTAGGCACCACTTGAGGGATTCTTCCCACCCGAGGCAATCTAGGCGGACGCCTCTGGGACTGCTCGGGTTCTAAGAGTGTCTTTTCATTGGGCCGCTGGCCAGGTGTTGCGGGCAGATGAGATGGTAGGAGACGGGGCGGCGAGATCGGGGCTGGTGGCAAATAGGTATCTCCGATATACTGTGTCTGAATATCTGATTCCTGTGCATTCTCCATCTCATATTGATACATTAGAGAACTCACGGACGGAGAGTCGACTCCCAGGGCCAGGGAATCCCCGGGATGTTCACTGGTGTTCATCTCACTTTCTGAATCCATCATGGCATAGTATGGCATTGGTCGAGAGATCGGTATGGTTGAGACTGCAACGGACATCTCTTCAGGGACAGTAGCACGTGGCATGGTTATCTTTTGTGAATCATCATCTGCGTCTTTCTTTCGGAAGATGTTCCATCTCAACTTGCGCGGTCTTTTGTCCTTAGTCTTAGTGGTCGTGGGATCGCCACGATTGAACTCAGCCGTCGAACTTGGCGTCGACGTGGACATTGAAAATGAGGCCTGGGCCGTATCTTGGCTCGTCACATATAAGGGAACTGCTGTCTGATCTGTTCTTATTGGTGCTGGTATGTTGAAAGTTTCCGAGTCCGTTCGGAACCGTTGAGACCGTCGTACAGCAAGTGTTGGGCGTACCGCATCGCCAGAAGTATTGACGAAGAAGGACTCATTATCTGAAGGATGTCGTCGCAAGTTTGATTCGTCAAATTCTGTTATCGCATGCTCTGTCGTTGGATCAGACACGTCAATCCGACTGCCGGAGCCATTCCGTAGGCTGTTGCCTGACCCTCCTATGATGGGGACGGGGTTCATCCGTGTGGAAGCAAAGTCGTCCAAGTCGGACTGACTGTTTCGATGGTTACGACTGCTGCTCCGGCTACCGCTGGACTTTGATATGAACAAAGGCACTCGCCGCGTACTGCTTACGGATCTTTCACTCTCGCTATTGTCGGCTGAAGCGCCTTCCTGTGACACCTTTCGACCCCGTCTTCCATGTCTCCCGTAGCCTTCGTGGCCAGTACCTGCAATCGGTCCTTTCCGTTGCAGCTTTCGTGGACTTCTAGAAGGTTTCTCGACTTCTGGTGCTGGTGATTTTCCTCGACGACCAAATATACCCAAGCGAGAGAATTTTCCAGGCCGGTTAGGAGACTCGTAGGTGGTCGCAGCTGTCCTACTTGGTGTGATAGGTCGGTGTTCATAAGGGCTTACTACCGCATCTTTGGCGGATGTAGTAGTAATACAAGTCCCATGGGGTAAACCCTCCTGGCTCCTGCTTGGTCGGTGTATTGATTGAAAACCTGTCCCAACTGATACTATATTTGGATGAGCAAACTCGTCCAATTGCGGCGCCAGTGATCGTTGGAGATCACTATGTGCTTGTGTCAACGACATTCGCTGGGAAGCATCGACAACATGGTCAATATCCCTATAGCTTGGTTCTGGCGGCACCGGAGTGGGCACTTGGTGCTTCCGACTTCTGCTGCTGCTGCTCCTGCTCAAGGACTGCTTTGCGGAGGAGGTCCTTGGGGGAGGAGTGGGTGCCGGCGTGCTTAGAGGTGTCCCCTTTCTGATAGATGTATCTTTTCTTTCCCTAGAACTGAGCTCGGGACTGTTTCCTGCTCCTGAAAATGCATCCGGAACAGCCGGTACGTTTGGAATATTTCCACGTTTCGCTTGTCGAAGGGGAATAACTTGTACACGCTTCGAAGGAGACTTGATAGACACTTGCTGTATGACGCTTGGAGATGTTGAAGGCCATGAGATTGGGGTTGTCGTTGTAGTGGATTCACTCCAAGGACTTCTTGTACTCGAGGCCCAGGTGGACGGGCTATTGATTGTGCTCGCGGAGCTGTTTAGAGGTTCCTGATATCTCGACGGCGAGGCAGCAAGCGCTTGCAGTTCGGGTATCAAGCGAGGTGGCAGGTTCGTTGGCCTTTTCGTACTAGTATTCCTGGGCATGACCACTCCGAAGATTGCGTCGTGCTCGGTGTCCAACGAGGATACAGCGGTGCTGCTCGAGGACTCGGTGCATCTTGGATTCCACACAGCAGCTCGTTCATAGTTACCACGAGATTGTCTTTGGTGGGATTCCATCTTGAGAGAGACTTCTTGTGAAGATGGTTGTGTTCCCCAAGTCGACTTGCTCATCAAGGAAGGAGAAGATGCATTTCTGGATGCTGCAGTCGGTCTCAGAGACGGGGATTTTGTTGCAGATCGAGGGATTGACGTAGGCTTTGAGCGAGGCTTTGATCCCTGGGGTTTTGCCAGTCCTGCATTGACAGGGTCCGATTGAAAATGAGAGCTCGTGGCCGTATCTGATCTGCTAGCGTTTGACTGACGTCCATTCTGACCTATTGTTGGCAACCTAGTACCCCGTGGCACTGTAGCATCTGCCGTTCTGGGTAGGCCCTGTCGGGTGTCATACATTGGTGTTCTGTGTGACATGTTTCGGTTGATATTCTTGCTCGCTAATCCCCCTGAGTATAAGCAAAAAGGAACACGACTGGGAAATCATTCCGGTACCGCTCCTGAAGTAGCCAAGAGTGGGAACATTCGGGAACCTGTGATCTTGCTTGAGAGAACATATGTCGCAGTAGTATGGTTGGTTTATGCTGACATCCGATCGGGCAACAAGGTCCCCTTCGCCGATGGAAGTAATGATGTTGAAACCTCAGGAGACGTCTCCCACATATGTCGTACAAGTGACCAACATCCGAGACAAATATTTCAGGCCAGTGTCGAGAGGAGGTAAATCATAGGAATGTTGAGACCCAACCGACCCTTTATGCGCCACAGTGATTATGCCGGAGTGTCCGATAGCGAAAATAGTAGCCACCAAATATGCCACGTGATACAGCAAAGGCAATGTATCATTTAGCAATGTTGCTTGATAGATGACCAAATGAACAGTATCGGAAGAGAGGGAAGAGAAGGTAGATAGTGATCAAGTACCTGGGGAAGATATGGTTGCGGCGGATCTTGCAGGCATGATAATGGCGGACGAAATAAGAGACTTGTTTAGCACGAGTCATATAACAATGCGGCACACCAGCAAAGCCCGTGGCTCTGTCTCGAGCTCTAACGGCTGCGGCGCTAATGACCCGCGCACCATTCGTACATTCCACTGACAAACCCTAATATCCCCCTGCAGCCAAGATAACCTGGTGACCGAAGGCATCTTTGCTTTGCCATTCGGTCTCATCGACTCTAGATGCATCTCCTGGTGTCAGTTGAGTCCCCATCAAGAGAGGCTCCACGGAGGCTGCTCCCGTACCCAGCGTGGGGATGTCACGCCAGGGCAGTGTCTGACTTCTGTCATTCCATGCTTAACACTACGGGGTCAAAGTCATGGCCAACCGGCTGCGGACACTGAGCCAGCTCGACGGATTCGGAGGCTTCGCCTGTCATTACTCGCTGAGAGCCTGCGTAAAAGTGGTCAAACGACACTTTTCCAGAAGTCATGTGTAACGGGCCATGTTCCAATCCGCGTGACATGTGCACGACAAGCGGCGTCATGGGCGGAAACTTGCCTGCAAGATGAGACAGACGCCAGGCTCCCAGAGCAGGGGTTGTGGTGTAACTGGTGAAAAGAACCGAACAGAGAAGCTGGTGGCGACGAAGTGGATCGGCAATGAGAAAGACGACGACTTCAGAATCAGCCACAATGACTGGTGCACTCGTACTCTTTTCGTAATGGCGAAGTTCCAGAGAACAGGGATGAATGTCAAGAACGACAGACTGGCGTCGTTATTCGCAGGGTGAAAACCCTGCTGGGCGCAGGGGCACAAAACTTGAGAACCAGTCGGTGAAGTGGGAAGAGACTTTAGGATCGAGGACTTGCCCGTTTAGTGGAGCTGGCGTAAATCTTTCTAGGCGGCCCGCAAGCCCACGCCACGCCCGTCAAATGTTAACTTTGCCGACTTTCCAGGCGTGGCGACCCCCAAAGCTGAGGTCTTACGGGCGCTGCTCAGCCTACAAATCCTCGCAGTGGGGACCCAAGCAAAGGCTCGAAAAGGCCCGAGCCATGACTCCGTAAGTGTCTGGAGGAGGGACCTACGGGACAACAGAGAGGGCTAGATTTTTGAGAGACTTTTGCTTCATTCAATCATCTTCCTACTCTGCCGTGATGACTTGAGGGCCACTAGGTCTTTCGAAATTGATCTCTCTCTGGCTAGCTGTGCCTCAAATTCCTCGCGATAACAACTTTCACATGGCTCGTGGCCAAGATGTGGGCTGACATGTCTGTCTCCAAATAGGGCTTTCCGGACAACCACAAACCAGCTTGCTCTTGTGGCTGTCTGTGTAGAATTTTGGCCTTCTACTCAGCATCGAGGACGGCACACATGGAACAGATACATGTCAAGACATCTCTGCCCATCAAGTCCTCTCTCTATCTTCCTAGCATCTTCGATCAGCATGGAAGAATACCCCGACGTTCCCTTCGACTTCCTTCTATGGCATCGTCACGTCCCAGCATTTTTCACACTAGCGGCCAATGATATTCTATAGCTGGTGAAATGCAGTCTGTCCGGCTGATCCTGAGACTAGGGAGTGTCTGATAAATCACGCTAACTTCGATAAGCGGGTCATCCTGATGGCGTGCGACTTTCGCCTCGTTTTCCCTGTATGGTTGGCTCAAAAATATCCGAGAAGGCGCATCAACGCCGCTGCACACGCAGGTTGTGAATCTGGTGGTGGGTGGTACAACGTGCTTCAGATATCACATGACAGGTTTTGAGTCCTGATGTAGCAACGAGCAGTATTGCGAGCAGACTGCACAGTAGAGATTCAAATAAGACACCTTCTTCGAGTTCAACTGCTGCAGTTGCCCTTTTCCTTCTCCTGAATCATTCAAATGCTAGTACTCAATGCGAACGACAAGCAGTTTGTGGTCCGTGTCGTTCCGACTTTATAACCGAGACAGAGAAGGCTGCAATAGTTTTAGGCGCCGAGATCAGAGTGCATAAAACTCTCCTGTGATGCCTTTCGTCTGGATACTGCAAAGTCACTAAGTGTGTGGCTATGTGCGCTGGTAACATCATCGACATCTCTCAGCGCAAACGGAAAGTACGGGCCTTGACTTTCGAACTATCGGATCTGTTGCCCTTGACCTGCTCATACAATAGTTGATGCTTCGGGGGAACAATATGGATCCACGTTCCACGTTTCACCTTCGAGGACTCCGGGAGTCACGAAGATCGTGTTAAATACCACAATTCATTTACAACGGTCGAAATCTCGCTCAGGAAATTGCCGTGTCTGCATGAGCTGGTGCTTTGCGCCGTTTTGACGCTGGCAGGGTTAGGGACCTCATCCGAACCCGGGTACTCCGTACCTAGCAGGTACATTAGCGCATGCAAGCTAAGGCATGCAATTGATGTTTGAGATCCTCGGAGCCCATCTGATTGGTTTTGATGAAAAGGGGAGACGGCGGGTATAGCGTCCAAAGATGGGATTAATTCCAGACGGATCGTTAATTGTCTCTGCGATTCTCAATCAAGTCGTGTATGCGAACGGAGTACGGAGAAGTATGGAGGATGGAGCACCAGAATAACTGCCAGGTAAACACAATGCTGTACAAGGCCCAAAGTCTATACCTCTTTCGGAATAGCCTACTTCCTCAGCCTCGCAACATCCCTGTTGAGCTGTAATGTACGGAGTACGACCAAGAAACCTGTATATACTGGGCTGTCTGAACGGGCATTCCGTCAGCTCAGCCATGATAATGAATGAATCAGGTCAAATCTGGATCGTGCCCGTCGCTTCCACGTCTACGCGGATAGATCCGTCAGGCTGCGACTCGCACCGCATTCTCACGACTTCCACTGCGAGCTCATGGCAAGTGAGCTGGAAGGGGCTTAGACGTTGAGGCGAGGCGAGGCTTGAGGAGAGATGGGTATTGTACTCGTACTGATCACAGCGCATCATTTTCGTTCACAGCCTTTGCATTCGTCACAGCAGTTTCCGACGGCCATGAAGTCAGGTCATGGTGTGCCCCAGCGTGTTTGGCCGCAAAGACCTGGCATGAGTAGGTCCTAGGTCCTCACTCGTAGAGCCAGTGACTATTGAGGTCGAAATGCACGGTGAGACATGCAAGCCCGAGACTTGTGATCGCATCCTTCAAGAACTGTAGTGTCGAACCCAGAGAGATTCCCGTGACTTGGCCTAAGCACCTACAGGTATTGTAGGTGCGGACCTGACTTGGTCGTATGTACTTTGGGGATGTAGCAGAAACGCTGCCGCAAGCAGCGATTATTTGCTAGGGGAAAATTCACACGTCACCCTGCGAACGCGCTCAATACACTCCCCATCAACAATTCATGACAATACATTCGCGACAATAGCACCACATTGTATTCTATTATATTTGCCGCCATCGAATCACTCATCGCACACTTGTTCCGATCGTATTCCTACAGCCCGTCAACCACAATTACCCTGACTTGCCTACCTTCTAGGCGCGACAACTTCATTTCCATCCATCATGGTTGACTACGCGAAAAAGACGGTTGCAGAGCTACAAGAGATATTGAAGTCTCGAAGCTTGCCTCACACTGGAAAGAAAGCAGAGCTCGTCGCAAGGCTGAACGAGGCCGATCAAGCTGCAGCGGAAAATGGTGCGTTGAACAAATCCAAAAACCCACGGGATCTTTCGAAACCCTCGTCCTGCACCGGCCTCCCGTGTCACGACATGCGCATTCAAGACAATCGCTAACATATAGTCATTTACAGAAGCCGCGAAAGCTCCTCCGGCCGAATCTACCACTGCGCCGCCTGCGCAAATCCCAGAGCCTGCCGCACCATCAACCTCAGAAGCACCTGCACCAGCCGAACCCGCACCGACAGCCGCAGCAGAGCCTGCGACGGTGGAGCCGACTGCCGCGAACGATGATGGCAGTGCCCAGCCTGCCGCGGCGTCTTTTGCCCTGAACCTCCCCTCGTCAGAAGTGGACGCCGAAATGGCGAAGCGCAAAGCACGCGCCGAACGATTCGGGACCGGAGCTGCCGTCGCAAACGGGGAGACGGGTGCAGCGGACACAGAAGGAGCAGACGCGGAAGCATTGAGGGCCCTGGAGCGTGCTAAACGTTTCGGTACCGGACAGACCGCGATGGGAAAGCTGGACGAGGCACTGCCATCCGAGTTAAAGCGCGACTCAAGGAAACGGGTCCGGACGGAGGAGGATAGCACGATGGATGACCCTGGCTTGCGGAGAAGCTTTGGCGGCCGTGGTAGAGTCGGTGGTGGACGAGGAGGCCGATTCCGCGGAAGAGGGCGCGACAACTCACAAAGAAGACATGGTGACAGACCCGGTGGTGTGAGCAAGCCGGGCGGCGTTTTCTCGACGGAGGCAGATCGTTTGGCCGCCGAGGCCAGGAAGAAGAAGTTTGCGAGTGCGACGTGATTTTTGTTTTCTACGGTTTCATTGTTTCAGAAGGCAGGGCGGGAACTTTGGGAAGACTGAATCGGTGTGTCGCAAAAACATGGATTGACGGGAAATGGCCATGGCGATTGTGTAAACTTAAGGGGTGACTGGTACCAAAACCATTGAGCAATATCATTCTTCTTCTACATGTTCGCTCCTTACCTACTCAAAGCCCCAGACTCTTGACCTCGTAGCCAAAGATCAAACGGTGAGCCGTGGACAGGGGCGGGATTTGGTAGTTCTGGAACGATGATTGGGAAGCCCGGAGACCAAGAGACCAGGTGAAGCACAGAGAAGAACGAAGGGGAACGATGTGGAAGAAGAATGCTTTGCGCATTGCAACCAAACTACAGGGGCCACCACATCTGTCTGTCCTCAACACCAAGAGCCTCGTAAGGCAAGACTAGCTAATGGCATGAACCAAGGCATCAAAGCCATCCAAGAATCCTCCATCCCATCAACACCAACACCAACACCAACACCACAACACCACAACACCACAACACCACAACACCACAACACCACAACACCACAACACCAACACCAAGTCCCAAGCATCACAACCATCAACCATCCCAAATCCCAGCCCCAAGACCACCCAGACTCCACAGACAGACAGACAAACAGACAGTCACACAGGCACAGACACACCGACAGACAGACGGGCTCCCCAAAGACCAAGTCACAATCCTCCACTCCATCGCAAGTCCAAACCATCCATGGGCAACAGCAACCTCACAGTCCAAACGCTAAGCCTGATCAACACATGATCATCCTGCTCCAACACCAACACCACAACACATCGACAACACCTCAGCAAGTACAGCATGAAACGAATGGCCATGATCTCTTTCTTTCTGACTACCCTTCTTTTCGGGGCAAGTTTGGTCCATTTGGACTCTTTCTGACTCCCTTCTTTTCGGGGATGGCCTGCTGCAACTTGACATCTCAACAACATCAGATCAACACATGATCAACAACAACAACACCACAACACACCGACAACACCTCAAAGAGTACAGCATGAACGAGTGGCCATGGTTTTTTTTCTTTCTGACTGCCCTTCTTTTCGGGGCGGGTTGGTCCATTGGACTCTTTCTTGACTCCTTTCTTTTTGAGGATGACCGGCTGCAACTCGAGAGATGTCGACATCACCACGACACACCAACCTGCAATCCACAACACCATCTCAGATCAACACATGATCGACAACAACATCAACCAACGACATCTCAACACCAAGCGCAGCTCAATCAAGTACAGCATGAGTGGCCATGGGTTCAATCTTTCTGGCTGCCCTTCTTTTCGGGGCGGGTTTGGCCCATTGGACTCTTTCTGACTCCCTTCTTGTGGGGATGGCCTGCTGCAAGCTGCAAATGAGAGAGAGCACTAAGCTAAAGTGATATGACAAAGGAAAAAGTATGCTAAGCTAAGCGGCCATGAATGTTTCTTTCTTTCTGACTGCCCTTCTTTTTGGGGCGGGTTTGATCCATTTGGATTCTTTCTGACTCCCTTCTTTTGGGGGATGGCCGATTCTGGTGTCTTTGCGACGGGAAAAAGAAAAAAAGAAAAGGGACTGTGAGGTTGCTGCTCCCTTCCAAACCCAATGCCACCCATCATCACCACACACCACACCAAAGACAAAAGAAATCCTCCCAACACACCACGAAGGTGTACCCAACACCCAACATCACCCATGACCCAGAATCCTCCACACACCACGAAGGTGCACAAACATCAACACAGCCCAGGGTCATCACCACACACACACACCAGAGACAAAGGAAAACTAAGCTGAAAAAAATCAAAAGTGGTCAATGACTTCGAGGCCAAGGACCGATTCGCTTTTGTGATTCCGGTTGGCCTTCTTTTTGGGCTCTTGACTTTTTTTTGATGTGACAAAAGAAAACTATGCTAAGACCTCTTCTCATCACCCGCCGATGATGGTGGAAGAGGGGTCATCCCAAGTCGCGACCCCATGGGCGCACCCGTGGAGATGGACGCAGGATACAGGGAAAAGAAAAAAAGAGAAAGGAAAAGGAAAGGAACGAGGGAGAGGCGACATATTTGTAGGAACCCAGAGTTGCGCCAAGCACTCATGGGAACATTGGGAAGGCGGTGGAGGGAGGTGAGGTTGTAAAAGGGTGAGGCAGGCAGTGAAAATGTTGATACCGTGTCCCAGGGCAGGCAGTGCAGTGCACGATCGAGGTGAGGCAGCCAAAAGCAGGGCGGCGAGAGACTCTTGTACCGCGCCGACATGCCCTCCGCGGAAGGCGGTGGGAAGGGAGGGAGACGAGATGGCTGGAGCAAAATTGTCCGGCGGCGGTGGTGATCCTGTATTCACTCACTGCCCTTCTTTCTCACAGAAGCATCACAGACGCTCTGAATTAGTTAGGAAGTCAAGCCAACTTGAACCACAGAACCCTTGATGGACTTTTCGATTCCAACTCACCTTACCTGATATTGCCTCAGCTCAGCTCCGTACTCCAAGTCCTTCGGTCAGAACTCAGTCGTCATCGTTGGTGAAGGAAGAGTTGGGTCAGGAAGAAAAGAGTTAGCACATAATCACAGTGGATAAGAACAACGGCACCTGTGGGCGACTATAACACTTGATGAAAAGGGGCTAGGGTTGCCGATGGATCATGATCTTGTTTGATATTGAGGATCGAATATGCCTAGTTAGGTGGTGATGTTCCCAGCCTCGAGGCTCTGAGGTCATGTTGATTGATTGAGTGCTCACGAGGCGAGGATCGAACCCACTCAAACACTCAAATGTCCTATATTCAAAAGTGCAAATCCCAGCACTGCTGCTTCATGTCCCCTTTCCTTGGAAACCTATGACAGTGTACTCGGTCAAAGTTCCATCGCTGTGCACAAAGGCTTTTTTGGGCTAATCACTTCTTTCCAGGCGCACCTGACTGGTGCTGTTGCTGCTGTTGCTGCTGTTGCTGCTGGTGCATCTTCGCCCTCGCACTTCTACTGCCTCCCAGCTTCGGACCTCTGGACTCTGTTGGAGCACCGGAAGTCGATTTTGATTGTGCCTTGGCCCTGGCCCTCTGTCTCCTCTCGGCCATTGCGTCCATGAAGTCCTGCCGGAACTGTTCTGCCATTCGTTCATCGGCGTCACTCTCGCCCGAGTGGTGGTCGTCGCCTCCGCTCTCCGCTCCTCCGGCCTGTCGTTCCCGCTCTCTCACCAACTCATTCGCGGCGTAAATGTCGAGTTTGTTCTCCCGCATCAACTGTTCCACGAGGGCATCACGGGCGAGGTCCTCGCTGTTCCGCCGCTTCCGGGGCCGAGGTCTGAACGGTTTGCCGTCACGGCCGAGTCGTGGCTTGCGCGGCTTTGGCGGCTTGATCTCGTCTTCGACGGGAGGCAGGCCCAGTTTGGCCCTTTCCAGTGCCGCTTGCGTACGTGCGAGATTCCCGTCGTGGACAGAAGACCCAAGATCGACTTCTGCAAGTTGCCGGGCAGCAGGCCGACCGCTGAGAGATACCGTTTGCTGCGGAGTAGCAACTGGGTTCTTGTCAGACGCTGATACCGGCTTAGGCTTTGTGAAATCCTCGTGGGATTGTGCTTGCGGTGTGTCGTTCATGGTTGGTGCTGCAGTAGCACCAGCAAGATTGCGTCGTTTAGCCATTTCCGAATCTATGTATGCAATCCTTATATGGTTAGCTAGCCAGCCGGGTCTGGGGAGGACCAAAGTTCTCGCAAAAAGGACCTTACATGTGATGATCATCGTTCACTACCTGGCCCGTACCGCTGGTAAACCGGTCGGAGATATCTATGCGCTTTTCAGGAACCTGGCCGTCGCTTCGGACCATAGCTGCTGCCTCAATTTGTTTCAGGTCGTGATCTGAAGACGCATCTGCAGTCGAAAAGTGTACACCACCGGCGCGAGTTCGATAGTTCTTCCTTGCGCGTACCAAGTTTGACACATGGACTTCATCGGGTTCTGCTGAGACCTCCGTGGTGCTGTTTTCGACTGCGGCTGCTGGCCCTCCCAGCTGGTCGGTGGATGAAGCTTGATCGGCATCCCGCGCTGGAGACTCTTGATGATGACGAGGCCGGCTGATTTTTCTACGCTTTGTAGATCGGAAAACCGCGACTTCTTCCATGTTGTTGTACAGATTCCGATCACTAAAAAATAGAGGAGGTCTGATTTCCCATCAAATATGGGAATGAACGAAGTCCGACAAGGGATTTCAAAGACCCAGATCGAATTGTGTACTTGCCAGTGTGGTCTGTTTGTCCAGATGTATCAAGCTGAGGATGAAACCCATTCATGAAGTTGAAGAACTAATAATGCAGATCACGTGAGTGGCTTTGAACAATAAGCAAATCGAGTTCAGGACTCGCTTCGGGCCATGCTAGACCCGATCAGGCAGCGGACTCGGTCCCGACCGCGAGGCATCAATACTTTCGACCATACTCCATAGTGACGATGACAATAGAATAGCACCGGCTAGAATCAAGTGCAATAACGTCCAGTCACACGCTGGCATGGCCACAGTGCGATAGTGCAGGGCTAACCAACAGATTTCTTTCGTTTGACGACAGTTAATCGATTCATCTAATTCATAAGAATGTTTAATCTAGATGATTGAGAAGAGAATGGATGGTATTCCCCGATCAACTGTCCTTCAGTCTGGCATTGCACACAGCGGCTGAGATGGCTTGCTCAAGGTCGATGTGAAAGAGTGGTCGGTCTAGGCCAAAGACAGCGCGGCGCTGCTCAGCTGTCGCTACAACTGTACCATTTTTTTCATGTCGAAGTGACTGGGTGTCACTTTGCATGATCGTCACGATATCATTCTCAGGGCCGATACCTGTTTCCACAGCCCTACTTTCACATTCTGTCTTGATTTGTTCATCTTTCCTCGCCTCCTGAGCTCGCTCGTCTTCAGGCTCTGCACCAGCAAAAGAACTAGTCAGGGTATACACCGGGGCCCAGTTCCCAAGCGCGATCTGATTTCGTTTCGTCGGAAATCCAAAGCCTGCAGCTGCAAGCGCACGTCGAGACCAGCGGTTCCACAGGGTGGCAAAGTGCCAATCTACCCAGGATGGTGCGGCATAACTGTCCAACATATTCCTCGCGTCAATAAGTCCTTGGATGCTGGTGATATCTAGATTGTTGACAGATGAACAGTCCAGTACGATGGCTCGTAAGTCTGGCAGGCTTGTATCGATATCCCTGGTTGCTGCTGAGTCACACCATAACAGTTGATGCGCGTCGACGTCGTCCTGTTTTGTCGTGCGCCGAGTATGGGCAAGAATGTAACCGGTCAGATTGTTGAGGTGCAAGGTCTGGTTGAGGTAGTTAAATCCTTCTGGAAATCGGTATACAAAAACTCCAGGGTAAGGCGATCGCACCACCGCTTCTGGATTCGAGGCGTCCTTGCGATCGATGGGTATGTACGCATCGCGACTTGCGAAATTGTTACTGGACAGTCTCGAGTTGTGGTCATGCCTGACGGAGTCCGCATTGAGATCGACTGCAACCGGATGGATTGGTATACGACCTAGGAATTGGCCTTTTGTGCGAGCGATTCGCAATAACAAGAAGAATAGAGACAGTCCAATAGTGGTATAGATCGAGGTCTCCAGTCCGGTAAAAATGGCAACAATAACGCCAACAATCCAGATCCCGAACTCGAACGGGGATAGCCGCCAATATTTGTAGCAGGTTTTCGGACTGGCAACCAGGTTCAGCACAGCATGGATTATCAAGCCAGCTAGAGCTGCCCTGGGGATGTAGTAGAAAACGGCCGTCAAGGCGTACAGTGCCAGCAGGAGAAGCAGTGCACTGAAAACACCAGCAAGCGGAGTTTTCACACCGGCCTTGACCAGGACTGCCGAGGCGCCGAATGATCCCGTGCATGCATAGCCGCCCAGAAAGGGGCCCAGCAGGTTCGCCGTGCCTTGTGCCATGATCTCTTGGGAGGGTATGACTTGATATCCAAATTTTTTGCCAAAATTCTTTGCAATGGCGATATGTTCAATAACAAGGATAAGCATGATTACTGGAGACTTAGGAATGACCAAGGAGAGTAGTTCGGTATTAAATCTGGGAATGCCAGCGTGCTTGAAGCCTGATAAACTCAGTCAGTGGTTGGAAAGAGGGCTTAACAGTTCTACGAACCCTTATCGATATGTCCCACAATTCGGAATTTTGAATCATTCTCAGACAGGTTGCGTTGAACGAGCCAGCTGATGAAAGTGTAGAGCAGCATGCAGAACGAAAGCCTCATGGAGGAAACCGTCGCCCACAGTCGCTTTCTAGATGGTTGCCGAACTTCAAACTTTGTGCACAGTCTCTTGATTAACTCCAAAAGCACAAGGCACGAGAGACCAATTGCGGCATCGAGCTGGGTATTACCTAAGTTGCTCAGCGAACTGATGATTACCTTGTACGGGGATTGGCGGGTGTTGATGCCAGGGATGCCCATCATGACTGGAAATTGCGTAGACATGATCGTGATGCTCGCTGCTGTGATGAACGCCGAGATTGGGATGTAAGGTATAACCTCAACTATCCAGCCCAATCGCAGTAGCCCGATGGCCAGCAGAATAGCTCCTGACATGAAGGACAACGTTTTTGCGATTTCGACATTAGTATAAATACCAGGGTGAGACCCCTGTATGTCTGAGATCACGTTGCCGACCAGCAGTGACCCAACAGCAGTTGTCTGGTGTAGATGTCAGAGTGCTCAACGTTCAGGGAAAGTGGCTGACTTACGCCGATGACGATGTCCTTGGAAGTTCCAAACAACCAGTAGACTGCTGCTCCTGCAAAAGACGTATACAGGCCAAAGTCTGGGTTCAAAGTCGCCAGGAGAGCGTACGCCATAGCTTGCGGGATCACCACGAGCCCTACTGTGAGGCCTGCAATCGAGTCTGCGAGCATCCAATGCCAGTTATACCGTGGAATCCACCTGATGCAAGGGAAGAGATTTCGAAGATATTGATACATGCCTCCCTTCGTGGGCGAGAGTGTCATGAGCCATTCAGACACTTTTGGTTCATGTTCGAAATAGGGTTCTTGGACAATTTGCCTTGCTTTGCCCGCTATGTCTGAGACTTGACCTATATCGCATTCTGGCGCTGTCTCGGTGAGTAAAGATTTCGTGCGGGTCTGGATGCACCGAAGTATGTTGTTCATCCTGTAATCGTAGGAAGAAAGTTGAATCAAGTTGCTTCTCGACAAGGACCAGCTTATCCTGGGTCTCGTTCGTAGAATAGAGTAGAATCACCATGAGCTGGTTGCTTTCTGGTCATAAATACCGTGCCTTGCTATGGAAAGTAAGTTGCCGGAGAGAAAGCAATGTGTAAAAAGACCCTCCAAGCATAACAGAGCCCCCAGCAGCAGCAAAGCGTCATGCCACATTATGTATACCGGGGTTCATACTTCGAAATAGACATCAAGTGCCAGTGGTACTTGGGGTCCACAAAGGGCTCTGAAGGGTGGCTCGGGGACTGAATGGGAAGCTGCACAGATCGCCGACCATGGTATTCCGGGCTCTTACGAAAATATAGCATTCTTGGCAAGATCCCACCTGTCAAATGCATTATTTCCGACCATGGATACGTTGTTTCGACGAGCAAAGACACCTCTCGGGTGGCAGAGCCAAAGGTGCCGTCGACCAGGGCAAGCTAGTTGAGTTTTGTGGTAGAAGTCATGAAATGGCCAGCCAATGCCTGTTCGAGATGATCAAATGGTTGTTGTATCTAACAAAACAGGTCGTGTGCGTGTAGAAGACATCTTAAGAAAGTCGTATACGCAACAGCGCATGTCAGAGTAGTCGACAGAGTTAAAGGAAAGTCCTCCTGGTGTAGGGATGTGAACAGCGTTGATAATGATCTGCTTACCTAAGAGAGCTCGAGGAAGTATTGCTGGCTCGGGTGTGAGTCCACGGCCCGATTGCGTTTAGCAAGGCACGGAGCGAGTCCAAGGCTCGCTTTATCGTAAAAGAGTAAGCGGACTCGCTCTCGATTGTGTGAGAAGTATTTCTGCTCTGATTGGGAACGAGTCCGCTGCCTGATCAGATCTAGCATGGCCTGGAGTGAGTCCAGGACTTGCTGCCGGAGTATCTTCGGCAACCAAGGTGAAGCAGGAACTGAAATTAAGGCAGCAAGAGATATTCCCGAATCAGGCCAGGATTCAAAGTACGATTTTATTCTCTTGGTGCGAACCGAGTGCTCGCGCGATCACGAAGTTCACTCACCTCTAATCACGATCTAGCACCTTAGGAATCTCCTTGATATTCCTGTGCTTTCCATTTCCGAGACAATGTCGACCCAGATTCCCTCCGCAACGTACCGTTGCTGCCAGCTCGCAGCTCGGACGCAAAAACGAAGTCTTTCCTCTCAATGCCTCCGACTCTCCGCCTCGAGCTCCGCCGTCCAACACACACGACGCAATGATGTATCTCAAATAAGACAGTCAAGGAGATGGCAATCGACAGACGCCGCTGCTGCTCCGACAAACCCAAAAATCTCAGCTATCGTTGATCAAATATCACAGTTGACACTATTGGAGACCGCTGACCTGGTTTCGAGCTTGAAGGTATGTGCACGATGGACAAGATCGCATCCTGCTTGTTGCACACAAACTTGCTACTGGTGTGCAACATATCTGAACTTGGACAGAAGCTGATCGATGTATTTCTAGACTCGATTAAACATCCCCGACATGGCATTTGCCGCTCCGGCGGCCGCCCCTGGCGCTGGTGCCGCTGCTCCAGCTGCAGCTGAGGAGGAGGAAGCTGCTCCTGCCGCAGCTGAAAAGACAATGTTTGCCCTGAAGCTCGAGTCCTTTGATGCAGGTGCCAAACCCAAGATCATTAAAGAGGTCAAGAGCATGCTTGGCCTCAGTTTGGTGGACAGCAAGAAATTCGTCGAGAGCGCCCCCAAGGTGTTGAAGGAGGGTGTGCCCAAAGAAGACGCTGAGAAGATCGTGGAGACGATGAAGGCCCTAGGTGCCAAGGTCACCATGGATTAAAGAGTTCATGGAGGATGAGCCAGTGGTCAAGATACGGTCGCGGTTGGAAAGCCCGACTGGAAGAGTCGTCCACAACCTCCACGGTCTGTCCTGCTGCTGCATGTTCGGTGAAGGTAGAGCTGGACGTTCAGGCAGTTTTGACAGGGTAGACCGAGGTCTGTATTCTGCATCATGCCTTGCAGCCCCGAGAAGGCTGTTTGACTACGCAAGATATATGCGCTGTCTGAGTAAAAGGCTACCACGGTGTAACTATAAGGCAGGATTGTGGGAGATATTTGAAGATTCAGATGTACAATTGAAATCAATCTTTCTCGATATGTGGCCATCAGTTGCTATCTTGTCTTCCATAAATGCATAGTAGATTAATCCTCTCCCAAGGTTCCCAACGCCGTATTCTCTCAAATGCCGGCATGTAATCACATTTATCACGTCGTAAAAGCATAACCATGCAGTGTTGTGTTGTTTCGCCTCAAGTATCCATGCAAGAACTTGGCATCTTCTGAGCAGATTCCTGTCATAAAAGTCGGCACTCTAGATCTATCTCTATTGTCCATCAAACCTAGTGCCGTTGACGCCACTCAGGCCCTTTCCTAACTGTGTCGCAATACCTGTAGCCTCTCTGATACTCCTCGCGATAGTACCTCTGACCCGTCCCTCCTCCAAGACCAGAATGCCTCCAATTGTGCATCCGCCCGGCGTGCTCACGTTTTCCCTTACCAATGCCGGATGCTCGCCTGCAAGCACCATGCCGGCCGTCCCGCGCATCGCCTGCGCGGCCATTAGGTGCGCCTCTGCCCGTGGAAGTCCCATGGCCACGGCGCCATCCGCCAAACTCTCCATCACGAGCGCCAGGAGCCCCGGACCAGAGCCGCAGAGAGCGGTAGAGACGTCCATCATGCTGGGCGGCAGGTGGACGACGCGGCCTATCCTGGTGAAAATCCACTCGACCACGGCAGAGAGGTCAGAGGGCAAGGGGGGCGTGGTGGTCGCAATGACCGTCATGCTCTCGCGCACGGCGGCAGCGGTGTTGGGCATGGCCCTCACCAGTTTACACGCGTTCTCCGGCGCGTTGGCTGGGTATTCGTCGCCGTAGAGGGCACGACCCATCCGTTCAATCGGCACACCGCCACAGACCGAGATGAGTAGCTTTCCAGCCAGCGCTTCTATCATGCCCTCTTCCTTCAGGATGTCGCCTACCATGTACGGTTTGCAGCCTAGAAGGACAACATCTGCCGCTTGCACACCCTTGATGTTCTCATTCTGTAGAACCGTCACGCTATGTCTGTAGTCCTGCACGGCAAGGCGGACGCGTTTGGCCGATTCGTGCCGCCGTACACATGCTATGAACGTGTCTGGTACGCTGTTGTTGGACAACTCAGTAGTAGGAGTCGCAATTCCCGAGGCAGGGTAGGCCGGGGAAGAGAGATTCGAGGCTTCGGTCAAGGACGACAATATACCGGACAAGATGGCAATGCCGAGGGTTCCTTACGGGGGGTGTCAATGGGAGAAGAGGGCTCGGAGGAGAGGCGGACTCACCACAGCCTAGCACTGTGAGAGTCATGCCTCGTTTGCCTGGAAGGCCGTCGGGAACTCGTAACTCTGCCGCCATGTTGATATATACTTGGCTCGAGGTCAGGGCAACTGGGAATTATTGGTCATGATTGCCAGTGATTGTGACAATCTTTCTTTGTCTCGTCCTACTCGGAAATCCTTATGTTCGTGCAGCGATGCGGGGATAGAGATAGAAGTAAATAATTTTCTGACCGTCCTTCTGTGCTCCGTGACGACGGCCATATCCGATGCAAGGCACGCCAATTAGAAGAGACATCTCCGGACTCCGACCAGGCTGCGGTGCCATTCTTCAATATTCTTCATCCGATACAAGGCCACTTTTAATCCGGTCGGCGAAAGTTCCTGCCTGAGGTCCTCCCACGATCTCATCTCCCTAGCTACACACGACACGGGGGTCGTGTTCACTCCCCGTCTGCACCGATGCCGTAATCCCCGGCGTCGAACGGCCCACGACACGTTCAAGCACGGTGTCAAGGAAATAAGCAAATATGGCCGATCCGTTCGAAGTGCGCATGCGCTTCACGAACCTCCTCACGCATCTCTCTGCCTCGGCGACGGCTTCCATCAAGACGGCTCATTATGCTCTCAAGCACCGCGATATGGACGAGGATCTGCACAGCTGCATCATCGAGAACCTCGAGCGGGGGAACAACATGAACAACAGGGCGAACATCATGTACTTCCTCGAGCACCACGCCGACATCAACAGTAAAGAAGGCGGGCACGAGGCTTACGTAGACATGATCCGGCGGGACATCCAGCGCATCGTTGACGCTGTGGCCCAATCAGGCGCAAATGTTAAGGTCGTACGGCGCGTGGTAATGGGACTCGGCGACAAGGGCGTGCTCAGCGCTCAAGTGACGGCTGGCATCGAAACTGGACTCAAAGAGAAAGAGGACAAGATGGGAAAATTACTTGGCGACGACGACAAGCCCGAGGACGGCGACACCCCGGTTCAGGTGGACGACACCCGCAAACCGACGCCACGTACCGCGAAAGGCAGTGTTTCAAAGATGGACAAACGGGCAATCGAACAGCGCATCGAAGAGGACAGGGAGCGAAATAAGAGACTACGAGAGAGTGTCTGGGCGGTCTCGGGCGACGACCAGGAGGAATTCGACAGGATGTGGGAAGAAGAAACCAATCTTAGCGAAGATGAGCGTGTCATTGCCGATGAAGAGGCTGAAGAACGCCTCCAATTCGTGAGGTACTACAAATCAACTACTCTGGGAAGGTGAACACAGTGTGTCACGAGGTCGATCCAAGCCTCATCTCGCCTTTCGTATCGATATGGCTGGCTACCAACTATCTGGGTCCCTCATCTGTTGGCAGCTGATGCAATCCGATGTTAAGAAAGGTCATGTCATCTTCGACGCCTATCAAGCGCTATGCCGACAAGGCAAATGGAGCCCGGGGTTTGAAAGCGCAAAAGATCAGGCTTTGGCTTTCTTCGAAGTCATACTGACGTCGTCATCTTCATCCTCCTCGTCAGACACGACCATCTTCCTCTTGCGTGGTGCTGCCGGGCCTTCTACCTCGCCATTGTTACTCTGGTTCATCTGCTTATCTCTTCGCAGTGCGTATGAGAGGATCAATCCTTCATACTCGTCCTCCTGTCCTCGAGCACTGTCCTCAATCTGGGGGATCCGTTCCTCAAGAGGGACTTGCATGAGAATATCCTTGTTCTTCTTCATGATTCGTTGCTTTAGCAGGAGACGCCACCAGAAATAATTCCGATCGGCCGGATTTTGAGCTCGAGCGCCTTTAACCTTCAAGCTCGTCAAGGACGCACCTCCAGCGGCTCGATGAGAATGGGGGATCTGGGCTAACAAAAACATTTCGGCCATACGCGCGAATTGTCTGCTAGCAATTTTGTTCTTCACTCGGATTGTTTGTAAGGTAGTCAATGGAAGAAGCTTTGCCGTAGGAACTGACTTTATCCGGCCACGGTCGAGAGCTGCGAATGGGGAGGAGTTGATTTTGATCTCTGAAGCTTGAAATTGTGGTTCGAGCACATCGAAATCATTCATATCTCGCAGTTTGTCGAATTCTTCGCTCGGATCTTCCACCGTCATCTCCAATACCGTTGGGTCGGCCATAACCTCTGCATAGATTGCTTGGTACAAAGCCGATCCATGGCCACCACTCTGGTAGGGAGGTGTGATTAAGAATTGTGATATCCGAAGGCGCGACGACAGTTGATTTGGAGTGATTGTCTCCGTTGGCGGAAAGGTGAATGCTGAACTGCCGTCTTTGGGTTTCAGGAACCTGTAAAAGCGATAGGTCGTTGCATAGCCAACGAATGAGTATGGTGATGCTGTCGGGGTCGTAGACTTGGACTGCTTTTCGTACGTGAGATACACCCTCCAGCGGTCTAATGTCCAGTCTACATCATCGAGATTGATGAACTGCCCTCCTTCAATAAAGAAGACTATCAAGATTTGAATATTGTCCACCAGTGTTCGCATGGGGAGGTCGAGCAGAGATCCTGCCCACACCTCAAAATTTCGCCCACCTCTTGAGTATTTCTTTACGCAAGTCCCAGGAGGGGTCCATTTTGCAGCCTGCTCGTCATTCTGTACGAACTTTTCAAAATCTGATTCAAATGCGACGGGCGGGAGAAAGTTGCCAAAGGTCGCGTTGAGATCGAGAGCGCTTGTAGTCCCGACCGTGCTGAATTTCTTACTGTAGGAGACCTTGATGTGTGGGCGAAGATCGTGCGCTGCGAATTGGATTTCGACGTCCAGTCCTTTGTATCCGAAGATCTGTTCTGCCTCGCCTACGATGGGATATGTGAACTTAGGGTGGAAGTCATGACGAGTACTCAATTGGCCATCGGGTCCAGGCTGAACGATCGCGACATGTACAGCCTCGTTGGCATTGACCGAGACTGTATCTAGTCAGCGGAATTGACATAGTGTCATTGTCCATAACGATACTCACACTCTTCAGACGGTGCAGCCATTGTAGTAATGAGATGAAGAAAATATGAATCACGGCTGGCACATAGTCTGGGCCATGAAAATAAGGTCGATCTGAAATTTGGTATCGGGAGTAATTCAGCGCATGACCATCAATACTGGTACTGTGGCAGTTTGTAAGAAAGAAGATATGATTTCTTGTCTTAGTTGAGGCTTTCCTGCGCAATTGTAGATCGGTCGCGCCAATGTATGTACTTTACGCGTTTTATTCGGCTAAATTGCACCTACTCGTAGCAACGCGACAGCCATGCAGACCTCACAGCATCTTAGATATCCACTCAGCTGGCTATCATTATATCCTACGGTGTACGATTCCTTTTCCGAACTAACATCTATAGTACATGACCTTTGCGATCAGCCTAGCGGCCTGGCCCTTTTGTGCATAATATGTGCCTATGGACTGCCACTTCAAGAGTCTGCGTCTTGGAGCGCCTCTTAGGTCTAAGCGACATTACCCCATGAGAAATTCTCAGGGATCAGTCACTCGGTCAAGCAGGAAACGACAGGCGTGGTTTGCTCACGGGCACCCGGTCCTACGGGACAACACTTCGCATTTATTGGACCAGGCGATAACTTCCTTCGGCTAGAGCTTGAGGGCTGGAAGCAGCTTATATTGGAACCAAGCCTCTCATTTCCAAGAGGCCGGCACCATCGGCCTCTGGGCAATGTTTTCGACCCCATGATGCTGAATCAGCCCTCCGCCTTGATCCCGCCCTTGAAGTGCTGAACTACCCAGCTTTCTGACTCCTGACTTCTTCTTTCTTTCTCCCCGCCATCCATTCTCCGTACCCATGGAAGGGTATACAGCGACCAACCGAGGATGAAGTTCAACGCTGGCCGATGGCAACTCATGTGCCCGTCAACCTCCCCATTGTTGGAACACGTACATCATGTTGATTACTTCAAATGAAGCACGGTACGGTGGTTGGGTGTGTGCCGGGCTTTCCCTGGTCATCTTGATCATAAGAGTTGTGACATCAAGGATCAGACATGGGGCATTCGACATCAGCACCTTGGTCTGCGCAATTGCAATAGCCGCAATTGGAGGTCGTTTAGCTGCCAACCAGTATATTCTCAGCTATGGGACTGCAAATGATGCTCTACATTCGATATCGCACTACTTCGATTCCCATAACCTCGATAAGATCAAAACTGGCAGTATTTTGGCCTTGATCGTACGACTTTTGGATACTACCTTCTACTGGCTTCAAATTTCACTCTTACTGCTATTCTACTCGCGGATCTTCGAAGTGCGGACGCAGTGGATCACAATATCTATCCGGACTTGTTGGCTTGCGATAGCCTTGTCCTATGTCGCTGTCGTCCTCGCCACATTCCTTGAATGTCATCCTTTCCGACTTTATTGGCAGATTGACCCCGATCCTGGTCGATGTGTACGGGCGTATATTCAAGTCCTCACCCAGGCTATCTCGAACATTGTACTCGATTTGATGTTGTTGGCGATCTCATCCCCACTGGTTCTGGTTCGTAATCGCAGTCTATCAGAAAAGTTGAGATTGGGGCTTTTGTACTGCCTGGGATTCTTTTGCATCGTGGTAACGTGTGTACGTATCGCGTACATCTTTGCAGAAGCATCATATCAGCCTGTGCGAAGCTTCTGGGCGTCCGTTCAGATCCTGGTCTCGACATTCGTGGCGAATGTCCCGACGATATATGGGTGTGTCAAATTGATCAAGCGTCGGAGATCTGACCAGACTACGAGACGTGGGAGCCGTCCAGAAATTTGGCTGCAGGTCCAAGCAAGCAATGAAAGCACTACCTCATCGGTGATACCGCTTTTCAATCGACGGGGAACATCCTCGTCCAGATCTTTCGAAAAAGGATGGTTACGCTCTTTTTTTTGAGGCATCGTCTTGAGTGTAGGAGAATATATATACCCTGCAACATCATCGCATGGCTTCCAAATGTAAATATTTCAAGGTGGAGGAGCGAGGCTATCGGTAAAGGCATTGAACTCCTACTCAGACGCTCAGGAATTCCCTACGGAATAGGCGACTGGATAGTGAAGGACACGCACTTCATAGTATACTCGAGATGTACAAGTTATATACATGTACATGATCAAGACATGGTCGTCCAATATTCACAGTGAGGTGAAGTCGCGAATGGAATTAAATGACGCTCATGAGGGTCGGGGGGAATTTGTAGGGGATGGAGCGGGCACGTGCAATGACTATGACTGGGTCGAAGTGATAAGCAGTTTTGTCTGCCAGAAAGGGATGCGGTGTCCGTACTTACAATACGCGGTGGCTTTTTCATGTCAACTTTTGGCATCTGAACCTTGCATGAGCTCAGGGGATTGACCATTTCTTCTAGCTATTCAGATTCATATGCATCACAGCATGACGCTGGATTCGGATCCCAACCACTATCACCCTCGTTGAAACCTCATACTCCTAACAACGAACGCCCTGTCAGTGCGACCTCTAAAATCATGGATGGCCTCTTCACCCTCCTCAGCTTGTGCGCTGTCATGGCCACTGCTTCGTTTCTGGCCGGCATACTACCACTGTCGTTTTCTTTATCCACAGCAAGACTACGCATGATTTCCACTATTGGGATGGGCGTTTTAGTAGGGACATCTCTGGTGGTCATCATACCTGAAGGCGTGGAAACTTTATACAGTGCATCCGAAGTTGGCCACACACATTCGCATGCGCACAGGGATACCTTTATTCTGCATGGCGCAGGTGACCAATTGTCAGGATTTCATACGACACGACTTTTACATTCCGTGAGGAGTTCTGGTGACGAACCGAGTCCTTTTAACGTACCTGGCCCTGTGATGCCCTCGAACATTGATGCGCCTCCTCGTACCCCGACGGAACCTGGTGTAGTTGGAATAATGGGAGGAGAGAAAGAGTCAGACGTGGAATTGGATAAAAGTACAGGCAGTGAAGAGCCTGACAAAGGCTCTCAACACGCATGGATAGGGATAGCCCTGTTGGCTGGCTTCATGCTCATGTACCTCATCGACAAGGTACCTCAATATTCTCAGCCGGCCAAGCCGAGAACAAGGACACACCATATTGCTTTGAACAACCTTGGTCGCAGGTTCAATATAGCAACCTCTCTCGACGGCGACGAATCTGGGGACGCCTTTTTGGGCTCGACGCAAGAATCGCAGATCCAGAATCGAAGTTTTGCAACAACTATTGGCCTAGTCATCCATGCAGCCGCTGACGGTATTGCCTTGGGAGCTTCATCCACGGCCACTAATTCGGGACTGAGTCTTGTCATCTTCTTTGCCATCATGATCCATAAGGCACCTGCGGCTTTTGGGCTCACATCCGTCCTGATCAAACAAGGTCTCTCTAAAAGAGCCGCACGAGGGCATCTAGTGCTTTTCAGCCTAGCCGCGCCAGCTGGAGCAATTGTCACATGGATTCTTGCCAATGTTCTCGGTGGTGGAAAAAGCCACAACCCGAAGACAACAACTTGGTGGACGGGGATGCTTCTGCTGTTTTCTGCAGGCACGTTCCTGTACGTCGCCATGCATTCGATGCAGGAAACTTCGAACTCTCACCATGAAGGCATGAATGGGCAAGCGAACGGTTACATTGAGGGTCGCGAGACCACTCAAAATGGGCCGAGGGCGTCGTGGAAGGATCTGGTAGCGGCGTGCTTTGGAATGGTGCTACCCATCTTCTTGCAGGTTGGACATGCCCATTGAATGTGTTTTATATACTATTTGATCTTATTACATGTCTAGCTACGGGAAGCCCTGGTTGCACGACAGAATGATCTCGCCTTTTCGAACCAATGTCAGATTCATGACTAGAGAGAATTTGTAACTAACAGCGAATTATGTTGTATGTTTGGAATAGGACAGAGAGTTGAAGCCAATTGCCAAAATCGATGGATGAGACTGGACAGAACGACTTTTGGGCTTCTTGTGTGAGTCGGGCGGTGGTTGGGCAGCGAGAGAATACTTGCCTGATTTACGGAGTCCATAGCACTCCGTACACCGTACTGTACCTGAATTCATGGACTGTACAGTCCGAGGAGGCGGGTTTTGCCCATACATTTATCCAATGCTGAGGGGGATCAGCGCAGACCCTTGCCTCGCCCAACTTGAGATGCTGGATATACAAGTACCCGTACTTCGTCCATGGCCCCTAACTCACTTTCACCGCCCTCATTCTGGCAGATATACCATAGACGAGGAATTGACGATGTTGTCACAGAGGACTACTTGGGAGAATTCGAGATCAATAATGGGCATGTATTGAGTGAAATACCTGGTCTTCTCCATATTAGACCGATGCTACGGAGTAGTACGAGTTTTGGGGTACTCCGTATACTCGTACTAGGTCGACCTGCATATTAATTCAGGCACTCCGGCTTGCCTAGAGCGCGACTATTGCTGCAAGAATTGGCTCTAGCAGGGCCCGCCACTCTTGCTTCGCAGTGTGCCAGCCCAAGATCATCGCACTGGCCCCTTCTATTGCAACTTCTCCTCTCACAGACGGGGACTCAAATCATTTGGATCGACTATCACATCGTCGCTCAAACCGAAGACTACCAAATCCGTCGCCCTATATCATCCTTTCAACTGAACTTCCATCTCTGATCTTACCAGCATCTCCCGCCACCACAATTGAACATTCCTTTGCCTTCAAGTCCTGGTGCCACCACTGTCTGCATATCCACTCACATCTTCACCACTGCAATACGACACTGCACCATCTGCATCGGCCCAGAACCCTGTCGTCCCGTGCCAGTGTCATAAGCGGTCGATTCTGCCAACCATCCCACATCCGCAACTCAACTCGTCCTTCCCCTGCCCCTTGCGCTGACATGGCTTAACACAAGACTATTACACCGTCAAGAGCAGAGGCTTCGCCTGTTCGTCTTCGCATCATTTTCCGCGCCTTCCTCCCGTCGATCCAATCCCTCAGAACGCTTCTGACAAACTGCGCCGGATGCAAGACGTCACTCGTCACTACAACGACGAGATGGATTTCGACGATGAAAATCACCCCATGTCTCTCGACAGACCACTCTCGCCTACTCCCTCGAGGTCTGTCTCGATAGATCCTACTCGGCTGGCCAGTCGCTTCAACAATGCCAGATCGTCAATGGAACAAGAGAGCGCATTCCCATTCCCTCCCTCCCAACCTATACCGATCGATCCGATACGTGCTTCAAAGTCTCGTCATAGTATATCGCAAGTACGGCCGAAACGCCTTTCAACAACGAATAAAGCAGGCATGCCTTTGAGCATCCTGCCGTCTGCTCCAGCATCTCCTCCTACTCCTGCACCTTCTCCCACACCGTATCAACGTGCTCCTAGTTGGACATCTGCAGGCGAAAATGAAGATGCCTTTCTTCGGGATGCCAGGGGGCATTTTGCGAGTTTGAATGCCGCGGAAAGAGAACGATACTTGGCTGAGTTACTTAACATGTGTGACAGTCATCTGTTGAGTTTTGTCCACCATTTCGTCTCTCCTAGACTGAAAAAAGATCCTTTTGAGCATCTGCCCGACGAATTGTGTCTAAGAGTGAGGCTCTGGACCACGCATGCATACCATTAGAGATGAACTAACTTTGGTCATAGGTTCTTTCGTATATCGACGATCCACTCAGTCTAGCCCGGGCGTCCCAAGTCTCACATCGGTGGCATAAGCTTTTGATTGATGATATGCTGTGGAAGAGAATGCTTGACAAACAAAATTGGCGGAAAGCGTCTTCCAGTTCGATCGATGAGATGGAATCTCTATCTCTACCACGGTCCGCTCATGGCCCATACAGCTATAGTCGATCACCGAAACGGAGTCTCGATGGTTCGATTGTAGGCCCATCGAGCAGCGCACCAAATTTGACACTCCCCGGCTCGAGTAGTCTCTCGTCCAGTCCACGAGCAAAGAAACGACAGTCTCAATCTCATTATTCTCACTTCAGACACAAATACCTAATCGAAGCAGCATGGAGAAAGGGAGGCCACAGTATCATCAAACACATTACTCCTGATCAAGGAGTAGTGACCAGCCTGCATTTGACTTCTAAATATATTGTCGTGGCCATGGACAATGCCAAAATTCACGTTTTCAATACTGTTGGCGAGCATCAAAAGACATTAAAAGGTCATGTTATGGGAGTATGGGCCATGGTTCCATGGGATGATATTCTTGTCAGTGGTGGATGTGACCGTGATGTTCGGGTTTGGGATATGTCTAGCGGGAGAAGTATTCACACGCTAAGGGGTCATACTTCAACTGTTCGTTGCCTGAAAATGTCAGACGCCAATACTGCTATTTCCGGTTCGAGGGATACGACATTGCGGATATGGGATTTGCCCACGGGGATGTGCAAAAATGTCCTTGTTGGTCATCAAGCAAGTGTGCGTTGCCTCGCAATTCATGGAAACCTTGTCGTTTCTGGTAGTTACGACACTACGGCACGGATCTGGAGTATTTCAGAAGGACGTTGTCTGCGCACACTTACCGGCCACTTTAGCCAAATCTACGCCATTGCTTTTGATGGGAACCGCATTGCTACTGGCAGTCTCGATACTAGCGTCCGAGTCTGGGATCCAAAGACCGGCATGTGTACTGGCCTCCTGCAGGGACACACCTCGCTTGTCGGACAACTCCAGATGCGAGGCGATACACTCGTCACCGGTGGATCAGACGGATCTGTTCGAGTGTGGTCATTGGTAACGGGTTCAGCAATTCATCGACTGGCTGCTCACGATAATAGTGTTACCAGTCTGCAGTTCGATGATAACCGGATCGTCAGTGGTGGTAGCGATGGGCGCGTCAAGATCTGGAATGTTGAGACCGGTCACTTGGTGCGTGAACTAAGCCAGCCTGCCGAGGCTGTCTGGAGAGTTGCTTTCGAGGAAGAGAAGGCGGTCATTATGGCTAGTCGATCAGGTCGTACGGTCATGGAGGTAAGTGATTGATATGTTTCTGAGTATTCCCCTTCTCTAACCTCCTCAACAGGTTTGGTCCTTCTCACCTCCTGATGAGCAATACGATGCCCGTCGGCCTGAAAGCCCGATTAGCCTACCTGAACAGACACCAAGTACGGCAGGGGACGATGATACGCTGCATTCCGACCACGATGTTGAGGATGGCGACGCCGCCATGAACGACGTGTAGTGCATCTTGGACCGGCATGACCGAATATATTAATCGAACAGATTCGCAACCTGCACTTGCTCAGCACATGCATGCCGTTGTTCCGCCCAAGTCTCCTTCATAGGATTGTATTCTCAGGGCAACGACGCAGTGCCCGCAGCAAGCATGCATTGATATCTAATGAACTATGTTTATTGATACCCAGACTCACAAACCGCAGTATTCAGCATGAAATATTGTATGAAGAAGTACGAGGGAATGACGACTTGATCACATTCATCTTACCCTCGCAAGGGATCATGGCCGAGGAGGCGGCCGCCCTAGCACGTTGTTTAATGTATTGAAGGTGCATTCTCGTTTGAGACGCTGCATTTGAGGATTTATCTTGGAGCATGGAGCCAGGGTGTTGCGAGTTGTTCTTCAACAAATGAAGACGATCCGATGGTCTTTGGGCCCCCATTCAGGAACGACTGGACGTGAACGCAGAAGATGAATTGAATCTAATCGTCAGCCATACGAAAGAGGATGTGTTTCGTGTGGACGATGCCACGCCTGGTCACCCGCACATTTATATCACAGTATCCGGTAGCCAAGTCGCCAGTCGTACCGGCGAAGGAAAGCAAGCCCGCTAGCACATGAATTGTATATATATATATGACGTGCTAGTGTGCTCTTGGTGTCGAGTACGATATAATAATTTCAAGATCATGGACTCAAGTGAGTCGTCACTCTGTATACTTATCGACGGTCTTTTATTTTTGATGAAGAATAAATATATTTGGTGATGTCGAGGTTGAATTGTTTTAAAAAATTACCAGACATGATAAGAGTACAAGCCTCTACTAGATCTTCAAAGGCCTTCCTTCCTTCGTTCCTTCCCTGCCGGGAATTCTGTACTCGTTTGTCTTGTATATATAGATGATATCCCGGTGACGAGGGGTTTTTTTTGTTTTTTGACATGAAAATAAGGTGACTTTCCTCTTCACGGGCGAGAAAGTGAGGACTCGGCTTGCACTCCTATTGTACTCCCGTCGTAGGTTTCGTGAATAACCACCATGGCACCTCTGGACTCTTCCTCACCCTATGCCTTTTTCTTTCTGGGTGCTGTCAGTACCGAACCGAGGTTGGGGGATTCCAATCCTAAGTCCCCATCCTAACCTGCTTTCTACCTGGGCCGTCCACGCAAGACCGTAGAGAAGAGGGGGGTTCTGTATGGATGTAGACGACGAGCTGATCATCGTTGGTTTCTCTTTTTTCTTCGACTGTCGTTTTCGTCTAGTGACCACCAGTCGTCGGTAGACCCAGGTAGACCTTGAATGAGTCGTAGCTGTTTTCAACCCGTCAGCACATGCGTAACAACACATGTTCCATACGATGGTTCCAGTCCCGAAAAACGGGAGTCGGTGGGTGGAGGAAAGAATGAAGCAAAAAGAGACATACATGAGCCATTGGAACGCCGTCAATGTTCCTATCATGACGATTCTGACCGGTAGACCATTCCACAAACCAGTGAACCCAATGTTTCCGTAGATCCTGCCCATGGCTTTTCCTGCAGATTCACCGGCTGTTGAAGAGTCAGTTTCTTTCTTTTTTTTCTTTCTGGTAAACCCCCTCCCACAGGCTCTTCGTTATGATATTGGCTCTCTCGGACGGGGAGGGTTCACGTACCTTTTCGTTCCGAGTTCAATTTACTCACCATGACGTCGGCGGGGTGACTGACGACGGCGCACGCGATCCCGGCAATGTACCCACCCAAGAAGCTCACGCCCGTCTGCTGCAGTTTGTTGTAACTCTCCTTGGGCCTGCCGAGCGTCTTGTAGATGTAGCGCACCGTCTCTTCGAACGTGGCGAACTTGCACATGGTGTAGGGGATCTGCCGGCCCCAGAGGGGCGTGATGCCCTTGTACAGCCCGGCCATGCCCTCCTTGCTCACCACCTTGCTCCACCCCTCGCGCAGGTTCTGGGCGTACGGGGGGAGGGTGGTCTGCATGCGGACCTTGATCGCCTCGAAGGGGCACAGGAAGATGTCGGCGATGAACTCGGCCGACGCGGAGGCGCCCAGGTAGACGAGCGTCCGGTTCGCGTGGGGGAAGAGGTTGTCGCCGTACTCGTGCTTGAAGATCTCGTAGAAGCCGTACTTGCCCAGGCCCTGGAAGGAGTAGCCGACGAACGTGGGGGACCAGCCGAAGAAGACCCCGCGGAGGCCCTCGGACGCGAAGATGCTGCGCCAGGCCTTGAAGTTGGACGTGTACAGCTTGCTGTCGACCTGTCGTCGGGTCTTGACCAGGTCGAGAGGGGTCACGAGCGTGTGGGTTGGGCCGCACGCTATGACCCCTCCCAGCATGCAGGATGCGAAGTATTTCGTCTGTGTTTGGGAGAGATGTCAGAGTCGGTCGATGTCGAGGGGACTTGGAAGAACGCTGGAAAAGGTTGGGAACTCGCGGGCGGGCGGGCGCGCGCTACCCAAGTACATACCGAGTTTGGCTCAATCTTGCCAAATGGGTACGACTTGAGCGTGTCGGCTGACGGAGGCTTCAATGCGGATGCCATCTTTTCGGTCTCGTCTCGCAGAGATACACAGAGTATGGTTGTGACCGCCAAACACGCACACACACAAAAGTCTCAAATTCCGACACAAGTAATTGGGGACGGCAAGTCTATGGTATGTTTCGAACTCGGAACTATTCGAGAAGGAGAACAAATCAACCGCTGAACGAGTACCGCAAGAGGACGAAAGCGTGAAGAGAGGAGATTCGGTGGTAACGAGGCTACAGTAGGTTCAGCAGGAGTGATTCAAGTCAATCAATGGAGGGGACAAAAGGCTGCGAGGGAGCAGGTGTAAATAACACTGGGGTAGACAGCGAGATTGCGCAGGCCAGCTGAGATATGGCTCATCATCCCTGCCGTAAGAGCCGTAGCAGCCGCCAGGAGCCGTGACATATGAGAGGCTGAATTGGGCTCATGCACACACCCTGTCACATCCATGTCATTGTTGATAAAAAAGATGGGAATTCTACCAGTGGAAGTTGGATTGAAGGTTGACGCTGGGAGCTGCAAAGACCGCCAGCTAAACCTCGATAGGCATCGTTGGGCCCTAATAGGCTTCGATAGGCTTCATTTAGGCGTCATGTAGCCGGAGATTCCGTCGATCGGCCACTGACATCATGGCAGTACGACGAAGCCTGATGGAGCAGGAACAGGCATTCCATAGGCCCGCGGGACAGTAGAGGCACCTAAGACATGGGCCACTGGCGATGATTCAGCATCGTACATCTTCTCACTCAGCCAATACGAGGGATCAACCTCGGTTTACCGCTACGAATGCCACACTATATTCTCTGACCCACGCCGAATTCGTTGCCAGCTGCGAACAGACCTGGCGTCGCGTCAGGAGGGAATAATTGATCCCATTCCGCCTATATAACATTCAATCATTAGCTTCCAGACCCAACTGCAAGAGAACAAAAATTTATGACAACCTACCCAGTTGATATCCAACATGACTGAATCTCCTCGTGGGCCGCTGGGGTGCAATTGCGGGATGTTTACTTGGTCGTTCGGAAAACCTGAGCCGATACCATATGGGTTTTGGCCGGCTTCCTCGGGCATGGATGTTGTCCCCATCGCTGGCAAGGACTGCATTGAAACGACAGGCCTCGATGGGGCATTTGTTGAGCTTAAAACTGTTCGCCATCCCATTTGATCGGGGGCAATCAGTGGTGGCCATGACTCGTTCGTACCAGAGTCACTTGGACTGTTAAAGTCACCTTGTTGACCAGGTGATGTTTGATATGGTTCCGACCAGGACGGGCGGTGCTGTTGCTGCTGTTGAGGTGGTACTTGTTGACCCGAATGTGGGCTCACACTCTGGCCAGTAGTAGTGTCGCTTTGTTTCCTATGCATGGTTGTTGAATCATATCTCACATACAGAGTCGCCGGAGTGTCAAAGCCCCAGGTCGCATCTCCCGACGTTCCTTGACTCGAAGCTGGAATCGCAGCATCAGGAGACTTAGGGTTACTTTGGACGCCGCTGTCTGCTTCTCCCGTATCTCGCTCAACAGTTCTTGCGGTGGGTAAGCTGGCTGGCCGGTTCGCCATACTGATGGGAATCCTTATTCTTCGGAGTTCCCGGTATACGTTCGTTCGGTCTCGTATGGCGGTGATAATAGTTCTGGCTCTTTGCGCACGTGACAAAGTTGGGTCGGGCTCAAAGACATAGTCAAGCACGTCCCAGACGCGGTCTGCATCTCTCAAGTTAGGCTCATTGTAGACTATAGTTAACAGGAGGAATGCCATGTGCCATTGCTGATGTGCACCGCCGAACCATTTCCACTTCTCCAGCAACGGTAGACGTTCCATTGCAATGGCGCTCTCACACGCCTTGAGCGCACTCTGCACGGTGAGCTGGACAAGTCGCTCAGGAACCACGTTGCTGGCATTATTCAAATACCGATGGAGAACCATGACATACATTCGCTGAATCAGGAGAGTCATAAGGAGATGTGCATATTTCTGTATGGGCACAGCAAGATCAAAGGTATTGTTGTATTTTGACTCCATCGCTCGGCGAAACGACTCGACTTTCCCAAGAAGGTGCGTCAACGATATTCTCTTCTTTTCTAATCGGATACGATCGAACCAGATGATGCGTTGCATTTCCAGACACTCAAACCGAATGCGGGATACTGTCATGTCTGTCCATTGGTTTTTGGCTTCCCCATGGCTGCTTAGTAACAGATCGGCATCATTGATATTCATAGGGAACCGTGTGTCGTAGTCCTCACGTTTGATGCCAGGTCTGGGACCTTGCGTTTCGCAAGTTCGAAAATCCAGCGTGCATAGTTGAAACCACACAATGCGCCGGACGTGGCATTCCACTGGACTCAGACCGTAGACGTCTTGCGGGTCGCGGTGTAGACCCATACATTCTGCCAATCGAATAGCCATCCCAACAATGACCGAATGTGCGCGAGAGATTTGATCTCTACACATGGGAATCAAGTATATAACAAGTGCTTGGAGCGTCTCGAGTTTTGTGGCCCGGAGGAACGAGGCTTTGCTCAGCGCAACTTCTGTCCCAGTCTGAAAATTTCCCAGGACTGTGCTCTTGGGGCGCGCAAATATTGCTGCTACATCTCCCTCTGGCATGCTAGCCACAGCTGAAAACAGTGTTGCCAGTACAAGTGATTGCTGCCATGCGGGAGGTTCAAGGCCAGCAAGCACTGCAGTCCAAAAGTTGTCGTAGTGCAGTTGAAAGCTCGGCCAATGCACCACCCGAACGGGGAAATGAACATTTTCGTAGTATTTTCGTATCAAAATGTCGCCCGCTCCCTTGGCCGGAAGGAAATTAATCAGCGATCTCTTACTGCCAACGTCGCCAAAGAGAAAACCCGAACCGGGAGCGATGTAGGTCGGTCCTGGGGCCAAGAAATCATAGCCATGATCTGGAAGCTGAGGTAGTGTTGATAACTTCTCATCCTCTGTTCGACGGTCGACATTTGGATCGTTGAGTTGGCTCGCAACCTAAGAGACGATTAACATGGCTCCTATGTGAAATCACTTCACCTACTTCTTCGCCTATTCTAGGCCTGAAAAATCCCCCGAGTCGTTCGGTGAGTCTACTATGGTCAGTACTATCCCATATCGACAAGGGATTTCTTGAAAGTGACGCACCTCATCTTCCCTACTTTGATGCCCAAGTCCAAGACGTCGTCGTTGGTGTCATCTTCATAAGCGCCATCAATCACTGCCATCGGTGTGGGCTCTAGACCTTTTATGTCGTCAGGAACAGCAGCCTCGTTGTCGGAGCTACTATCTTCGCCTCCAGGAAGATCGGCAGAAGTTCTGCGATGCGATCTGTCGCTGGAGCTGGGAGTACTTTTGCCTTCTCTACGGGCAACGTCCTGCTCTAGAACCCTCTCCAGAGAGCCCATCTTCTCTTTGATCTCATTGAGGCGCTGCTGGGATACCGAATCCAAGGCAGGAGCCAGGAACAAACATTCGCGCGAGAATTTGTTGCAATTGGTGCAAGGATGAAGTTTATCGCATTTTAGTTTGCGGCGACGACACTCCAAACATGAAGTGATCATACGATTTCTGCGCCGTACCTTTTGGGACTGTGATCGCGCTTTGTCGCCAGCCGAAGAGGCGTCATCAGGGATTTGTGGTGATTCCATGGTGCTTCAGAGTAGGCGCTCAAGTTCCTTGTCGTGGCGCACAACAGCGATGGTAGCCTTGTGGTTACATAAAAACGTTAGAGAAGGTAGCGGGGCATGTGCCGTCGTCGCAAGAGCGAAGATGACTGAGATATTTTCGATGCCGCACGAGCCGAGGCACGGAGGAGAGTCAGAAGACTGAGGAAGGAGAAAATAGTGAAAAGCAAGGATGATGACAAGTGACGACGAGAAGAGAGGAAGTTGGCCAGATGTCGACACTAATAGACACAAGACTCGAGACAGAAAAGCGTTGATACAGTACGCTTCGTTCTCAGACCTCCGCAATACTCGTGCTAAACATCACCAGCCTAGACCTTGTCTGCACCCGTGCCGTATCGTATCGCATCCGGATACGAGCGAGCTGTACAATAGCTACCTTACTCCGTACCTACCTAAGTAAAGCCGGTTCGTACCTGGGGATTCTCGATAGGCTCCCCTAGGGCATTGCCGTGTCCACCCAAGGTTGGGCGATCTGGGCGCTGAGTCAGGCTGCATGTGCTATTTCAACTGCCCACTCAGAAAGACAGCAATAGCAATATGCATCATATGGATATATGCGTCCCCGTAGTTTCTCAATCACGTGGTGTGACCGATCTCATTCCGTTCTTCTTGGCGTGTCATGGCAACATCAAGTCAAGGTCTTCGTGAGCTTGTGCATGTTTTCTTGATCTTCTTCTCAATCTCAAACAATCTCTCATCTATCAATTGCTCACATTTGAAATAGACAACACCAGGATTTGAGTCAGATCAATCATTGGATTCATAGCTTGTAGTATAAGTTTCGAGCTCAGTGCCTTGTGACGTTTTGCCCAACAGCTCAACCATCCTCGTCGCGCTCCAAAGTCGGGGGGGTTAGACCAGGAAATCCCATACCGGCAATACCTACACATCACCATACAATTTAGCTTGCATCTATAAGATTCAACCAGACATCGAAAATGTCGTTCAGCGACGAGGCTCTCAAGGCCAAATTGTCGACATTGAACGAGACGCAAGATAGTATCGTCTCAGTCTCACAATGGATCATGTTTCACAAGTAGGTCAACCACACACATCTTCACCAGATACACACATCTAACATCGCCCTCCCCAGGAGACACGCAGATAGGATCGCGAACTACTGGCTGACCCGTCTCCGCGACTCGCCGCCCGCCAAACGTCTCAACTTCATCTACCTGGTCAATGACATCGTCCAGAATGCACGCGCGCGCAAGCGAGCCGAGTTTCCAGACGCCTTTTCGCCCCTCATGGCCGAAGCCATCCAGACGGCCTATCGGTCTTCTCCCGCAGAGATCCAACAAAAGATCCGCCGGGTCGTGGAGGTCTGGCGCACGCGGAATGTCTTCGAGATACCCATCCTCGAAGCCATCGAGGCTCGCGTCGACGAGGTCGACAAGACCAAGGGCACAAGCGGCGGCACCAAGAAAACTTTGATGGGTAAATCTCTGTTCAACTCGTCCTCCTCGTCCGGTCTGCCCAAGGAACTCGAAACCCTCGCGCCGCTTCAGACCGCCGTGACAAAACAAACCCTCTCGGCCCGCCCGACCATCGACGCCGCGCAGACCGAATACACCAAACTCACCGATCCGTCCGCCGTCCTACCCAGCCCTCCGGTCCACGCGGCTCGGCTGTCCAGCCTGATCAAAGCTCTCGCTGCGGCCGAATCCTCGGTCTCGGCCAGCATCAAGGCCCGCAAGGCCCTCGTCGCCGACCTCGAACGCCTCCTGGACGTCAACAGATCCGCACTCGCCAAGGACGAAGAGACCTTTCTCGAACTCGAAAGCCGCAAGAACAGCACCGAGGCGAAGAAACGCGAGGTCGAAGACGGCATCATCCGAGGCCTGTCCGCCGCCGAGCAAACCCCCGGGGCCGCCGACCAACCAGAGTCGACGACAACGACCATCTTGTCCCCCGACCTGAACGAGCCGTCGAGCGACAACGGCGGCGGCGCGGCCTTCCTCTCCGAGCGGCCAGAGATCGAGGCCCTCACCCCCGAACGCGAGCCAATCGACGACTACGGCTCCTTCTTCCAGTCCCCTCCTCCACCTCCACAACAGCAGGACGTGGGCTACAACGCGTCCGCCTCGCCGCCGCGCGCCAGCAACCCGGCCATCGCGGCGGCACTGGCGGGATTCTCCGGCGTCGACTACGCCCCAGGAGGATATTCAGCCACGACTCCCGACCTTGGTGCCGGCTCGCTGGGGCGGGGACGCTCGCACAGCGGAGGACACCACGGCACGAACGGCTCAAGTGCCAAACGACGTAAAACGTCCCACGGGGAGGACGAGATGGTTCCTGACCTCGGCGAAATGGGCATGGAAGGGTTCGGACAGACTGACGCCGAGGCCGTCAACGACGAGACCTTGCGTAACCTGGATCGAGATGTCTCTGAACTTATCAGGCAGGAGGGCGGAGGACAGTGAGTGATTCACGACGTTTGCAAACCAAAAGTCAGGCATGGAGAGTGTTTTAAATCCGATCCCCAGGCTGACAACGCAGCACACTACGGCGGGCAGATAAGGAAACAGTAAGCCATTGAAGGTATCATCACAGTGTTACTATGTACAAAGAATATACCTTGACAACGTTCATTCTCCCGTGCACACACCCCCTTGTTCCTTCTCGACTTCTTGACAGGCCAATGTATTTTGTATTCCAATCAAGAAGGGGCCAGAAAAGTCTGATGCTGCCTGTTTGATTGACCTTTGACATCAACCCTGGTTTTGTCAACCGTTTGAAACTGTAGCAAGTCATCCCTTGTGGCCATGAACCCTTTTGACGCGTGAGGCCGCTGGGGAGACCGTAAACCCGTGACCTAAACATTCTGGTATCCAGGTCCGTAGACAACTATCTCTAGGCGTGTGTGATATGGAGAAATCTCCAAGCTGTCATCAACAGAACGTCACATCATCATCGGGACATTTTGCGACTGGTAGTAGTAATAGTCGGCATGAAAGCAAACAATGTCCACGCTTATATCCACAGGCGTCACTCGTCAAATCGTTCCCATCCCTCGTTGATTCTGCCTTTCTCAAGTGGTAGTAGGTCTCTTCAAAGGGTGAGCCTCGGTGTTCAAAACCCACCGGTCCAGGTCCACGACCGACGGTTCACTGAAGATGAGGTAGAAATACTTCAACGTCTCGGCCAGCCAGAAACTCTCCATGCGGTCGCTCTGCTCGGGCATCGGAAGCCTCACGTCGTTCACGGCGGCGTGGGCGATGGACGTCTTCGTGGCCGTGTTGATGCGCTGGAACATGGCCCACGCCGCGTCCTGCAGCTTCTTGTCGCCCGTGATCCGGTAGAGTACGAAGATGGACTCGATGGCCTCGGGGCGAAGAATGTACCGATTGTCCCCCTGGTCCGTGTACCCGACGGCGAGGCGGTTCTGGTCGACGAGCTTCTTGCCCATTTCCGAGGGGGTCGCGTCCCTCGGCGGGGTGGGGGAGTTCTTCTTCCAGACGGCCTCGTACCACTTCGCGTCCGTCCACTCGCACTTCCCTGGCGGAGGGGGGTCGACGCCGACCTGGCACGCGGAGAGGTGGAAGGTCTCGGGCATGAGGCCCGAGGGCATGGAGTTGTACGCCCAGAGGCACCCGTCGACGAGCCTCCGGGCGACCGGCAGGTCGTCAGGGCGGCCGAAGATCTTGGCTCCGATCCCGACCATCCCTCCGACGAAGCAGGCGAGGTGCTGTCCCTGAGGTTCGAGGCTCGAGATGGGGATCGTCTCGAGCGTCGTCAAACCGGCGTTGCCGCTGAACAGGAGGTCCTCGCCGCCGGGCACGAGCGGCCGGAAGAAGAGGTACCTCTTGGCGGCCTCGATGGCTTCCTCGTACATGTGCTTGTACTTCCCGTCGCGGCCACCGAGCATCATCCACTGCTTCGGCAGGTACTCGTACGTCGAATCGGCCATGCCGCCCATCGTGAAGTGGTTGACGTCGAACGTGAGCGCCTTCGCGTTGACGATGGTCGGCCACAGGCCCGGGATCTTGGTCTGGTTCTGCGCCGACTCCATCGTCTCCGCTATCCGCTGTATCACGTCAAAGTACTTCACGTCCCCGGTGACTTGACTCAGCCGCGTGAACTCGACCGACAGACTGCCAATCTCCGCGAGCAGAGTGTTGGTGCTGGGTTCGATCTCCTTCCCGACCGCCGTCACGCGCCACTGCCACCGCGCCATGGGCATGTGGTTGGGCGTGTCGAACGCCGAGTACAGTATCTCACCCAGCTCGCGGGCCTTGTCCAGCAAGGCAGGATACCGACCGTCGGAAAGGTCGTACGCGGCGAGGAATCCGCCGAGGTATCGTATCGTGGTTTCAAAGACGTTGATCATCTCCTCCTGGCTGGTCGTGAAGTCGATCTTCTTCACGGCCTCGACGCACTGCTCAAAGTCTTCCTTCAAGTCCATGATCCAGAGCGTGTCCATGGTGTCGACGAGTGTCGCGCCCCATCCGCCGAAACTCATGCGCGCCGTCCCACTGATGGGGCCGACCTCGTCTGCACCCCATGCGTGTTTCTTGTACCCGTTCCACGCGTGGATAAATGCATCTCTGACGACGCCCAGTCTGGTTTCTCGCGTTTTCTTCTCGTCCAGAGACTCCGGCCTCAGTTGAAAGTCATATTGGATCTTGGGAATATTCTGGATAGGACCGGCCGGTGGACTTCGAAGGTCAGTGATGGGATATCTCTCGGGATGCTTCGTCCAGTGCAGCTTGCCGAGGGGCGCGCTGCCACCAGGAGATACGGACGGAGATTGAACATTGCTGCCGGTATGTAGGAATAAGTAATATACGACGCAGGCGATGAAGAATGCTGGGACCAGCCAGAGTCTTCTGATCAAGATCATCCTGGGAATTAACTGCGCTTCTTCACGTTGTATTCCGGGCTCAAGAAGAGGTGTCAAAGCGTGTCGGGGAGCTGCGCATGTGAAATGCTGATATCAGCTCGATATCCAGTCGCTCCAAATCATGTCTAGGTATTCATTGTACAGAGAAGGAAAAAAGGTCTCATAGAAACTCGGGTCGGAAGTAATAATAGTGGTGGTTCTGACGGCCCCCATCTGTAGTCAATCGTATTGTAGTACGGGATGTTGAGGGTCCAATATACGGGGTACGGATACTCGTAGAGTCGTACGGAGTTACTGGTACAACGTTGTTTCGGAGTGTGAGCACGCGCCCGCCGACGAGCAACAACCCTTGCTCACCCGAGGCTGGGCTTTACTGGGTGCCTATTATTTATTCTCTGGGGACTTTTAGGGATAACCTTTTGGTGCCTGAGTTTAGTGTCAAGGCTCCCGAGCCAGCACCAATACGAGCAAAGCTCAAGTACCCCCCGCATGCATCTGCCTCAAGGTATATCAAATATTTTTTCGAGTCCAAAGTTTGCAGATCCTCGACATACAAAAACAAGTGACATCGCTCTCTTTTTTTTTTCTTCCCTTCTACCAGCAGCAGGCAATATAATGAACTACACCCAATGTGAAGATCAATGACACCTTACAGTACACGTCTTACTCGTACAGATACAAAGACACTTTTGTTTGAACACATTCATTTCGACCCTCGACAATCATCATATCATGCCTTCAACGGCCCTCTTCTACCTCCCACTCGCTCCGACTCAAACATCCCCCACCTCGACACTGATATCACACATTACACGTACTCTCCCCGCCGACCCTTTACCACCGTTCATCCTCGATCACCGTCTCTTCGTCGACACATCTTCCCTCTTACCCAACACCGACACCTCTAAACGTTCATTCACGAGCATTCTACACCTGTCTCAAATCCCACACGATTCATTTATCGGTACCACTGGTGCCGGTGCCGGTGCCGCCGCCCCTCCTTCCCAGCCTTCCCAATCCACTACGCCCACGACGGAACCTTCTCTGACAATCACGTCCCTTCCATCACCTGCGACGGACACGTTGACCCAACTCATCGGCACGAAACTTCAACCTCAGTGGGCTCATCGTCAATCCGTCATAATCGACAACGGAACATCCCTGAGTCTACACGACGGTGACTACACGGTCCGTATAGGTGACCTGAAGACATCACCGAGGGGAAACCAACCGCTGAGTCTCCGAGGGACCATTCTCGAAGTCACCTACAACGCTGATAAAGATGAGGACGTCGAGGAGGCGGCCACCGACGGCGCGACTGCGACTGCGACCGCACGTGTGGGCAAAGAGGACGAAACCCTCCTCCGTGGCGTCGTCGACGCACTCGCCGAGTCGGCGGGCGTGTCAATGGCGGGCGCTCGCGTGTTTTTCCGCAAGACGCTCCGTCAAGAGCGAGGCAAACTACCCCGCGGCGTGACCGATTGGGACCTCGTGAGGTTGTACATGACTGCACTGCGCGGGTCGAGGGGTTGAAAGACTTGATGATTGATTCTCGAATCTTTTTGCTCTACAATATGATGATACATACACTGCCTGTTTGTATGCCATGCGAGTATATTGGGCCCGAACAACAAATTCCTACAACACAGAAATCCCACCTACAATCAACGTCTGGACGTCAAGGGTCCCCCGGTCCAGAATGGTATCATTCGATCCGAGGTCCACAATGGGACTGGACGATACTTGTACACATGGATCATGCCCGTCCCACAGTGGGCACATTCCCCCGTCAACAGCGACGACATGGCAACCAGCGGCCATCAAAGAAAAGAACCGTGTCCAAGGGCACTGTGTGGGAGAGATGAACGTCGAACCTCAATTCATACGGTCGCAACGCATGTCAATGACTCTCGCCACGGCGCACTGGCGCGCTCGACGCTCTCGACGCTCTCGAGCCCTCACGACATTTCCGATCTGATAGTCAACAAGATGCAATTCCCCATCGAGCGGAAATTCGAGCTTTTGTGTATTTCAAGGCGATGTCGGCGAGTTATGGCAAATCGACATGGCATTCTTGTCAATCATCTCATCTCATCTCTTCACGTCAAAATCACACTAGGAAGGGAATATCTAGACCCTCAGACTATAGAGAACGGATCTTCCGGACGATTCTCAGGTGTTTTCTTTGTTGATACCTAAATGTTTATATATTGCACATGTAAAGTATGTACTTGTGAAGATGGTCGTCAAGTATGTACAATGACAAAGAAACAAAACACACAAAGACCGACCCTGGTTCAATATCTCGGGAAATGTTGGACAACCTTTGCCATGCCACGCCAAAAAAGAAGACAGCACACACAAATATCAAGTTGCCTTGTAAACCACCCGTGATCTCTTTTTTTCTTTTGCCCTCTAATAAAGAAAACGCCGCCGCCATGCCACGCCATGCCACTCACTACATGTCGTACCTTATTAAGGTAGGGTATGTAGATAAGAGAGGAAAACTCAAAAATCAAAAGTCGCAGAGCAAGCACTGTATGGGCAGAATGTACATCTCCCATGTATATGTATACTAAAAAAGCACAAAGGAGACAAAGTCATTTTTGACCACGGCCAACAATGCAATGCGAGAATTCAAACGCTTCGGGTTTTCTCTCTTGCTTTCTGTGCTCTTTCTTTTTTCACCTAACAGTTGGCTCTGTTTTCAAACACGAACTTTCGCAACCGACAATGCAGAAAGATCCGGCTAACACATTGAGTCTTACGGGACAGGTCTCTGCCTACCAAGTCTCTGCAATATATTGACCAGAAGCCTTCTTCTCGGCCCAGAAACTTTTGGCCTCGTCGAGGTTCAACTTGCCCTTGGCCATGGCGACATCGACGAGTGCGGCCTCGACGCCTTCACCCATGCCCTTGGAACTTCCACAGACAAAGATACGTCCGTCGAGGGCGTTGATGATGAACCAAACCAAATCAGCTTGGTGCCGGACCTCTTCTTGGACATATCGTCCTTCGCCGCGACGAGACTGGACCACTTTCTTGACCTTGTCTTCGTGCACGCCCCAGTCACCCGAATAGAGCTCATCGAGTAGACTGTCCCGAATGCCCTGCAAAACCCACACCTTGTTGGCGCAGTTGGCAGACTTCAATCGTCGGTGAACAAAGCCTCTGAATGGGGCGACGCCCACCCCGGCACCGATCAACAGCATGGGTCCGTCGCTGACGAACTCGCGGGCCAGCGGGTTGGCCATCAATCCACGGAACATGGGGATTCTGAGGTCGAGGTCCTTGATGTCTTTGCCCTCCTTTTCGGCCTGGATGACCTGCTGGGCTAGTCTTTCCAAGAACCCAGACGACACACCCGTCCTCGTGCCCGTAAGGTAGTCTTCGGCTTCGTGAACCGACACGGCAATTTCAATAAGTCGTCGGCATTCCGTGCCGTCTCGTTGACAAGAGACCATGGGATCTTGGGAAAGTGAATAAAATCGTGGCATGAGCTGGTTGAGGACGGAAAGAAGGTAATCGAGCGGTGGCCTAGAAGACGGGAAAGCGTCTAGGACTTGTGGAATGGTCGTGTATGGTCCCGTTCGGAGGTCACAGAATGTGCCCTGACCCTGCGCCGAAGACAAATACATCAGGATCATCTTCTCGTGCTCATCTCCTGCATATTCTCCCAACAGGCGGAACAATTGTTTCGTCGGCGCATAGCTTTGAATGTCGGAACACCACGTCAATAGTTCTCTTCTCGTCGTGACCAGCTCCCTCGGAGCATCGTCGCCCCAGATTGTTGGCCACCGTCCTGAGGTGGTCTTTAGCAATATCGGTTTGTCCCGCACGAAGCTCGGTACGCCCAACGTACTGAAAATCTTTTCCACCATCTGGGGAGAGTTCGGCGCGCACACACCGATGGCACCTCCTACGACAAAATCAACGTCGCCACCTTCGACAGGGTAATCTGTCACGTCGATATCGAAATGGTATGTTCTTTTCTCGGCACCGGATTTTGTCAATTCGCGCGCGTGGAAGAGAGGGGCGGAGTAAACTTGGTAAGGAGGGTGGGGGGTGACGAAATTGGGGGGGTGCTTGAGGACTTCGGTGGTCTTTCGTTGCGGTGGTTGGGCGTATGTTGCATTTGTAGAGGTAGAGAGTGGCTCCAAGGAGACTGTCCTGGTGGGCATTTCGACGATTCCAGTCAACTCACTGTCCATACTCAGCGCACCCAGCTTCAGCTTCAGACTTCGGTACGCATCATTGTCGGGCTCTCGGATGGGTCGGGCACCTCCGGGGATCCCCTTGGCCGTCAGCTCTTGCAGCATACAGCAACCTCCGCCGCAGCACGCCTTCTGCACCATGGCAGTGGCAGTGCCCGCTTGTCCCAGAAATCGCCTTGCATCTTCGGAATCTTCCGAAACCAACACGGTCGAAGCTCTTCTCTTCCTAGGAGATTGAGTCTTTAGGAATGTCTGGCCGTGCCGTTGTTGTTCGTCGAAGGAATCGTCGGACGAGTTCTCGGTGGGGGTGGTGGGGGTTGTGTCTATACTAGAGGCATCGTTGTCGGAGTAAGTGCCCGTGGTTGTGATCCTCGAAATAGGTGATTGACTGAATTGTGACGTGCTCGTCGACAATTTCCGCGTCCGCGAAGGATCTTCCGGTATGGGATTGTCAGGGTGTGAATGTGCCGTGAGAGGAACTGCTTGGCCGGCGGAAGACATGGACGTGTGAGCTGCGCTGCTCATCCTGAGATTTGTGTGTGGAGGGATTGAGTGGTGGTGGCCGCGGCAAGCACCTGGAAAATTGTAGGAGAGGTTAGATGGCTGTGAATGTCGAGGAAAACAGCGGGAAGCATTCTTGAAGAATCGCACTCGATTCAACATGAACTGAAGCATCCAGAAGACGGCCGAGGTGTTTGAAAAGGATTTGAGATCATTATGCAAGCGGCTGATAAAAAAAGAAAGGTGAGAGGGAACTTACGAGGGTGCTGAGGAGTTGGAAATGTGGATGATGTAAGAAGGCCTGGTGCACCGAAAGTGCGGAATTCTGCGTGTTTTGTAGGAGCGATTCAGCAGCCACTTTGGTATCTGTACGCGATGAGACGACACTTTGTTTGGTGCCCAAGGAGACAAGACAGGCCAAAGCAAACACAGCGATCGCGTGTGCCCTCGCTCTTGGTCTGATCAGACCATTCCCCGAGTTCGCCGAAAGGAGTGTGAGGGTCGAGAGGTATTCGAGGGGGAGTAAACGATCGCGACGTTGAATAATTAATGAGGGTATTATTTAACGAGTTCTCTCAAAAAGAGGGAAAAGAGAGAAATCCCGGGAGGCGGCTCACAAGGAATTAAGAAATAAGAACAATGGGGGAATTGTCGATGGGCGTTGCGGAAATCGGCAAATATCGGTGTCGAGCAAATCAACGGTTGGTAGGCATCATGTGGGCTGATTTATGGACTGATTCCGTTCTGTTTCTTGTTGGGCTTTTCCATTTATTTGTTACGGATACAACTACTTGCCTTTCCTTCATTCCCCGGATCACGCCCTCTCCCTCTCTCCTTCTTCCCACACATGCCGATGCTCACCGAATATCCTTGTTCGCTCTTCATTCCGCGACTCTCAAATCCTCGTACGAGTGGACGAACATCTCCTGTACTGTAACGAGTTCCTGCTGGTGAAGTGGCGCAGAGTGCACGGTGGTCTCCGTCAAACCCCACCATTCCTTGATCCGTGGAAGAAAGATTGGATCAGATAAGATCATCTTGTCATGGATTATCTTTTTTGAGGGTCAGAAATTCTAAACTATGGAGTGCGAGTACGACGATATCGGCCGCATCCATCTCCTTATTGTAGCCAACCCAACACTCTGTACAAAGACTTCGTACCAAGTTATCTTGTCCTATCAATATTGTATTTTTCAACATTTTCCTTTCTCCACCTGCATACAGTGAGAGTATTACATTGACCTCTTATGTGTATTGAGGTAAGCAAGCAAGCACTTCATCTTGGAGTGAGCAAATGACTGTGCACAAAGTGGTACGATACTTATGATCTGAAAGTCAAGGATCTCCGATCGCGGCCCAAGTTCTAACAAAGTACGAACTACTGCAAGTGCCGCGATGCCGGTGCCTCGCCTCGGTTCCCCCGCTCCTATTATATCGTAGAGATAATCTATCGAGAGATAATCTAATCTTATCCAATCTCCCGGCGTCGCATCCATGTACAATACATGGTACTCCGTACTGTACATATGTACAACTCACACATCCCGTGGTCCCCGACTCACACCATCCCACGCCGTCTCCTTTTCAAGCATGGCCTTGTCTCCATTGTTCATCTGTTGAAACAACCTCATTAGTAGTATGTAGGCACCTTATCCTTACCACAGATTATGTAGACCTCTCTTATCCGTACCTTTGTCACCATTTTTTTCTCTCTCTCTCTCTCACTCCCACCGTGGGTGTGTGTGCAGTGAGTGACACGCTTTTATTCATTCTAGAAAAATCTCATCTTGACTTTGCCCCGGAATGCGGAGTAACTACTTTGTTACCATTCCAGCAACAACAACAGCAACAACACCACCACCACCACCACGACCAAAATTGGTACCAAGGTGATGTGAACCCCCAAGGTCTCAAATGAAGGAACAAAAATGATGAGATGAGAAATGTTTCCGTCCCTTGGGCTCATACTGTGCCGTACGGAAGAGGTTGACGAACCTGTAGGTTACACTCTCCCCCTGAGATTGACGCCTCGACGTTGTCATCCTCGGTAGTGGGGGATTATAGTGATCTCACGAGTAAAACTGACCGGTGAGGGAGGAGAACTCTTGGCCAGACATCACACAAAGATTGTTGTCGTAAAAAAAAACAGGAAAGAATTGGATTTCCCAAAAGTTATCTACAGATATTTGTCCTCGGATTTTCTTACTATATCTCCAGTACTTGGTATTTGAAAGAAATCCTCGGAGCCCTAATTTGTTTGAAAATTGATGTCAATCAAAGCACCAACGCGAGGTATGAGATTCACACGACGCGAGGTATTTGATTTGTCTTTTTTTTTGTTCTCATGGTACTCGGCGCGTAATACAGCAAGCTTTTAGTTGTAAGTAAATCTATAGTACATACAGTACATTGCAAAAAAGTAAGAGAGGAGGTACGACTGAACCAAAAGTATTACAGATTACCTTACCTAGGTAGGGGCAGGTCTTCCAAGGTGTGTCGTATGAGTCATCCATGTCGGGGTGTACATCTGGTAAGATACTTTCACAGTACTTATTTCCGCTTCACTCTCTACATCAGTCTACTCTACCCCATTTGTTTATATACATGTACACCTACAAAAGTCACCAAAATCAACCAGAGAAAAAAACCGCCCCATGTCCTTTCCGGGCTTCAAAGAGAGAAAAAGGCTGTTTCAAAAGTACCGAATCACACAGTACATCATCAAGACAACATTATTATGACCACCTGGGCATTGATTTCTCAATCTGACATCCTTGTCCTGACCCTTACCATTTACTTTCTAGGCCCCCCCTCCCCCCTTTAAACCTATGACCATTACATTTGACGCCACATGAGAACTCTACCTGCCATAAACTCTTTCGTCCGAGGTATTTACAGTTTTGATTTCTTCTTTTGGGGTTGTCGAAATAGTCAAAGCAGGGAGGAGAGACACGACGAGTCATTTGACAGAAAGGCAGACAAGAAAGCGAGGCGGACATACTCCGTACAGGAAAACTTTCTAGTCCGAATCGATCACCCCCTGGCTAGTCCCTTGGTTCCCCCCGGGGCAGTCTCAGATCACCATCTATCTCTGCATAGTCTTGAATTAAAAAAACAAAAAGAACACACTTACCTCGAGTATGTCGTGAAAAGCATTATAAACTTCAGCCCTGGCCACATGGTGTTTTTCCTGTCTCTTTTGCCATCATCATTGTCGTCATCAACAAGAAAACAAGACTTGGTACCCACCTTGCTGTACCACCAAAGGGACGATGAAGATAATGAGGCCCCCAACTGATCGCAAAACGTAAAGAAGCGAAAATCACGGAGCTATGACACGGGGGCCGCCTGGGGTAGATGGGGGCAAAGCATGAGCCAGCCGCTCAAAGTACGCAGTCTCTCTTTGCCTCTGATGAATGACGGACATGTTTCGTACTACTCGAGAAGCACCTACCAAAAGAACCTTGGTAAAGCTACAGTAGGGTTTTTAGGCAAATAGTGTGGTGACGTGACAAGCCCAGAGCCTCCAAAACCCCCAACTGACCCCTGTATCTCCAGCCTCCGAGACCACCGCTATCCTATACCCTAAAGGAGGCATGTGCCCGTCCAAGATAGAAGTACTGTACCCCGGACGGGAATTCCAGGTACGGGCTCAAAGCTCACACAAACTCGTGGCTCATCCGGTAGACTTTCCCTCCCCCCCTCAAGACCTTAAAAAGAACTCAATGTCCCTTTCACTTGTTGGCAGACAAGCAAAGATGAAACAAGAAAGGCCGGGGTATCCTGGGATAGAGTTGACTTACCGCTCAGAGGGCCAGCCCGCGACAGAACTCAGACCTTGGAAGGCGCACACCTGGTACTCCGTCCAACTCAACAACACGGATGTCGGCCTGTAAGATTCGGCCTCTGTCGCACAGGTCCACGTCCGCGGCCACTCCTTATCTCGCCTGGACCTAGCTGGGATCCTTGTCCTCAAGTGTTCGTAGCTCGCACTAAACGCACCATCGAATGATGTATGCCATGGCGCCAATAGGTGCTACAATAGAATCACAAAAGTATCGACCATGAGGTTAGAGATGATCCAGTTTAATAGAATCAAATGTGTCGTGAGTAGTTTTAAGCCGAATATGACAACAGAGAAGTACTCTGTCGAGAGAAACTGTAGATCCATACGGTACTTGCGAGATATGCCCGATGCTGTTCATGGTTGTCGATCTCTAACTCGATAACCACCGGAGGAAGCCCTGGAGATAAAATTCAGACTGTGTCTGGAGCCAAAGGGTTCTAGCCTTCCGGGGGCGACCAAGCACCCGGATACCCTCCCATCTCTCCAGGTTTTCTCTTCAAGTTTACGCCATGGGACGGCACAAGAGCCTGGCCGGAGCGTATGCCAAACTCGTATCCTACCGCTGTTGCCGTTCTTTCCGGCTTGAAGATGATGAATGGACAGGGCACAGGCTCATAACAGCACTTGTGAGTTGTCGGAGAGGATGTCCGTCAAAGAAAGGGTTGCTAGCGTTACAAGGATCTTTTGCCTCTACGTCTGCGCAGGCAAAAAAGTCTGTCAGTGAAAAAGACACAAACCCGTGGTGTTTCTCTCGACGGCTACCTACCTTACGCATCCGTGGTAATTCAAGGAGCCAGCAGTCTAGACTGCACGAGTTTCCAAATGAAGATAAACCTTGATTTGAGGCATTGGCCACATAAGAGCTGCCGTTGTCTAGATGGTGCGCCACAAGTGTGCACCTACACCTTTGAAATCAGTCCGTCTGTAAACCACGTCTTCAGATACTTCGACAAGCCTCCCCGACCCGTAGGGAAGTCTCAGGTCTGGCACGCTGAACTCGAATTGCCGATCAGTTCTCGCTCAATCGGACTAAGTACTCGTTACGAGTCATGGCTTGGGGCTGCTAGAAGTATATTGTAGGCCTGCAACCCCTGCTTAGCCCCATAGATACCCTGCATCTCGCTTGCTTCAATGCATAAGGACCCGCGGAGGACGTACATACAATACGTGACCGATAGTACCAATTCGGTATTGTGTTCGTCAGTGGCGCCCCTTCTCTGGAGTCTGAGCGTGGAAACACATCAGGCAGAATAATGGTTGTCTCCGGCATTATTATGGCTGCTCCAAATTCCCAAACGATCGCGTGAGGACATACCCTGGGAGGACTGCGCCAAAGGTATCACAGTGGTCCAGCTATGATCCCGCGCTGGTGCTCAACCAGGACCTGACCGAAGTGAAATGATTGGCCTTGTCTAGCTTTCTTCCATCGACACTCTTAGGGCCTTGAGTAGAAGGGAAACGAGCACAGTCGAAAGCCCAGGGACAAACAGAGGCGGCGACCGTGGGTAGCCTGGAAGTGTGTGGTCCAGGGGTCAATCACTGAGAGGGTGCCTCTTACTCCTGGCCTCAGCCCCAGGCTTGACCCGGGCCCCGTTTTCAGGGTGTGCCGGATCAAAAATCTGGGCCTGAGGTGATGCTATCAAGCTCTGTACTAGCCCAGACCTCGCCCGAGAATGTTAAAAGCCCATGGAACAGGGGGTATGGTCTCTAGTCCCAGAACGTACTTCCAACCTGGCCAAATCGAGTTGTGCGGTGGAGTGTGATTTCCGTCAAGTGCAATGCTGGTGTTTTGAACATGGTTGCGGTCTGCAAGGACCAACAGAATCTGGAAAAGGAGAATTGGGTAAGGAGCCGTATACCTGTAGCCCTAACCACCTTCCTGACAGCTGATCAAAGCCCTTGGGTTAGAAGCGACCACCCGGTGAGGGAAGAACAAGTCCTGGAGGGAGAAAACAGGCCCTTTGCGAGAAAATGCGCCCTCTGGTACCCTTTACATCGCATGATCGCCTGAATGGCCAGCTATGGCAATGATTCTCTCTTTCTCTACAGAGTATCATTCGTTGCTGCTGGAGGAATTTGCTCTTCCCATTCAGAGACAACTACCAGTCGTCTGCTGGTCACCACTGACAGACGATCTTGCGGAAGTTGCCGTACTCGCACTGCTAGCAGCTACAAAGAGCAGCTGAGTACAGCTCACGGCCTCTATTGGACGCGTCAAAAATGTGGTTTAATTTCCGAATCTCGATCTGTTTTCATCCTGCTCGGATATTTTCTCCTCGAACCAAAAGATGTCCATGGTCGAGCAGATAACTCTTGGTAAACTTGTTTTTTCTCTCCCATCACTAATGTGCTTGTTGACTGGTATGATTACGTGTGTGCCTGTAATGTTGCTGGATCATAAACTTCTCCTCGACTTTGTGATCGACTGTCGCGGCGCCTTAAAACATGTAGAGTTTGTGATTTTGGTGGGCTCAACGCCCTCCATCGGTTGATTCTCTTCCGACCCTGTGAGACAACTCCCATCATTGGCTTCAACACCAGGAGTGTCAGGGATGTGATCAGTGTTCCCCCGCAAAGTCAAAAAAGTCAATGAATCATGTGCCCTGCAAGGCGCTGTAACAGATGGAAGAGTATCGTACTGTATCTGTGTAAGCGTCCTGTTAGGTAAGTGAGCGAACCCTGGAAGGCCCCAATCTACAAAGTTCGAGGTACGAGTAAGTGAAGTCTCCAGTAATATTAATCGAGTAACTTCTGCGCAGAAAGAGGTCTGTATAACATCGTCACGTGTGCCAAGGCGTTCTAATGTCGACGGTCTGGCCTTGTCCACCTAATGTGTCTGCGTTTTACCGAGTTCGGTGAGTCCGAAATCCACATTCGGGACTTGCCCTGCCATGACTGAAATGGCCATGCAGAGACACCTTGGGCTTGATGTGGCAAATGTTGGCATGTTCAAGGACTAGTTAGGAATGTCGGATAGCCAACGCCGCCAACTCATGACAGTATTTGCAAGGTTGGGGGTTTTTTTTGCGCTGTCTCGGGGGTTCCACCTAGGACACTGGGTCACGGAGACCATTTTGTCGTTAAGTAGGCTGGTGATTGGCGGTTTCGTACCGATTGACTATCCCGGCGCCTCTGACCTGGCCAGGGTGTAGATGAGCCGCCTCAAAAGGGAAACCCAGACATGGGATTTCAATACTTGCACCATAACAGATACCAATACCAGAATTCCGTACATGCGTCCCGCATTCCATCCCCCACTTCAAAAAGGGCACGTAGGCGAGATGTCAAGTGTCAAAGTGCCAGATTTCGTCCCTAGGCGAAACTTATCTTCAAAGATCCTGGAAAGTGCCCAAGGTGGAGTGCCGGGGCTGCTACCACTAATCGTGCAAGAGATACTAGCCTTCAGCTGTCCAGCTGTGTCTACGACTAGTCGCTGTGGTATGCATTGGTGGCCCCCGTAGACAAAAGGTTTGCGGCACAACGTTTTCTTTAGACTGGCAGGCCTGTGGGTCGCTGGGGGATTGATGCATATCGACTCGAGCTCGAGGGCTCGGGATTGAGCCGTGTTGTTTGACCTTTTGTTTTCGGCAAAAGACTTTGAAAATTTCAGTGCCAAAATCCACGCCTTGTGGCGATTGATATCGCGTCCCAAAGTCTTGTTTACAGCTGAAAATGGATTATGGACCTGGAGGCAACATGCATCACGAGTCATGGAATGAGCCCACCTAGGAAAAACCACCCAAAGCACCGAAAAATCCTCTGATTTTGGCTTGAAGTTATCCTTTCCATTACCACACCTTCCGCAGGTAGCAGCCTGGGCAGCGACTATATTGGCCACCAAAGTCCTTTCCAGCCGGGCCCATGTGACGTGTCGGTGGCCTGTTCAGTTGGTGATCAACAGCAGTGTATTGTGCAGACTCAAGTCTTCGCTGATGGGATCCTTGTTCTAGCATGTACACTGCATGGAGCTGGATGGGTCTATTGTGCTGTCGTCGACATTCCCAAGCCATGACAGCCCATGGAACTCCACCGTAATTCAGTAGGATAATATCATCCAACACGAATGGGGAAAATGAATGCAATTCTCATTTTGCTTGTCCCTGGATCTTTGACCCTGCTAGGGTCTCATACCATGTCCGCCGCCGCCGCATGAGGCCACACCACCTGGTGGCCTTTGCAGATACGAGGTCTTTCCGACCCGGCCGAAGGCGCAAATAATACAGTCAAAGGCTAACAATGTACCAGGGTACCAGCCATCTGCATGTGTAAATTGCGACAAGGAAAGTATAATATTGAGCCGAGACTCGACAGGTCTGTGATTCTGTCAATGAAGAGCTTTGAGCACGTAATTGGCTCCCCCAGCCCAAGCAATGTTTCTTCTGCTGTATGTGTATTTTCTGTTCCTGTTGTATCATTACATGTGCCCTGTAAACTCTGTCTCTTGCCGAAAAAAGTGCTGTTCTGATCCGAAAAAAACGAGGCTGGCATTGCCGTAAGGATGAAGTGTCATGCCTGGAAGGTAAAACAACAACGTAAAGTATCCCCGAATGAAGACAGACTAAAACTGTAAGGTCAAAAACAAACTCGCTTCGCCACCCCAAATGAAACCCGTTCTATTGCCGTAGATCACTTTATCTTGTTGTTGAATCGGATTGCTGCTGTCGCCGCAGATGGTCCTGCTCGTAGGCTGCAGCTGCAGCATTTTGCTCTCTTTCACGAGCATGACGCAATGCAGGCAGTTGACGCCTGCGGGCATTGATGAACCAGTTGCTGATCTGTTGCACGGTCAGTCACATATTTTCTTCCCCTTTGAGCGCTAATTGTTTCATACTTGGTTCATAGAGAGATTCGTTCGAGACACCAATATTTGCTTTTCGTCCTCCGTAGGGTACGGATGTTCGAGGTGATCGTGAAACCAAGCTCGTAAGATGTCCGTAATGTGGCGGGGAAGATTACCTCTCCTCCTCCTATTTTGACCATTTGCATCCATCGTGACGGTGGGCGAGGTGGGCTGATGAACTCCCGTAGGTGACGGAGCATAGTCGGACGATCCGTAGGAAGAAGGATAAGCTATGCTCGCACGGTAGTCGTATGGCGACGGTGCAAATCTTGCATAGTCCATTTGGGGGTTTTGCCTTGCGATAGGGGGATAGGCCTGGCCATACCTATGGGCCGGGTCATAGTATGGAGCTCTGTCAGATCCGTACGAATAGCTGTCCTGTCCGGTATGAGGCCCGGTCGAAGTTGGGTATGGGGGAGGATATGCAGTAGAGGTCGGTGAGTAAGGAGAGTCAAAATTGCCTACGCGATCGAGATCGCGGAGAGGTGGCAAGCTGGACTGGTCTCTTGAAGCTGAGTACGAGGGCTGTGGTTGATAAGAGACGCGTGGCTGCGCGTTGTAAGGGCTCGTCAGATCGGGAAACTGTTGCGTCGTCCAAGAGGAGCTGCGACGGTCGTATGCAGAGTCGATGCTACGAGTGGACATAGTCTCGTAGCCTTCAATACTGTTGCCTGTCTGTGAGTGCTCTGGCGACTGAGGTTCTGATCGAGACGGAAGTGTTGGCTCATGAAATATCTTTCTAGTCATAATGTCGCATTGGGTGGCTGGTAAAGGATTGCCAGTCGGTAGCTCGATAGAGGACGGGTTCAGATTTGTCCCAAGAATCTGAAAAGTGTCAGTTCCACTCTCGACACATTGGTCAGAGATTTACCTCTCGGAAAGATGGTAGCTGGTGTTGTTGCTGAGCGATCAAAGCTTGTGAGGGATCAGGTAGGATATTTTTGGAGGAGTCAATCCTGCCCGAGTCAAATGGATTAGAAGCAGAGCCATAAGGATTGTAAGGATCCATGAATGATTAAAGGAGGAATTAAAGTAGATGTTCTGTAAGTCGGACCCCGGATGCGATCCCGTTAAGAAAGTCAAGAGACTTTAGATGGGCGGGAGTTCGCAGTGTCAGGCCGGGGGGACCTGCCTTCGAACCACGAACTCCTGTACCACGGGAAAGCATGATCAGAGGAGGACAACGAAGGGAACAAAGGTCGTGCATGACCGAAAATGCCAACGATGCATGGTTCAGAAGATGAGTGTCAAAACCTTCGCATGACAGAAGTGACAGTGCATTGTTGAACGGGCTGGATGGCCCTTCTCTGGAGGCAAGGAAAGGGGAATTTACAGTGAAGATTGTGAGGTGAAGGCACGACAAGTTGTACTTACACGCGAGAGCGTCGGGACTCCAGGTTCGTGCCGGGCAATGGGCAGATCTGGTCCTGGTCTTGGGGTCCGGCAGGTCTACTTCAGGTTGAACTGGGTCTGGGGGAGCCGGGTCGTAGGGCGATGCTGTCAACGAGGAAGCTTGTTGAATAGGTAGGAGAAGATGATCTCAAGTTCAGTCAGGATATGGACTTGTAACATGAGATATAGAGATCTCGTCCGCGGGCGTTTAGGTTCGTTGGCGGTGGTGAGTGGCGTTGTCGGGAGTGGAGTCGTATTGATCGGTCTGGGTCAAGGCGTCGCGAGCAGTTGAATAGAGAGACCAGGTGTTACAGGTAGGGATTTCTGGTGTAAGACTCGGCGAGCATGACCTACGGTAGAGGGTCCGGGACCACAGATCCTGGTCTTGAGATCCTGAGCCACGGTCGTCGAAGCAAGGATTGTCGATGTGTCAGATGCGAGGGAGGGACGAGGCTAGGGTAGAGATGCAGGACAAGGGTGGACTATTGTGGTTCACATGACGGTGTACAAGGTCAAGTCAAATTTCCGCATTGGGGGTCGCCAGAGAAGCCCAACGAGTGGTAAAGGCAGGACGAGAGGCTCTTGCACCCAGGCAGCACGACCAGGGCTAGTGGAATGACGGAGACGAAGACGCTAGCATAACGTGAAAGAGGGGACGCGATCGATCGTAAATGGCCTTTCCTCAGATGGTCCAGGGTCTTGAGAGTCAAAAATGCCGGAGCCATGGTGTAGAATGCGCAGGCGGAAGCCACCAGGCTGGGTCCCTTGCTGTGGACAAGGAGGCGAACAAACGGACATGATGATTGGCGGCGGTACTAGTAGAGTGGCCGGACAAGGACGGGATCGCGGAGAAGTAGGACCCAGGGGGGTTTAGGAGGGGAGTGCTTCTGGGACATGCGTACACTGCATGGCTGGCATAGCCAGTGACGGATGGCAGGATGAGAAGGAGGCCCCTGGCAGATGGTAGGTATGGTACGAGTACGGAGAACAATATGGCGCCTTTTGCAGAGGTACGGATACTAGTGTACTGTAGGTTCAGCTGGCATTGTAGGCGACGTACTGTAAAATCGAACAGAGGTGGATCCGGATGGACGATGGTGAGTGACAGGGCTCCCCCCAAGTGCCAGAGAGCGGGAGGATTGGGCCGGCCGCCAACGACAGGAAACTGGGCTATGGCTGCGTCAGCGTCTGTCAAAGGTGTGAGGTGAGGTGAATGGTGCTAAAAGTCAAAAAAGAAGCCGTTGATGATGTTGTCGAACGGTTGACCCAGCGGTGGAGAACACGAGAGAGAAGCGGATACATGGTGTGTGACAGTGGAGCGATGCACTCCAGCGTAGAGAGATACCGAGTAGGACTAGTAGAGACATCCGAGAATGCAAGGTCAAGCAAGGGCGAGTCGCACGCACGGAGCATTATCCGTTGCTATGTGGGAGGAAGTGCTCCTATTGCGCTATACTCATATCGCTGAGTGCATGCAAGCAAGAGGCAGGGGACAGGGGTCGAGGGGCACGGATCTTTCGTATCATTGGCCTGCAACAAGTCAGACGGAGGAGCCCTGGCCATGGCAGAAGGAGGCCTTGTTAGCTGCAGCGACTGTACGCTAGAATTTCTCAATCACCGCATTGGTGGATAAAGAGGATGGCATTCTTGGTAATGTCATGTCAGTAATGTCGAGGGATAGTGGCGGTCACAGAAGGAGGGGGAACAGACCAGGGCTTTGACTTGATAATGTCATGGCTGTTCGCTTGTGGCCGGATCGACATGGTGCTTTTTCCCAGCCAGGACCGACTAGTGAATGGTATACGAGGATGAGAAGGTCACTACTGGTTACCTACTGTATATGGCTTCTGAAAGTCGGGAAGCGTGTGGTCGGGTCCGGAGTAACAAAGCAGCGGGCGACACTCACACACAGCGCGGACAATAATAAACATAATCCATGCATTTAATGTACTTTACGTGTACTTCGTATACTATAAATCAAACACAAATTTGTCCACAATAGGCGATATGTATATCCATTCAAAGCATCGCACATTCCATGAGATCCTGCAACCAATACCCCTCAAGGTCGCAGGAGACTTGTCTCGACTTTTAAAGTAGCTCCAGCGGATAGCACGGCAGTCTGTCCTTCCAGCCAAATGCCAACCCTCGGACTCGGATATCTCCAGGCTTGCTGGAGTGATGGTGCCAGACCTATCGAGATCCCGCATCTCGGCTTTTATTTATGTGTTGTTGGAGACCATATCGACCGGTCGGAAAGCCCGCGAATGCTTAGCAGCCGCAGCTCTGGTTGACTGTACAGTACAGTAGCTACGGAGTTTCTGCTATGGAGTAAATCCACTCTTCCGAACTTGCAGCTCAGTTTTTCGGAGCATGGAAACTTGTCCCGTTGAGTTCAATATTGATGCCACAAGAGAGACAAGAGAGAAACAATATCCACCTCCCTTGGCTTTTTATTCTCGTTTTGCTCCACGGAGCCTTGGACTCCCTCCTGGCCTCGTAGCTGAGATACCCAGGTCCCCATACAAGTTGTAGTCAAGATTCAACGGCTGAACGAGAGACAGGAGTGACACTGGCAGTTCTGGTCCGTGTTCCCTACCCCAGGTTCTACTACGGTCCGAATCGTAGGTACTCACAGTAAGCCATCTGTCACTTGGTATAGCTTCATGTATTCAATCGTCTCCTTTGTCATTCATCTCCTCTACCACAACATCCCATCTTCCAGCACCACCTCGGTTAATCATACAAAGATCAACATTATTACACCTGCACCGAGTTTGACAAAGTTGAGCCATTGCTTGGCCTGCTTTTCCAACTCCACCGCACCATCGCCTATTCTCCGCCGTTGTTGCTGGCTGATCCGAAATCTCTGTTCTGACCTTTTTATTACTACTCGTCTTATTCCAGTGAGGCCTGCTAAGCGTCGTACGCAACTCCCGTGCTCCTCCAACGAGATTTGGGCCGGTCTATTTGGGTCACTAGTGGCGACTGGTTTGACGCCATCGATAACCTGCAGCCACACCCATTCTTGTGAATCTCCGAAAATGGCCACCTGGAAGTCCTCGTCCTCGTACAGGTTGGTATTCGCCTCGAGACGGAGCATTGTACACATCAAGGCAGTGCCCCTCTTCGAATCCTAATCCTAATCCTAATCCTAATTCCCCCCAGCAACTCTTTCTCGTAGATAAACGATGTGCGATAGCAGCACCGAGTACTCATACTGCACTGGTATCGCCTCCTTCTGCATCGCCCATCTCCACTTGATCGTGGTGGCTTGTGGACTAAAAGCTGTCGCTTGCCCGCGGGCCTCACCCAAACTGCCGGGATTCAGCAAATGCAACGCTCTCTGCCTCCTGTTTCCTCTTGGTGTGTATGCAACCATCACCGCGTACCAATGTTGTTGTTTTTGTGCCTCTTTTCGTGTTACCATTCCTTGTCACGTCACTCAGATCATTCCATCACCTATCATCTGCACCGAGATTTGCTGCTTTTTCACGTTCCACCTCCACTCCATTGTGCAACAGGGGGTTTCTTAGCCCATTCGTGCACCTCATCATGCATACCATACCCTCCCTTGCCTGCTGACCATGGGGGATAGCCAAGGGCGCCCACCTGACTGGTCACCATCGGTGTGAGAGATCCTTGTTCTCTTTCCGACCGCATACGGCTTTCACCCCCATTGCTGGTAAAGCGCATGTCGCCCAGCACCAATGTGGCTGGGATTCTACCGAATTTTCTCCCCGGTGTCCCATGCCAATCTGACGTTGCCCAGGGCCTCGAGCTTCCAGGATCCCTGTCCCGTGGCGTTTGGACTATGCACGGTACACGTCAAAAATGCAATCAGTCCTTTCCTGCAAGGGATATTCGCACACACACCTCATCTCAGCCTCCCGCTAGTCTTGCATGAATGCCCAAAGCCTAGGAGGAATCAGGTAACAGATCAACTACGGCCAGTGTGTGTTACGAGCAGAAGGCACCGTACTTGAGATCTACGGGCACTTGCAAAAGAGCTTGGCGAACTGCCCGTCGCTCCACCGTCGCCCCCCTCCCCTTACGAGTACAGGCGCCCGAAGCACTCTTCCTTACACTGCAACAACATCTCAGCTCATCATGGTCTCGAGCATCACACAACGACAGTAACGACCTTGCCACACACATTCTTTCCAGGTCGATCAATCCACACGTGGAAATCACTAGGAAACGCAGGCCAGAAATCACCTCGAGAACCTTTTTGTCTCGAGAAAAACAGGGATCCTCCGTCTCCAGCTTCGTTCACCGCATCCCGTCACACCACTTCCACGCATCCAATGCTTTTTCTTCACAAGTCTCGGGACACACTGACCGCCTTGAACACGCACCGCCATAGCCAATGGTTGCCACGGGCAAGAATTTCCTCCGCGAAAAGAAAAGGACGAGTGCACATGGCACGTGCATTGTCGCGCGCCCGCCTTTGCAGCAAGGGGGGACAAGGAAAAGAAATACGAAGTATAGGATCACCTGCTGCGGGATTCCTGGTCCCTTTACGGAGGACTCACGCGTCCATGCTATAGCAGTGTACCTTTTCCGAATCTACCAGAATGCATACGTACACACACCTTTTGAATCCCCTGCAGCAAATCGTGCAGCGCAACACCAGAGTCACCGACACTCCTGGATCGTCTCGATCCGCGAATCAGACTCGGGGTCAATGGGTACTCATCGTCCTCCCTGTATCAATACTGGAGATACACTTGGCCAAACACAAAAGGGCCATCGTCCGTTCCTCCCAGGCCAGCCTCCCACGCAACCAACTACCCCCTTCTCTCGGCTATTCCGCGACATGATCGTCGCCAGTGTTTTTGCTCCTTTATTTCCCTCGCGAGATCTCAAAGTGAAGCCGAGGTTGGGGACCTTTGGAGTTACTGCATCGATCAGCCCTCTCGGGAAGCAGCGAACGTGTCATTCGAGTCTCTGGTTCAACCGCCCCAAAATCTACATCCTGTGTGACGCGTTGAGAAACGTTACACGATCCCAGTCTCGCCAAACAGTTCCAGCGCCACGGGTTTTTCGAGGTCACTTAACAAGGGCCCAGCTACGAGAACGTACCACTTTTTTTTTGGTTCTTTCTCTTCTCCCGCCCACTCGGTAGTCGGTTCGGCTATGGCCCCCTTGTCCTGCATTGCGCCGCGATCTCTCCCGTGGTGCTCTCATTTTGTTTCTTGGTTTCTCGCTCGCTTACCTACATTGAACTATACCCCTTGCGTCTACTCTTGTCTCCCTTGTCCCTCGGTGAAGACTAGTTGGTCCATGAGGATCTCAACCGGGTCGTCTGAAGTACGGATCTGTGTGCGATGCGGCAATGGCAATATGCGCAAAGAGCAAAAGAATTGTGTGTAAATCACCAATGTGTGTACTACCAAACAATCAGAGCCGACCAAAAGGATCGCCAACACGCTTTTTCAGAATTCTCGATTCACCCGGGGTCTCGGAGCGTTTAAAATACTGTGCATATAACACCAGGTGTGTGTCTGTCTGGGCGTCAAATGAACATTATCACATCGCATCACATCACCTCGGACTCGTACTCGTACTCGTACTCGTATATTTGGCTAAGTATATGAGATATCATGACCATACTGTGTACCTCGTACTCGTACATTACGAGCCTCCAGTCCTGACTTCGTAGGTGGCTTTTCGATCGAAAAAAAAGGGAGGGGGATCATGCTTGCAGCTTGTTTTGATTTACATCGTCTTGCATTAATGGCATTGCACCGAAGTACGGAGTAAGTGATGAACTAATATTAGTTGTACCTAGGCGGACCAACAATACATACCTTGGGTTTGTGCCTGTCACATTACCCAGACACAGTGTCGTATGCACAGTGCAATGTCTAGAGTGGGTATGTATTTTTGCAGAGATAAGATACTTGTTGTGTAAATGTATATATAGATACCTATTTACTCCCCACTGAAGGGAAGGATCAACTTGGACATGAAAAGTGATGAACCAATTGATGATCCCGTATTACGAATAGTGACCTTGTAAGTTTTGTATTGTTATTGTTTAAAAAAAAGGGTTGGATAAAGAGAGATCCGCTCGAGATTTCACCCGTTCATTTCGATTCTTTGACATCACATAGTCTCTATGCTCGATACGTTTCGAACCAACTACGAACAAGACCCTGAACCCGAGTCATGTAGGCGCCACAGCTCAAGACTCAGGGGCAGCCGAGCTTGAACTCCCCGCTTGTGTCCGTGTCTGTAGTCTTCTCCTCTCCCAATCCATCCTTCGCTCTGACTTGGTGTACCAGAAAGGTTGAGCCAGCACGTCACTCAATTTGACATGCCGTATCCTCTGCAGGACCATCAAGTCATGCATTCTCTTCTCGGTGATGGCGGTGGTGGAAGGATCGACTTCTTTCACACCGTCACTGTCAGTGGTCGAGACCCTTTCTAACAGACCGCCATTGCAATGCTGCGCCTCATGATCCAACCCCGTGTCCGTGTCTGTTTCGGGGTTGTCCTCCTGACTTGAATCTTGAAGGACGGGGTCATGTTCGGTGTTGGCGCTGGAAAGAAGAGCCAGGCATCCTGCGTCCAATCTCGAGGCGCTCAAAGGGTTGCATTCGTACTGGTTTGGCGGGTGCTGGACCCCTTCGGTAATCATGTCACCATTGGTCAGGCATTGATGACCAGGCAGCCCTGCAAGCGCGATCATTTCAGCTCGACGTTCCAAACGGTAGCTGCGACTCCAGAGTAATTGAGCGGCTACGTCCTTGCCCTCCACAAGATTGACCTGCCACAGGATCCACTTCAAGAAGGATTTGGCCGTACCAAACTCCCCGTACCCACCCTCACCAATGCGCGTGACGCCGGCATGCCACAATGCTTTCGTAATATCTGGCTCTATTGGGGCGCCATAGCGGTGAAGGAATCGGTAGCACCAATAAACTCGTCTCAACGCTCGTCGAGGCCTTGCGACTGGGGCTGTGGCAAAGGAAATGGCAAGATGGTTGACTAGGGCGAGAGCCTGAGCTGGGTCAAGCATGTTTTGCGAGCGTTCGGATTCCGTCAAGGTCAGAGCGCCTTTCTTTTGTGATCCCTGTTGTCCTGCCTGGCTCTGGCGGATGCTCGTCGACAAAGCTGCCTTGAGAGGACTGTTACAGTCCAATAACCTTGTAATAATATCGAATGAGGTGTCGTTCTTGTGGATCAAGCGGCGGGACATGGAACAAAAGTCGGTCAAATCGTGATTGAGGCATTCCCCCAGTTCCTCTAGGGCACCATTGAAACGGAGACGTTGGCGTTTGTGCCTGTAAACCCGGTCTTCGAGAACAAGAGACAAGTCGTACGGCAGAGAGTCCTCAACTTGACTTTCAGAATGATTCGACCTTGGAGCCACTGGCATTGATGTAACTAGTTCAAGTTCATTGAGAAGGACCGATTTATTTGGAAGAGCGAGGCCACCAAGGGCTGATTGAGCTCGTCCATAGAAGTGTACCTTCTTCAGGCCCTGATCAAGAAGCACCGACTTGATAGTCTTTCCAAACAAGTGATGGCCGCGGAGTTGGGCTTGTATGCTCGGTGACCTCCGAGTGTGCTGTGTCAAATGGAAGGCTGTCCAAGCACATATCATCTCACGTTGATGCTGAGTAAGGCTCCTATCATGACTCCTGTAAATAACCCAGTCACTTCTCGTGGGTTGCGAATTCTCCCCGGCGTATCCTAGAGAGGCCAGGATATCGATCCAACGGCGAAAGAGATGTTTGTAGGTGTTTGTTGGCTGATCCCTAGCTAATTTGACTAGGTTCTCTGTGGTATGTAATAATAGCATTCGCAGCAGAGCAGGAGATGCCTTCTTCAACAAGACTGCTGTTGAGCTCTGTGAGGCCTGCTCATGGGCATTTCGACCGCAATCCCTCAAATGTCGAACCACGAAGTGACTGAACATGGCCGCGTTGTTCGCTCGACCCCAGGGCACAAGATCCCACAATATCGGTGCAAGTGGACTTCTCAGCCCAGGAGTGTCGAACTTCAGCAGCGTTGAAAATAGTCTTGATAAGAAGGAGGTACCGAGCTCGGACAGCTGCAAAACCTTTGATCGTCCTATAGCCTGTAAGATGTCATGGGTCAAATATATTGTTTCTCTCTTTGTTTCTACCAGGATACCTCCTGTGCGTCGGAAGGAAATCGTCTCCGAGGTGTACAAAGTTTTGAGTATCGTTTTTAAGTCATAGAGACCGATCAGACCTAGCTCTACAGACCTCGCGGTCGAGTCCCGGACAAGTCTCCAATCGCGTACGCCCCATGTGCGAGAGAGTAACGTCGGAAGGAGTTGAGCGATATAGGATGTCCCTGGGGGGTGAAAACTGGGATCGCTGATATATTCTGCAATCTCTTCTGCAGAGAATGGAGTCTGCAAGATATGCTTCCAGATGGAATTGCCAACTTCTGTGTTGTCATGTAGCCTGACATCCTGCCTTGCCATCCATTCTTGCACCTCGAAAAGATCGCGACATTGAGAGAGTTCGTCCTGGGTATCGCATTGCAACTGCGGTACTGACGGCCCGTCGTGGGAGGTGTCCGAAGGGTCTGGGAATGATTCACGATTCGGGAAGAGCCACGCCGACAGGTGAGGCGTAGGTGCGGGTACTGAACTTGACATTAGCACTCACATCTCCCAACTGCGTTTGGGACGACATACCTTTGGCTAGCTCGCAGTCGGTGGGAGTGTGCCACCAGTCAATGTTCTGACTGCGCGTAAACACCAGAGCTGGGTCGATCGCTGGTGCGCCTTGAGAAGTGTAGGCGAAACTTGTGTTCTTGCGCCTCGAGGTTCTTCGCTGAGCTTCCAACGGGCCTGGAACATTGCTGCCATGACGCTTCTGGTGACAAAACCGCGCAAAAGTGTCGGCTAGGAGCCCGTCGGAAATCCAAAGGAAGGATTGCCGCTGATGAGAGACGCAGGAGGCTGCGGTCAATCCTTTGTTCATGACATTTGGGCGACTGTGGTGGCGCCGGGACCTGCTTGCACATATGTAGTTGATATGCGAAATGTGAACAAACGACAAGCCTGTCCGTTACCGAAACTGAGCGCTGTGGAAGCTCGAGTCATTCGAGACGTTGAAGCTTGTGGAATCACGAGTCAGGTTGCCCAGGCTGACTAAGCTCCAAGTCCGGAGGGACAATAGTGAATACCAGATATCTACCTACTATGAGTACTGGAGAGGCCTGAATCATGTATTTGAATAAGGGTTACAAACATTTGCATATTAATTATCCAATCTCCTAGCTATGTACACTGGTAAAAAGTCCCAAATCCCATCATACCGTCATCTCTATTCATTTTTCGTCCTTTTCCATCTGAAATACATTGCCAATGCCCGCTTGACAAGCCGCCCAAAATACAATTACACCTCCTTCCCATTAATCATGTCGTTACATGTCCACCACTTTGCAAAAGCTTACCTAGGGTGTTAGTATTGATCACGCATTGTCCATTCGATTGGACAATTCACAACTTGCAGCAGTCCCTGCTGCTAGAGTTAGTGCCAGCTCATAATTTCGTCAAGATTACCTCGCGACCACGAATAGTGAAGAATGTCGTGTTTGCTAGCTCGGTCGACAGTGTGAGGGTTGTTTGTGTTGTAGAAGTAGTTTCGTCGGTAATAGGATCCGTCACTGTGACAAATGCGGTCGCTACCATGTCGCCTGAACTGCTGGTGGAGGCTATACCACTCTCGAGAGTTGTGTTCAATGAAGGTAGTGTGCTGCTGACAATAGTATTCGGAGTAGTCGATGATGGCGGTAGACTCGCGTTGGCAATGGCATTCGGTATGGTGTCGCCCATGACCCTCGAGCTCGTGGGTGAAGTCGTGGCAGTATCTGAGTTGGTTGCGGTCTCCAATGTGGTGGTGCTCGTGGGGGTAACTGTGACAAAGATGGTGGTCGTGCTGAATAGCGTCGTAGTAGAGGTCTCCTCATCGGCGTCTAGTGTTGACGATAATGTCACCGATTCGAAAGTGGTGAACGTGCTTCCAGTGATAGTAAGCATGCTGGCCCCAGGGTTGACGCCGTCGGGAGTAGAAGTGACAGTAGTGGGTGGGTCGATAGCACCAATTCCGCCGGGTGAGCTATGCCTACTGTAAAAGCCAGCAGCTTGGGGTCCGCCTGAGGGCTGTCCAAATGTGAATGTGGTGAAGGTACTGCCAGTTATGGTGTACATGCCATTGTTGCCTTGACCGAGACCTGGAGACGGTAGAGGGGTATCCACCGCCGCCGTGTTCCCAGTGTCTGCAGAAAAGAAAGTGGTGTACGTGCTCCCAGTCACGGTAAACATGCCTCCCGTCGCCGTGACTCCATTCGCTGCCATTGTTGAGGTGACAGCGCTCGTGGTTTCGATTGGAACGCCGTTGACCGTCACAGTTACAGTAACAAAATCGGTTATAGTCACTGTTGTTGTTTCGCTATCGGCTGCTGAGCCAACAGTTGACGGGTTGGAAGGCGCTGTGCTGACACCATTTTGCTGACTATTGCTCTGAGTTGACGAGACCTCTAGCGCAGCTGTTGTTGGACCTGAGAATCCGTCTGAAGTGAGAAGTCCTGTAGACGTGCCACTGCTTATTGGGTTCTGCGTAGACATAAGACTGGAAGGTGTCGGTGTGCCCACACCGCTTGAAGTCTCGGTTAAGACGGTCGATATAGAGGAAGTCGAACCTGAAAGGGGTAGAATGTTCGAACTGGATGAGGCGACTGAGGGAGATGTCTGCAACGTGGTAGGCAACAGGGTTGTTGGCGTCGGATTTGGACTAGCAACTGTCGAGGTAGGAGTTATGGCTGTTCCGAGAGAGAAGGTAGATGAAATGGCTACGCCGGTGCCAGGCACACTGGAAGTGGAGCTGAATACGGCACTGGGTGAAGTGGTGGTCGAGCTGCTCACATTACTTGGTTGGGCTGCCGTCGTGGCATTGACTGGAGTGACTTGCCCGACGGGACACACTTCCTGAGGTGCTGGTTGAGGGCCTGGGGTAATCGGGTTACAGCCAGGGATGCCATCGAGTTTGCCCTTTACAGCTTCTGTCAAAACCGACGGTTCCTCAGGACAAACTCGAGAGAAGTTCTGAGTGTCGCTCTCGTTCAGATAGGGACAGGCTGAGGTAACACCAAAATCAACATCAGTATAGAGACAATTCTCTACAGCATTGTCCAGCACATCCATATCCCAGCCATTCATGAAGTCGGCATGGAAACCGAAGCCGGTCGGGTCGCCATTAGAGAAGACGAATTCACCGCCGGCAGATTGGTCGATGTCGTTGGTAAAGTATAGCACCCTAGAAGAATTAGATTATACACTATGCGGCACACAGGTCAGAGACGAAGCTCACTCAAAGAATAGACCTGGGATTGACACTGGATGAGATGGTGGGCAAACGCCAGAGTCAATGTTTGAGAGATAGGCGACATGGGCCGAGTCATCGAGGTAAAGGTTGCTGCCGTCCCAGCAAGACTGAAAATTTATCTGCGCTCGCAAGCCGTTGACACAGTTCGTATCGTTGAGATAATGTGTTTCTGGAATGTCGTTAGCCTCGTTTATGCAGCGGAAACTTACCCTGTCAGCCACAGGCCTTGTGTTCATGTATGTCAATGTAGTTTGATCATATGACCGTGCTGTGGTTTCTCCGCTAATCATCTTGAACCCAGGCGGGAAGGGCTTCGTGTTTGACTGATCTCCGCGCCCTGGAAAAGCAATGGTTAGTATTTGAAAGATGCCTGGCCTCACACAACACTTGCCAACATAGTAAACGGTCATGCCATAGTTCGGTACTTCTTCAACTACGCCACTCGAATGCGCAAAGTACAGCTGCGGGGTCCAGTAAGCTGAAGTATCTTTTTGCACTTCACAAGAAGAACATGTCGACTGGCGAAGCGAGTTGAAGTCGGAATTTTCGTTGACATCTAAAACCTTAGCCGTAGCTTAGAAGTTGCGCGCGAATCAAGCACTCACTATTGCCGCCGGCGAACTTGTGGACGTGGCTGGCTACACCACCGGGATTGAGGATAGGGTCGACTCGAGCTGTTTGAGAGACGCTACAGGCCATACGCCAGTAAGCAACTGTGATTGTGGGCTGAAGGGCCAAGAGGCCCAGAAGGGATATGGAAAGTAAAGATTTCATTTTAACTTGCAGCAAGATATGCTGCCAAAAATTCTGTATTGTTCTCAATAACGATAAAGGTTGTGTAAGAATAGAACAGTATCTGAAGAATCAACACCTATAGGTAGAGTCGATGTTGGTTAGCCTGGGCAAACAAGGTGATCATACCCTGTTGCGCCAATCGCGTGGGTCCGTGTTTTGGCGCACTTGGAATCAGTGACATGCCGGAGTCGTCGTCACCGTGGCTGTTGGACCGGACCGCAAGTCTAGATCCGAACGGTTCAGTCATTGTTGGCACCAAGTGCATTGACCCAAGGCTCACGGACACGGACAAACCCAGTAGCAAGGATTGAGGGTTCGTGAGGCGTTCGAGGGAAACATTCACAAATAGGCAAAGCCGTCACCAGTGCAATTAGGGACATGTAAACCCGGTTCCGCTATGGCGTCCTACCTCTGTACCTTGAACCCTTACGTGAAGCAAGGGAAGCTGTTCGTCGTAACAATCGGCCAGCTTGGGCCAAAATGGTAGCTTCGGCCATTTGCCCTGATTGGTGTAGTATCCGATCTGTCCTTTGATCGTGAAAGATGCGAAGTTGCCATAGCATCTTCAAGTACAAGTCGTCATGCTATGCAGGTCGCGGGAAATGACTTGTTCATACCATTGATCTTCATTCTATAACCTGTAAAGGGCAGTGAGATTCAGCTTCACCATAGACAGTACGCAGATCGTTCGACTCCAAGACAGCGGGTTTGTGAGGTCAACAGGGACTCCTCGCGCGCCTGGGCCAAGCAACACATCTGTCGCTACGGCAGCAAATATAGTCCGAGAAGGCTTGTCTCTATTGTTGACAGTAGTTGGCGTTGGCGACATTGTCTCGAGTATGATTTAGCCTGCGTCAGTGCGCGAGCTGAAAGCTGTCATGTAGTCGAATCTTGCCTCGGGGTTCCTCGAGGTCAATGAGGCCATCTGATTGGTCGGTTCTCTCGTGGTCATTGCACAGCTAATTTCAAAGTCCGACAGCACTCTCGTGATATGCTGTATGTCGAATTGCTCAGTTGATAAAGTTTATAGTATGGATTATGCTTGTAAACGAGATCTCGACGGGATTGTCTGCCTCGAAGGATGGCGAGCGTGAGATAGCTGGGCTGAAAGGACATCCTTACCGGCGATCTGTGCACAAACAAGCACTCTGCGCAGACACGCCATTTGGAACATGATAAAAGCTGAGACGGAGCCTTTGTCGGAGGGCTATTAACAACCACCGCGGAGGCTCGATCTGCCCACGTAAGAAGAGTCATCTGCACAAGCTGGCGAATATTTGAGGCAGCGGTGGAACAGATGTAAACATGACCTACCCATTGACTCTTGAGTGCGAGCCACACCTTCGAGCAATGAGCATTGTGTGTGCAGCAAGGCACTGGCCATCCCACTGGTAGCGGTAACTTCTCCGGAGTCTGCGTTTTAATGTAACGGTCGATTGGGGAATAGCATTGCTCAGTGCTGAAGCGATCAAGCGGATACATCACTCAGAAAGCTTCGAAGTTCGAAATGCCCACAGTCGGTGGGATATTCCTGCTCTTACTCTGCAGTTGTGGTATCACTGGCCCCCGCTCGTTATAAACTCGAACTAGCATTGTTTTGACATATAGGAAGATTCCCGAGCAGTATTTTCATATACCCAGGAACTCTTAAAGAAATAGCCTAACGTTGGACCATTGTAAGGCAAAAACTCCATGAACAAGCATGGTCCGCATGGTCATGGAACGCATAGATAGTCGGGTGCGCAGTAGGATCTCGGATTCTTAGCTCGACATATCACCATAGGCGGGTCACGAGAAACATGGTCTCTGTGTGGCGCTGGCCTGGCCAAGGTCAAAATCATGGGGGAATCAGCAACTTTTTGTAGATTGAACGCGTTGTTCGACAAATGACGCGAGATCACGATGAAGTTGAACACATCGCGACTATTAAGGCATCTCACTTTCGCGCATGCTAAGGAAAAATTCCGGTCTGACAAGATATCATGCATATTAGTGACACGCAATTCGTGCAGCAGCCGCTCGTCAGACATCCTTGAACTCCTCCCTAACTCAATCGACAACGTCGCTCGATTTCCCAGCGCAGGCAATCAATCCGCTTGAACTTTCCAACCTGCACCTTGCTCGTTGTCTCCTTGGTTGTGGTTCTGATTTTTGTGTTAAAAACTACGACGAATTCGTGCAGACGCTGTACTTTGCCTTCGAAGCCGAAGCTGCACTGTCGACAAGCCGCCCACAAGTCCGGCCTCCGCTTCGTTAGTAGCTGCCAACCATGGCAGACCGATTCCCGTCCATCGAAGACATTGATGCTGGTGCGTTGCAGGGCTCTGCGCTCTTGTTCTTGACGAGATGTCACGTTTAACAGTCCCCTCCAGGCGAAACTGACGTCCGGCCGGATTCTGCTGCGCAAGGCAGCTTCCTCGATCGCGAACGAGCCCTCCTCGGTGAAGATGCAGACCTCTTCGCCGCTAACGACCGACCCGGAGCCACGACTGTCGAGGATGGTGACGATGATCTCCTAGGCGGTGGCGATGGCGAGTTCACATCCGCTCCGGTGCAGCCTTCAAGCGGAGGAGCGCAGGACGACCTCAATGCTTTCGAGAGTTCTTTCCCTGAAATCGACACCAGAAACGATGTACGTCTTCGCTTTTGACTGGAATGAGTCTGTCATGAAACGAAAGAGGAATGAGTTTACTGACGAGCGCAATACTTTTAGAATGTTGGCCCTGGCGGTACCATCACTGATTCTTCGACCTCTTTCCACGGAGGCTACACAAATTACACCGCCCCTGCACAAGAAGAGGAGACAGAGCCCATTCGCGAATGGCGAGCAAAGAGGGATGCAGACATAGCTCGCCGAGACGAAGCGTCGCAGCGTAAGAAGGAGGAAACCGTATCTACGGCACAGAAGGACATTGATTCGTTTTACGAATCCTACAACCGCAAAGTCGACAAGCAGAAGGCACAAGTTGCAAAGGAGGCAGAAGAGTTCCTTGCCAAGCGAGAAGACACAACCGCCGGTGGTACTGCTTGGGAACGAATTGCCAAATTAGTAGATCTAAGCGGAAAGGGCCAACAAGGCGGCGGAGATGGCTCATCCAAGAAGAGAATGAGAGAGTTGCTCCTCAGCCTGAAAGCCGACAAGGATGCGCCAGGTGCTTCGGGCATTTAATTTTAATGCTACAGGCAACTAAAGGTCGACATGGGAGAGCCATTGCTTTGTCTTGCCTTGGACCACGGCTCTCAAGTGCTACGGGCGCATAGAGTGATCCGGGCTGTTGGCCTTTTATGGTCACAAAATTATCTGGCACGGTAATTGATTACGACGGAGGTTCGGGCGTGCAGACTGCCAAAACAAAAACTGCACTCTATTAGTCGTTCTGGGAAATGGAAATATTGGCGCTGTAGAGTATGATGATTACTGGTTACTTTCATGCAACCTGGAATCAGGTTCGCCAAATACACTGAAGACAAGCACTGAAAAATCATTGATATATTACATCACTCATGGCGGCCTTTCCTTGCCTTGTTTCGTGTTCGCCCAAAACGCCCGCCAGTAGAAAACTCGTTCATCTGAAAATTGTGACCTCCCGTCCACGTTTTCCCTTAGCGCCTAACGAGTACGCTTCTGTCGACGTCGACGTTGGGCACGGCTTGTGTCCAATGGGTACTTCGTCTCATGGGGGATTGGTGCTGGTATGGGCCCATGCGGGAGATCAACTTTGACGTCGAGGTCTTCAGGTTGTGGCGCGTCAACACGATCCCAGCCATTCGCCTTTATGACCTTTTCGAGCGCCACCCGCATACTTGTGTTGCAAGGTTTGCAGCCTTTGTACTTGGTAAGATTCCCGCTCCAGGAAATGTTGTGTCGGAGCCAGAGGTGCGCCCCGTGATATCCCTGTAACTCGGCGACTTGGAAAGCCATCTTCAGGCGTCCGAGAACCATCTCGTCTAGTTTCTCTATGACACCCAGAAATACACTCGGGTCGAGGACGCCAGGAAGTGCCGACTTGGTTGTATTCAAGAGGGGCATTCCTTCCACGAGCCTGGTCACATTCAACAAAAGTTCGGTTTCAGGTGCAACAAATTCAACCGGGTCATGGTCATTCGCGGCCACATCAGGAGCAGCGGGCGGCGGCGGCGGCATAGTGCTACTTGAGGCAATCGTAGGGAATTCCGACCTGACAATCGAGGTCTTAAAGATGGGCTGTGGTGGTCCATCGATCTGCTTGCCGCTAGCACTCTCTGGGGAGATTTCCTTCGTGTCGATGGATTCAGAGGATCCATTCACAGCGCGCGGCTGGATGTTCGGTGTACTGACCAGTTCTTGATTGAGTCGACCCTGTGCGGGAGGAGTGGAAGATCCGCGACCTAGACTGCTCGACCCGCTAATTTCATTGGCCTTTGCTTGTACCATCTTAAGGAAGTTCGTCGTGTCCTGATGTGCAACCCAACGGCGATCAGAGTACAGAACGGTCAAGTCGTGCAATTTGACCTCGTTAGATTCGAGGCGCTCCCAAAGGGCGTCAGGCGGCGCCTTTCCAGACTTCAAAAAAGCGTTCACCTCCGCGAAGTCACGGTTCAGCTGCGGTCCGAGTTTCGCAATCTCAAGGGCCCGTTCGCGATCTCGTTTTGGGCATTCACATCTCGGTGCAACGTTTTGCTTGTCCATGCACTTCAAATGCGGGAGGAGTCTCCGTGCAATCTCCCAGTCGCTCTCAACAAGCAAGGAGAGCTCTGTACCACGAAGGAAACTCTGATTCGAGGTCGAGGTACTAGTCAGTAGGTGGAAGTCATTGATTTTGCGCAAGCGCATCATTTGATTCTCCTTCCCAAACCGTGGTGTTGGTTTGGGTATCGGGTTCACGTTTCGTACATTTAGCCCTTGAACTCGCCCTTTACACGTATGTGATGGCGAGCATCGGTATTGAGAGCCTTGACAAATGTGCTGAAACGTAGTCCACCCTTCTTTGAACTTCTCCATCGTTGCAGGCTCATTGTCGTCGATCAGAGTGCGAGTAATGAATGACTCGAGCATACCGAGGTTGAAACTCGCTTGAGCACTGTCCTCCACGCCCAGTCCGAACGTCAGTACAAGACTAGTAACATCGATAGAGACAACTGTGGCTGCTGATTCATCTTCGAGCGCAATTAGATGATACATGAGGTTGTAAAGATTGACCATAGCCTTGGCCAGGAGGATGAAGGTGGAAACCCATTCATCTAATTCAGCTGCGGCTCGAAGTGTGGGGGAGGCTCCCAGGTCGAGCATCTCACGCCCATACATGCCTATGTCGGCGCGCATTAGATAGCTAAGGCGCTGAGCGATGATAATGGCCGCCATAGCAGGACAAGTGCCTATGTGCTTGTATCGTATGACTGCGTCTTCCAAACATTCTGTCGGCGTTGAAGCAGCAACTCGCATATTCCTAAGATACAACTCTTTGGCCTCGTTCCACGGCCCGGGGCGCATCGTTTGAGAGATGAGACGAGCTGTCACCACTCTGAACACATCCCAGATCCCTTCTTCGACGTGGTTGTAGACGTAATCGAGGACATGGTTTCGCACCTCATTTCGATCTTTCAATTTGTGCTCGTTGAAGAATGCCTCGAAAGACTCCCAGCTATCCTTGCTCATGTGAGTTCCTGAGAGCAGAGATCCAACATCGAACATTAAGCTAGAAGCATTTAACTTGGTGATGGCATGCAATGCCGGCATGGAAACATTTTCACCCATATTATTCTTCCGCTTTTCGTCGTGCGCAGCAACAAATTTTACCATAGAAACTTCAACCTTGGAAATCGCTTGCGTCAACTCTTGGGATGGCTGGTCTTTCAAAACAGACATGAATGACGCCTTGAGCCCATCAAATATCGACAAGTACTTTTCGGGTTTGTTGTGAGCTGTTGAGATGACTAATTTTGTCAGTCTACCAGAGAGCTCATTGACAGAAGTGATAGTCCCAGTCTCGCTCAGGAACCCACAAACTATGTGGTCGAACAATAGTGTGTTGATGATATCACCAAGTATGATTTCAGACACTTCTGCACAGGGGGACTTCAGGAGAGCCTTTGATTTGATCTTCTTCAGCGCTGCTGCGACCTGTGCGGGACTGTCGCTGTCCATCCGCCGCATCGCCTTCACCATTTCCTTCTTGGCAGCATCTTCAACTTTAACACACTCGAGGCTTGTTCTGATGGCCTCTTGGTTAATATTCAAAGTAGGATCGATGGCCAGTGAAGAAAAATCAGAAGTTTGCATCTTGGATCTGAGTTGCAGCATGAGATCAACGTTCTTCAAAGGATCAATTTTCTCATAATCGGCCTTATCATTCACTGCGAAGCCCTTGGCGTCTGGGTTCGAGAGCACCTCTTCCAATGCGCCGAAGTATTCCTGAAACTCCGGAGTCTTGGGGCCATACATCTCGAGTACCCCTCGAAACTCAGTCATTGCTGCGTGCACACCCTTGGGGTCAGAGGCACTGAAAAAAGCCTGGAACACGTTGGAAATTTGACAAAAGCCCTCTGGGCTAGCAAAGTGGATTGCGTTCTGCAGGATGGTGGAAGAGCTTGCGTGGCAATCTGAGATGGGAAGGATCAACTTGCGAAAGTCATTGTTCTTCTTCTCGGCGTCCGCCATTTCTGCATTGGCCTGGTCGAGTTTTGTGCATGCATCGGCAAGCGAGATTTTGCCCGCGTTTACATCATGTCGAATTTGGTCCAGTCTTCCTCGTATTTGTCGGACAATAAATTCATTCTTGCGTGCAGCCTCGAGAATTGCATTCTTCTTGGGGTCTGACAAGATACCCTCTGGGACGAAACCATCTGATGATGGCGACCTGACTGCGTCAGTCCGTTTAGCGGGGCTCTTCTTAGTGTAGCCTGAGCGTTTGTCCGGAAGGATGGTCTTTCGTTCCTTCAGGGTCTGTTCATCATCTTCTTTTTTAACACGGATGAGTTCGACATCTCTTTGTTTCCGCAGAGCCTTTTGCATTCTCTCTGACCGTTCTGACCTGATTCTGCTCTGGTAGGACTTGATTGTGTCTAACTCCATCCAAGATATACCCTTTGTCTTTGCTCGCCTGCAGATCTCGTGTCCAGAGGGGCATGCATTACCAGATGCTTCATGGCGAGCCGTTTCGGGATTTTCGTCTAAGCAGCATGAGTATGAGCCGATAAATTTTTGAATGCCCCCGGGGTGGCCCACAAAGAGTGTATCTAAGACCAGGGCATTTTCGTCGAGAAGGGCCCGCTGTGCCTGGTGCCTGGATGATTTGCGCTCTAGTTCATTTTTCTCTTTCTCAAGTTTGGCTCTTTCTTCGAGCAGTTCGTTGTAAGTCCGAATGTCCTCTTCCGTCCAGCCATCAACATTGTGTCCATCCGCAGCCTTTGTTGTGGTTTCCGAAGCAGGAGTCTGAATCGATTCCTGAATCGCAGCGCTCAGAACGGAATCGTCTGGCAGGTACAAGCTTTGGCCTTTTGACTTGGCCATTGCTCTGCTTTGTGCGCGCCTTGTACGACGCATATAGGTCCCGGCAGGCTAGAACTGCTAAGAAGTTGAAATCCTTTCAGATGGAACTGATGCAGTCGAATCCCAGGCCAGATGGTTGATGTAAGGATTCTCGACGCCTACAAGCCTGCCCAGCCGGTGGTTTCACCAAAACCCTTCCTATAGTCCGGAATGTTGCATCATTGACTGAAGGCAACAAATAACATGGCTCAAAAGGTGGCGTCTGAACCATCCTCGGGGAAGGTGCCCCAGACGCACGGGTTTTCGTCACTCTTTGTTTACGAGCTTTTGATAAATGAGGCGGTGGACGGCGCTAGTCTTGACCACGTTGGGTTTGTAATGTTTCCAGGATTCTCTATCGCATGATTTCGCAAAGGCAGTTGACTCTTTGGCGTGATTAGACAGACACTGATTTGGCTAAATTAATTCCTTGCGACAACTCCAGATTGCTGGTAATATGAACGGCTAACGATCAATCAGTAAGGGTGAAGTGAAGTCTTGCCCTGTCCGGTGAGGTGAACAGCTTGCCCGCCATTTGAATTCTTGGCTCGGAGCCGGTGTTTCTTTGATCCGACGTGAACCAAAAAATTACTTGCTTCCCAGAAAGGCGAATACAAACTATTTGCTCAAGCAAATCAACAACATCAAGACGAGGCTTATTGAGGACTCTGACTAATTGCTGTCTTAGCGATAAAGAGAGAACCTGCCTGTGTGTCACAATCATGGCAAGCGAGGTCCTGGGTGACCACATCGCCAAAGTCATCCGGGCTGCCATCGAAAATGACACACCCACCCTGGAGAAGTGTATTGACCAATACTCTTTTTCTGACTGCAAAGTCGTAGATGTCCAAGATCCTGAAACTGGATTCTCTCCGTTGCATGCCGTCATTTCATCATGCAGATCATCAGTCAATGGCAATGGTATCAAGAAATCTGATCATGAAGACGCCGCTTCTTCGACCATCAGATTTCTGCTGGAAAATGGGGCAATTTGGAATCAACTGGACAATAACGACGAAACGCCTGGCTGCTTAGCCTACCGCCTGGGTTTGTTGAACCTCTATCAACTCATGGTCGATGCAGGCGTGAGAGCGGAAATGATACTAAGCCGACTCGAGGAGTATGAGAGAATGGAGGATGAGGAGGGGGACAATGGCGAGGACGGGCAAAAAGAGCCGAAGGAAGAGGAGGAACATGTGCCTGGAAATGATCAATTGGATTCCATGGAAACTGAAGATTCCGTTGTTGAGTTGGACGGAGCCGAGCAGCAGGATGTCAACACTTCAGCTTATCTATCGTCCACTCTTTCTCTCAGCAGCAACAAGCTTTTAGACGACCAACAGAACGGCGTGATGATGGCATGGGAAAGTGGGATCATGAGGCAATCTGCCGATAATCTTCTCACAGCTCCAGAGTTGAGGATTTTGAACATTGGCTTCGGCATGGGTATAATTGACTCCCATATCCAAGACAATCCCAACAAGCCAGCGCGCCACTACATTGTCGAAGCTCACCCAGATGTCCTGAAAGATATGGAATCTAAAGGTTGGATGAGCAAGACGGGAGTTGAAGTCCACCGAGGGAGATGGCAAGATGTGCTCCCAGAATTGGCGGCTGACGGTGAAACGTTTGATGCAATCTATTTCGACACTTTTGCCGAATCATATTCCGAATTCCGAGAGTTCTTCACCGAACACGTTATGGCGCTTTTGGATCAGAGTGGGAGGTGGTCATTCTTCAACGGCATGGGCGCAGACCGTCAAATCAGCTACGATGTTTACCAAAAAGTGGTAGAGATGGACTTATTCGAGGCAGGGTTCGAGGTCGATTGGGAAGATGTTGAACTCCCCAAGTTCGACCAGGAGTGGGAAGGAGTGCGCCGGAAGTATTGGAACATCGACCATTACCGACTACCCGTTTGCAAGTTTATGGACTGAGCATGTGGACTACATGGGGGCATGCGGGCAAGAAATTTCAGGGAAGCAACCAATTATTTGGCCGATTATCACGATTGTCTAACCATCAGACTTGATCAGCCGCAACCTGTATCTGCTGCTTCACTTCTCCGTTCCCGATTTGCACAAGTGGAGATTTCCAATCGGCAGATACCCATACATTCGTTGCGCAGAGTATGCGCTCCGGGGTTTCGGAACCAATTACAAAATGTTCGCCCTCCTCGGGAGGCCGGACCGGCAAGAGACTGAACGAACATTGTCCAATGTCCTCGGCATTCATGCGTGTCACACCCCACCTGACCTGACCTTCCTGTGTGTTCTTACTCCCCTCTGGTGGATGACAATATGCAGCGAGGGTCTTTGAATTTCCAAATGTCGAGGGCAAAATCCAACTTACTTTCCAAAAGCCAATTCCAATAGCGAAGGTTACCAAAACCAGTAGGATCAGGCTGAAGACAAGTGCCGCCAAGGGTGAGAATCCAAGTTTAGACACCAGCCTTTTCCCTATGTCGTCCGCATTGTCGAAACTTTGAGGCCAGACTGCATATATGCGTTGCAAGAATAGCGTTTCGGACAGAAATGTGTGTAATAGGACAAAGTAGGAGATCATGATGATGCTGTACCGCAGCGGAAATTGGAGGAAATACGTGCCTCTTTGCTCGGTCCCGCTCTTTGGCTTGCTGACCCGAAGGCCACGCCGGTGGGTTGCGAATGATCGAAACTCGAATGCCATGAAGATGCGCGTGAACTGGTTGTTGTACGTCAAGTAAAGAAGGCTGAGTGCCAGATGTGGCAAGTTAGCAAGAACTGCGCCAGTGATGTACGACACGGCAGGCGTGTTGGCTGCATTATATACCATGAATTGTGCCTCGTCATATGTGTACAACGTTGGTGCTTTGCCCAAGCCCAGACCCCAAATCGTCCCGAATCCGAATGGTATATCGGCAGCACGGTGGGCTGCTCGAGTCTGATGGTACGACCAGCCGAACAGGCCAAAAGACAGACCTAAGCCGACCAAACCGCTGCTCATTGATCAGCCAAAAGGCCTGCGATACATTTCTCGTGGGGTGAGTTTGGACTTACAGAAAATTCGCACCGACCCATGGACCGCTTATTTCCTGGGCTATACGTGCGTTCCGCGAGCCATATGGATGAGGCTTAGCGATTGATACCAGCTTTCTGTCTAGTGCTGGTTCTCCGAAATGCCTTGCATCGGCCATGCACAAGCCATGTACCGTGGTGTCAGGCTCGTGAAGGAATGAGTCGATTGCATCTCCAATGGTGACCAGTGGCCGTGCGTGGCTGAAGGATAGTGCGGCCAGCATGGCCACCAGTTTGCCAAAGACACAGACCAGGACCACAATCATGATCGACAAGCTCAAGTTCAATTCACAAGCGTCGGGGAGGTCCCGCGCCAAACAATGATCGACCACACGTTGATGTACCATCCAGGTCCCGTTCTCGAGCAAGCGAGACGTATCGCATGACGTCGTCGTTGAATAGGAGGTTTCAGTCTGCTCATAACAAAGCCACGCCCAAGGTTGCTGGTCGCCTACGTAAGACAAGTCTACTTTTCCATTATTCCAGTCAAATCCAGGTTGCTGGCCCGGGTACTTCACCACGTCACTTGGGAAGTCCTCCGTAGAGCTGTCGATCGACGTTGTAGTCATCAACAGCACATCACCCCAGGTTCGACTAGACCCGGAAGCGTATGTCTGGATGCACTCCTCTGCGGTCAGCTTCGTCAGTGGTGGTTTCTGCGCGTTCAGGTAATACGCCAGATTAGCCATTTGCGACGCACCCGAACTTCCCACCGTTGGGATATCGATATAACTGCGCTTGAGTGCGCGGAAGGTCGAGTTTGGAGGCGCCGAAGATGGTGCATCATTGACCTCGACCAGCATTGCCCAGCTAGACCACTCGGCATTCGTTGTGCTGTACACGATGAGCGAGTTGAACATTAGATGGATCGGCAGCGAGCTTGACCAAAGCAGCGCGAAGACTGCCAGCCGTTGCTTGCTGAGCAGGGCAAAATTCGTAAGAGATAGTGTCCCGACGTTGAGTGTCTTGTTGATTCGATGCGCCCTGTCCAGATCTTCTCGAGTTGGGGCTGCCAGTCTCTGCATCATGTATGAAGACGTGGCAAACAAGCTTGAGGCCAACACGTTGATGAGCAAATGAACCCAGAAATTGGCCTCACTGGCTGTCGAGCAATCTCCGTTGAAGAGTGTGACCACAAGTCCATCACCTGTTCTGTGGGACGCTCCCGCCCATATTGCCACAATAAGAGTCACGACAAGTATCGAGGCGACGTTGTACAAGCAGAAAGTGTAGCCTGTCTTCAATGAAGGATGAATCTGGGCCCATTGTCTTCGGGCATCCTTGGGGCTTTGGCTTTTTTTGTTGAGTAACGTATGTCGATAGTCCCAGAATTGTTTGTATGCTCTCGACGGATACGTTATGCCCAAGACAAAATTTCTTTTCACCGATGCAAAAATGCTTGCCATCGCGTTTGGGAGTTGACAGCACGTTCATCACTCGAGCATCATCTGGGGACTCTGAAAAGGATGTCGGGCATTATGAACCCCGTATGGGGAGAACCTGCGTCTCCTCGAGGCAGAATCAAGTTATGTCTTTGGAATCGACCCAGGTTAGTGATGAGTTTGGGGGTGGTGTCAGTCCCATGGCTAGATCGTCGGCGCGTGGACGCTTGTACCTGGCCCCGGAAGCTTCGTTTTGCTTGTATGTTGACAGAGTCGGGCCTGGGTCTGCGTTCTCCATGAAGCCTTGTAGATGGTCATTGGCCTGAACACTAGGCGAACCCTGCAAGCAAGTTTCAGGTTCACGGGCTGATTGCAAAGGAGGCGGGGGCCGAAACGTCTGCACCGACACTAAAGCACTGCTTAAAGAGACCCCTGTCCATGCGATGCGTACCTCAGAGTTGTGCTGGAGTTTCAAGGAGAGGTTTCGTCGGACGCAAATGATTCTGCGCTTATCAAACATTACCGACATGTTCACCATTTTCAATGGTTTTCGGTCCATGCAACGATATAAGCATGCTCAGCGTAGTCCTGACACGCACTATGAAGGTCGCATCTCCCGGGAAATCAGCAACATTTTAGCTCGACCTGAGCACGACAGACCAACACTCGAATATCTACATGGAAAGGCAGTCGGATAATATGACACTGACTTCAATTGCTATTCTTCTTCTTTTCCTCTCGGGGCTGGGCGCAGCTGCCTCTGAGGTCGTCAATATCCCATTGAACAACCAAGACTCCATCAATGCTTCCGGAGTAAATGGACCTTGGCCGACGATTCCAATCTTGTATGCCACGGACAAGAGTTTAGACTGCCACCTCACATTCTGGAATCAGTCAATATTCTCAGCGCGGCAGCCATGCGTGGATACGCTCCCTTCCAATCGTAGTGAAGGCGCCTTCTTATGCTCCGATGATCTTGTCTACCCGCCGGCTTTCGACCTCTCTGCTGTGAACGAATCTGCCATCACATTCATGAACCTATCATCCGCCAGCATCTTCTATGCAATCACGGAAGATTCGTTGCTAGTCCATGCACTCGATGCTCACGGCTATGGCTATCAAGCAACGAGTGACATTTCTCTCGGGAGTCAAGAGTTTGAGCTTGAGCACCTTGTCTCAATCAACTTTACATCGACAACCACCAGCTCAGCGAGACGTCTTCCTTTGATGGATTCCTTCATATCCGCACAGCAAATAGCGGCGAGTTTGGTCGATAAGGGCGACGCTGCGTCGCCCTTCTTGAGCCTCCACCTCGGCTCACAAGACCCCAACGTGCCCGGGTCTCTCCAGATTGGAGGTTTCGACAACAGTCGCATTGTCGGAGACATGATGAGAATTCTGGCCGATAACAGCCTTCAAATTACCATCACCGATATCAATATTGGTGTGGAAGAAGGATTCCTGCCTCTGCAAAGTCTCAAATTTGCGAATGGAAGCTTTCCTCAAGGCCCTTACAAGGTTGATCCAAGATTTCGACTTCACAAGCTCCCATCTTATGTGCAACCGATCGTCCTGGAACCCGGTTTGCCGTACCTATACTTTCCGAAAGACATCTGCGACCCCCTTGCAGAGATCCTGGACGCCACTTATGACCAAGAACGTAATCTTTACTTTTGGAATAAGCCAGACGATGATCCCATCTTCAAAAGTCCAACTTTTCTGGAGATCGAGTTGACAGGATACGACTCTACCGAAGGCTACATCTCCCCGACAGAACTGATCCCGACTGTGTCAGTCAAGATACCTCTCGCCCTCCTGCAGCATAAATTTTCCGCCACTGTGCAGGCAGAGAATGGCACGATGCTTCGCCCGGCCCGATATCTTCCATGTTCACCGCAGGACGAAAGTGTTTTGCGTGAAGAATGGCAAAACACCCTTGGTCGAGCATTTTTCCAGGCAGCATTCATTGGTACCGAATTCCCTTCCGATACTCCGTACCAATTGCCGACGTACTGGATCGCTCAGGCTCCAGGTCCAACTAACCTTGCTCCTCCGAATATCTCTGTTATTGACAGTGGATATATATCCAACAGGTCGAATGTGACAGTGGAGCCAAGGTTCTGGACCAATAGCTGGTCAGCTGTGCTTCCACTCTGGACCATGGACGCAGATGGAAAAACCACTCTCGAACAGAGGAATAATCAACCAAGCGACAACCATTTCGAGTTAACCAGGGGACAAGTCGTTGGGATCGCGGTCGGCGCAACTGTCGCTTCCGTCGTTGCCGTGAGCATCACATGCTGCTTCGGTTTGCGGGTTCTCAAGAAGTCACGACATCGGCGGTCAATCATAAGAAAGCAGATTGAGGAGGAAGATCGAATTGCCAGAGAGCTTGAGATGGAATCGATAGAAAAGGAGAAGTCGGAGCAGCAGCAGCCAAGATACAGAGATTCACCACCTGAGGCACCATTACCGGGATCTAGTGGCAACAACACAGCTACATCTCAAGTAGTAAATGACGATCCAGTTGATGCTTGTCTCCCGCTGATGGAGGACGATAGCAGTGTCAGGTCAAACGAGTCAATTCCTCTAACAGCCTTGCGGCGGCATGAGATTGGGCCTGACTTAGCCCACGGGTTCCGGTGGTCAGTTCAGTAGTCAAGATTGAACAATAAAGAGGGTATTATCTGGAATGAGTTCTCAAGAGGAGTCAGGATATTGACACCTTGGGGACAGGACATGCTTGATCGTGCCTTGAAATCTCGGTTTACTTTTCACCGAGCTGCGTCAAACTCTTTTGAATCTTCCCCCGCATCTCTTCTCCTCGTCTTCCTCGTCATCGCATGTCTCGGTCATGCCCACGAAGTCAGTCACTAGTCAGTTTACGAGTAGAGTCCATCCCCTCACCCTGTACCAGCTTGAAAGCAGACATACCCTAGTTCTCGGACCACAGGCGCGAGAGGCGCGATCCTCCGTAGGTACTCAACTATCCTCCCTCCGCGTGCCCGAAGGAGGGGTGACGGTTGCAGCACCACAAGCCCTCGGCAGCAAACATGATACCACGGTGTGGTATATGTAGAGCATGCTGTACTTTCATAGATAGATCTTTATGGACAAATCAAATCTGTTCACATTGGTAAACGTCAAAATATCTTCCTGTGTCCTTCCCACTCCGTGACTAGACGAGCACCTCGCAGCCCGAGCCTTCTTGTACTGTATACCCTCGACATCACTGACTTAAAAAACCACCAGTCAAATCCAATAGTACGAAATTACGACCGATCGATATTTATGACAATGGCCAAACGAACAGCAATAGTTACCGGGTCATCTCGAGGCATGTATGTTGTCCAGCACCCGACACCCAGCACCCAGCACCCCCTTTCCTTTCCGAAAAGACCTGTATCTCAAAGCTGACCTTTTTTCTTCTTGTGCTCGTTTACAGAGGTGAAGCCATCGTCCGTCGACTCGCGGTCGAAGGGTATTCGGTCTGCGTCAACGACGTTTCTGCCAACAAGGCCGGGATCGACAAATTGGTTTCGGAACTGAACCAAACCCACGGGTCAGGCAGCGCCATAGGGGTCGTGGCCGACGTGACTTCGTCGACCGAAGTGCAGGACATGATCAAGGAGTCTGTGGGCAAGTTGGGGCCGTTGACGGTCATGGTCGCCAACGCCGGGATAGCCCAGGTGTCACCGGCTCTGGAGATTTCCGACGAAGATGTCCAAAAAATGTTCAACGTCAATTTCATGGGCGTCTGGCTGTGTTACACTCACGCCGCCCGGCAGATGATCGCACAGGGGCCCATCGCAGAGGGGGACAGCGGGTACAAGATCTTGGGGGCGGCCAGCATCGTCGCTTTCAAACCTTTCCCCCTGCTGTCTCATTACAGCGCTTCCAAGTGGGCAGTACGTGGGTTCACTCAAGTGTTTGCGATGGAAATGGCAAAACATAAGATCACGGTCAACGCTTACGCTCCTGGGATCGTCGGCACCGCCATGTGGGACCTCATAGACGAGAAACTGGGAACCATCGAGGGCCGAGCGAAGGGAGAGTCGGTGAAGAAATATTCTTCCGATCTGACCGCCTTGGGGAGGGTCAGCGTACCGGAAGACGTTGGTAACGTCGTGGGTGGATTCCTGTGTTCCAAGGACTCCGAGTTCATGACGGGTCAAACGATAGTCATTGACGGTGGGATCATATTCACTTGAGAGGAAAATACTTCAAGAGGAACAAAAAGGAAACAATGATACGATGATACTCGGGTCAGAAGAAATGAATTGACAGTTGGATTGAGTGCGACCTTCTTCTTTCCCCCCATTTTTTCAACATTGATACTAGCATTTCCTCCCCTGAGTCTGTCACGACCATCCCATCGCATCGCATCATGTCGTTGAACTCGTCTCATCTAAGCTTCGTCGAATCAAGCAATGCACCCCCTTCCAGCGTTTGATCGTTGTGTATGGAAAAAGAGTTTCTCCTCCATCTAAGCATCTCACGCGTGACCTTCTCCCTGCTTTGGAGGGTAGGTCTTACCCTCGACTTCGACAACGGGTTTACAAGTACACAATTCCTCCTTGGGAACCGAGTCCAGAACCGAAGGGATATGTTTACCGCATCCCCACCAAGTGGACTTTTCTGTATTGCGTACAAGAAGTCAGCAATCAGGATTCAGCAAGATAACAATCGACCAAAAAAAAGATTAAACCTTTCGGGCGTCAGGCGATCCTTCTCCTGATGCGAACGGATAGGCAAGTTGTTGCGACGACTGGTGCAGTGTTCGTATAGAGTCATGTTTGAGAATGATTTCTCAAGGGGCGAGTTACTTACGGCAAGTAGGACAAGTCTTTTTCATACACATGATGACCAGGTGCGTGTGTGTGTGTGCTAGGATGTTGTTATGGTTAAAAAAAAAGAGGGAAAAAGGATGTGTCCGAGTCAGGCCGAGGTGGTTTGTGGTTGTCGGTTTGGTAAGCTTTGTAACTTGACTCTCAAGTCCTTTACTCCGTGAGTAGTGATTGAAAAGAAACAGCAGTAGATAAAGATGGAGTTGGGGATTGTCGTTCGTCGAGATGGATGGTTTTGGCTTGTCCTGTGATTGAGATGAAAGATGTGGGAAAAGAGTTCGAGTTATTGATTAAAATAAAGCCCGCGACGATACGGGACGCCCGTTAGATTGTCACGAATGATGATGATGATGATGATGATCCATTGAGGGTGTTTGCTTAGCTAATTCAAAGGCGTAGAAACTTCCAGGTAATCAAAAATTGTTGATTCCCGAGATCCCCGGAGACCCCGACAAACAGCTGAAAACACCAAGTACGGAGTATGGAATATGCAATTCGCGTCCTTGACACTGCTGGCTATTTACCTATCTGACTGGCCCCTTCTCGGGATACAGAAGACAGACCGAAAATGGCGCACAGTTATGTACGGTTCGGCATCTCCATCGAGCAAACGGCAATTTCTCACAGCTTGCCCATCATCACGTTCTTCAGCACAAATCTATTCCGCTTGCCGTCATTGTAGACACGTCCTGTACGTCCGATCTGCTCGGTGGTGGTCGATGATAGTTGCATCAAAGTCTCCTTGTCGCCTTGATTCGCCACCACCCTATGGCCGTTTATCAGTCGGCCAACGATATATGCTTCTCTCGGTGTGTTGTCGCGATTGAATTCTACGGTATATGTCTGCACAAATGATCATTGCATTAGTCTTGGATTCGTTCTAGAAAAGGTTCTTCTCCTCGATTGGAATTTCCAACTCACCTCAATCACAGCCTCCTGCTCTCCCTCCACTTTGATATCAACCTGCGGAATAGGAACGTCTGTGACGTGTTCGGGAAGTGGTGCACGGTCAGGATAGGCGGTGCCCCCACGTCGTCGCATCGTAGAGAGACACAATACATGTTGATATGTGACCCAGCCACCGTTGGCGAGGATCAGTCCATTTCGACCTTTGCCCTGTCGTAGTTGTCGGGTCATCTCGGTGATGGCCTTGCGGGAACACGTTAACGACAACATGTTCGTCTCACAGTAGTAGACGGGAAGGGGAGGGGGGGGGAGGGAGACATACATGCAACGAATAATTGTTACCGGCACCGCCGAAACTCGTAAGCCCACCAAGAAGAGTCAGAGCTTGAGCTCCCCCGGTGATGGGCAGCTTCAAATGAGCAGCGGCAAGTTTGGGCACGATCGGGAAACATCTGGTTGAAGGTCAGAACCGAATCCAAAACGTTGACAAGATCAAGAGAATACAACGCCCACCATCCGTCGCCTTGCGCACCATCCATCGTGACATGCTTCGGGATACACTTACGAGTAAAAATCATACAAGTCAATTTCGCTTTTGTCCAGACCAGATACCTTGAGCCCAGCATCGAGAGACCGCTCAATAGCTGGACTTGAGTAGTAGTTGGGACGTTCCCAGACTGCAAAAAGGTAGGAGGATCAGCTAAGCTTTCCTCACATACGTTGCATTCAAAACAACTCACAATTGCCCGCATCCTGCGTTCCAGCGCCACCGAGAGCATAGATCCATTTCGTCTTTGGTATGCCCAACTCTTCCGCATAGGATGTCGAAGTCAATATACACGCTCCTGCAAGATTGATAGTGTTGAAAGCATTCATAAGAAGAGGGTCTAGTTCGATATCATCAGCAGTGGACAGTGGTTGGCGTCGACGAATAGTTCGGTGAGCCTTACAGGGCAGACAAATCATTCTGTTTCGCTTGGTGACGGTCCCAATCTCCTCTTTTGATTTTGCCGGCTTGCCATAGTTCCAAGCGTACGGTTGCTTCTCCGCTACTTTGGCAAAGTCGGCGTACAGTGTCGCTGACTCCTCGTGGTTGTCTCGCAGCGATTGTTGTCGGTGTGCTCGGAAACCGTTTTCGTACAAGGGATAAATCTGGATTGGGTCCGTTATACCTTGGGCCTGGCCAAGGTCTACTACAGGCAATCAGCGGAGTTCAGGAAAGCCTTGGTACGCCCCGGGATCGGACTCACGTATGCCACGGTCTCTCCCAGTGGCTTTGAAGACCGAAGTCACGCTCTCCTTTGTCTTCGTCCATCCCGGAGGTGGCATCTGCTTTGCCGCAGCGCATGCCGTCACTAGCAAGCAGAGTGGTGTTAGCAGCGACACAAGTTGCCAATTGCTTCAATTCTCAATGCCTGGGCCGCTCACATGACGCCAAAGCCTCACCGCCTGTCACTATGGCGACTTTGGTCTGGCCTTTTGATATCCTCCTGGCTGCTTCATCGAAGAGTTTGGCAGGCTTATTACCGCCATGCTCTGAGTAGAACTTGTGTCGTGGCTTCACCCCCAGATTATTGGCGATGTCACCGGGCAAATCATCGTAGGGCCAAGTCCACGTTCTCACGACATCAATACTGTCGATGGCATTCTGTAGGGATTTCTGCTTCCCCTCGACCAAGTCTGTGTCTTCTAGAGCCTTTGTGATGGATTCGAGTATGAGCTGTAATGGTTCCAGTGCTGCCTCGGTTGAAGTTGATCGATTGACGACATCCCCCACGCCTACGACGATAGGTATTTCCGCCATTTCTGAATTGTTTATTGGCTGCCGTTGACTATCACCGTGGCCGTTACCGTTGGCTTCAAGCAAGCATTGGGGGAAAGGTTTGATACAGCAACAACAACAACAACAACAGGTCGTCACCGTCTATTTCACCGACTTCGATTGACATTAATGTATTGTAGTTGATTGGGTCTGACATGGTGAGCCGAATCACCCAACGTCGTAGATGCCGACATGGTGAGATAAACCGAGGTTCAACGGACTCTTGACGCCTCGGATTTACTTTAGTCCTTTACCGAGCATCAATAATGTTGCTGCATTATTGTCTTCAACTTCTCTCGCCCGGTGTAATCATAAAAAAAAGAAAAAGAACTCACACGGTTTAGCAATAACATGAATCATTCAATGTTTTGTGTGAAATTTGAGCAGACGACTCATATTTACCTCGGCCGACACTGAAATTGTAGGTGTAAAACAGGTTTGCTCTTCCTCGTCACCATAATTCTGTTTCGCCTTCGTCATGATGGACCAAAACAGCACGATCTAGCAGAATGATGTACAACAGCATCTACAGACAGATTCCTCCGTACCGTAAGGGCAGTGCCGTTTCTACATGGTTGGAGAAAACCACACATTGGCCTCGATCAGCGGCGAACAAAGAGTCCCTTTCACCAGGTAAATTATTCACCCGGACACTTCACGAGGTTGATCACCTACAATCGTTCTCGTGTTCCTTTCCCCATGGCGATCTGTGGAGTTTTGACGCTCCTAGTTGCATTATGGGACACTTGGACACGGGGTATGAAGGTTCTTTCATTGTGTGGCAGCCTTTTTTGGATCTTGACCAACCCCCAGATTGCCTCCTAGATGGAAAGCTTCATATTTTACCCGGTCCAGGAATCCAATCCCGATGGGTCTGTCACGCAGCGGTGAAGTCGCGGTGGTGCGGTATAGATCCGCGGGCGTTCGTCCCTGCACGGTTGAGATAGCCGAGCACATATCGGGGGAAAAGACATACAGGTACATCTTTGCACCTGTTATTGATCTCTCTTACTCAAAAGGTCTCTTCGAGGTTTGGAATATAAGTCACGACCCCAAAAAGCAAAACCACAAACACCCAACGCCAGTTTACAGCCGAGACCCCCAGACATTTGCCACGATGACCGAATCCATAGACTCACTCGAGTCACTACACAAGAAGAAATCTCGTCTGTCAAGATGGAAAGACCACCTTTCAGTTGACGTTGATGAATCCTGGGCCGACCTTATATTGATTGTGGCATGTTTCATATCAGGCCTTGTCGATAGTGCCGTGTTCAATGTCTGGTCATGTTTCGTGAGCATGCAAACTGGTAAGAGCCAAAGCTTGCTTGCTTGCTTATACTTCTCTCGTCGTCTCGCCTCTGACTCCCCCTGTCTCCCTCCTCCCCTGAACCAGAATTGACGAAGTACCTTACAGGAAACACCGTATACGTCGGCCTCGGCATGTCTGGCCAACCATTTTCCCAACCCTACCGATGGATCAAATCCGGCACCGCGATAATCTCTTTTTGCGCGGGGACATACTTTTTCAGTCGGACGGCTCGCCTTTTGGGCGCTTTGAGACGAAGCACCATGGTTCTTTCTTTCATCTTCCAAGCGACGCTTTGCTTCGTCGCCGCCCTTTTTGTTGTTAGTGGAGTCGTGCCCGCCAACGCCGGCACTCAGATCCCCCGCACGTTCATCGTCCTCCTCCCACTGAGTCTCCTCTCTTTCCAGTCGGCCGGACAGATCGTCATTAGTAGGATGTTGGCGTACAACGAACTCCCCACTGTCGTCCTGACCAGCACCTACTGCGACCTCATGTTCGACCCGCTGTTGTTCACGGCTCCACTGCGTCAGAATTCCAAGCGGAACAGACGTTTCGTTTCGTCCGTGGCTTTGCTCTTGGGTGCCGTCGTCAGTGGGTTTCTGACAAAGGGAGGCGACGTCGCAAACCCATTGTGGATCGCCGGTGCGATCAAGGTCGCCCTGGCGGTAGTCTGGTTGTTTTGGTGCGGAAAAGGAACTATTCGATTAGAGTAGAACAAATACTACAGTAGAAGTATGTACCGGGGTTAGCATGCTGTGGATCTGCACCTGCTATTCGTCACATAAATAAATACATACGTATACGTCAAGTTTTATATGACAAAAGTTCACGATTCGTGCTCACATAAGTCTCTGCTTACCGGACATGACGATATCGGCACCGATACTAGGCGCTCCAAGTACGACCCTCCTTTCAGGAAACAAAGAGCAGAGAGTATCCTCTTCGTCACTTGTAGTATCCAGGACCGTACATCTACGGCAAGATCCACAAGGGGTTGATTTTCGGGTCGCAGACCACGCGAGGAATAAGACATAAGGGGTCCGGGTAAATGTTCATCACCGGCCGCACGTAGGATGAGACTACCTCAGGGGAAACGAAAAGAAGAGAAGAAAGAGAGAAGCCCCAAGGGGCGGTGTCTGCTCCGTACTCTCCCGAGGAATATATATATGATAATGATTCATATACCACTGTACATTCCAGGATATGGGCAGGATTTCAATTGCTTTGTCTCCAAGGGAAAAAGAAAGACAACACAGCCGCCACTACAAGGAGGTCAAAAAGCATTTCTCATAACAATTCTCATAGTCCAAGGAGTAGCTCACAGTTCGAATAACGTCAACATGACAGGCCACGCCCACACATACAGGAAGACCTTCGTTTTCAATCAATCGTACCGTCATACACACATTACGCATTGCGTGTGTCTCATACACGAAATAAATGCAAAAACTCAGCTCAACACCTACGCACATACCAGACGAACTTCACTTTGCCCCCAGACCTACTACTCAAAGTCTGTGACAAGTCCAAACACAATCACTGCTTCTCCCGATGTGTGATGGTGGCACCTTCCTCCTCGTCCCCTTTGACCTTGACCTCGACAAAGTCATCACTGACGGACACCCTCGGGGCCATCACGGCCTCGGCGATACTGTTAAAGACTCGGATGGCGGTGGTGCTGAACGGTTCGGCCGGCGCGCCGCGTTCCAAGAACTTCCACCCTGCCCGCTCGAATCTGTGCCTGGTCATGTCCGACATGGCGACGAAGCGCACCTCGACCTGCTCGCCCGCGTACTTTTTCAACTCCACGAAGAAGTTCTTCAACGAGGTCACGGCGCTGACGTCGCAAAAGTTGACCTTGGTAAAGTCCAGGACCACCACCCTGATGGGCGGCAAGGCCTCTCCGTCGGTGCGGGCTTGTTTCCGGAGACGCTTGATGCGTTTCTCGCCCTCGACGGACCACATGCGGTCGGCCTCCTCGCCGTGCGTGCGGCCGTATTCGGCGGCGTGGTAGGTCTGAATATCGTCGACGATCTTGGTCTTGAGCCTGAGCGCGTTGGGGAAGAAGAACGACTCGTTGAAGCGGAAGACGCGCGTGTCTGAAGGGATGCGCGCCGGCATGCCCCGAGCGGCGTCCAGGGAAGACGCAAGTTCCGACTCGGAATCTGATCCGATCGACTTGAACCGGATAAAGACCTGGCGGAGCAGGACGTACGCGATGTTGAAGCCGACCGCCGAGGCGATGCCAATCTCGGTGCTAACGAACAGAGACACCCAGAACGCGATCATGGACGCGATGAAGTCGGCCAGCGACGTCTTCCAGAAGTGATAGTATGTCCTCCACGTGCCGACGAGGGGTATCACCGCGATGATGATGATCGCGGCAAGTGTCGCCTTGGGGACCCAGTACAGCGCCCCAGTGAACTTGTAGATCGACAAGACAATGAATGCTGTTGTGACCAGGCCAGAAAGTGGAGATTTGACCCTGCATTGGGAGTTGACTGCGGTTCTGGACATTGCTCCTCCCACGCCCATGACGGTGAAGGCGCTATTGAAGAAGTTGGTCACGCCGAGGTAGCACAATTCCTGACTGGCATCAATGACATAGTTGTTCTTCATGCCGAACGCACGGGCAATCGCGAGATGCTCCAGTGCTGCGGCGATGAAGGGGGCAATGCTCCGTCCTGCAACCTTGCCGATGAGTGTGCTGCTCTGAAGTTTTGGCGAGGCTATGCTGATCGAGGGTACTTTGCTGACGTCGAAGAGAAAATTCTTGGAGTCTCGGTCCTTGTTGACAGCATAGCTGATGCCGGTGAACAGGACGAGAGTGATGAACGCTCGGGTGATGGAAAGGAGCCAGATGATTTTGCTCTTGTTCGCCCATTTCTCACCGGCCTTTTGGAGTGCCAGCAAGAGGACAATGCCACCGAAGCCTACACCCACTGCCCGAGGATTGCAAGTGGCCAAATGGCTGAAGACGTCACGGATGATGTTTGCGGTGCCACTGCCAACGTGTTTTTCGCCCAAAAGATTGGCCACCTGGCCGAGACCAATTGTGATGGCGGCAGCCGAGATGAAGCCATTGAGTACAGGGTAGGAGATGAAGTCCAGAAGGAAACCGAGTTTCAAGAATCCCAGGGCCATGCCCCAAACGCCCATCATGAGAGCAACTGCAGATGAGACCTGCTGCGCAGTGTAACCCTCTTTAATGAGATCTTTGACAATGTCTGAGGTAAGAAGGCCGATCAATGAGGTCGGTCCAGTCGATAGATCTGGCAGTGCAAACTCGTTTTAGCAAGTGTGATTCGTATCGATGGCACCCCTGCCATCACCACCTCGCAACAAGAGCTGAAAATCAAGAATCTTACCTTTCGAGGTTCCCATGAACGTGTAGATCACGGCCGGAAGCCAACACGACATCAAGCCATATTGGACGGGGATCATGGAGATTTTGGCATAGGCCAGGCCTTGTGGGATGAGCATGACGGCCAGCGTTAAGCCGGCCACGAAATCATTCAGCGCCCATCGGTAGTCATACCGTGGCAGCCACCCGATGATGGGAAACTTTTCGATAACGTACAATGTCCCTGCCGTAGGAGCAGCACGGATTCCCTGCTTACCAAGCCTGAAGACTCGATTCCAGGTGACATCCGTCTTGAAGTCATCTTTGATCCTCTCATATATCTTCATGATGCTGTTGGTCTACCTGAAAAACAAGAGAAAGAGATTCTGGTTTTGGCAGAGTGAATGCTAGGGGTGGAGTGGAAGGAGAGTCAAGGGGGGAGGACTGCTATCACGGAGGACAGAACTTGGTAGACAGGCTTTGAGATAAGGTGGGTTGAAGTAAGCAATATCAATGC